AGGGGAACCGGAGAGCTAGATATTACTACCGGAATCCTACTTAGACCCCTAGATCGTAAATAAGCGTAAGACTATTCGAATTAACTAACTCTATATTAGTAGCGACTTAATTAAATAGTTACTCTTAGTAAACCGGGATAACCTAGAGCTAGAAGTATAGCGTTAGGAAACCGAATAGGAGAACTCCTTAAGTAGATTCGACTTACGAGAAGGGATACTAATCCGTAATAAGAAGCTCGTGGTCCTAGTATATAGGTAGCTACGAACCTAGTTAATCTCCGAAGCCTATAATTAACTATCTTTAGCCTACCCGAGCGCTAAGAAGCTTTAGAAGTTCCTAGTAAGCCGTTTTTAGTAGGAGACTCTCCGCTAGGATATTATTCGGTTTTCGGATAACTATATAATATATAAGTATACTAAAACCTAGCGAATAAAGACTCCGGGACTCCTAAACCCGTTACCGGTACCGGATAGACCCTAGTAGTATATCTCTATAGACTTTATATATCTACTAAAAGACCGATACGGATATAATAACGCCTTAATAGTAGTCTGTAGATTAACGAAGTAGATAGTTTACGTATCCTTATTTAAGGATACTATAGCTAGAGATCTAGTAAAGTTATAGTTAATATACTATTATAGATAGATAGGACTTCCGGACTTAATCGTATCGGACAGAGGACTATAGTTTATTATATTATTCTAGAAGACCCTATATAAGTTAATAGGGATTAAGCGGAAGTTATCTACTCCGTATTACCCTTAAATAGATAGATAGTCGGAAAATACGATCTAGTTACTATCTTAACGACTATACGCCTTCGTAGATAAGTTCGCCGATAACTAGTCTAGCCTACTACTAATAATAGACTTTACTTAGGCGATTTTGCCTTATAAGTCGACTAGGGTCTTACTATACTACGCTAAACGCGGGTATAAGCTAAGAACGATAGTTAATTAGTAACTTAGTAGTAGCGAACGGGATCTCTATAGGCTAGACCGGGAGACAGCTCGAGACTAGATAGATAAAATTCGCTAAGTTTATAAGTTCGTACGGGATAATATAGCTAAAGCGTAGGAACGTTAATATACCTAGGCGAATCGATATCGTAGGGAGCTAAACTTCGACGTTAGGGACCTTATTATAATTATAACAAAGAATAATCGGTAGATCGTAGAAGGGCCGTTAGGTAAACTCTGTCCGAAAGCAGAGGGGCCTTTCCGGATTATCGAGAAGGTAGGATACGCTTTTCGACTATAACTACTAGAAGGATTATTACGATATAATATCTTTAACCCGGAGAAGTTACGCCGTATAATAAGTACAGATCTACTTCTAGGATAGCCTATCCCTAAACCGGCGATATAGGTTATACTAGAGCCGGAGTACGATATAGAGATAATCCTTACTTCGCGAATTAACCGGTCGAAGCTTTAGTATCGAGTAAAGTAGATAGGATTCGAGAATGATATAATATAGTATAATACTAGTAATTTCCGGACTACGGCTTCGAAACTCCGGGAATATTATAAAACCTACCCGTCCCGCCCTAGACCTCCGGTAAATCTTAACCGTTAGTTAGAGCACGAGGCTCTTAATAAGGAGCCACTAGTACGCCCGGACGATAATATACCGCAACGTTACCGCGCCTAAGGATAGTCGCGAGTCTAAACGGGGGATAATATAATGTATAGGTAATAAGTTAATAGTTAACTAGCTAGTCAGTTAACTAGTTCGTGAATAGACTTAGAGTATAGAGTTAGTTAGATAAGTTAACTAGTCAGTCACCGTAAACTAGTAAGTTTACTAACTAGTTAGTTAGCCGACTAGCGAGTTAGTATTAACTAGTAGGTTAGTTAGCTAGTTAATAGATATAGACTTAGGAAGTTAAGGAGGGGATTATATAATCGATATTTACGTTCATAAGATCAGATATTTACCTACGCGTTATTAATAGAAGCCTTACGTATGTGTATACGCTAGAGCCTAAGGATTATTTACCTTTCGGTTTACTTCTATAGAGGAACCTTCTATCCGGGACTTTCTATAAGGATTCTGCCGCCTTACTATAGTCCCGCCCACGATAGGTATTTAAGGCAGCACTTTACCTTCCTTATTTCTTCCTTTCCTTTTTCCCCTTCGTCTTGGTTTTCTTCGTTACATAGGACACAGTTACTTCACCTTCTTCCTTCTATACGTAGTTTCTCGTAGCTATACTGCCTAGGAGTCACACATACGTTACTCTTTCCTCTACAGAAAGTAAGTATATTACTATATCTTTAGCTATATAAGAGGTATTATAGCTATAGCTTTTCCTTAAGAAACTTAATATAGAGTCCCTTTTATAACTTCCTACTATAATCTACGAGGATAACTAAGGCGCTATTTACCTTACTAAAAGCTATAATTTACACTAACGAACAAAGTATATTAACGTTAAATATTATTATATTAGAGACTAAGTCTCCAGAGGGGTATATAAATTCGTTAAAATTTTAACTACAGAGTAGGCCGTAGATAGCTTTACTAAGCCGCTATAGCGAGTCTAATTCGAGAGGTTTCTATACCTTTTAGACATAAAAAAGCTCTGATTCAACAGCCTTTATAGCGAGCTTAATTCTAAGGGTTTAAACACCTTTTTAAGCTTAAAAAGTTATATTAAGACGTTATTAATATATTTATATAATCACTTTTCACGTTTTTCATATTTTAAGTGAGATTAGTAGATCGAGGTCTAGGGGGGTATTAAGATAGCTTAGTAGTCAGGCGTGTTACTAGCGTGGTACACGCCCACGCACACCACCTTCGTAGCTTAGATAGGTACCTCTCACCAGATACAATCTCACCTTTCCTTTTCTCCCCTCTTTTAGGTCTACTACGTTTTCCTAGTAGCCTCTAATAACTACGAAGAGTATAACGGGCCGTAGGGACGTAGCCCTTTAAGGAGAGGGATAATATTACAACCTAGCCACACTACGTATATAGGACCTATAGGCCGCTATAGTACTCTTACGTAAGAGGTAGTTACGGCCCGCCGTACCCGTAGGCCCTAACTACTTCCTATAGGAGGAACCCCCTTAGTTCCTTAGCGATTAGTCTAAATAATAGACCTTAGGACCTTTACTCTGATCCGAACCCCCCTTAGGACTAGACCCTAGTCCTAACAGTAGCCCCTAGGCTAGCTACTATACGAGAGATAGCTAATATCCTACTAGCTACCCGCGGTAGCTAGCCGCTACCTACTATTAGCAAGAATTAGCTATTAACCTTTATCTAACGGCGCGATAAGCTTCGAACACGCTTTTCTAGGCGTTACGATTACTAGTACACACTAAACGAAGACCCAAAATCGCTACGAGCGTGGTTCGCGACCGTATAACGCGTGATCGATAAGAACGGTATTTAACCGGAGGATATCTATAACTTTAATAAGATAGGATTTATAATAGGTCTTATCTCTACACAGAAGATAGTTACGCGAGCTGAATACTACAGTCAGCGATCGATACTATAACTAGGAAATCGCGAATAGGTTACTATAATCGAAGTAATTTACGCTAATAGCTATTCGCTACCGCTATATATAATTTTTAAAGGTAAGGTTATAATCACTAGTTAGTTTAATAATCTACTATAATATTAGCGATTTAAGGTTTTGAATAATAGCTAGACTACCGATAAGATTAGCCTACGTTAGCTACAAAAGCTATTTATCCCGTTAATAAATTCGTGCGTACGAGGCCGATTTCGACTACTAATTCTTAATAGCCACGGTAGCTATCTAACGCCTTAATTCGATCGAATCTACGCCGAAAACGATATTATACTACTTTATATATCTATATATTTATCGTATCTATTATAGCTACTAGATATTAGCTATTTTATAGTATTAAAACGCTTACATAGTCGCTTTATAAGTAATCTTACGCGTAAGAGCTATAACTATATTAATAAGTTTAATTTCCTATACGACTACTAACGCGCGCGGTAAGAAGCCTACTAATTAAGTACTATTCAAAATAGCTTCGTAGCTAGTAGGCTAGTGCTAATCGATATAGAAAGAGTGCTTTCGAAGCTTAATATCTCTCTACGAACGCCTATACTACTAAGTAGCCGGCTAAGTAGTAGATCTAGCTAATTTACACTAAAAATACCTAGAACGGTGATTTAGCTATAAAAGTAAGTATCGATACTTAAAGATCTACTAAAATAGCGATCGAATAGCCTACTAAGCCTATCAAAAGCTATACTAGATCAGATTATTAAGGGCTACTATATCGCGTTATACTATACCGCGCTATTAGCGTAAGAAAACGCTAATCTACGCGTAGTAAATAAGAAGGTTATCAAGAAGCGTAGACGGTTAACTAGGTAGATACCCTACGATAAAGGTTTGACCGTTTAAGAGGGCCTATAGCTAGCTCAGTAGCTAAATTAGCTAGTTGAAGTTGGTGAGGTAGTATCGTATACGCAGGGCGAAACGCCTAATCAGGCAGATCAACCGGCTACTAGGGCTCCGGCTAGGTATAGTGGATGCAGGGAGGTTGGCCATAGGATCAATTCATGTAAAAATCGCTATATTTAGCTGAATTAATAGGTGTTGGTTGAGATATCTTGATTCAAAATTTTCTATTGGGGGTGGGTGTGCCGCTTGACCGGATATGCCGCTTGGCCGGGAATTACGTTAGTAAGTAGTACTTACTAACTAAATAGTAACTTCAGTTTAGTTAGTAGTAACCAGGTTAGTCAACTAAGTACGAACCTAAGTAGTAAACACCATTTGTGCACGGAGATTATGCAGGCATTTGCCCAGATCCGGTTAGTGCCTACCTAGCCGGATCGGTTTAGTCATAATAAAGAAGGGCCAACAAGAAGAAGATTGGTCCTCAGTATTCCTAGCTCATAGACAGACATGGACGCGCGTAGCCTTGCATGGAATGAACACAGTTCCAACTCGCTGACTATTGAGCCAGATCCAACTTGACTGCTCAGCTTAACCGAAAGACGACCGGTCAAATTCAAACCATTGTGATATTTCAAATCCAATCGAATCCATCCATCCGGTCTGATATGCATATTGATTGCGCAGCCGTTGGGAGAAGTATGCTTCGTTAGCGCTTTCCCATCGGTTCAATTCGGACTCGTGCTGGAAGCCTCGCCACAACCACCAAAGGAGTAAAAGCGGGTAAGCAATGCAATGTGGGTTTGCGGGATCAAGTAGATTGAGAGCCTGCAGAAAGATGGGGAGCATAGTATTCCTGAACGCCTTGAATACTGTGGATGCCACATCTTTGATCCGCTCGAAACATATCGGGTTTCCTGGGCCGTGTGGAGTGACCTCACCAGGCCACACACAAGGCACATGCTTCGGTGTTGTGTGATCTATCTGTCCCCAGGATCGCGGTGAATCACCAACCGATAATGATCGTGGCCTACCTCTAGGCTTGGTTGCAGTATCGACGGGTCTGAGCAGTGAATCGTCCAGTCCCGTCCAGTGAATGTCTGACAGCTCGATCTCAGTCTGAACAGCCTTGGTCTCGGTGTGCGACGAGCTTGTGTCGAGGTCAGAGATCGGGCCCTGGGCCTCTACTTGATCATCGTCAGCGACAAGCTCTGGACCTGCACCTTTCTCGTCTGTGACTCGCTCCTCCGACCACACTGTGAAACGAGCGCGCTTCCGTGACATCCTGAGACTCGGCACAAAGTTTACATCCATTTCCACATCGTGATAATCGCTCGGCCGATCGCCGATTGCATACAGAGCAGGCAATCGTGACCAGTCCGATTCATCAAGGGAGTCGTCCTCTCCTGGTTTCCGGATAGAGGAGGTATCCGGAAAACTGGAGTACAGTGTCGATTTCAAATCTCCGTCAGAGCCATGGAGCTGAAACAGAGCAAACCCGTTTCCGCGGCCTTGTACCCGCGGCGCAAGTGAGAGTAGCGAGTCATGGGTGCTAACTGATCTTTCCGGGGTCGTGCTGTGAGGTCTGTTCCGTTTCGACCCAAACTGGGCCTGGATTAGCGTCTCTTCATCATCTGTGTCAGGGACGTACCTGTGTATACTCTCAAATGTGTCCGCCGACAAGCGACGACAATGGCTCAAGGACCTGGGGGCGTGCGTTTCACTCTGATCTGAGCTTTGCCACCCGCTCATCTCATCTTCGATAGCTTCTTTTTCCCTTCTGGCGGCGATACTGGTCTCTGTCACCCGTAGGAGCTCGTTGAATCCCGTTCGGAGATCAGTTATCATGCTTGTGACTTCTGCTGTGAGATCCAGGAGATCTGGAAGGCGCTCGTTCTCTTCATGCTGGCGCTGTTCAAGAAGCTCAACGAAAGTCGCCCAGTCGTCACAATTCTTTTGAAACAGGGCAGCGTATGTCTCGACATCTCGAAAGCCGACAGTAAGTGAGTCCTCCAACCGACGCGTTTGCAGGTCCATCATCTCCACCTCAAGAGTGAGATCCTTCTCCCTCGAAGCCGCCTGTGTTGTGATTCTGCTATTCGCTTCTTTCAATTTTTGATTGGTCTCGGCCAACAAACTCATGAAGCTTTCGTTGCGCTCCTCGGCCACAGCCATCTTGGACATGGATTCTTCCAATCTAGCGTTCTCTCTTTCGACTGTTCGGGCGCGCTCTTCCGCTCTGGCGACGGCCATCTCGGCCTCATCTAGTCGAGCGTTCAAATCATCGTTCTGCCATTGCAACTTACGAACCTTGGTTTTCGCAGCCTCATGCTGGGCAGCTTCGTCTCCACAAAGCTGCTGAAGTTCCAAGCGGGGTATGATTCGCAGGAGGTCGAGGGCTTGCTGTTCTTCTAGAGCGGCAGCTCGCTCGCTGCCTTTGGATCTGGCATTTTGTGATGACGGCGTGGGATCTGATGTCCCCGGAACTTGATCGGATGCCATGGCGAAGGTACGGTGAGTGAGGCTCTGAATTGGTGCTGCTCGATGCGCTCGAGGAGACTTGTGGTGATTAAATGGGGTTCCATCAGATATGGTGTTGGAGAAAACACATTCAGATTTCTCTCTCTCTCTCTCTTTACTTCTCACCGTGAGTGGGCTCGGAATCTAAATCTAAAATAGTAAAAATGAATGGGTCTTCGAGTCTCCCGTCATCTCTCACTCAATGCCATTGTTCACAAAGAACTTCCCAACAAGCCGCTTTGAATACAATCCTTTGAGCATTTGATTTTTGAAACACATTGTGACTGGAATTGAACTTGTCTGGCCAACGTTCTCAGTATGCAAAATTTCCAATTGATGAGATGCTTGAGGATTTGTCAAATAATACACAGGACAATGCAGGCTTTGACCTTTTCAGCTGCACAAGAGTTGGAGACTCAGTTCACCCCTTCTAGATACCGCCCGATGAAAGACCGAAACATTTAGTTCCCAGTGAAACAGAATGCGATTGAGACTCGCCTTGATTCCGACTGTGGTTCCTCGAAATAGGCACAACAGCGCTACACAAAGAAATACTCGGCTCATTGACCACAACCTTATCGCAGTACCTTACTTGCCTCCCCCTCCCATACTGGCATGTGATGTGAAGGCGAAGCTCCAACACCGCGACTCATAGCTCAGAGAAATACTTCCTGCAAATGGAATTGGCGTAGTTTATCAACGAAGTACAGCTCTGCAGCTTTGCCTTAAATTGAGATTCGCTAGACGCGAGTCAATGCGGGAGTTGCTTATAGTGAAATAATACAGGGAGTGACGAACGCGCCACAGACAAAATTGGAAGCTTTGAAACGAAGCAAAGTGCCATCTGCCTCGCTTGGAGATTCGCCACCGAGTGCCCAGGAAGGAATTACCTCGGTGCCTACTTGCTCGATGAAGTTTAGTTGGTTGTTGAGCGTGTCCCGGATTTCAGACCACAACAGAGTCAGACTTGGCTCTGCAAGTTGCGCACATTTTTGTTGTAGCTGATGTTGTCGAGGACTAGGTACCTGTACTGGCAACGAAAAGCTCACCGGGAGCTTTGAATGCATTAAGTCGTAATTTTGAACCTATCTCTCAAGGGCCTAGTATATCTCAACTTCGTCAGTCACAAAGTTGTCTAGCATGGCAGACAGTGCATCATACCTGATTGAAATAGAGTCTATCCTCGAGAAGAGCCCTGTTCGACAGGTCATGCGATCTCAAAGCCAGTGTCAATAATATCTCAAGAGTCGCTGCCCAGAGTCCAGTCGCAGTGGTTGCCACGCGGACTGGCCAGGTATCAGCAGTTACCAGCAGCGCTAAACAAGCGGCTGACAACCGCCGTTACAACCGGAGCTTACTGGCCTCCAGGCTGAAAATCTGGCTTTGTGGCTCTTTTGAAAGGCTAGCGCAATACCTCAGGATGTTTTGACTCTAAAGCAGGTTGCGGCGTCTGCGGCTTTCGCCCAGTGATGGAGATGGAAGGCCCTATTCTCGAATCATAAGGCGAGGTATCTGGCCTACAGGTTCAGAGATGGATTCAACTTGGCATTTCCAAGGACTGGCACGAGTCGGCTCGCTGAAGATGTGGTTTGATTGGATTTCTTATCGAAAAACGGACCCGAGTACGTGCTGCTACCAGCTGGAAATTTGACACCATTAAGTTGTCTCAAGAGGAGTATTATTCGGGCAATGGTATTAACCTGAAGTGGTCTAACATGCTTTTTCAAGGCAAAGCATAGCCAGAAGTATTTGCTCAAGTCTACCCAGCCGCTAGATTCCCAGAAAACGCTTGTACTGCCCGAAGGACGGTACATGTAAATGAAGCTTCTAACTCACTGAGGAATGTTGGAAGAAGACTGCTCCAAACCGCTCCCGTGGATCTGATTGACTTGGAGACTATTTCCTCGCCTTGTGGGCCATCTTAGCACATACAGATCGCTTTGACTGTTCATATTCCGGCACCTGTCACCTATTTCGCTCTATGGCCGGACTAGTTTGCTTCAACCTGACGCCATTGGGTTGAATATACAGCCATGATCAATTGCTATAGTGCTCAACCCAAGGTGAAAAATTTCGTCTATCAATGCACAAATATGCAGTCAAGCCATCAATGCAAAGTCCCTATCTTCGCGAATAAGTAACGTCATTGCGAGCCCCACAACGCGTCAAGCAGAATATCGACTGCGTGGTAGCATCCGACTTCCTCAAAGCTTAGCGCTCTTCTTCTTGCCTGTCACGTTGGCGATTTCCTGACCGGAGAGAAGAATGTCGGGATATTGAACCTTGCCGTTACCCGCAGAACCGGCAGACATTCGCCAGCTGGCGCCGTCCACTATGAGATTGGGTTGTCAGATCATGCATTCTTTCGTTGCTCGCGATCAAACCGCAGGAATTGATTAGGTGTTGCTCCGTATCACGTACCAACCAACGTCTGACCCGTAACGTAGCTCCCAGTGTCAGAGAACAGATAGACAGTTGCATCGGCAATATCACGAACGTGTCCGACACGGCCAAGGGGCTGCGACTTGATATAGGTGGCCTTGGTGTCGGATGGGAGAAGCCGATCCAGTCCCTGTCCAGCCGGTTAGCTTTTGGGACCCACAGTATAACTGCCATTTGGCCCTTGATGATGGAGTTCTCACCTCCGTTGAGGCGATAGGTCCAGGAGCAATGATGTTCGAGGTCACGCCACGCGGACCATACTCGATGGCCACAGTGTTAGACAGGGCGTCAATACCGGCCTTGGCCACCGAGACATGGGCTTGGAAGGGTGTGCCGCGGTAGTGAAGCGTTGCGCTGACGAAGATGATTCTACCGCCTGTGCCGGCGGGCGCTGGTTTCACTGTGATGGGTCGTTTTTGTCAGCATTTCGGTTTCGCTCTCAAGGTTGGGATAGACTTACGTGTCTCTGGATCGATACGATGCTTGCCACCAGACTCAACCAAGTGAGGGAGTGTGGCCTTCAGGGTGTTGTATGAACCAATCACGTCAATATCCATGACTGATTTGAAAGCGTTCACGGAGAGCTGTTCAATCGAGGCCAGGAAATTGCCAGCAGCACCGGCACTAGAGTGGGCAAGACATAGTAGTATTAGCACCGGCACGAATGATGCCGAGACCTTCGGTTCACGGTCAATCGCTCAAGCATACATCACAAAGTCGATCGCACCGAGCTCGGTCACACAGCGGTCCACAGCCTTTTTCAAGTCGTCGTATTTACGGACGTCGACAGCACCAATGCCAATGACTTTGGCTCCGGAGCGTACGGTAGCAATATCCCGAGCTACTCGCTCGGTCTTTTCAACATTGCGACCAATAATACACGCATTAGCTCCCAGGTGGACTAGAGCACGCACTTGCGCACTGCAGATTGTTCCCGCGCCACCGGTACAGAAGACGACTTTGTTGGCTGCGCAGATGTGTCAGTTATGTCCTGGCTTGTCATTTGGGGAATTCCTGGAGGGGGGAAAAAAGGGGGTGTCCATACAAAAAATGCCATCTTTCCAGGTGTCGCTCAAATAATCCGTCTTGGCCAGAGGCATGATGAGAGGTAGAACTGGAAGGGCGTGGAGAAGATGTTCGATAGAAATATAAGACTGTGGCTCTAGATGGCTCTACTAGGAGGATTTCCAGATGGTTTAGAATGAACGGTGAGGTTGATGTGTCAAGCAACAACGCGAGTCGATGGTGTTGCGAATAATGCGGAGGTGAACTTTCCCCGTTGCCCTTTTTCCCCACGCCGATGGGGGAAATTGAGCCTCGGCTCGGTCGGGAAAGGAAATGTAATCCGTAATTCGCTCAATCGGGCAAGAAGTTGATAGTTCGATCAGTACAGTAGTAGTGGGTAGGTGCTTCATACCGCATTTTTGCTTAAGACAAGAGAAGTCGAGGACTTCAAGATATTCTTTCTAAGAACGAGGGATAAAATCTACAAATAGTCACAAGACACCTACAGAGTCAAGTTGCTAACTCCAGTCGAGTCACTAGCCTTTTACATAAATCTTCTGCGTCGTCTAAGCCAAGAAAAGTCCATGATGGAACCCTCGAAGGGCGAAGATGGTCTCGGTCGCCATTTGTTCATACGAGAGGAGAGAGGAGGTAGAAGAAAAGGCGAATACTTCGCACTGACCCTGCCTCCAGCATTCTACAACATCAGAGTATTTCCAGCAATCCAGCTCGCTCGCCAACTCAATACTGTCTCTCTCCTCTACCCGCCATTCAACACGTAAATGCTCCAGACCAGAATGGAGGCTCTCATTGGGTCTATCGCCACTGATTGGACGGCGCGTGCACGTCACCACCGTGCATCCGCACCTCGTCTTTCTTCTACCTGAGCCACTTCCATTATTTTCCGCAGCATTCACCATCTTCCCGCTCATCGCGGTCCATCTATCCAATTGTGACGACTCGTCAGCACACACCAATTCCCTGCGCCATCTTCTGCGTCGTATCCAGACGCGAGTCTGCTCCTGACCACCCGGGCGCAAGGCTCTCTCTCTCTCTCTCTCTCTCGTTGACGTCATGGCCTGCCCGATCACCATCTCCAAGTTTGTCGGCACCGTGTCGCTGGGCCTCTTGACTGTAAGACCTGAAATTCACTAAGCAGACTCCTTACATATCCCTCCTCCCCCAACTGAAAAAGGATCCAACGACTGATCCGAATGATACAGGGCCTCTCCTACGCCACGACAAGCATCACCCTCCCCGCTCTCCAACTGCTGCCCACCTCCATCACCGCCGCCCGCAGCTTCAATGAAGTCAAACGGCTCAGTCGCGCACAAGTTCTGCGCCTCTCCAGCCTCGCCAACACCTGTCTCCTCTTCGCGTACTATGTCTCTCCTCCGCGCCGACAACACCCTTTCATGATATGGATGTGTCTGGCGTCGACGGTCGGCGCTTTTGGTCTGGATATCTTTGCGAACAGACATCTGGGCTTGAAGGGCTGGGTGTGTAGTACTATTCGCGATACTACGTGTTTGTCGCTGGGTGGAGCTGGCCATGGCCATAGCAATGGCAAGAAGGAGGAGGATCTGGTGGTGGTTGAGTCTGAGGAGGATGTGAATGGGGAAAGTGTTCGCGAGGAGATGAAGATGGAGCGTTGGCTGCAGCGTGCGAGGACTTGGATTGTTGGAGTGGGCTTTGCTATGGGCGTGGTGGGACTTTGGGGGGATAAGAAGTAGAGATGAGGAGTGAGAACTATGACGAGTGTGGGGACTTGTGGGGAGTTCTCATATCAGTTTGTTCCGAAGGCGGAGTTCGGAGTTTCTGAGTCTGAGTGCTTGGGGGGGTAAGCATGGCAGGTAGCAGGCCAAAGTGCCTGCCCGTCTTGCGACCTAGCACGCTCCCGATTCATTGATTGTCTACCACCTTAATTATGGGCGTTCAGCTGACGATTCGATCCGGAAGTGGATTTGAGGGCAGGGGGATATATCCTATACTGAAATATCTCTCAATGCAAATCTCAGGTTCTTTCGTAGTCACACGTCGAGCCAAGCCAAGTCATCACTTATGTCCGATTTTTACACATGATACCACCCACGCACATCCAGTATCTGCATCTCATCGACCACGCAAAACTCCCCAACCTCCCGACGATCCGGCGACCACCGTGCCCACTGAACAATCTTCTTGCGGATCGCACTCTCCTTGAAATACGAAAACGTCGTCCAGCGACGAATCCGATTCCACCACAACCCCTGCAGCACTGACCGCGGCGTCAACCAGTTCAGCGCAGGGTTAACCGCAACATATGCCGCGGTCGTGTAGCCGACGCGAACACGGGGGTTCAAGTATATTCCATGATCTTTGGACAGGGGATTATCCGCGTGGATGAGACAGCACTCGGATGCCTCGAGATGATACGACGCCAAGGAATCGGGTATACCACGGAAGCGAAGAGGCGGGCTGGCGAGGAAAGGCGCAGCCGCCATGGCAACTGGGATTTTATGCGTATTAGTCTAGCGAGCGAGGGCAACACAACAGAAAAAATAAAACAGCCTGAGCTTCGTGATGAACCAAGATAAGGACAGCTTGCTTACCCATTCCATTCCAGCAACTTTTGACCGGCACGGGCTGCAGCTGTTTCATTGCGCGACGTGACGACGCATCGCGGAAGAATGGCCATATGGAAGTAACAGCCTCATGGCCTTGAGAATCGCGAAGTGCGAAAGTGTCATAATAAAACGGGGGCTTTTGAAAGTCCAGTGAACATGCCGCCGCATAGTCCCCATGATTGGTATCCAGGAGCTCTAGTACATCATTGGACTGCAGAAAATTTGCTTTCAGCCTCAAATTTTCCATCCCAGGTGCGTACTTGACGGAGCTCCAAAATATTACTTCCTTTGGGTAGGAAAAGAAAAGAAGGGAAAAGAAAAGAACAGGTGTGCTAGGCACTCACCGTGAAAACAACATCATTCAAAAACAATATCTTATCAAAATGGATTCCCTGCTTCGCCAGCTTCCGCAGCGACTCTAAACTATGATTCCGCACACGCGACAAGTACGGAATCCGTCTCAGCTCTTTCTTCCCCCGAGGCGTGACGACCCATCCCTCACCGTCCGGGGGTGCAGCAATCTCGTCCGCGTGACTGACATAGGACAGCGTGATATTCCGGGGTACTCGGAGCTGTTCGAGTTCGGCGTCGAGCTCGACCAGTGCACCTTTGGTATTGTCGTAGCTTCCACTTTCGTAGATACTGATGTAGATGTTTTCGGGGCCCAATCGCCAGGAGAGTTCGGTGATGGCTTTGCTCAGATGATTTCGCAAGAGGTATTCATTGTTCCAATTGACCATTGCGATGTAGATTCGTTCTGTCTGACGGGGTTGGTCTCGGTAGACGGCGTCTGTCTCGCCGACCAGACGTAGGATGAAGTGTAGGTCGACCAAGTTCCATAGTATCAAGACGACGAGCAGGGTTCGGATGATGCGATGGCGGAGCAAGGCACGGCGAATCGTACGTGAGTAGGATGTGAGAGGGTTCTTCATCGAGTCGGAAGGGTTGATATAGCAAGAAAGGAATGGACGTCACAACGTGCGACTTGAAGCGTATGTCGGTCACCGTCCCAATGGGCAACTGAGGTATAGCGTATAGCGCATGATGAAGGAAAGACAAGTCAAGCTCTATTGAACAAAGTTCGGAAGTGTTCGGGATGGGGGGAGGGGGAGGGGGAGGGGGGAAGGGGGGTGCGAGGTACGCATGGGCAAGGAGAGCGAGCGAGCGTGAAAAGCGAGTTGGGGACAATTGCGGATACTTGGGTGCAAAGTGCCCAGAATTCCAAGGCTTCAATAGTTGGGCGGTTTCCGAGGGAGGGAGGGGCACATTCTACAAATTGATCGGATATTAGGGGGTTGGAATTTCAAGGGGGGGGGGTGATTTAGGTAAGAGCTTTGTTTGCTGGTATCTGTGGTCTTTCTTTGGAGTCTCCTTTTCCTTGAGAGGAAGTGAGGCCTTGCTTTCATACTTCGGGCGACGCAGGGGAGATCTCCCGCGGGATGAGATCTGATCTACACAAGCCAACGACGCGATGGAAATCTGGGGGAGCAGCATGGCCCGACCTACGTATCAGTCAAGGGCGGTATGCTCGTATCGCCCATAGCGCTCGATTTAAGGTCATGGTCGACGAGTTTGGTGCAATATTGAGAAGAGGAAGAGATGCATTAAGAAATTGATTAGCCTGGCCGAGTAGAGGGCAACAGAGCCGAAGAGACTGAAAGAGAAAGAGAAAAAATAAAATAAAATGAAAAAAAAGAGAGAGGAGAGAGAGAGAGAGAGAGAGAGAGAGAGAGAGAGAGAGAGAGAGATCTTGATCAGGTCCCAAGGTGGAAAGAGACGAGAGTTGGGCCCTCGTCAACGGGATTTGACACACCCCTGACGAGCGGCGTTTTCCATTCATGCTCCCGGGCCGCATCATCAGAACGCGTGTAGCAGCGCCGTCAGGGCGGCACCGACAGTCGCAAAGAGCAGCATCGTCTCCTTGCGGGACGCAGCACCCGTGGCACTCGGCGAGGCGCTGGCCGACTGCGTCTGGGTGCCGTTCTGCAACCACGGCTGTCCCGGCAGTCGATCGGAGCTCTTGTCGACCTCGGCGGCACTAAGCAGTTTGTTCTCCAGCGACGCACAGTCCACGCGCTCGTCGCTCTTGGGAATGCTGTTGGTCACGGAGATGGGAAAGTCAAAGACGGTATAGTAGTCTGTGCCGTTCCAGCGGAAGGATTGGTGCATGGAGATGTTGTATGCGCCTCGCGCGGACCCGTCCTTGGTGGAGGAGCCGTCGCCCACCAGACAACTGGGCCACACCCAGTTGACGTGCTTTACGGTGGACGAGGGCTCGAGGTCCAAGACCGGACCGACATAGCCAGTCCCGTTGTGCGCGGGCGTGGTGCCATTGGAGATGGTGAAATTATGTGATAGGGTCTCCGAGGTCAGGAACAAAGTGATGTTGTGAAACAGTGTTGGTGCGTCGGGAGACTGGGTGGAGGGCGGCCATGAAAGCTTGCCATTGCCCGAGACGTCAATTGCAACCTGGAGATTCTCTGCTCGAAGCGGGAGAAAGCATACGCGTCAGTCAGTCTGGATGGGGAACTTGTCTATTGTAGGAAGCATTCCAAATGTGATGGAGCATCCCAAGGTCTCGTGTCGGTGGGTGCATTGCAGTGCAGTGGCAGTGATGGAGATATGCTTACGTCCTCCAAGAGTCGTGTACGGCTGTGGGGCGTCGACGATGGCGAGGCCCGGCGTATAGAGCTGGCCGTTGAAGAGGGTGAAGTCGCCCATGATGAAGATGGATTGTTTTTTGAGCAACATTGCAACAAGCGAGAGACGATTCTTCTGTGAGAGATGTGAGCTTCTCCAGCTACAGAAGCAAAAGATCAGTCTCACTTTGGGGCCGTATCGTTCTCAGCCCCCACCCTCACAGGACCCCCATCCACACATCATGTGGCCGCTTAGTGGCATCCATTCTCGCACCCCCTGCTGGTATCCATGTTTATTAAGAGTGGACGACGACGGCATTCTGACTCGAGAGGAGAGACCCAGAACCGGCACTGGCACTGGTAAGTTGTAACACACTATATGACTGGGGGAAGAACCTCATTTCCGCGCATCCGCTTTTCCCCCTTGGCGTTTTGGGTCGAATGGATTCGGTTCATTTCGGCTACGCCTAGCGCAGGTTGTCCCAGCTTGATCCAAGTACTACTCGACTTGAGTCGAAGGTCAGACTCCCAGTAGTAGTAGTAGTAGTAGTAGTAGTAGTAGTAGTAGTAGTAGTAGTAGTAGTAGTAGTAGTAGTAGTAGTAGTAGTAGTAGTAGTAGTAGTAGTAGTAGTAGTAGTAGTAGTAGTAGTAGTAGTAGTAGTAGTAGTAGTAGTAGTAGTAGTAGTAGTAGTAGTAGTAGTAGTAGTAGTAGTAGTAGTAGTAGTAGTAGTAGTAGTAGTAGTAGTAGTAGTCGTAGTCGTAGTAGTAGTAGTAGTAGTAGTAGTAGTAGTAGTAGTAGTAGTAGTAGTAGTAGTAGTAGTAGTAGTAGTAGTAGTAGTAGTACTAGTTACTGTCAAGCCAAGCAAATGCCAGATCTCGCGGACTTCTAATGGTGCATGACCGAATATGAAAAGATTGACGAAGCAGGAGAGATTGCACATCCCCGGAAACCCCTCCACGACCAGACGCAACGAAGACCCTGTCCGAGCCAGCCACGAATATTGCATTGCGCTGCAATATGTGATTCAAACCTCTGAAGGCAATCAATAATACTTAGGTGGCTAGCGATGAGGAACACTGCAGGTATGGACCTACGAGGTACAAAACTGTCAAAGCACAAAGGTCAAGTCGAGCCCCCAACCCGCTCCTCCACACCACACCCACGGATCACGGAGCCTGCAGTCCGGTCCGCCTATTGTGCTCTTGAGCGATGAAGGTGAAGGAAAGAATGAAAATTGGGGGAGAGAGGATGGGGGGGGGGGGGGGGGGGGGGGAATAATTCAATATCTTATAGGTATCAGGTAGGCCCCCTTGTGTGGACGAGCTTTCTTTCATGAATGTAGATAGATGATGTCCCGAGATTATCAATAAAGTCCATGTGCTCTTCTACATCAGTCTGACTCTCTCTCCGTCATGATAACTTTAGAGCGTTAGATCCAATGTGCCATTGAACCAAAGGAGAGTCAGACAAGAACGAAATGGATGAATGTAAAGATGCCAAGTCAGCAATTTGAAGAAAGCCGAACATCCTGAATCAGGGCAGAGAGAGAGAGAGAGAGAGAGAGAGAGAGAGAGAGAGAGAAAGATATGAGAGGTGGAGGATTATTATATACAATATGCATCACATTTGCAAAATCGCTGTAAATGATGGTATAGAAGATGGGGGTGGAAAGTGGAAGAGAGCGTAAATCACAATGCTTTTCGTGGTCGGGCCTCGCCTCGTGAGTCCCACTGGTTGTGCTGAACGGCTGACCCTTTTTGGACCCCCTGAGGCTTGAAATGAAAACTCTGTCATGTGCTTCGCGTGGAGAATGCTATGACCGGATTAATTTGGGCGTATCTCTTGGCGCAAATGTACATCGCTTGCCCGTACCGAGACAATGGGGAACGCCCGTCTCAGATATGCAGAACAGCCCGGGGACATGGTCTGTGACTCTGTTCAACACCCAGTCTCGTCGGTCATACGGCATCCCCAGACGCCTTGTCCTCGAACAGCCTGGAGTCCATCCTCTCCGGTGCCCCACTAGGCACAGGGCCATCCGGCGTCGACGGGGGCGACGGCGCGGCCTTTTCATCCGTGCCCTTGGGTGTCGTGGGTGGAGGGGAAGGGGTGAACCAAAAGCTCGGATACCGACGATGCATATTGTTGTTGAAGAGCAGCGCACAGAACATCATCAAGGTGGACGAGAGCAGGACGATGGGCAGGTAATACCACGAGAGCGCCCAGATCTCCATGCTGGTGGCGGGCAGCAGCGCCGTAGCACCGGCGGGCGGGTGGGTGGTGCTGGTGAGTTGCATGACCACGATGGCGGTGGAGGTGGACAGGGAGGCGGCCAGCCAGCGGAGAGAATCGAAGCGCTCCTGGTCGGGCATCAGGCTGAACAGTTTGGTGATGCATAGGCCGGTGAGGGCGCTGAGAAAGTGGCCGAAAATCAGGGAGCGCGGCTGAGCGAGGGGACTGTCAATGGCGCCGAAGACGAGCACCGCCGATGCACCCTGGGTGGTGGATTCAGGTCAGCGCGTGTCGTCGCTCTATGGGCAAGAGAGGAGAGGGAGACGTACATAGGAGGCGATGATGCCGGGCACATGGCGCGAGGTGAAATAGTGGGAATAGTTAAAAATCACTTGGAGGACGGTCAGGCCGGCGAAGGCGGAGATAAATGACCAGGCATTCGTCTTCCACATGGGCAGCGGGCCCGGAGGCTTGGCCCGATAGCCTAACCAGTGACTGATCCACGGTGGCAGACGCGCAAGCCGTGATTGTGACATTTGGAGCGGATGCCGTGGAGGAAGATCTGGCGTTGAACCGGGCAAACAGTACTTGTGGTACAACGAGGACGTGGTGGTCCTGTAGTTAGGTACCTAACTGCCAGGAGTGGACCTACGACCGAGGTACTAGCAAAGAAGAGAATTGCAGGGATCTGTTCCAATGACTCCAGCGAGGCTCAGGCGGGGTGCAGGGTTTTAGCAAGGACAGGGGATGAAGGTGAGTCGGTAGGAACAGGGATTGCGGTCGAGGCACAACAAGTGACCAGACGATAAAGCATGTGAGACTTTCTCGGGACAGGGGTCTAGTGTCGTAATGGGAGAAGAAGAAGGGTGGAAGTCCCATCAGCCTTACACTGGCGTCATCGCAGCTTATAAATTCAAACAAGAAACGACAATCCCGAGGGCAGAAAATCAATCACCGAAGGGAAGGAGAGAAAACAAAAACAGAGAATCGAGGGACCGGGTGAATGCAGATCATCCAATGATGAATGACGCTGTTGGGGGGAGTTCTGGTGCTGACCACCGCGTGGTGAGGAGAACGCGCCCGATCGTGCGGAGGTTTGGGACGATGGAATCGAGTATCTTCCAGCCTGCGGACTCGTCGACTGGTCGCATGCCAGAGTGCAGCAACGTGAGAAGAAAAGGGCTCGATCCGGCCTCGGCACGTCAGCCGGTTTTCCGTGGTGGGGCAACGGGCCCTTCCAGTTGGCTTCGGTGGCAGGTGGATGTCCATCACGCTTCCCATTACCAATGACGATGACTCAACCAGACCGTTTCTCCAACTCGTGCGGGGAACCAGGAAACCCCCCCCCCCCCCCCCCCCAAAAAAAAGTGTCTGCGCAAGGGGGAGAATTGTCGCATACTCTTATCGCACATGGCCTACGTCTTTTGCGATAGATGCGACGTCTGTGTGGATTGATCCCTCCACATATAGTTTGTACAGGTGGACGATCGGTCATCTACGACATCTTCTGGTCGAGCGGTACGGGACATGAAGCTGAAGGAGAGTAGGACGAGGGAGTCGGAGTACGCGAGTTGATCGCGGGTCAGAGCTGCAAGGGTCCGGGTTGTTGTGCGGGGGAAGAGAGCATGCGGGGGTGATCGAATCCTGGTGATTGGCGTCGGAGCTGGCCGTCCTCGGTTCTTCACCTGAATCCTATTGTAGAGTGTCGACTATAGAGTATCCCCGTACACGTCCGAGTGAGCAGGACCTCCTCCAACACCATACGAATCGATTTATCGAACCTTCATGTGAACAGGTTTACGAAGGTGCGCCTTCCGGGGGAAAACGCACCGTTGCCACGAGGAGTTCCAAGGACCAGTGCGAGGAGAAGAGGTAGTACAACATGTTCAACTGATCAGGTGCTCAGACCAAGCAGCGTGGCTGTGCATCAACCAACCTTCGACGGACAATGTGAGACTCGCCCAATGCCCCCTTCATCACAAGCACCAGATCATCAACTGCACTCAAAAACATCAAATACGCAGTCACAGCCACGCAGAACCGGCGATAATTCTCATCCCGGATCAAGTCCGTACTCAGCTCGATCTCAACCTGATGAACTTGCCAAAACTCACAGGTGCGTTTGACCAGTGGCGTCGGCAACACTTCCGGCAAGGGATCTCCAGTCTTCAACGCCTGCTCCACGACCCCCAGAACGGCCATGATGTCGCCGATGTTGCGATGATCCAATAGCCCCATGCGTCGCGCGACCATCGATTGAAAATGCTCCGGCAGGGAACTGGACAGGTACAGTAGCCTCCCCAGGTGGCGGTTGAGCTCGTAACAGATGGTCTTGACCTGGGTGAGCGTTGCACTGTCAAAGGGGGAGCTGGAGAATTCGAGACGGAGGAGTGCGACGGGACCATCGAGGGCGGAGAGCGACTCGGCAAGGCCAAGTGCGAGTCTTTCCGCAACCAGACCTTCTTCTCGCTGGGGTTGGCCCCAGCATGAAAGCAGAAGTGCATAGTGATCGGAAAGAGAGCGAATCACGTTGGACATTGACTTGCAGATGTGTCGTGCGGCAGAGGGGGGGTCGAGGCAACACTTGGACGATCAGAGCCGCCCCTGCGCCGATGAGAACGAGTAAGAGCCTACGCCAAAAGACGTTATATCCCCATCCAGGATTGCCGTAACTTGGAATATGACTGTCTCGGGCCCACATGTCAGAGCATCCGCGGAAAGATCTCGGGCAAAGAAGAAGTTGTGGGCGCGGGCAGAGGCCAAGGGGGATGTAACTCACGTGTCATCAAAACTATAGCCAATGATCAGAATGCAGGTTGCACCACCCATGATCGTCGCTGACAACAACGCGGGAGATGCAAAGATGCGTCCCCACATGAGCAACACTATAACGACGGCCATCACTGCTGCCAACCCATAGGAGTTCCCCGGGCCATTACCAGAGCCGATATACCAACCGACCAGGCCAGCAACTCCACCAACGATCGTACCGATGAAGCGAGAGGCAATCGACAATGTGAAGTCGGACATGTAGATCACCAGCGTGGTTTGGCCCATGATCAACGCCCAGAGACCCTTTTCGCGGTAATAGAGCCCTGCACTTGACGGGATCACCGCAGGGATCGCGAGTGCAATGGTCACCACGACCATACGCAGTGCGTACATGCCGTCGGCATTGATGAGCCAGTGGTACGTTCCAAGCACAATTCTCCCGAAGCCGCTGCGTCGACGGACTTTAAACCCTCGACTCATATTGAGGCTCTCCTGGGCTGCCTTGGACTGTTCTTCAATCACATCGGGATCCACATCTGTAGATTGCGCAGCAATGACAGGGGCGACCGCAGATTTACGAAACACCCAATTAACCGCATACCGTAGCCCGCGCGGAAGCCACAGGCGCACTCGCGTCCGTGCCTTCATCAAAGCGACAACTTGGTCCAAGACTTTACACCAGGCATCAACGATGACCAGAATTTGTTCTTCAAAGACCATGCCACCCGCAATTCCTCGCACTTTGTGCATGGTGGCCTCATCTGTGGACTTGAGCTTTCCGCTCTCGTCGAAGATGCCCGCCGTTGACTGAATAACACGCTCGGTGGTTTCTACCGCGAAGGAAGCGCGCAGCGTTTGTAGCGTACTCAAGTGAGTCTCGCAACGCTGCAGAAGATCAGCCATTTTTGACTCGGATGCTTTGCCAAACCACCGTGATGCATTAACTGCATGGATTGTGTTCGCAACTGATGCGATGGCTTCTTGACAGGCCGGCAGGATTTCATTGCAAGGTTTTCGAAGAGCTTCGAGCATATCCTGCCTCAACGCTTCATGTTCGGGCGAAGTGAAAGCTCTGACTAGACTGAGACTTTCGAGCAATTGACGTCTGCCTGCCTCCCAAGGCCGCGCCTTGCCTTCACTCTTGTCTGACATCTTCTCGGCGGGGGTGATCTCGGAATCCAAATCCGAGTCCGCCATCATGCCGCGAAGTCTCTCGAGCTTTGCTTCTCCTCCCAGGCGAGCGATATGAAAATCCAGGAGGGAAAGACTGCTCAAAGCAGCTCGTCGAATCGGCTCCTTGAGACTTCTGACGTCTTCAGCATTCCATCGACTCACGGAAAAGTCTAATTGCAAAAAGGCTAATGCTGGCTCATTTCTTTGCCAGAGGGCAAGAACCTTCATCTTGAGTGCCTGGAGCTGCTTCATATCCAAGTGCTCTGCGTTGATTAGACTGCTCACGGTTGCATCCAGTGGACCTTGGAGTAGTCGAACCACGGCTTCCATTCCTTCAAGTACAACATAGGAAGTCGACGTTGGAAAGAACAAGATGTTGCAAACCAAACCAATACCGATTCCAATAGCCGCGGGCTCTATGAGGATCTTGGGAAGAGTCCCATTGAAGGTCGGCAGAAGGGGCCCAATGGTTATAAAAATGTCCATGATGATGATGCCAAAAATTTGCGTCAAAGCGAATTTAGGATTCTTGGCACGGATACGAGACTTTACTGCTTTGTCAGTCACTGCCTTGAGACGGGAACGTTTTGGGAGTTTGATCTTACCAAGACATAGACAAGAAAGCAAATCAAACAGAAGTAGACCGCAGATACGCGGGCGTCCAGCATGGCTCCCTCGTAGATTAGTTGACTTTGGACCACAGTCACAGGCTGACCACTAGATTTGGCCAAGCTGGCTGCTTGTTGACCGAGGGCTTGCAATTGCCCCTGGGTGGCAGCTGCAGGTCGTGCAGCCAGCGCGGCTTTCATGACAATAACACCCCATGCCCAGCCGATGCCCATACCGACAACGAGGGTCAATGTCCCAAGAAGAAAGATGAATACAATTCCATTTGGAGGCACCATAAACAAAACCAGACTGAACACTGAATTAGTACCATATTGAGGGCTTGCGCCATGGACAAAAACGTGACTTACGTTGCGAAGAATGAGGCCGTGCCAATGGTCTGAAGCGTGGGACTAATGAATATCAACAGCGAAGCGACCCATGCCGCCACGGAGCATCGAAATAGAACCTTGAGGTCCCGGGCATTGAAATGATCCAGCCATGCGGGCAATTTCTTGCCTGCTGGCGAGGTTGAGGCTTTGATCGGTGATGCCTCGGTGGCTTCCGAGCTAATCGCTGGAGCGGCCGCCTCGTGGGTGGACCTCGCCATGACGCAGCTTCTCCAAGTTCTCTTTCTGGAACAGACTTGAGGCGCTCTACAGCGACTTCTGTCACAAGTTGAAGAGGCTCCGCGTCACGATCTCCGTGCTTTTTTGAACAGGGGCATCGTCACTTTGTCCGAAATGCAACCTTGGTTTCAAAAGTCTCAGTGCTGAGGTAATATCGCATTGCCTCGGGTTCCGACCCGATCTTGGCATCGACCACCGGATCGGCACTATCGAACTTGCGGAGCCAATGAATGTTTGACCTTGAAGAATTGAGTTTGTCACCACATTTCCCACGGGTGAAGGCTCAAGTGCATACAGCCGCATTGGTTGTATTTCTCGCAAAGAGTACGCTCTCTTAATGCAAAACGTTGCAACTGCCACGGCTTCACGAGACGCCTTGCACGTCTGTACAGGATGACTTTGGCGATCTATAACATGTAATCACAGCGCATGTGACAGCGGGTAATTTCTCGTCCCACATGTTGAGGAACCAATGTTCCTGCTAGCCTCGTGGGGCATGTTGTAAGATCGACAACCACTGAACCTTGGTAAACGGTTTGTATTCGATAGATAGGGGCTGCGATGTCTGACGTGCATGAGCCGCTGAATCAATGCAAATCTCCGTATGCTCCAGTGACGACTTCCATTTGCGGGTCGCGATGCAAGAGAGACCTGGTGAAATGGACGAGATCAAGACGTCAAGATATATTGATGGGAGTATGCTACCTTACCGTCTCGAGATTTTATCACCCATTCACCGCTGGAACAGATGAGAGCAAATTAGTCACGTGACGGCAGGTTTCGAATCCCTGTACAAGGCTCGAGATAATAAGGTTAAGCCCGGCATGACGCCCGTCCGCATGCCTTAGGTACGTGACGATCCCCAGCTCGGATGGTGGAGGGAGTGGTACTAGTTACCAGGTAGACGGCTTTGGGTTTAGGTAACTCACCAATTAACCTCTGGGACAATCCAGTGATCACGAGCAGCGTATTTGTACCTCGAGTGCAGGTGGGATGTCTCCATTTCATGTCTTGGTCTTTCCCGGATAACGAAGAAAAGATACACAATTCTAGCGTAATATGGGTCGAGTGGAACATGAAGTGACTCGAGACCTCGATATATAAACGAAACTGAAGGGTGCCGACCACCTGCCTGCATGCAGGTGGATCAGTGCACACGAGCAGTAAATGTAATTGATATACTGCCACGGACATGAGCATGGTGATATGCTGACTTCAAGCCCGAGGCTGGATTCAAGAGCGAAATGAAACGAGATGGAACAGATGCACTTTGATGCTATGGATGTGCCAGGTAATATCAATCATAATAGGTATGAACTCGGGATGAAGAGATAATAAGGCAGGTCATGCAGTTGCTTAAGATATGCTTTCTGATGTGACAAGCTAGGCCGATGGGTCTATATGAAGGGAGACGATCTCCGGTAACTGAACCTCTTGGGCCGTGGACGAGGACGGGGAGGAGCCATTCTGAGCTTGACATGATAATCGTCGAGCCTGGAACCAAAAAAACAGAGAGCAATTGGCCAAAAGACCAGACTGCGGTATAATCAAGGACCATCGAATTCTCGATCGCACCTCTTTAGATAAGAAACACAGACCCTATGGTTGGTCTTTCATTCCGTACAGGCAGATTCCCCTTGAGTAGTCAGCTTTGTCACTAGCCACAAATCCTGTCACTTGGGGATTCGATCCGCCCAGCCTCAGTTCGAGTCACTACTCCCTTAGGGTTCCTCGCTTATAACGGTATCTGTCATGAGAGAGTCATTTCAGTGTTGATTCCTCCCTTTCCGGATAACCCCGTCCTTAAGGAAGGTCGCCATACTAAAAACACCATTTCATATTTGGATTTTAGTATTCAAATCTCATGTCGAGCACAACAGGATGCATATTCCAGGGCATTTGCCTTGAATTCTGGTCCATGCGCTGGACTGTAGCTGCCCGTATCGAAGCGCACGGTCGATGACTGTAGTTTTGAATCTGTTGATAGAGTAGGACTGTAGGTGTGCAGACCTCGTCACCACATTGAGCGTTAAGGTTGGAAACATCCTTAAACGGTGGCTCAATGCTAAGGAGAGCGGTTTACTCTACCGGTGGTGTTATTTCCTCACCCAACCGACTGCTATCGTCTCCGACCTGATGCATTTTCCAACAGTGGCAAGATTGAGGGTCCCGCGTGTCTGTACCTGGATCGCTCCTTTAGGACGCGAGGCCAAGTGGTCACGACTCACCCGCGTGAATCAAGCTGACAACGAACAACGTGAATCTTCATTTCCGGCACTGCACTTTGGTGGCCTGATTTTCAAGGCATACAGTATGTGCCTGGATGACATGGCAGCAAGATCACTTTTCTGGAACACGGTCAATGCCTTCTCCACCAATTGCATAGATTCCGGCTCTTTACTCCACGGCCTCTCATAGGCTTGTCCTCGTCTGGTCTCCTGCCAGTTCCTGTAGGGACTCGGCGGACCGCCGCAAAGTTTGCGTCTGTCTTTTCTGCATGGCTTAAGAGATCCCCTAGTGAAACTTTGGCGATCTTCACCGTGGTCCGCCACCACAAAAATCGACCGCCATTCAGAGATTTGACCAGTGCGTCGGGGCTAGCGCCTCCCCCCCCAAAAAATAGTCATGAACAGAATCAGCAGCTGTTGCGAAAAAGTCTTTGCGCAGCGACTCGCGAGTCATCGGCCCGACAGTAGTCACTGTCAGACCTCCATGGTACCCTCACGTCATGGTCTTCCGTCCATGTGCTGCGTGTGATGAATTAAAGACCAGGTCGGTCCACACTCGTGGCAAAGCACGTGCCGTCGCCGTTGAGAGAACACCCGGTCCCGCAGGATCAACTTGGCAAATCACTCCGATGCCCACCTGCAGACCAAGGCTCTTCCACTTCCATTCGGATTTGGCCAGTCCAACTCCAGAGTAGACCCCAGGAAAAGAGGCAAGCTGCTCCCGTACACGGAGAGGGACGCCAATGCACAAAAGAAGCCACTTGCTATCCACCTGTTTCCCTTACCCACCCATCCAGGGCACGCGGCGGATTAGGGGGCCACGCCATGACAAATGAGAATGATACCATGATTCTGAACTCTGCCGGCACTGCTGCTATTTTGCCTCCCCGAGCTCGCCGAGTGTGCAAATTTCACCGATTGCCTCCCGGCCGAGGTGGGGAGCGCCGGCGCTTTCACTCCAATGAGTTCTCCGTTTGTGGAGTAACCCAAAAAATATCCAACTCGGAGCCCCGATGTCGTGATTCAACAACGTGAGCGCTGAGTTTTTGGACAAGGCAGAAAACCAAGCTGATGCCCCCACAAATTGAGATTCTTTCCTCAACTTGAAAGATCATCTGTCAACACCGTTACCCTTCTGGCTCGAACACTATCGAGACTCGAAACTTTTACACAACAGGGCCCTCATATATCAAGCATTGGGTTAATCCGACATACGCTCGCTCTGCGATTGATCAATTGATCTCGCACGGCCTGGTTGTGAACCTCCCACTCGTTGATCCTCAAGCCACTGCCAGCCACTACAAATATGGAGAAATCCTCGGTGGCTACAGATGTCATTCACCCGGAGCCTGCAAGGGTCGAGGAATACAATGACTTGTCCAAGGCTGAGCTGGAGCTCAACGTGGGCGGTCGTGGTGCGACTCAGCGTCGCCTGAAGAACTACCATGTCACCATGATCGGCTTCTGCAGTGGTATCGGAACTGGTCTCTTTGTCGGTACTGGCGCGGCATACGCAAAGGCTGGACCGGCCGGTCTGCTTCTCGCATACATCATCGTCGGATTGGTCTTGTGGTGTGTCATGCAAAGTATCGCCGAATTGGCCACTCTTCTCCCCACTGCAGGTTCATTCCCTCACTGGGCCACCCGCTTCATCGATCCCTCCGTGGGATTTTCCCTCGCAATCTCGTACGGATACTGTTACACAATCGCTATTGCCTCGGAAGTCTCTGCAGCCGCAGTCATTGTATCATATTGGACAGACATAACACCGGCAGTGGTGATCACGGTAGGACTGATTCTTATCTTGATCATCAATTTGATGAGCGTGCGATTCTACGGTGAGACCGAAGTCGCCGGAGGTGCAATCAAGGTGCTCTGTTTCCTGGGCCTGGTCGTTGTCTCCATCGTGATCACCGCCGGCGGTGGCCCCAACCACGAGGCGATCGGATTCCGCTACTGGAACAACCCCGGTCCTTGGACAAACTTCAATGGTATCACCGGCCCCACTGGTCACTTCCTCGGCTTCCTGTCGTCCTTTGTGAATGCATCCTTCAGCTTCATCGGTGTCGAGACCGTCGTCATCACTGCCGCCGAGTCGGTGGACCCCCACCGTGCCATTCCCAAGGCCGCGAAGCGAGTCACTTACCGCATCGGCTTCTTCTACGTTCTCGGCGCTCTTCTCATCGGCCTCATTGTGGATCCTCGCAACGAATCGCTTGTCTCCGGATCTGGCAACGCGAACAGCTCTCCCTTTGTTATCGCTATCCGCGAGGCCGGTATCAATGCTTTGCCTTCGATCGTCAACGCCTGTATCTTGATTGCTGCCTGGTCTGCCGGTAATTCATACTGCTGGGTTGGCTCCCGCATGATTGTTGCCATGACCACCGATCACCAACTGCCTCAGATCTTTGGTCGAGTGAACAAGACCGGTGTGCCCTATGTTGCTGTCATTGCAGCCTGGCTGTTCGGTCCTCTGGCTTATCTGAGTAAGTGACATGTCTACAAATCAGAAAAAAGGACGTTTTTTTTGTGGATTCCAAAACTGACACATTTGTTTTCCTTCAGGTCTTGGCTCAGGTGGTGCTGCACAGGCCTTTACCTGGCTGCTCAATCTGAGCACCGTAGCCGGTTTGATTGCCTGGGCTACACTCTGCTTCTGCTACGTTCGTTTCCACGCGGCCATGAAGGCCCAAGGTGTTTCCCGAGACACCCTCCCATGGAAGGCACCTCTTCAACCCTACGCTGCCTGGGTAGGTTTCATCGGGTCCACCATCATCACTCTGGTCGCCGGCTTCCCTGTCTTCTTGAAGGGTAACTGGAGCACATCTGACTTTGTCGCATCATACATTGGTATTCCGATTTTCATTGTGCCCATCATTGGGTGGAAGTTGTGGCATCGCACCGAATTCCAGCGTGCGGCCACAATCGATCTGTGGTCTGGTCGTCTTCAAGACGGAGAGATCATGCCGCAAAAGAATCCTCGCAATACAGTGTGGGGTCGGTTTATCGACTGGCTGATGTGAGAAGTCGTTGACAGAAATTTTCAACCTTCTGTGTATATAATTCAACATTCATGGCATATAATTAATGAAAGCGATATTTCTTTTTTTGGGGGAGAATTCAACGAAATTTGGCTTCCAGTCATTGGTTTCGTAGCCTATTCAGTGCGGTCCCCGTCTTTTTGAGTGTACGAATTCCTTGATTCGTCCCACATTCAAGATTAGTTTTTGAGCTGTTCGCGGAGGTTTTTGATATCCTGTGAAGTCGCTTTGCAGCAACCTCCCACAAGCACATTCTTGAAGGGGCCTTGTTGGCTGACTTGGCGAACTATTTCAGCCAATTGAACCTCCCACGGGCACTAGATCCCGGTTAGCAAGAAAGTGTAAACCCAACTTCCCGAGAGAAGAACTTACGCTATCACGATCACCTCCGGTTGTGGCACCCGCGGGCTTCTCCCAGACTCGCGTAGTCGTGTTGTAAACCTCACCATTGGTGCCATCGGGGTACAAAACAAGGCTAGGCGGAGACGAGATGTCACCCTTTGCAATAGCCGCAGAGACACCTTCTGCGAATAATTTGACCAGCCCGGAAACCTTGTGAAGTTTGGTGCAGTTGATTCCAATGCCCCAAGGTGACAGTCCATTCTCCATGGGAGCAACAGCAGCCTGGACAACCTGTTCAATGGAACTTCCATCCGGAAGAAGGTCGTCCTCTCGAGGGAACACGCACGCAATCCAGAACGGGGCTGTAATCCCCGAGTCCCGAATCGCCCGTCTCACGGCCCGCACCTCGTCCAGACGAGGCAGCGTCTCAAACGCAACATACTGCAAGCGCGACAGCAAGTCACCCTCCGAGCTCAGGAAAAGCCGCAGACGATCAAGATGCCAATTGTACAGCGCTTCCTCACCATCGTGCTCAGGGTCATATGCGCCGCTGTATTCCTGGCCTGGAATCATGCACGCGCCGTACGGACCCAGACTCAGCGCAATTCTGGCTCTACCTTGGGGCGCATTCGCTTTCTCCGCACAGTCGACTGCTGTTTGCAGGTACTGGCCCATGGCTTCTCTAGGAATGCCATTGGGATATTGGGCGGTCTTCGTGAGGGCGAACCCTTCGGAGGAGGCCTGATAGGTTGCGGTCAAAAGCACATCTGCGCCTGCTGTGACAAAGTCCTTCTGACACGCTTGCAGGGTAGATGGGTCGGAGACCAGCAAATGGGTGGACCAAAGTGGCGTGGTACTGTCAAAGTTCACACCATATTGGTCTTGAAGCGAAGTTCCCAGCCCCCGTCGAGAATTTCAATTGACACCATCCTGACAATTTGGTGAAAGATCCACTTGACAGAGAATCGAGCGTTTGTATAGTTGTCAGAAGCTGTGCGAATTTGGAAGTAGTGTGGAAGAAGGATACTCTTTCCAGCGATATGTTTGCTTCTAAATCCTAATCGAATTTATCGGCTACTTATCATTTACCGGGTCGCTTCTGCCGTCCCCGCAATTGGCGGGGTGCCGATTCGGCTTACTTACGTAATGCCGGCGCCGTTCTCGGACGACCTCCGCATGATTTAGTAGGCTGGTGGCTAGTTACTTAGTACTCAGTACTTAGTAACTTACCATAAAATAGGCACTTTGAGAGGTAGTCGACACTCGACACTCGACACTAGACAAGTAGACAGTAGACTCAGCTTTGAATGTTCGTTCAAGATTACTTTACACGCGATCACGTCCGCTGTGTGGTGTTTCAATGTTTTGGCGCGAAAGCACGCAACAGAGGTCTGAAGATGTTGCTTTGGACATTGAAGTCAATAGCTCTGATATTTCCTCTCAAACCTGGACAGGGTCCAGCTATCACATGAATGTACTTACTGTACCAAGTAACTACCGTAGGTAAGTCCAATCCATCCGCCGCAGGATCCATCCCTTGTCATTGTCAAACAATGCGGTGCTTCTACTTCAAATAATCTTGTTCGAACGATCTTGAGTTATCGGTCTGGGTAATCATTCAAGTCTCAGATAGCGTCGAATCAGGTTCAGAATGTGACTTAGATTTGTAAATGTACATGCTCTGGAAGTCACGCCACTGTCCAGTCATCAAGTGTCCAGAGTCTACTGACAACCTCGGTACTTGGTTTTTTTTTTTATTGTTTCGGGTATCGAGAGACCCAGGTATCTTCCGGACGTTTGCCTGCGACGTTGAAGCCTCACGGTGTATGAAATCTTGTATGAGATGGGGACGAGACAATGAGTTACACTTGCATGCCCAGAATAATGACGGGAACAACCTTAGTGTTGATATAGTCTGCCGGCACAGGTGTCTAATTGATGTCCTGACGTTCGACCTTGGCTGGCCCAAAGAGTACTTTAACCTAAGGTAAATGTAGGTAGTTAGTACTGTTACTACCTAGTACCTAGTACCTACTGGGTACCTCGTACCGACTCGTATGCTCGTCGGACCAAGGTTGCACTTTTCTCTCTCACAACACTCCTCGTTCCGCCCATTGTCATCGGGACAGCGAGATGCTATTAAGAGTAGGGATCTTTCGGCACTGAAAACGTTTGTATACACTGTTCTCTATTGGTGAACTTCCTCCAATCAGGTAGACAGGGAGTGACTACCTATTATAGAATTTGTCGTCCCCAAGGTCCAGCGACTGACCTCACGAGCATGGCAGCCATTTCACCAAATTCTCACAAGATAATCTTGGTCTTAGGGCATAACAATGACCGGGGCATGCTCTGAGCAACGATAGCATGATCTATCAGGCGAAAGTGGGGTGAATCTTCCCACATGCTCTCTCTGCCAGTCTTTCTTTCATCAAAACAGTGTAAACGTGCGAGGTCCACGCGCAACACACTTGCCGGGTATCCTTCGGGTCAATGATTTCCTCGACGCCAAATGCATTCGCAGTGCGAACGGGGTTCATGAGTCTTAAATATTCTTCCTCGAGCTCTGCATAACGCTCCTCCTTTTTACCCAGCTTGTCGGCTTCCCGAAGCTCGTGTCGATGTGCAACCTCGATTCCACCGTCCAGCGGTAGAGATCCCCATTGCCCAGAGGGCCATGCAACTTGCATGACAGGGTCCCGGCTTCCAAGCATGACACCACCTGCTACACCGTAAGCGCGGCGAGTGATCACGTTAAAGATGGGTATCGTGGTGGTGAAGTATGTCTTGGCTAACTCGACTCCCCAGCGCATAGTTGCAGTCTTCTCGGCCACTGTACCAATGGCATAACCCGCTGTATTTCAATTTAGTGAGTTGCACCGTCCAGGGAACTTCGAACTGAAAAGCGATCACTTACGGACGTCCAGGAATTGCACAATGGGCAGATTCATCACATCACATAGTTTCAGAAAACGCGTGAGCTTCTGGCTGCCGGCCGCATCCAGCGCACCCCCATTGACCTCGCAGTTCAGAGAGATGATCCCAACAGGCTGACCTCCGAGACGAGCCAAGCCATTGATGGCAGTACGTCCCCATAGTGCGCCAATTTCAAACCACGAGCCCTTATCCACCACAGAGTTGATAATAACACGGGGATTGTACATACGCGCCTGACGCCGAGGGATTATGCTTCGCAGAGCAAGGTCTTCACGATCCTCAGGATCATCGCAAGGGATCACCGGCGGCGCATCACTTCCGCTATTTGGTAAGAAGCCGAGAACGACACGAATTTGTTCAAAACACTGTTCTTCGTTGGCGGCCAAATTATCGATCGTTCCATTCGTGCAATGGACCAAGGGACCGCCAAGGTCTTGGAAGCTCAATCCTTCTTCAAAAGTAGCCCCTTCTACGACCTTTGGACCGGCATTGAACAGCGCTCCAACATCAGCAGCCATGACAGAGAAGTGGCACGAGACGACTCTAGCCGCGCCAAGTCCAATCTTGGGGTATTCCGTGTTAGCATGCATACACGGAGGCTCAATGGCCGCAAGAAACCGAAGAATTGCTTACTGCGGGCCCAACAACAGCTCCCAGATTTGGAATGCCCATATTTAGCTGTTGTATGACAGGCTTAAAGGGCCTCACATATGGTAGATAACTCCATCCAGCCTGTCGAATAGTCGTCACACTGCCACCCCCAGAGCTCCCATCTACTAATTTGATGACCGGTAGACGCAGAGCAACCGCCAATTTCTCGACGTATACGGTCTTTTCCGAGCTGGCACCGTCTGCATGACCGGAGCGAATGCTGAAGTCATCGGCGGTAAGAAGCACCCTTCGACCGCGTACCAATCCTGCCCCTTGGACATTGTTGCTTGGGACGAAAGATGCTGGAGTTTCCCGCCTTGGGCCCGTCTTCTTCCATGTCACAGTACCAGAGACGGAACCAATCTCAGTGAAAGTACCAGGATCAAGAAGCGCATCGATACGCTCGCGGACCCAAAGCTTGCCAGCTTGTTTTTGACGCACGTAGCCGCGGTGCTTAAGATTTGGAGTAGCTGCAATCTGGCGTAGTGTCTTAATCTGTGCGAGGACATCCGAGTGATCTGCCGGCAATGGACTTGAAACATTCCGAGCATTGGACTTATTCGTTCTGCTTTTTGAAGATTGTTGAGTTTCTGGCCCAGTGATATGTGAGGAGACCTGATGGAGACGCTGCGCTGCTGTGCCTTGGGCCTCCCGGCCATTGGACGCTTGTTGCGCGTCCTCATCGTCTCCCATTTTGATATATGATACGAGGAATGAAAATGAGTCTCTGAAAATAGGCGAGCAGTAGAGTAATCCACGTACCGGCCAGTTTTGCTCTTTGAAGCGAAGCTGATCCACGCTGCGTAGGCCCTGGTCAGGTGAGGGGTTGGGGCGCCTGTCGAGTTGACCTTCCGAGGGCCGAGGCGTTTGCCACGATGCAGGGGATATCGTCATCTAGCCATTGCTTCACGTTGTCTAAACAGCGACCAGGGTGCCTTTAAGCAAACAACACATTCCACACATCATTCGTGTACTTGATGCAGTCATAGTAGTAGCTTAGCTCCTGCACCTCTAATCTTCAGGGTTGACCCAGAAATCGCCGCAAGCCATGTCGTCGGCCCCGCATTCTCGCCCTTTCCAACGATTGTTGATCGCGAATAGGTCAGTTCGAGATTGAGATTTTGCCAGCAGATTTCACGTATTGATTGCATATGAGCCGATCACAGAGGAGAGATAGCAGTGCGACTACTGCAAGCTGCACGAGAATTACCGGGCGCAATCAAGACCTTTGGTCTCTTTACTCAGGATGACCGGTCGCATTGCGATTTAGGTCATCCCCACCACTCAATAGAACTACCATCTGCGTCTTCCTATCTTGACATCAATCTACTTGTCGAGATAGCCCGCCAATACTCTGTTGATGCTGTCCATCCCGGCTATGGATTCCTCAGCGAGAGCGCCGAGTTTGCTCAGCGCATGTGGTCTGAAGCAGGTGCTATTGTGATCGGACCCGGCCCTGAAAATCTCGCTCGAACAGGCAATAAGCTACAGTCGAAAGAGCTCGCTGAGCAATGTGGTGTGCCGGTGTTAGCGACCATGCAATCACCGACTTCCAACGAGGAAGAAATTCGCAAGTTCATCCAAAAGGTCGGATTTCCCGTGATGATCAAGGCTGTGGATGGAGGTGGCGGCAGAGGCATTCGTCTCGTTCGAGAAGAAGTGCAACTTGAAAACAGCATTCAGCGTGCTCTGGGCGAGTCCCCGTCGCGCACTGTCTTCTTAGAAAAGGCCGCAGTTGATGGCTTCCACCACGTCGAAATCCAAATTATTGGCGACGGTACGGGTCAAGTGCGCCATCTCTGGGAACGAGATTGCAGTATACAGCGACGCTTCCAAAAAGTCGTGGAGTTTGCGCCATCTTTGATGCAGAATCGCCAGCTCATTTCACAAGTCATTGAGTCGGCATTGAAGATGGCAAGCGCGATCAAGTATTGCTCTCTTGGGACGTTCGAATTTCTCGTCAGTGAGGTGAAAAACGAGTTCTACTTCCTCGAAGTCAACCCCAGGTTGCAGGTCGAACATACTATCACAGAATCAATTAGTGGAATTGATCTAGTCCAGACCCAACTTCTCTTGGCCCAAGGGAGAAGTTTCAAAGGGTTGGGTCTTGGGGACTTTGGCAATGGCAGCGTTCTCCCGCCAGCAAATTCCCATTCCATCCAGCTTCGTCTTTGTGCAGAAGATCCAAGCAATAACTTTGCCCTTAGCATAGGCAAAATAAGTGATTTCACCGTACCTAGCGGTCATGGGATTCGGGTCGACACACATGTGCAAATTTCTACAGCGGGACCACTCATCGTCGGGTCCAACTTTGACAATCTGCTGGCCAAGATCATAGTGACAGGCTCAACGTGGGAGAACGCTGTTCGGAAAGCCCGGCGTGTTTTGGCTGACACAAGAATCTCCGGTGTCAAGACAAATTTAGGACTTTTGAGAGGCATCTTGATGCACTCCGATTTCATGGCGGGTCATACAGACACACAATGGCTCAGCTTGAAACTTGATGAGACACGCCAGCTGGGCGAGGCGATGGCTCAGAAGAGCCAGGAGGCGGAGCTTGCTGGTAGCTCTGTGCAAAACGCAAGTGCGACGAACGGACTCACTTCCTCCAACCTGCTATTCCGCAAGGGGGATGCATGGTCCCTAACACTTCAGCCCCTCGCGCAAGAGACCTTCACAGCCTCTGACAAGATGGCGCATCACCTTAAATTGTCGCGAGTACTTCGAAATGACTTCCCTCATTCGTTTACTGCCGAGATCGAGTATACGACACCCGCTGCAACGACTGCAATCCCTTATCGGTTGCAGGTCGAATCCACAACGACGGCGGCCTCCGCTCTTGTCTCAACATCTCACCGGCGTGGGGATCCGAACAACCCACGACATGTCACCTTGCCACTGTCGGGGAAACTCATTGAGATTCAAGTGTCCACTGGGGATGTGGTGGCCGAAGATCAAGTCTTGGCTTTCGTCAAGCAGATGAAGATGGAGCTGGAGGTGCGCAGTCCCCGTGCAGGGACAGTGCAGTGGGTACATGAGATGGAGGAGGAAGAAGAGGATGTGGCGGAGGGCATGCTCCTGGTGGAGCTGGCTGAAGGTGAGAAAGCGGACACTCGACTCAAAGGAAAGCTGTGAAGCTAGAATAGACGAGAATATCTTTAGTCCAACCTGTACAAGGCAGTCTTACATTGTTCACCTTAGGATTATATACCACAAATGAATAGTGAAATTCATCAGCGAATCAGCGAAGTGCAATGCTGTCTGCCTCCAGCATCATTGGTCTAGTGGTAGAATTCGTCGTTGCCATCGACGAGGCCCGTGTTCGATTCACGGATGATGCACTTTTTGGGCAAATTTCTCGTTTTTGTGAGGGAGTACAAATTACGAACCTTAGTCGTTGAACTTACTTCCATGACCTTGTCAATGATTATGCGTAAGTAGATTGCGTCATTACCTTCCAGTTCGTTCGCTCCGCGGCAGTGAAGCTACAGATTTAGACGGACCGGCCAGCCTAGAAGCGGTCTTGGCGTGAATCTCCACCGATGGGCACAGGCACGTGGCTTGCGTCGACGTCCCGCAACAACTACGATGTCACCGACTTTTAGCATTACCATGTCTCGAGTAAATAGCGCGCCCGCGTGAATATCGCGACATGGAGGAGCTCAGCATTTATATCGTGACTTCCAACTGCGCCCGAAATATCATCGACGTTGATCTTTTCGCGGCGCATTTGTTTGATGTTCTACCAGCCTCATCACCTGCACCAGACCTAATTGTGCTCTCATTGCAGGAGCTTGCTCCCATTGCGTACTCCTTCCTAGGAGGCTCTTACCTGCAGCCGTATTTTGATGCGTTTGTCAAGCTGGTGAAGCAGGCTACTGCGAAGCGATGGAATGAATCTTATACCAACGTGGTCAAGGACCATATCGGAATGACCGCATTGCTGGTCTTTGCTCGCGCAGATATCGCGAACAGACTGAATGAAATTGATACAGCTCATGTTGGATTTGGCTTCCAGGAGATGGGCAACAAGGGTGCTATTGGGGCCCACCTCAAATATGCCTCTGCCGGACAACCTTCTTTGGCGGCAGACTTGACTTTTGTCGCGGCACATCTGGCACCGATGGAGAATGGCCTACTCCAGAGGAATCGAGATTGGCAAAGCATTGTGGAGCGACTTGTCTTCACTCATGGTCAGGATTCACCGCATAATCCCTCGAAGAACGGGCACACTGCCGACGAGAGCACTTCACTTCTCAGAGACAATGATCATGCCACACCAGAGGGGCCAGAGAAGTCTCCACATAATCTCTTCGCTCCCAATGCATACCTCTTCCTGGCCGGAGACTTGAACTATCGCACCTCGAATATCAGTCCACTGAAGGACGATCACGCACGATTCCCGAAACGTGGAGCCACTCCTGAGAGCCCGTATCACTACTCTCATCTCCTAAAAAATGATCAACTCATGCAGGAGATGCGCGAAGGCAGAACTCTCCACGGTCTCACCGAGGCTCCTATTAATTTTCCGCCTACCTACAAATTCTCGAATGCAGCACAGCAGGCAGCACGACAAGCTTTGGAAAATGGCGATTCGGAGGCTGAGTGGTTGTGGTCCACGCATCGATGGCCGAGCTGGTGTGACCGAATTCTGTACCTGGATGACGCCGCTAAAGTACGACAGGCGGGTGATAGCCTTGAAGCATTGACCATAAAACCGGCCGTCTACGATGCACTTCCTTTGCTGCCTCATTCTGACCATCGCCCTGTTGCACTGTGTGTGTCAGTTCCCTTGAGACGGCTTGCGGCGCCGGCGAATAGAGATTTAACTACGGATGGTCCTTCTGTCTCAAGCTCTACCCAAACAGAGGGTCCGTTCCAGATTGATCCCCAATGGCTTTCGAGGAGAGACGCCGCCAGACGAAAGGAAATTGTCGTCGGGGTGCTTGCCTACCTCGGGATGACCTGGGAAGGAAACGGCATGGTTCTGGCGTCCTTTGCTGGTCTGATCGGCGCCTGGATGGTTTTACGCTCGCTCTAGAAGCTAGCAGAACTTAAAGGAACACACGGTCTTTGGATTCATGAGCCTAGTGCAAGCTTGATCATGCCGCCCGTGGACTAGGTGCCAGATACAACGCTGCGTACGCGAAGACCTTAGGAGCTCCATGATGATGATGGGTAAATGAGCAGCCAAGTAGCTGAATCAGCTCGATGAGCGTCTTATTAATTTCTAACATTCAAACTTTTCGAAAGCACGTTGCACTAATCTTTCCTTTTCGAATTCATGCTTATTATTTTATCCAAATACACATCCATGAAGCTCAAATCTACCTGTAACGAGACACCGAAGCCTCAAATAAGTGATGCCATCTGGATACATGACCTCAACAACCGGTCGTCGCTCGGATTGATACGACAGGCCTGTCCCACAACACTGAAAAGATAAGTTTACGCGGAGTTTAATTATATTGAGTTGGAACTAGGTCCAGAAAAGCCAAGAAATCAGTTGATCTGACAGGGTGAGCTCACATACTGCACGTGCAAGAACGTGCTGCGCATTCAACAAGATTTGTAGACACGCCCGATTCGTGGACACGTAAAGTGCGAGCGGAGCAAGGTTACGCGTTGTTCCACATCATCAGTGTAGCGTAGAATCATATCGACAAATTTAGAGCCTTGTTGCGTATGGAATTCACTATCCAACTGAGAGTCAGACCTAAAGCAGCCGGCTTGAATTGGAAGCCAAGCCGTTCGACCGGGCGAGACGTATTACCAATACAGGGTAAACATCAAAGACTGAAATAAGCACTCCATCTAGACCAACTCCGCTTCATAATCCTCCTCCAACTCATGCCCAAACCGTTTCTCAATGACCCATCTCATAAGCCACATATGTCAGAGGCTTTCACATACCATGCGCTCATCCGCATCGTCAGAAACCAACTGCACTGCACAAGGTGCTATGCCTGTTCTGCCAAGATAGCGCAGGCCCATAATTAGACCTTGATCCAAGCAACATCGGCACCGCTGCCGAGCCTGCCTTCAATGTTGTTGGTCTGAAGCTGACATTCACCCACAGTAGTGGTGGATTCGGGGAAATACACGCCCATGCACTTGTCGTCAAGAGCACAAAGCATAGCACACTGTTCCTCGTTGAGACCAGGCTTAATGACCTGCTTGAGAGACATGGAGGATTTGGCATGGGAGACATTGCACTTCTTCTTCAGGGAAACAGATCCAACTATGACGACTTCATTGTCGCCACCCTGGCCACATTGCTTGAAAGATGGCGCTGAGAAAGGAAGCGTCACGCTGAGGGACGAATGTAGTGTAGCCACCCGCATGCTGGAGGTTGGCCAACGTTTGGCGGATCGGATAAGACTCCTGCTTGCTGACAACGCAGGTGCTGCATTTACAGGCGAGGTCTTTATGGCACTGCTCGGCGCACTCTTGCTGAGTAGAGGCGCCAGTGGGGATGGGACCACATCCATTGTACCAAGTGTCGCATTCCACTTCCCCGAAACCACCAAAGACGGCATCCTGTTCACTCATAGCGGGACAAGTCCTTGCGGCATCGTTCGGGAGAGGGGATTGAGAAGCACCCAGCGAGGCCAAGGCGGCAAAAGCAATAGGAAGAATCATCTTGGCCATTTTTGAAGATTTTTACTGATTGACAGACGGAAAATTGAGATACTATCGAGAGCACCTGTATTGGGTCAAGTTCTTGGAACTCGGGAATAAGGTCGGGTGCTGAGGCCGAAGTTATATCTCGTCCCCTCATCCATGTACAAGACTTGTAGTTAATGTGAAATTCCTGTCGTACAGTACCTCCATTCCCTTCTTGTTTGTTCCGTGTAAACAACTGGAGGAATTAGTAATGCTTCACCTCCTAGGTATGACAATATCTTGCAGGAGCCGTGACCTGAAACCAGATAGCATCTGCAACACTGGTGATCTGGACCTTCGGATGTCTCCTTAATCTTTGCGATTCAGACCTACCCGACACTGTGTTACATTCGATGATGGAATGCATAATTTCGGTCGATCATCTGCGCACTCTGATTGTGGCTGGCGTAGGCTCGTAGCCCTGTCTGAGAGATGCACTTTCAGGTCCTCAGACATGCAACATCCCCAGGGATCGTATCCACGGCCAACTGCTGGCAGTAACCAGGGAATTCCGCTGTAGTATATGAGCGCCATGCGCGACAATCCCGCGATCGGAAAAGGGTCCGGCCCGGAGACGGGTGTTTTCTTCATCGAGATCGAGCATCGACCATGACTTATAAAGTATGATCCGGGGAAAGGCAGTTTCCATAATTGGCTGAGTTGGTTAGTGCGCCATGAATGTTGCCGAACAGTATTTTCACGATAGTAGAGAATTTTCTTCCAAACAGAGCTTAACTTAGTTTCAACCAACCTATCTCCACTGCTTTTGTTTTTCGAGCCGGAGTCATCTAAACTATCTCGACGATACGTCATGCATTTCGTGGAGGGGTTCAGGTGCAATTTGACAGTTACGGCGCAAAGAGCTCTTCGGTTCTACTCCGTCAATTCCAAATCGGCGAATACTGCGACGCAACAAATTGAAGACACTACTATTCGCTTCAGTTTTAAGTAAGCAGGTCACTCAAACTTCACCAACTTAGGTATTCGCAAGTCCCATACTGATGCCTTCAGTTATCGCAATGACACAGCAATAGGAACTCGTTCGCATTAAACAGTGTGGTTCTCTACAGTCCTTAACGTCTAGGATTGAAAACAGCCCATCACATTGGCCATATCGATGATTTCTGAGGGCTAAGTCAAGATTACAGGTTAGTCAGCTATCAGCTTTGAAAGAAATGACCTTTTATAATGTTAGTCCATATCGTAGCACGTTTGAAAAGCTATGATGGGACCAGAAGCTAGAAGCGGCCATCTCGACCCGGTCCTGTAGAATGATAACATGAGTTTCCCGTGTATTGGCGCTTCTTACCTCAGAGTCCTTCAACATCTCCAGCTTGTTCAGACAGCGAACTTCCTTTTCATCTCCCTTTGACTTTTCAAATTTGCCCCCCCCCCCCCCCAATGGAAGATATGACCATGTATTCAGAGTCTACTGCCATGGATTTTTCTATATCTGACTTCACGAATATACATGCTGCGACCTCTCACCATGTAAGACTACTGGTATACATCAGCTTTTCATGAACTTGATTTGTGTTTCAGAACCCGGATTTCTGAAGCAAAGGTTACTAATGATGTACAAGAGTATCAGTACATCATGGCTTGTTATCACAGTATGGAGTTCATATATTTGGGTATTTGACCTGCTATGGAGGTAGCGCAAGATTCATTAGAAAAGTAATGCTACACAGATATCTTCCTAGTAATCCACGCAAACCTGTTGCAGACGCCAATCATAGAGCCAATCCGCGGAGTGTCTCGATGGGAGATATTTACCGATGATTAGATCTTTCATATACAGAAGCAAGGCATCACTACACCTTTTCAAAGCGGAGCACTTCCTCCCTTTACTAAACTTAAGACATTGAATATCAAGGAGTAAGGTAGTACCATAGACGGAAGATATACCTAGAAATTGTACTCGAAAGCCACAACGAGTAACTTGCATACACCAACGCAACTTACATTCATGCTTAGGGCTCAGCGAAGCTTACATATGGCCTAAACATTCTGCTAGCAGCCTGCCGGCCAAGTATTCCTGTGTAACCACCAAGCATGCACAGTCACAATGCTTTCACTTTCTATGACAACATGTTTGGGATTCCTGGATACTACAAGCTTACTGGATGGCCCTACGGCTCGGTGACATCTCGAAAATTCGAAGATCCGCGAAGATTCAAGCTTGCTGCATCATGCGCCGTATACACTATACACGGATAAGCAAGTCCTGCCACGATCTCAGCATGAAGATCGATCTGCTCTTGCATCGAAGCGTGAGATCACAGCACTGCATTTGCCATAAAACTGTAATCTTAGTGATGAATTTGAGACGCGAAGACACGATTGCAGTCACTTCCAGCGTGGACATCCGTGGTCTACCTCCTGGCACTCACAGGCTTGGTGCTATCTTCCAGACTCCCAATCGAACATAAAAGGATAGGAATGAATCAGATACCAGAGCAATACCTTCTTCAAAAGACTTTACCCTTCCGACTTAATTGAAGTTCTTCAAAATGGTCCGCAAAAACCAATCTTTCTTTTCTTTTCTTGCCTTGGCATGCTTGACTGCGGGTGTGTTTGCCGATGGTCCTCCGCCCGGCGTCAGCTCTAATTCACATGTAGCGCCTTGAGGCGCAGGGATTCCACCTGGTTTGGGGGCTGGACTTCCTGGTGGTTCTGGCGAGCGCCATGGCGGTGGTTCTGGTGGTCTTCATGGTGGCAGTGTGCCTGCAGGCTCTGGCGAACCTCCCAGTGGTAGTGTGCCACCTGGAGCTGGCGATAAGCCCAAAACGATTCAACCAAACTGTCCACAAGATGATGGTAAAGTGTACGCTGCACCAGACAGCTCTTGGTTCCAGCTTCAGTGCCTCTACCATGACTGGAGAGGTGTCAAGATTCCAGGCGCCCCCCCACCCCCCCTTAAGCTTCTTCTTTGCAAGAGTACATCGACAGATGTTCTGCAACCGAGGGCTGTGTTGCGGTCCACTTTGGTGACTTGAGCGGTCGTCTTTCTGGAAACTGCGACATGATGGCCGAGCCCGAAGGCCCTGGTGACACTCCATGTGAGAATCACCACGTCGCCAACGTGGTTGATCCGCCTGTGGTGGACATGCCAGATGATAACATCCCGAAATGCAGCACTGAATGCCCGGGTGCCAAGCATAGGCATTACACCGGTCCATATAGGCAGGCGTTCAAGATGAACTGTGGGAAACGCCATGGAACCAAGTATATCAGCGTCGAAGAGAAAGCTTCTTTGGAGGAATGAATGGACGCTTGCGATAGTCTGACGAGCTGTCACAGCGTCGACTACAACCGTCGCGTCAAGAAGTGCTACTTGTCCACCCACCAAGGAGAACCGACAATAGATGCTCCTGGTTTTGCGAGCGCGTACGGTCTCGGATGTGCTGGGGCCTGTGAGAAGAAATGCTGCAACTCCAAGAATTGATTTGGTAACGGTGCACTTTCCCCTCCTAAGATCGACGACGAGCCGTGCCTCGAATGGATCGTGACGTTGGCGGCCACGATGCGGCAAGACGGGCGTGGAAAGAATACGAAAGGCTGGTACTGTTCCCAAATTCGAATTGATTTGTTTTTTGCTTTTGCCGTTCAATATCAGTGGTATTTTTGCATCGAGCAATTTTCTATTCAACCAAAATTGTAACTCGCCGTAGTGACTCTTCCATGATGATAAATCAAACAAGTTGGTTCAAGTCTGGCTTTCAGAGGGCGACATCACTCTCTCGCTGGCAGGGTCGTCTCTCTCGCACGGGTTGAATGCTCTGGTATGTGAAGACGGGGTGGGAGAGGATCGGTGACCTCGAGCTGAATAAGTCAAGCGACTTGACGGATTGATGCATGGATTCTTTCATGTCCCAGCTTGTCATACCGAGCCGAGGCGCTGAATATCCCTCAGAGTATGGACAGGCCGTCAGTCAGGCGGGTGGAATCTTCTGATTTCAGATCATCGGAATAGGTGATCAAGTTCCAGGAATTAATAATGTTTGGTTTCATCGGGAAAAGAGAGAAGGCCAGATTGATGCCATGATAGTTTAGGCCGCTGATGTCACTGTTCGTGCTGACGTTGGCACTGGTAGTAAATTGAACACTTGTAGTAGAGCCCTTGTACCATCAGCCAGATACGGTGCCCTACCTCCAGTTATTCTTCGATCAAGGCGATCTTTCAAGTTGCATGACAAGAACTCTGAGTATGTCTGGTCGAGCTTCCATGTCCAAACTTACAACCCACGTATTGAAAAATGCTCAGCTCCTCGGGGTAATGTAGAAGCACACTTGTCTCGGGGGTATGTCTCGACAATTCTTCCTCATTAAGGCTGTACTCGCGCAATCTACTCGCTGACATCACTCAAGCAATTGACATTTGACCACTCCTTGATGAAAACCAACGACGAAGTTCATTTCAGCAGTCAATTGCCAAACGAAACAGGGTATTTTGACTGTCCTTCATCTTTGAGTACTCTACTTCGCAGGTGACTAGAAATTGGCAGGCCGCGTGCAAAGTTCAGGCAGGCAGACAATCCCTTGAATCAACAGCAGTGTGTTGCTATCTGGACCAAGGCGTTGTATGCCGCTAGCCGTGTAATCATCAATCCCGCCAGCCTTCCAACGGATGTCTCGGTATCCCGGTATCTGAGGGACAGACCATTGGAAGACACTCCAAATGAGTCAGTATGCAACCTGACGCAGCACTGATAACGAGCAAGCACTACCTACGTCCTGTCTGATGCTTTCGAGAGTCTTCTGGAATAGCCGAGACGGACTCGGTCATGGGACATAAACATATCTTGACGTCGAGTGGAGAATCCTTCGAACAGGTCTAGGCCATACGGTGAAGCCCTGGTGAAAGCCAGGTCGACATGCTGGTAGTAGGTAAGGTACCTACGTAAGTGGTCGTCTCTAAAATTGTGGTGGACTCCCGGCAAAGCCTCAGCGTCCGGCAAGAAGAATTCAATCACTGTGCAAAGTGTTGGAAATTCCTGTCCAGTAGGCATATCGGCCGGAAGTTTGATAAAGGCCGATGAGTATCCCATTCTGCGGTAGACCTTGAAGTTCTGAGACGTGACTTCGTCATCTCGCGCAGATAGAAAGACAGCCATTCTACTTTTACTTTGACTGGACGAAGTTTGAGTCGTCCTGTGTTCCAATTCTTATTGTTGCTTTTCTATATGCAACACGGCCCAAAGTATGTTCGTCTCGGGACGGCAGATGTAACTCCATCATCTAGTTACGCGGACGGCCGGTGGACATCATGAGTCTTATCATCCCATGATGAGTGGTGTGCACAATTTGTGGCAAAAGGGCGAGCGGGAACTAGAATGGGAAATTTTTCCGAAATAAAGTTCTTTCATCTTTCCATAACATCGATAATCTTACTTGAGGCGAATCAGATATTGTATGTCTACCGGACCCAAAGAAATCTCCAGAAGGAGGGATTAGGCACTCCCTTAGTGTTGCTGAACCTTTGATTGACTGATTTCAGTGCATTTATCACTGCAACGTTAATGAATGTGGGGACATGGAAACTTTGAGCTCCGTCGTCTACTCGGAGGCCCGACTTTGCTAGTTTCCAGCAAAACGGCGCTCAGCGGACTCAACGGGGGCCTCATATCGAACATAGCCCCCGACCGTCACTTGTCGTGGATCGAGAGGTCATGGTACAAACCGTGGATGACCTGGATATCTGGTGGCAGACACAACATCAACTCAATCAGTAACTTCCTTGGTCGGGTTCGGCTTCGGTTTCGCTGAGCTACTCACCAGTAGATTAATAGTCACGATCTTAGTCGCTGGTCACCTGACTCTATTCCGGAATGCAGATCTTCTTCACGTGGCAACCATTCTGCTGGTCATGGCCTCAACGTTATCCATTTGGCATGCAACGACATATGCCAGTAGTCTACATAATGGAAGAGCCAACTCTCCTATTATTCCCCCTTGCGGCACATTCTCCTCCTCGGAGAGACGCCAGGGCAGAGGACCGTCTGGGCTCGTTGGGCGGTTCAAAGGTTCAAAGTCAAACAAACGAACTGGGCCCCACCCCATCCACCTCGCACTTTATCTGAAATTCAGACAGTCCCGACAGAACCTTTGGGGGTGTTATTTCGAAGTTTCGAACCCTCCGCCAGCTTCCATCCGTCTTCCATTCTTCCCACCAATTGCCCCTCCCCCCTGATTACCTCCAATCTCCGCGCGCGTTGACCGCTACCGATGACTCCACTCCGCCCTGCAATCAAGCAGGCTGAGACGACCACCATGACTTTCCTGCCACTGACCCATGAAGGGATCCACTGACCACCTCTGGCAGACTACTGGCAGCGCCCCCAGACCCTGTAAGTGGCCGCTATGCAGTGACCCAGGATGGAGGTTTGGCGCCTAGCGCGATCCCGAGGCGTGGTCCTTTGGGGGGTCCTTGGCAGCGTTCTTTTCTCGGGGAAAGCGGTCATTTTGTGGGTTCCGAAGAGCAAGATTCTTCCGGATTCTCAAGATAGGCCAATACTGGACCCCATGCCTTCCAAAGTGGTCGGATCTGACAGTCGTCCCCGTTTGATCATCACGGGTGGCCCTGTCGGTCAACGCAATCACGAGTTTGAGAAGCAGGTCCGCATGCATCCTCTGGACAGGACCGTCCGGCATCACCATTGGCCGATCTCAGAGTGCCCTGGTCCTGCCCTGCATCAACGCCCAGCAACCTCGACTGTGAGAGACAACCTTGCAGGACAGCTTCCTGCTGTACAGTGCATGACCACATGCCACCTGACTCATGGGCTGGACTGCTGTGGTCGGTTGGACAGCCGCCAGGAACATGTCGGACACCCCGGAACCTGATCAAGTCACGAGACTCACCCAAATCTGCCGCTGCAGGCCACAGAAGAGGTGGAACCTGTGCTGTGATGGTCCGAAAAAGAAAGCTCTCGATTCGACGATGTCAGATGGGAGGTGGAAAAGCCAGCCACAGCTTGAATGGAAGCAGTTCTAGATTTCCAGCAGGAAATTACCTTCCAACCATGGTTGACTCCTGAGAAGGACAGCCGCCACTCAGGTCCAGATCGTAAGAGGCTTCGGGTCGGTACAGAACGACAGATGCCATGAGTCCATTACTCCATTGTTACGGTGTCTTGGGCCAAATCGTAAGCTTTCGGCTCAGGGCCAACGGGATCGCTGGGAGATCGAAAGCGTGAAACAGGTTCCAGAAGAGTCCGTGGGTAAACCACGACTGCTTCAGTGCTTGCTCCTCATCTGTCACTGGTAACTTTTATCACAGCTCACGGCTTTTGTTTGTAGCCTCTCGATTAGCTTAGCAAACGGCCGCCGAGCACTGCGAGCGGCAGTTTTGGCGTTTGCGTGAGCCTGGGAGTGGCCTGCCTTCGGGAGTCGCTCCGACTGATACTGTCAGGGTGCCGGGTGCCTAACAACCACAAAGTCCCAACGGGTACAATACCAGTAAGTATCCTCTTTACAAAGTTTACCCTGATCGAATTCGTTGATTATTGCGCACCCCCCAAAAGGGCCATCAATGTGTTATGATCGCATCCAGCCTTCATTTTGGTTACGAACTCGATTCAATGGTGGTTCCATTTCAGGCAGCATACTCACTACTCGGATGCTGACTTGTAGACTACAGCAACGGGACTGGCAAGTCTGCAGGGAAAAGCCGGCCTAAAGAGCCCGAAGAGGTGCGGTTGAATCGTTTAAAACATCCCACGCCAGTCTCACTTGGACCAGTACGGTAGGTCTTCGACGGGATTTGTTTTCCTCAGTTGAGACCAGACACGAAACAGACAGGAAAAATTGAGCTTGAACAACCCCGGGCCAAGTGGAGCTGCTGAAGCAAAAGCGACGACCCACGGGTACACGGGTGCCTGCGGTCCACCATGATCAAATCCATGTCTGATTGTCCAGTGTTCATCGATTGTCCAGTCCTACAGCATCTTCCGTATTCGTTAGACCGGTAAAACAAATCAACTGTGCTGCTCGGAAACGGGAGAAGTTTGTAAATTTGTATCATGTCTTTTCAACCTTGAATTACAGATGTGACTGATTGGCTGCTTCGGTGCCATCCGGAGTGAATCTCGTCGGCTTAGAAAAATCTTCCGGGAGGTTGAAACGGTGTCAGGTATCTCTCAAGATTGAGACCTGTACAGTGTGGCAGTCAGGAGTCTAGACACGGCGACACTGTACGATTCAATGGTACAGTCAAACATGGCGATTTCCGGGTGGTACTACTGTATTTGATATTGACATGTGCCACTGCCTGGCACCTGCCCCTGGAGATTCTTGCTGTGCATAAGGCGTCGAAATCTTTTAGGCTCTAAGACAGACCGCTCAGGGTGAGGTCACCTGACGCTGACTCATTCCGTGCTTGAGGTTGGATTGGAAGGTGCCCGCGGACATAAAGCATGATGGAGGCTCAATAATCAAAGTGGAAAATCCATTCTCAATTAGACCCTCCTCGCTCACCTTCGAGTTGCGCTGATTTTCCCTTGTTCGAGAGTAACCTGTTCCAGGTTCAGATCCAAATTGGGCATCTTGGAGCCACAGTTGAATCCCCACCCGTAAGAAAAATAACAAATCGAGAAAACAAAAATCAAAGAAGGCAGAGTAAAACAGCCATAACGGTTGTTTCTTTAATTCTGATTTATAAGTGGCTCATTTCACTTCTTTTTTTTTTCCCTCTTTTCTTCAATGAGAGCCAGGTGGACTATCCCTCTTACTCTATCATCCAAGTACAGTACATGTCTTTGATTGAAAAGTGCAACGGTCCTTCATGAGTCTTTGAATATAAACCTAGACTTCCCTCCGCCCTTCCCCCCCCCCCCCCTCCCCTTGCATCTCCTCTAGACTCTGGTCTTTGCCTTTGCCTTCAGCCCGTACCTGTCCTATCTCGCTCGACCCTCGCTTCACAGCCGACCCCTTCGCACCCGACCTCGACTTCCTTCCGGCTATCTACTCAACACTTTCAACTCTCGACACTTCCGTCGACACCAACACTGGGACTAGTTAGTGCGCCTGCCTCGTGCTGACAGACGACTGGGAAGGAAAAAGAAGTTCCTCCGACGTCATTTCCAATCCTGGTGGTGCTTTCCAGTTCTCTCGACTCTGGTCGCGCCCATTACGTCTGCCTTTCCCCGTAACCCTTTCCCCGTAACTTCCGCATTTCGGGCGCCGCAATTTCAATTCGCATCGTCAATCTCGAAGTATTCCCGCGCAATTACTCCACTTCACACCCTACCATTCAAGAGTCCTGATTTCCACCCGAGACACAAACCAATCTCTTGCGACTCGACTTGGCGCCTTTCAGAGTGAACCGGTTCACGACCTTGGTCAATTGTCCACCTCTCCCTCCTTTTCTGTTGTGACATTCTCACAACTCCACATTTCCGGCTGCATATCCGCTCTGGCTCTCAACGGCACCTTGTCTCCACCATGTTCTCCTGCGCAAACTATCCTCGTGGCTGCCGAGGCCGCGTCAACCGTGACGGCGCCAAATGTTCCGACTGCGTGGTAAGTTGAAGCTGTTTTTCTCTTTCCCTCTCTCTCTCTCTCTCACCTTCCCTTGATTGGACTTCCCTTCACACTTCCTCTTCTTGAGGCGTGGTTGCGTCGATCTCTGTGCACTGCAACTACAGGACTTGACCCGCTGGGGGCGCTCTCTTTAATACCGGAACACATGAGTCTGACGGCAGTTTCTCTTTGACCATAGACCTTGAACCTGCGCCGTCCTGCCTCCGCATCACCTTTCGCACAGCCTCGTGACTATAAGCGGGCGCTTCCCTCTGAGAGACTGCGCGATTCTGTCTTCAACAGATCCGACTTGGAGCTCTAAGCTTCTGCAGCGCCGGTTCCCCCTCGATTCGCTCGATTGACCGGGGTCCACAGCCTCGAATCTCGAGAACAAGAAAAAAAAAAAAAAAAAAAAACGGACTTTCGACCCAAAAAAAACAATCAACGTCTCGTGGGACACTATCATGACGGGCTGGTCCCGTCTTGTCGCGGATATGGGAGACGAGTTGATCGCGTCTCTATGCCGACAGGTGGTCGTCAACTCGATTCTTACGTCTCTCCTTTCTCCGTCCCACATGCATACCTGGGTGTTTTGATTACGAACTTCAGCATCATGACGGAGGCCGTCTCTTTTGGCGCACATAATTATTATTATTTTTTTCTCACAAGAGATCCTCGCATCCCCGTTGCTGATGGCGTTCCCAGCCGACGCCGTGCATTATTGCACTCTTCTCAAATGGTATCGTTTCATCTTGACAGTTTGTCAGTGATGCCGAGGCCTGAACTTGCGATCTCTCAAGGGGATATTTGAAGCGATCAACATGGTCACTTTTCTGGTATTTGTGTCTCCAAGTTTTGGTCCAAGTGTGGCAACTACTACACCCTCGTTTCACCACCCCAACTTGGCTTCATCTTGTTCTCTCTATCTCCGAGGTCTGCCGGCCTCACCATGTCTGACACCGCCTGGGCAGTGGTACACAATTGGACTTGGCCACAGTCGATCAGCGATCGACAGTGCACTAGCTCGTTTGCACTATGCTCCACTCTCTTCATGACGGGGAGCAGATCTTCCTGCGCATGTGACTTGGTCACCCCGTCGGCGGCGAGTTGCTTTCTCTGATTAATCTTTTCTTCTCCTTTTTGTGCAAGTCTTCGCGATTGCGAATGACTTTGCGATGTCATACCCCTTCACGCTTCTTGTGTCTTTGGATAGCATTCTTCTCTCCCGGAGGACCGACGGCGCCGCGTTTATGGACTCTTATGGGACAAATTTGCATTATTAGCTTTATACCTTATTGATACCATGCTCTGATCGTCAACTCTGTTGTCGCATCACTCCTCCAACTCCATTCCCTTACTTGCAATGTAGTCCGTATCCTCGGTCGGCCACTAGTCGATGTCGGAATCTTCATACAGCAAAGATCATGGTATGCATAGCCACCAATCCAGTAACCCCCCTTCCCCCGGGACGCTCAGCCGCATCACTACACCAAAGTACCAGGCTCCATCTCTTCTCCACGGGCGGCCCCGAGACTCGTGCGTGGAATCAATTCCGTCTCACCCCTGCTCCATCCATGTCCGTCAACCAGAGGACGAAGTCTGATATGCTGAAATTGCAAAAGCCGGAGGCCATGACCATCCCCTGCGCCGACCTCGTGTCGCCAAGCGGAATCCTTCCAAACTATATCCGTTCTCCACCCTCAAGAACCAGGCTCATTGTACATCTATCTGCCCGATATGCTGAGACACTAAATTCTCCGATTGGTATCACGTACTCCCGTCGCACACAATCACGCACAGTTGTCAGCCCTGTCCTTGTGGACCATTTGTGGTTCTACTTGCCTGGTTCCAGCTCTTTCTCGAGATGCATCGGTAGAATCAATAGAGGCGCCCAGTTTCCACACGACCCGCCATCATGATGGTTCAAATCATCTCGCACAGACAAGGTACCCTCAGCCAAGTAGCTTCCCAAACCGAGAATCAGAATAAAAAGTCTTATGATCGCCCGTAGTCCCTGACCATGGGGGTTGTAACCCTTACATGTAATCGATGCAGGATCATAGGTCAACGCTCAGTTGTACTGCGCATCGGCGCATCGACTCCGCCCGCCGGTACATGCCCTCCGTGCGCGCATCGAGTCCATCTGAAAGGCAAGCGTTTGATGGGAGGCCTCGCCCAGGCTCCTGAGATTGGGATGACAGGCGGAATCCAGGGAGTGCCCGACAAAGCACGAATCCACCACCCCATTCGGTATATCGTGGGAGTTTGAGGCTGAAGCGAAGTTGACCAGGGCGCGAGTGGATAAGAGTTTCATCGTTATTTCCTGAATTGAATTTTTTTTAGTTTTTTTTTTTTTTTGTCTCTCTGCTTCTATTTTTTCAAGGAGATCTTGTCGTTATCTCAATTTGGAGTGTTGTTTCGGCAGTGCAAAGTCTAAATGTCCCCGCTATCGGCTATACGGTACAGGCACACTATACAATAGTACCTGACCACCTGCTGAACCTCAAGTTTCAACTACCTTTGCCTGGTTTTGGAGTTGAATGCGAGGGTCTCCGGTTTGATGTATGGAGAGAACTTGCCCGGGCTTTAGGTGGGGGTTGTTGTTGGAAAGTTGGTCTGGACCTTTTCCACGTTGTTCCGGGCCATGTTGCCATGTCCTAACTACACGTAATATGGTAGAGGCTCTGTAGGATGATGCATGGATCTGAGGTTTGTGTTACTGATTTCTTGATCTGATGATTCAGTGGTTTCAGGAATGCACTGATAAAAGTTCCCTAATACCATGAAGCATAATAAGAATTGAAGTACTGATTTGGGTTGGCACGGGAAAAAGCGATGCAACTGTCCAGCCTTGTGCCTCGTGGAGCGAGCGATCACTTGAACGATCCATTCAATGAGTTGTTCCTCCAGACAACGAAATCAGCTGAACGTTTTCGATATACAGTGGCTGATGAGTAGTTGCGCGGAGATCTGGACGGTAAGAGCGATTAAACTAAGAGGGATCCATGGGTCCCTCGTGCAAGAAAGCCGTCGCATGGACCAATGTGCCAGTGCCTCTGTGCCTCGTTTTATTCTTCGCCATTCCATAAAAACGACCTAGTCGCTTGACTCGCTACTGGTAGAAAGCTCTGGAAAATACCTACATCCGAGCGGCTCTTTTTACATAGGTGGGCCAAGTTCAGGACATGAGCCTAAGCTATTGTAGGTACTCGGTAAGTCGGTAGGGTCTTAACTTTCAAGGCATGTGATTGTAATATGAACATGTATTCTCAGCCCAACCTAAACAAGCACTTGTACAGAGGTACTGTTCTTGTACTGTCAATCCCACCCCAATGCTAAATGCTGATTGCTGAATGCTCCTGGTTTTCGTGACCTCTGCATTCTCCACTTTTCACGATGTGGTTATGGGCAGTACAAGTTACAATCATTATTTCCCTACTCCCCCCCTTTTTTTTTTGAACTCACCCGCTAGTTCCACTTCAGCCACAGTTTGATGCGAGCTCGCCGTTTCAGACTGATCTAGTGGAGACTCGGGCAGCTCAGATACCCACCTTTTTGGCGCGACATGATTCGAATGGTTCGAGAACATTACCCAAAACACGCGCGGTCGGGCCGGTGGCGGGTCCTCGTGGCGAGGCAGGTGCATGCTTGTGGACTCCGTGGAGTGTAGACTGTGGAGTGTGGAATGGTAAATTCAGACGTCCGAAGTGGTCAAGTGTGGCTTTTTTGGAATCCATTGATTACTCCGAGAGCTCCGTAAGACTGGGCAGTAGGCACTAGGCACTGAGGCAGTAAGATTAAGCTGAAAGCTCCGTTTCTAGATTGTATACAGTTGTACTAAGATCGATCTGATGATACCGCACTGCCGCAGTATATTCAGTCCACTCAATCTAGTATCTATACTACTATCGGTATTTACTATTTACTGACAATTGAAAGTCTTGTAGGTTGTACACATGAGCACAATATACCTCAGTATTCAGTGTATAGGTACCTATGTGGATCCTATTTCGGACAAGATGTACTACTGTAAAGACTCTGATATTTTTTTTCTCGATTTCTGGGGTTATCATTACCGAGTCGGTTGTTGATCCACGCAAATGGACATCATCACACAGGCGGGCAAGGTTGATGCACGTGGATTCACAGAACCCACCTGTTTACCCACGATCATAATGATTATGTCTCAAGGCTTGTCGATCACTCTTGTCCCACGCAAGACACTAACTGGGTGCTAAGGCGCTTGATTATTCAGACCTTAATCAATCGCGTAAGACAAAGGCAAGAGTCAATAAAAAGAGGAGCAAGTCAGACGGCTGCCCCAAGAGCGGGCCCGAAAGGAACTTTGGAAGACGCAGCTGATTTGCCCTAGAAATCGGCCTTCCTTTGAAACTGCCTCCCTGATCGGCAAGGCATGTTTGGGCTGGTTCATTGGCTGAAGCAGAAACATTTAATCTTTGGCGTTGCAGATCAACACACTGTACATAGTGAGTAGTTGAGTACTAATGAGTAGTGGAGGGAATTGTTCAGTCGACGACGGACTCATGCACCAAGGGCTGAGACAGGTGATTCAGCAAACTCGTCGATCATCAGGGGTACCTGGGTAGTCAACTTGAAAACCTACGTCGGCAGCCGGATCACTGACTCGCGCGCTCATTGCCCGATCTCCTTTTCAGAAAAGCCAAAAGACTGAAGATCTCAATTCCCGGGCGTCGCAAAACAAGCTTCGGGAGGGTTCCGGCCTTCTAGACTCATGCAGCTTACGCCTTACTGAGCTAAGGTACAATATGGTGGGTAAGGCCATGCCTGTTCATGCGGACAATATCAACAAGGCTGAACGTCACAGACACGCATGCAGGAGCGGGTGGGCCTCGACAATTCCACAAAACACTTCTACTTTGTCGGAGGATCGTTGCTCCTGAAATGTTCATGTCACTCTCAGTGGACTCGGTGTCAATTTAGAAACACTGGAAATTTCAAGCATGTCACAGGTGTTTGGTTGACCTCAATCTTCTCTCTGTAGGCGCATCCTGCTGCAGACTTAGGTGACATTGACAACTGCGCACGAGAACGATGGTGTACTCGTAATATGAAAGGGCTTGCAGCTGCTCATTCCGCGAATAGCGTTTCTCGACACACCCAGTGTGCTGTCTCCGTATGAAGTGTCCAATATCGCCGATCCTCTGTCAACTCGGTCATCTCGCCTCTGAAATGCTGATGGTCACTGGTATTCCCCAGACGTCCAAGTTCTTCAAAAACAAAAATCTGATCTCGCATGTAAGAATCGAGGCACGATCGCTTGACGGCCAAAGGCCTGACCCGCTCCCCTCCACCGTCGGACTGAGCCTGTGTATCATCGAGCGTCTCAGAGAGCTCTTGGAGAAATTACTTATACAATGGTCGATCATGTTCGAGACCCGCTGGAGATGAGCTTCAGTGCTGTTTCTGTTCAGAGGTTGATCCTGCCCTTTCCTGGGCGTTTGATGTTTGTCCAGCTTTCTCTTCTGGCCTTGCGGCGCGGCTTGTCTACATCGAAGAGCAATGTGTCGTACCCGATCCGGAATCCGTTCGATGAATGAGCGACCAGTAGAAGGAAGATTTGACAGAAATGGGACGTCACCTCTGTCAGATGCGTATTGATAGGGACTGTGCTTGTTCCATCCGCCGACTCAGCCAAAACGGAGGACTCGATCGTTCTCAACGCTTTCCGCAGTCTCCGATGAGTCTCTCTTTCAATATGATCCGGAACAGTCAGGCATGAGCCATTTCTCTCGTTCTGAGGCAGTGTATCTCTCGGTGCTAACACGATCACGTCGATGCGGGTGACTTGCCCGCGCTCAAAGCTCATGAGATCGATCATCGGAAAGCGAGAAGTCGGCGACAGCCCTTCGGAAAAACATGACTCGGACGTTGGCAGGGGACGAATGAAGAAGCTCATCTCACCCATTGAGAGAGAACCAGTTGCCCACCCCCGCTTGTGAAGCTTTACCGAGAGTGCAGGAAGACCTAGACGCGCGAAATTTGGTTCAATCACTTGGGAAATATAGTCGTAAGATGGACATCCAGAACCATTTGTCCCGCCGACGATATTGACTTTGACAACTTTAGTTGATGCTCGTGCTCCAACATGAATCTTAGGGATACAAGGCCTGAAAGATTAGACAGATGGAGCCTGGTGTTTGCATTCGGATGTTGTACTCTGAATTGACCGAAACACCGTTCAGTGGCATAAGCGCGGCATTGAGTCGTTGATACTGCCCCTTGGGCGTCTGTGATGCTGTTGCTGGATCTGAAGTCTTTTCGGCTTGCGGTGATGTCAATGTGATACTCCTGGCTCCAACCAAGTCGTTCGTCACATGGCTGCCACTTATCTCGGCCAATATTTTAACTGCGGCCAAATGCGAGCCTCAAAGCCCAGTTTTCCCTCGGCGATTTCCCCGTATATGATCAATCGTCACTGGACGACCCGCTAACGCCGAAAGACCACGGGTGATTCGAACAAGCTGCCCACCACATCCCAGAGTTCTGCTGTCAATGTGGATGTGTGGTGAGATATGCGGTGCCACGTCGCTAGTCTCGAAAGCAGCATTCTCCAAATTCTTGAAGCTACTCATGATGTAATTTCAGGGAAACGAAACCCACAAGGACGGTCATAAAGCACGTTGATAGCATTCAACCCGCATTTTGTGAACCAGCTCGAGGTAAGACGGACGCAACGGGAAGTCAGGCAAGAGGCGTTGGGCTGTGACTCATGCCTGCGGGCTAAGCCTTCTCCGTAAACGATGGCGGCGTGGAGTGAAGTGTGTAGTTAGTGTATATGCAGTACATGCCCGGCAGTTACACCAGGGAATGACACCGTCGTGCAAGAGCTTCACGATGACGCACAGGCTCTCAAGCTCAAGGGGAGTCGAGTGATCACTGTCGGGAGAGATTGATTGTATATTTCAGTGACTCTTCGTTGTTGCTGGTACGGAAACAACAAACGTGGGAAGGAGTAGATGATGGGTTTGTGTGACAAATGTGAATTCCCTCTTCCTCTGCCCACTGCATGGATGTCTGCGTTGACTGTTAGAAAATCACCACTACGATCAGGACTTTCTCTTTGCTTCCTTACGCGTAGGCATCCGCACACTGTTAGAATAACATCGTAGAGATCACGACGAATCATAGAGTTTGGTGCCGAATTCGAGATGGCTATCGCATGTCCGCGGGAACTAGAAAAAGGAGTGAAGAGACCCGTCGCTGCCTATTCAACATGGGATGCAAATTTGAATGCAATTGGGTAGCCTGCCAGTTCTAGGTACTCGCTGGCTGGGCAGGTATCTATAGAGTAGGCAACCACGTGATGCTGAATATGTGACGGACGTGTTGTACCGTACTCGGTCTCACTCTCGTGTGGTTCATGTCCATCTCATGGTTCGGTACCTGAACGTACCTGAACCATCGCAAATGCAGACAATCCCCAACTGGGACACGGATCTCTTCTGGGCTCTCTTATAAAACAACATGTCAACCGCGGAAATGGTACCTTGGTTCCATTTTGTTCAAGCCCTGGACTTTCCGAATGTAGTAACAATTGCAATTGCTGTTGGTACGAATTGGGTAGCGGCGCTGACTGAGAATGTCGTCGTTGACTTCACAGTTGCGCCTTCCAAAGCATCATTGTATACTACCTCGATCCCAGAAGCCTCAGATAAAGAAATATTTTTCTTTCTCATCATCATCTGTTGGTCTTCCAATTAAGAGAAAAAAAAATCCAAGTTTTGCTTACTTCTCCATACATAATTCCTCCATTTCAGTGTTTGAAATACGATACATCCGCAGTCTTTCGGCAGTATGTTTTCCGGAACTGGCGCTCGTGATCGACTACGGAGATCCATGTCGTCCCGATCAATGCGGAGAACTCGATCATCCAAAGATTTCTCATCCATCAAGACAAACCAGATGAACGCCCAAGCAATGGCGGCTGCATCTCGCGCCATGAGACCCAATGCGTCTTCGTCTGATTCCAAAGCGTATGATCGAGTGGGCGGCCCGCATCAAGTAGCCATTCCCCCACGGCGAGCGCCCTCGAGTCTTCGATATACCGAGCAAGAACCCATTATCGTCAACACCTTTTATGAAGCAGCTGGGGTCCCTCCCACACCTGTTCAACCAGAACCTGTCGAGAATGAAGACTGCCGTCCTCCAAATCCCGCGGAATTGCCGCAGATCATAGAGCCCGTGGGACTAGATGGACGTCTGAACTCGCGAGCTTCATCGTACCGCCGGCTGCGCAAAGCCAAGTCAATGTTCAGCACACGAGCAAAGTCTTCGCAGACTGTCTATTCTCCATCCCAGACAGAGACACCAAGAAACGCATTCGAGTTGAATCGAGGAGAATTTCATTGGGATCTGCCTCGAACACTGCGGCCCTCGCCGTCTCCCCATATCATCCAGCGACAACACAGTCATGTCGTTCGCCACGCGAAGAGTCATGATGCGGCGATAGAGCTTGCTCGTAGTCAATTTCGAATGGGCTCTTACAGCCCTGAGCCAATGCAGGAACGGCCCTCATCGTTCCATCGGAAGAAAAGGGAGCAGAAGAGGTTCCGCCAAACGCTGCGGATTACCAGTGACAATTCGCCCAGCTTGACTTCGTCACCCTATTCACTTTCGAGATGGAGCTCGCGCAGCAAGTCCCGAGCTTTGTCTGCTTCGATCAAGAGTGGCTTCCGCCGTATCTTCGGACGTTCCAAACCCAGCGGTGCGGGACCCGAGGATGCCCATGAAAGAGGCGATCTCTCGACCCCAGTCCCCAATTCCATCGCTGCTGCTGGGCAATCGTTGGGGCACGAAGGAAAGACCACCGTCCTGGCTAGAGATCCCGTGCCAGCGGACTCTCCCGATGGTGACAGTCTTCACACCGTGACATCGCGAGTAACAAGCTGGGCGGATTCATCGGTTGCAAACACCATCAAGACACACACCGTCCGGCGCCGTCAGTCTTTGTCCCTCATCGAGGAACACGATGATTTGAACAAACATCTGCCTGAGACACCTGATGCCTCTGCGGAGAGAATTCCAGCACGCAGCATGCGAGGTGGACTGAGTAGTCAGATGAGTCCCAGTGCGATCCAGAATTGGGCAAATAGCAATGACCTCTATTCTGCTTTGATGCAGCAGATCAGAGACAGCGATGCACGTTCGACTGATGAGGAAATTGTCTTTGGCGCGGTCCCACAGCATCGTGCGATTCCAGAAAAAGCGTCATCTATTCGCAGCCAACACGCTGTGCCACAGGTCTTCAGCGAGGAATCATCAGCTGCTGGCTCACTCGTGGTGAGTCATGTGCCCGAAATCGAGTCCCCCACGCCGCGCCGATCTCAGGGCCTCATGCGAGTTCCGAGGGTCATACGGAGAAGTCGCAATGTTCGAGCAAGTCGGCCGATCGAAGATGTCTTTGCAGCTTCGCAGGTCCCAGATATTGTCCCTTCGTATGAAGGAGCCGATGGGGACACCGATAGTGTTGTTTTCTGTTCTCTGGCCAGATCACAGACAAGGGACGATTCACCCAGTATCTATTCTCGAACAAGCGGTGGGACCCCTGAGGAAAGCTCCAGTAGAATGATTGCCAATGTCCTGGACAACGAGACCGGCACAGCGACTATCTTTGCGTCCCAGAGAGCCACGTATAGTTCACCCAACCGAACTCATGATCAGGCTCCTTCCGGGAACCCTCGACCGCCTAGTTTGGACTGGAAGAAGTGGATGGATTCTGAGATCGAGCGAATTGAGAACACAACTCCAGTCCGAGAGCACACAAGGGAGGGGGCCCAGCTTGGTAGTGACCAAGAAGACGACGTCTTCAAGCACATGGCAGAAGAGGAACAGACGGCCTCTGAGAAAGTCAAGGAGGGCCCTGCCGTGTTGCATAAGGGGAGACGTAATACCCTTGGCCACGCGTTAAAGCGTCAACCTTCCGGTCAGAACAATTACTCCCGGCCCTTCAGTCGAGCTTCGAGCATGAGCACTTTTCTACCCTCGCGCGGAACCCGTTCTCTGATCCACGAGAAACCGAGTCAACCTGCGGTGACTGAGAAGGGTACTGGCGGACCTGCTGATCTACCAGCTGAGGCTGCTAGCCCTCGGGAATCCTCCATCGTGCGGACAGTGCCTCCAAATCAGGGCAAAGGGCCGGAACCTTCGAGTGCGATTGCACAAGGGCCTGCTCGTGAAGTGTCAAAGCGCGGGTTGACTCAGGAACAGTACCGGCGCTATTCCGCCCGCCGACCGCTTACCGTTGGGACATCCACGAATGTGCGGTCCATGCGCAGCTTTCAAGCATCACACCGGATGCATGGTGAGAACACCGAGAAGCAAAAGGAGTATGAGGAGCTCTTGGATGACTACCATCAAGTCCAGGATTCTCCATCCCAAATTTCCAGCAAGCGCATGGTCGAGATGTTTCTGGAAAGTCGGCGCCAGGAGGGTGCAGGACATGTGGACGGCACGGAAAACGGCGACGCATTTGTCTAAATGGCGCAGCTCACGTGCACCGCAGTGTTATCTCCCACGTGTCAGATTGGAGAGTGCAGTTCTTGTGTTTTGCGCCATTTTTATGTTTTGCGTTGTATTTTGTAACCCTGTCATCGCATCTCTTATCCGAGATATTGATCCGCTTCCGTGGTTATTGGTCTGCGTTGTGAGAGAGGCGAGAACGGTTGCGACAGACTGCACTGCCGTATTATCGGGCTTTCATGCAAGTCTGGAGTTTGCAGTTTTCGTCTCTTGTTCGGTCTCTTGTTGAGTTTCTGGACCCTGTTATCCTTGATCCAAGATTTTGCTTCAGCTACGATGGACTTTTGCTACCTTGGCAAACGACGAACAAGATTGAGATTGCCCTGCCGTTTGGCCGGGTGTATGCAAGTTTGAGGTCTGTAAGGCTTTTGTCCTTTGCTTGATCTCAAGTCTGAAACCTGTCAATCATCTTTTATTCGGGAATTCACTCCGATTGCTATATGTTTTCTTGTTGCTTGTTGAAAGGCAAACAAGCTTGAGATATGAAGCCTCTATCGCTCAAGTGTGCTATGGTCACTGAAGGCAGTGTTAGTCCGTGTTTTCAGAATCAATCAATAAACTGTATCACATTATCTGGTTTCTCTCTGCAACTACCCTGAATCTGCGCTACATGTGCTACCTCTAAGTCAGATATAGATTCATCTCCAGCCTTGACTTATCTGGAAACTCACCACTTCCCAATCCTTCTACTATTAGGCACACGTGGAAACCCCTCTCTCGTTTGGCAGCATAGATACCCCATAGCCATCGCAGTTTGATCTTGCAAGTCGCACACCTAGCTGACAGCACACGAAGTTTGTCTCGAACGTGATACCCCTACGCAATGCGTCGCCGACGTGACCTAGTGGAGTCACTACAAGTAGTCTTCGCATGTCCGCATCAGCCAAGGGAGCTGAGAATGGTTGGAGACATTTCGACAGCAGGTCGACCCGCTAGAAAATTAGAGACGGCAGTGAAAAGCTTGACGTTCTTGATCTTGAATTGTTGGAGAATAGAGGATTGCATCCTTTTTTTTTTTTTTCTTTTAAATGCCGACAAGTTCTACGTCTTTCTCAGAAGCATGATTGAGGATTCAAGACCGAGGTATTGGAATCCATTTCACTACTCCACATAATTTGCAGGAAATGCCCCCTTGACACCCCGTAGTTCACCTTCCCACCAATCGTCCGTACTGTCTGTCTTGCGTATCACACGGATCCGATCACCCTCTTGGAAGGAGAGATCTCCTCTACTCTGACCCCCAAAGTCATAAATTGCAGTAACGTATGACGCTGCCCTGGGCGGAGGTGGGGGTTTCTTCTTCTTGAGAGAAGCTACAGCGAACGGATCACTTGCACCCGGGGTGGACACGGCAGTCGACGAGGCACGACGCTGCTGTTGAAAGTAGTCGACGTTGGGACCGGCGGGGGAAAAGGAAGGCCCACACGACGGGGGCGCTGAGGGATGAAGGAATGGATTCGGGACAATTGCAGGAGGGGAAGATACACGAGATTCGTATCCCGAGTAAGGCGGAGGTGTGCTGGACGCGCTTGCGACTGAGATGGGAGGTGTCATCGTTGACGAGCTAGGAGAGGGTGATCTAAATTCCGAGGCGTACGGTTTGGTCCCGGGCATTGGGGGTGGCACATTATATCGCGGGAGGCTTTGAGCGCTGCGATTTGAAGATACGGAGGACATGGTGCTGATGCTTCGACCGCCGATGGAAGGTCGCTTGTTCTGTGATTCTTGGGTCAGGCGGAGAGCCTTGCCATGGGCCACGATGGCCATGCTGTCGATCTCGGCTCGAGGGCCGTTGTTGCCGTCTTCCCAGGTCTGGATGACTTGGTCCATAGGAGGTGGTGGGTTGGGCCATCCTTCAGCTTCACAGTAGCCGGAGAGCACGGTATAGTAGTGTGCTAGCATGCGATTCTGGATTTCCACCTGCGCTTGAAGAATGAATGGCGCCAAAGAGAACAGCAGCGAGATGAGTGTGGGAAGTCGCTGCATCAAGTCATGGTCGGCCTGCTGATAAATCTGCAGTGTCATGGCAATTAGTCTGTCCGTCTCGTCGAAGATCATGAACAAGCTCTCCGTGTTCTCGACGTACCTCCTTTGCGACAGTCAAATCTGCCTCTGCTTTGGCAAGCGCAGCGTTCTCACGGTCGGAACGCTTTGGTTTGTGAATGAGACTATCGTATTTGCTCTGGAAGCGCTCAAATTCTGACTATTGATTTTCGGCGCAAGTGATTTATTAGTTTACAACTCGGAGAGACTCGAGATGGATGCTTCGCAACGGGTCCCAAAGTTCATACCTTTTTCTCATTCCGCTTCTTGATGGACTTCTTGACTGGAGCCAAATAGCTCTTTGCTTGCTCGGCCGGTTGCGACATGCGTCGCTCAACCATTTGCAATTCCTCCAGGAGGTCCCCCCGAAGCTCGTCATATTCGCGACGAAGATTGCTGGTTCGAGTTAAGAGGGCTTTAGGGGTCTCCTGTGGGGTATGACGGGTCTCTGTTTCAGAGGAGGCCAGGATCGGCGCGTATAGTCCGTCGAATTCATCGGCCAGTCGACTCTGGAAAGTCGCGATTGACACCCACGCATCGCGCCATGCTTTGGTTGACTCAACGATCTGATGCGAGGTGGGATCGATCAGTCTGGTGTCTCGACGGGCTGCGCGCTACTATGGTGGAAGCGGGGAAAGTGATGCTATTTTGAGACCGGGGGCGGGGGTTGGGGAGACTCACTTTGGTAAAGAGGTTGTCGGCATCTTCAAAGTCCTTGAGAAGGACAGCCACCTGGCTGTTGTCCGCGGACTTGGCCGTGGTCAACCGACCGAACCGTCTTTGCATGCTCTGCATCGTCAGCACAGGAGAAAAGGGCGTCCGACGCAATTGCAATGTGGTCGCGTTTGGACAAGTTCTTGGAGTAAGGAAGCCGAGTTCTCGTATAGTTAGGTAGTTGATGGCACAAGCAATCGCCGAGGCAGACAAGCGATGACGTTGCAACGTGTCTCGGCGGTTTTCAAGTGGAAAGGAAGACGGTTGAGGTTCACGGTTGAGATTCACCACAAGAATTGAAGAACAGCAGAAAGAAAATTCGAGGGAAAGTGACGATTGTTTATGGGCCCCAGCCTCCAATGTGAAACGGTGGTCTAGAGGCGAATCTAACGTCCACGGGGGAAACAGGGCTTTGGGACTCTCCACCTGGGAGACTCTGACCAACGTGCCTGATGTCTCAACCTCCAACTTTTTGAACCGGTTTCGCCTCCTGCGGCTCGTCCAAGCTCATGGAGAGTTGACCACAGGCCGCGAGCCCCTCTTGCTGGGAAAGGTTGGCCCCCTGCTCGGCAATCTCCAGTCGACGGGAAAGTCGTCAAGTACTGGGTTGCGATCACGGTGGTTGGAAACTTGGAGCAGATACACATCCCTGCCACACTAAGCCCGTCGTGGATGTAACTTGAGCAATGACTGGTAAGGGCTCACTGCCATCATGCCATGGAGCCCTCTATTCTCGCAAGTCCCCCATTGTATCACTACCTAAAGTTAGCAACAATGGGTACTGATGTAGTACTTCCCATCTGGGTCATTGCAGGAGTCACATGTCGATCAGTACCTACGTGGCAACGATTGCGTTCGACGCGTATGTTTACAAATGCATGATGTACGAATCAGCAAAGCATCAATCTGAGCTCCGAGGAGAAGATGAGCTCGCTGATCTAGCAGCGCACAGTGCATGGCATTAGGAGGGTATTAGCTTACCAGCCTTAGACCCGTAGTAGTGATAGCACGAGTACTAGCAGACTACTAATAGCACCATGTCCTAAAGCAGGGCTATGGACTTACAAGAGAACTGGATCAGGAGCCATTTAGAATTGAGTCACTTACGACCATCCTTCAGGCGATCTTGAGAATGAACTCGATGATTTCAGGGCCGTGGGCAGGAGTCTCCAGCCTGGACAACCTTGAATTCATGAATGCGGAGAGTTGCTGGACGTATCTGCGGGGGAAGCACCGCCCGTCCTTAACGGGCCACACTCTTAACTCACGACTACTTTCGTACCTACCGACCGGATTTCCTATGCCGCGTCTTGGCATTCCCCTTCCGGTTCGGTGCTCAGACTCTCGCCGCTTTTGCTCACTGTTTGCAAGGCATGTGATTCTGCCACTCACCACATTCCATGCTAATAGTACTAATAAGCTACTCTCACTAGTTATACTAAGTCCTTACATCCTAATAAGCGACTTATTATCATCTAAATAATCGAATATACTACCCTATAGTAAAATGCATTTGTGCCACGGCCCACGGTGGCCAATTTTAGCCTTCGTGGAGGCCGAAAAAGGCCCCCCGTGAACATTAATATTTGCTGTTTATAATTAACAATAGGCTCAATAGCAGAAGATTAGACATTATAAAAGCCCGTGACGGGCCGCCGATCAAAGCCTGAGCCCGGCCTACGGGCCTAACGGGCCGCGGACTCTATAGGCTTTTGTAATGTCTACAGAACATGAATCTGCAATATGTTTAGGAATTTTAGGAGTATTAGTAGTACTTGCAGAGGTTCATTAAGAACATTAGAAGGTCAAGTGGACCTCCCATCCTCCGCCATAAATGCGATCCGGCAAGACGCACTGCTTACTTTAGCTCTCAGGGTTCTTTGCTGGACTGGTCAGAAGCCCATTCGAGAGCATCTTTTAATAGGGTCCCAAATCTCAACCCAGCGCACATAGAATTTTGTGCGATACCTTGCCATCACTCTTTCGTATCGAAACTGCGTTTGGAAGTGTACTAAGTACGTAGCAGGAACGTGGGTGTTACAGAAGTGTGTGACTGATAACGCTAACTGAGAGAAGGAGTCCAAAGTCGATGTGTTCTGCCTACGGCTATACACTACCTGCGGACAGGAAGAAACCATGAAATACACGCGGGCAGCAAGAAAAGGAAGCAATTAAAAATACATATCTGGAGCATAAACAGGAACAAGCCGTCGTCAATAATAATAATGAAGTAGAGCAAGGTTTTCGTCACGGACGATGTTGTTGAGCAGAAGGGCTGCTAAGCGGAATGGAGATTCATGCGCTGCAGTGCTCGGGTGGCTACCAAACGCAATTGGCTTATCTCTAGATACACCATCCCATTGGGAGGTCCATTGCGCATCGGGTCTGGCAAGAGATGAGAGCCGAACACTTCTCGGCGGGTCAGTTCAAGTCGTTGGGGAGTTCGGGTTTGAGGGGGGGGCCGGGAAAACATCCTAGACGCTGTTAGTGAGTCGACTGGATAGATAGAGGTCTTGGACATACTTCTCGTTGGCGAAGCATTGGCATGCCGCTTCTATCACGAACATAAAGTTCGACAAAGCCGCTCACGAGTCTCGTGCGGCGGTTAAGTTGCCAGCTGAGGATCACAACGGCATTAATGGCCCCATCACCACCGACGAGCAGGAGGCTCATATCATCCATAAGATGATTCCATGATTCGCTCCACCCAGACTCCATCACAAGGGATGGGAGAGCATCGTTCTTTGCTCGAATGAAGAAATCAGGTTCTTTCCGGGAACAACGATAGGGGCCTGATTGGAACTCAAGGGCTACAAGAATCTAGTCGGGAGTCAATTCAGAGAAGCGTAGGGTAACTTACTTGTGCCCACTAGTGTTTCAATTTGGGCTTGTTCATAACCAGTTAAATCCCCAGTATCCCGCATGGCAATCTCGGAAAGACGCCACCAAGTTTGAACACAATCATGTAAAACAGTCGGCATAATTGTGATTCGTAAAACTTGGGTGAAAGAATTGTAATTTTTCCTGAGAGAATCAGTGTCAAAGAAGTCGACGAGAGAGCTTACATGCGTGGACTTACCGCGTTGAGTATCCGTCCCTTGTTTGGTTAATCGAGTCCACTGTCTGTTCCGCCCACAACGAGCTCACTTTTGTGTATACCAACACTTGAGGATTCGATGCGCGTTGGATTGCGTCGCGGACGTGAGACTCAAACTCCACCTGATCAACAAATTTGTTCGCACAAGTCGTGATCATTGTTGAAGAAGGTTCGGGGCTGGCGTTGGGGGAAAGGTTGGGTTTGAGAGGGCGCGACATGGTGGGCCGTTAGATGTGGTTCAGATATTGCGGAAAGAGTTGAAGGTATATTGTGAAGGAAAGATCGACTGTGGGAGAAGACACTAGCTTATCAAGGTAAGTGGGGAGATAATAATAATGACGGAACTACCCAGCGAAGTGGAGCACGTGCACCAATGGGATCGATAATTAACAGGTCCACACCGCGTTCCTATTAGGCAGCTAACTCCTAATACATACAGCTGCCTACGTCGGCGCGCTAAACCCGAAAGGGGAGAGGGAGAATCCTAAGGTTATCACCTAAATTGATCACTTCTTCGCCAAACGCGAACGGTACGCGTTGGCTGCACACGACAGTCAACCTTTATCTACCAGTCCAAGGACGAGCATTTCTGGCCGCTGCCTTCTCACGGGAAAAATGCACACGCTTTTGAGTGACAGATTGCCAGACTCGCAATGAGCACCCCCATCACACTCACTCCCCGAGGCACCGCCCCGACCTCCGCAACTGCTTCCCCGCTTACCGCGTCCGTGATCAAGTTTCGATGTCTGTACACACATGACCTTCGTCGAAAGACCAAGCGCTGGCAGGATGGCTATCTCAAGTATCATGCCTTCAACAAGCGAGTCATGGTCTATGATGAGACGGGGAATTACATCGGTGATCATCACTGGCGAGCCAACGAGGAAGTACAGGATGGAGACGAGATGGAGCTGGACAAAGGAGCCTTGATTCAGGTCGGCGAGCGGATGGAAACCACACAGACAGACTTGACAAATTTGCTGGAAAAGAGGAAATCCAGCCAAGGCTCTCCGCAGGCAAGTGGCTCCATCTCGCAAACCCCACGCGCCTCGGCGCCCACCAGATCCTCAGCTTCGTCCCAGCCATTCCGCTCCCTCAATGAATTGTTGGGAATCAAAAAGACCCAAGTCGGTCATCTAGCCTCGCCATATGAAGAACGTCACTCTGTCGGGTCATCTGCACCTACTTCCCAGGCGGATGACCGGGCATCTAAGCGGCAAAAGGTCCAAACGGCAGGGCCCGCGACCCGGAACAAGCAGCTCAGTCAGTCACCAGTTGTGGACCTGACGGGCCAAGAGGATGAGTCGCCTCTGGCTGCAGTGCAGGATCTCGAGAAAAGGAAGAAGCTAGCGCGCGAAAAGAACCTAGCCAGAGAGCAGCGATTACGCAATCTTGGAAACGAGCCCCAGAGGCCATCAGCAGACATGTCCCAGGATATATTGATACCATCAACGAGTCCCAAGCCTTCGGCACGCTTGAATCGCGGGGTGCAGGCCCATCAACCGCCCAAGCCAGCCAAAGACCCTCTGTCATCATCCAACCCGTCTAGAGAAAGTACTGGGTTGCCGGTCAGCAATACCGATAACCGCAAGGCCCCGATCAGCGGGCCAACGTCCCAAAGTCCGCAGGCCAGCTCTTCCATCACTCCTCTATCGAACCAGGCCACCACTTGCACAGACACGGGTCGAGCAGCTGCAGGCTCGCCGCAGAGAAAGCCAAGACTCGAGAAACCGACTACACAGGATTCCACAGCATTCAAAAAACCAGCTCTACCGGACGTCACGCGTGCCGTCTCACCACCACGGTCAATGACAGCTGCACCCTCGAAAGAAACCGAGACTGTTTTTTCAAACTCCGCATGCGCAGCCGTAAATCCCACGAAAGGGCCTCTGTCAAAACCACCATCCACAATGCTTCGTCTAGCGAGCGGGAAGCCGCGCCGCAAGCTAATGTACAGCGCGCTTCTTCCAAGCGACTCGTCTCAAGGGTCAACATCAGAACAGCAGCCTACATCGTCTGTGGGATCAATGTCCTCGTCTTTTCCAGGCCGCAACAAACTAAAGATTAAATCAAGAGAATCCCAGTCAGTACGTACAAATGCCGTTCTTTGCAATAGCCTTGCTGATCTGTAAAATCACAGGGACTCCACAGCTCCGGTCCAGGTTGAGGCTTCTCCTGCAGAGTTCTTGCCATCCGCTTCAACCCAGTTCGTCCTCGAAGAAATGATGGCACCAACTATTGGCCCAAGCTCCATTCCACCCAAAGAGGAATTTCAACGCAGTTCCTTGATTGCGAATCAGCCGCCGAAAGCGCCAGTACGAAGAGCTCTCGACGCCCCTCTCCGGAAATCACTTTCGGATCCGAGCACGTTGACCCCTGGCCAACCCCGGCCGGTGTTGACTCGAAGTGCATTAAGTGCAGTCCCGGAGCATCATGAACCTGTTGAAGAAGGCCCGTGGACAGCTGAAGCTCTTGATCTATTTGATTTTTGGCCGCCTGGTCGTCCCAAGCCCTGAGATGTGGGCGCAGAAGCATACGGCCTGCATCGAGTTATTATTATTATGATACCCTTACTGTTAACCATGCAACCGCTTCTACGTGTACGATTTACTGAAACAATGTCAATTACGAATATGACCCCATATTACAAGGAAAATGGGAGTGTTCAAGCATTTCAAGTCGCCTTGATGCAATCGGGAGGTTGCTCTTACCGGGATTCTGTCGTGGGGTCTGTCCGTCAAGTATTCAGCTTGCCCGAATGACCTGCGACTTTGGGATACTATATGGAAGAATAAACTGTCCTGGACAGCGAACCGTCGTTCTACTGGGTTTTCTTGACCAGCACCCCCGAAATGTACGGCAAAGCCGACCAGCCAAACGACCGCTCAAGCTGCGCACTTTCCCAGCCACCATCTTGATCCGCAGCTCGTCTCAACGCCCCCTCCGTATCCCGATCCATGCAACAATCCCCGATAAAGTATCTCCATCCAAACATCATATAGATAGCCTGCGCCGCACGCGCCAGAAACGACCCCTTGGCAGTCCGCCATGGGTTCACCACATGCTCCGTAACCAACAACCTGCCCCCGGGCTTCAACAAAGCATACAATTCCCGCGTCGTCCGCTCCATCTGCGGCACAGAACACAAGACCCGCACACACAGAATCGTATCGAAAACACCGCTTCGATCGCGATTATGCGCATCAACAATACCTGTGCCCGTCGCTTCGAGCGCAGGAAGAAGTTCCGAGGATGCGGCGCCACAGCTCAAGACGTGGTATTTCGCCTCGAGACCCTCGGCTGCCGCTCTTGCGCGGAGCTCTGCGTGCAGGCCGACACATGGCTCGGCACCGTAGATTGATGTGATGGCTGGGGAGCGGAGAAGATGCATTTGGCTACCGGTTCCGGGGCCAATGTCTAGGACTACGCCTGAAGCCGTTCGGAGGAGTGGAGGGATGAGAGCTGCTGAGCCCACGAGCTCGGGTCCTTCGGCTTCAGTGGTGGTAGATGTTTCAGGCGCATTTGGAGCAGGCGCTGCTGTTCGGGCGGCTTTGGGAAAGAGTTAGCATGGGTCGTCGGCTATCGCTCATTGAGATCATGATACTCGGCTGCCGCCGGGCGGCATGAATGAATTGGGGGATAAGATATGTTTTTCTGTTTCCATGAAATCTAGATGGCGTGTGAACTGTTTTTTCCAGCTCGTAGGTGGTTCAACTTACTCGAAAATGCAATCCAAAATCGAGCAAAAGCTTCGTCGCGGATTTTGGCGGTCTGAGTGATGGGTGCGAGAACCTCGCCTCGCTTGACTGCTTCGACGCAGACGCGCATATAGTCTATTCCAATCTCCGTTAGGGTCGTCGAGAATACAATGCAAATAAGTCGCAAGATGCATGGTTCACAGGCAAGCAGATCGAAATCAAACTTCCAGAGGCGGGTCATGAAGCTTCAGAAGAGTACACATATGGTCATCCAGTGCAGTAGGGTCAAAAGACGCGCTGACCCATCCCACTAAGCGAATGCTCACAAAGCAAAACACTTTGCACACAATATCGTGATTCCAGGCTACCCAGAAAAATAAACAGAAAGAAGACTGGAAGCAAGTGATCGAGTGGAAAATGAAGTCATTAGAGAAGAGCCATAGCCACTCACAAGATATGGCCATGGCCATCAATTGGCTTGGTTCCAGCAAACCAAGCATTCGCTCCCGAAAGGGAGGGGGCGCCTCTGAAGACATATTGCTTTCACTTTAAACCAAGAGAGAAGACCTTTATCACCAATTTTGATGAAAGTTTTGGACTGGAGAGTTCAAACACCGTGAAGAGGCCGAGGAAAGCTCAAGAGCGTTGGAACTAAATGTCAAGGTCCACGACGGTCGAGATGCGAGTAGTGCTAAAATGCGGGCCCACTATTTATCTCGGCCGACGGCGACCTCGGTTCGGATCACGTGTTCTGAATTCGAATTGAGATAAACTCAAAATAATGGGTACAAGGCTACAGACCTTCAGTGAGAACAAGTTGGGGTCATCCGAAAGATATCTTTTGTTACTTATCACTTGATGTGAATAATACTTGAATGACATTGCATTCCAGGCACCTTACGAGCTGAAGCCGTCAGTTGTGCTCAAGCTGGATGTCGTCTCCATCAAGCAGAGTTTTACCATTTCCTAATGACATACAGCGAATCAGAAGCCTTGAAAGCCACTGCAGTATCGGAGTAACCCAGAATCGAATCAAAAAAGAGTATATCTTCAACTTGAGATGCAACGATGACAAAAGATGGCGGCTGTATTTCAACTTTCAAGGAAGATCCGTTCAAACAGGAGGGAGTGTAGAGCTGAGAGTAGCAAAGCGTAAGGCGGCAACAGTCAGAAATGGCAGAAGAGTGCCAGAGGGAAGAATGTATGAATTTAGTGATTATAGACACGAGAGAAGGAAAAAAGTAGCGGAGGCCGTAGTAGCAGGCATGTGTGCGTCAGACTAAGAATGATTGCAATGAGCGCATGGACAGCGAACAAGATGAGAGAGCGGGGAACGAAAGTAGGAGAAAGAAAGGTCAAAAGGGACAATTACCCGGGGGTCAGGTACCCCGGGCATTTTCCAGATGTCTTCAAGTCACAAAATGAAGAGGAGTCCGAAAACATCAACAGGTTTTGATGAAAGGATGCCGATGCACGACAAATGGCACAGGGGCAGGCATAAAAAACAAAAGGATGGCGAAGAGTGAAAGAAAAAGAAAATCGTGGCCGAGAAATGCGAGGGGATGGAAAGCCGTCACTGTTCGAGGGCCAGCCCACAAACTCGATCAATGTAATTGCAATGCGAAATGAGGCGCTTTTAATGATGAGAATGCATGCGGTTGACCCGCGGGCTGAACTTGCTGTTGCGTGAGAGCGAACCCACGTCATGCTTGCCATCGCAGCACGCGCGGACGTTCTCTAGCCGGTCTTCATCGTCGGCCTCATGTGAAAGCGTTTCCATGCTGGGCTTGTCGCGAATGCTCTCATCGGGAAGACTTGCTGGCTGTCCATTACGGGTCTTCAGACTGGAAAATGAGCCACGAATGGAGCTATTCAGGATCGAGCTGAGGCGAGAAGAAGACCTCGGGTGGGAATCATCCGGGACTTGTAAGGATCCACTGGGCCCTGAGGTGCTCAATGCAGGAGAAGCTCGTCCAGGTGTTCCTGCTCCAGATCGCATTGACATGGCTGAGGTGGCGCGCTGCGGCCTCTGGCGAAGTGTGCGGCTGTTGTACGAGGAAACAGACATGCGAGTGGCCAGACGGGACGACGATCGGAATCCGGGATTGAATTCATCAATGTCATCCAAGGTCACACTGCCGTTGTCTTCAGACTTTTTGCTTCCGTCTCGGAGAAGCAGATAAGACAAGGCATTGTACCAAGTTTCATGCCTTTGACTCGTCGTTGCGGTGAAGCGGACCCGGCGGCCAGGGCTAACAACCTCCAGGCTTCGGCAGTGCAAACCCGGAGGGTACGGGTTATCATCTGCAACTACACGCACAGCCTCAATGGGCACACTCTTGGTTCGCAACTGGGCCTTGCCTGCGGTCTGGGGGTCCTGCTCGCTCCAGTATAGTGTGCGCGTGTAAGGGTGAACCCAGAAGTAGCGGCGATGTCGGGTAGATGACATGTCAGAGGAACCAGTCTTGCGCGTATACTTCCACAAGAATTCACCAATCATAGTCTGCGTGATTGCTTGGATCATGCGCGGGTCCGTGTTGGCATTGTAGCCGTTGGCTATAGGTCCAGCGTAAGAAGTATTGAACCGCTCATCGAGCTCAGAAGCAAAGGAGGACACCGAGGACCGCCTTGACATTTGGCTCTGGCTACCTCTGCGCACGCGCGCCTGAGTGGACAAGGTCCGAGCAGAGCCAGGACCTGTGCTGGGCTCGTTGGGCGTGCGCGGAGCGGCTTGCACGTTCACTCGGTAAGCTGAAGCTGGTGCTGCAGGGGGCCCCATGTTGGCGGGCAATGGTGCATGTGGAAGGTCGATAGACTTCTTCTCCGCAGCGGCAATAGCTTCACGATGGTCAGCTGGCAATGGAGGGTGCACGCTGAGGGAAGAATTCTGGCTTGTTGCGGTATCCGGACGTCTCTGGCTCGATGTCGCAGATCTGGTAGATCGGAGCTTGGGAATAGCAAAGGGAGACACTGCTGCTGCACCAATTGCGGCCATTTCTGCGGCGTGTTTACCAGAGCTGGCGGAAGAGATCGGACGAGAAGAGTCTCGATCCATCAAGATCTGGTCGATCTGCTTGGAAGATAGGATCGTCTGGCAGCCGTGATCAGAGCTAACGAAGCTTGGTTGTTGTCTATCGGACTCGGGGAGCAATGCATTGCCAGCCACATCATTCAAAGCCAATCCAGCACTGACTCGTCGCTCAGCAGTGTGATCGATGCCAGCTCGTTGCTCCATGTCGGGTGATACGCCTCCGTTCTCCATGGCAGTAGCGGTCATCACTGTAGCCTTTGCCATATCTGTAAAATCTGTTTGCATGGCGATGTGGCTCATTGAAATGACAGGCTTGGCAAGAGCTTCCGAGGGTTTAGTCTCGATAAAGCTGAGATCAGAGATAGCGTGAACCGGGTGGTCCGGTAACCCAACCACCGCTGGCGCAATGGGCTCGGTGAATGTCGGTTCCGTCAAAGCAATCGTCAGATCTGGGAGGACAGGCTCTGGGACTGGGGCTTGAATAACGATTGGTTCCGGTGGAGGAGCCACCATGGCTTGCACTGGCTCTGTCGATGAAAGCTCAAGCAGAGACAACGAGAGATTGGGGACTATTGGCTCCGGTGCGGGGGCAGGCATGGCCTTGACCGGAACTGTTGCAGCTACAGCTAGCTCTGAAATTGCCAACTCTGGCAGGATAGGTACTGGCACCGGCGCAGGAAGAACGATCGGTTCGGGCGCAGGGGCTGGAACGGCCATTGCTGGTTCAGTGTGCTGCGAAGCGACATTTGACACCTCCATCTGGGGCACTTCAACTTCCTCAACGACAGGGATTGGCTGAGGTTCGGGCTCGGCCAATTGAGCTTGAATCGGCTCCGTGAAGTGAACAAAGTGAGAAGACAGCGACAACTCAGGAAGCTCTCGCACAGGTTCAAAGGGTATGACGGGCTCAAGCGGTGGAACAACTGCCTGTTTAGGCGCAGTCGACTGGGACTCAATTGAGGAGCAGACCAGCTTGGGAAGTTCAAGAACTGGACTCGTATGTTCCTCGGGCGCAGTGAAACCGCAAGAGAAATATGAGGTAGTAAGCTCAGGCAGACGCGGCGGTAGAGGGAGGGTTTCCTGACTGGAAATGGAGGCGACACTCATTTCCACCGGCTCAGCCTGCGTACCGGCTTCAACCAGCTCTACCTTCACTGACCGATCGTCCCAAGCCATTTTGGGTGGTGTTGGGACGCTCGCCATTTGATCTTGGTCCACATTGACATGCTTGAGGGGTGTCCACTGGGTGCTTGAATTGGTCATGCCGGGCTGTTCATCGTCGTTCGGAGTAACATCACGCCCAATATTCGGTCGAGGAGTAGTTGGCCGGTCATGCAGGGTGGAAAGCACAGCTCCAGTTGCGCCAGCAGCGGTAGCTCCCGCAGCCGCGGCGCCAATCATACCAGTAATGGACGTACTGGGCTCCCATGGATCAGTCATCACCCCTGAGTCAACCATGACAGGCTCGGAAATTGTGTCAAGCATCACCTCGGATGGTCTACGAGAGTCATTTGAAGGGCTCATGCGTGGAGTTGAGAGTGGAGAAGCTGCAACAGTATCTCCATCGTCGTCTTCATCACCACCCTCCAACTCTGCGAGTTCCGCGAAGAGGCTCTGACCCCCGAGAGGCGCAGGTTGCTCCTCGAAGCTCGGAGCAGGAGAAGCGCGTGCGCTGGACGGGCGGCTGTTGATTGCCATCGGAGCCTCACCAGAGGGACGGATTCGCCGGAGCACACTTCGCTTGGTCCGAACTCGGCGCCCAGAGAAATGGGTTTGTTGTCCGGGCGATGGGAATCCGCCATCAGTATCCTCCTCATCAGATGTGGCCGAGGCTGTGCTGTGGTACGGATCGCGATCGCGTGTCTTGCTCATGAGCAGAGATGGCTGACGAGTGCGGGGGGTCCTCTGAAGGCTGGTTTCGGTCTCTGTCAGATCAGCCGAATCATCGCTGCTGTCACCAGCCATGCTTTCGAGGCCAGTCTGGAAAGCGTCACTTTCGGTCGCTGTGGCACGCTCATTGGCTGTCTCGAAGCCTTCCTCGGCCTCGGTCGCGGTCTGGTACACATCGCTCGGCTCATCAGTCGAGGAGTCGACCATGGACCGAGTTCGCGCATCCCTAGCAGGTGCGGCGGGCCTGGTTGGACTACCCTGGCCGGCATTGTCCTCCCAGTCCGTATCATGGAATTCCAGCTCCACGGATGCCCTCTCTTTCCGACCAGCCCCCAGAAGGTCCGGGCGGGCAGGCTTGCGAACCGATGCTTCCTTTGTCTTCAACCGCTTAACGGAAGCATTGGAGGCGTTGGTCTCGCGACGACGCTGCTCCACCTCATCTCGAGCTTCCTGCAACATGCGCTTCAACTCGATCTTTTCAGTCTTCTCGCGGTGAATTGTACTTTTGAGATTCTGGATCATTCGATGCGCATGGCCGAGCGAGCTCTTGAGTGTTTCAGTCTCCAGGTGGCCATGTCGAGGGGTGAACTTGTTGGGTGATTGTGGAGGCGAACTCTCGGGCGTGACCTGGTCGTCATCATCATCGTTGAGCTCGTCCGGCAGGGCTCGGGCATCTTGCGACTCGTATTGACGAATGCGCATGGCAACTGCCTTAGCCAGCTCTTGATTCTGACCGGTCAGTTCCTCGAGCTTCTTCTGGAGAGCGAGCTTTTCCGCGTCGCCTGCAGTGAGGTTGCGGCGCAGAAGATGGATCTCCGAGTCGTTCATTTTTTGCGCAATCGCCTGTTCCTCGGCCAGCTTGGCATTGGTTTGCCGCAACTCCTCCACTTCTCTCTCGACTGCGTTCTTCTCTGCGTTCGCGGAGCTCAGACTGGCATTCAGCCGCTTCTCGCGCTCAGTTGCATCTCGGATTGCAGCCATGAGTTCATGAGTCTGTGTCTCGAGAGCCCAGTTCTCATCCTTGTAGCGCTGCTCGCTATCGTCGAGGGCGCGGATTCGCTGCGAGTAACCCTCTGCCTCGATCTCCAATCGCGATTTTTCGAGATTCACTGCCTTGAGCGTTTCCTCCCTCTCCGCCAACATTGCCTGTAATTGACGCACTTGGGCGAGAAGAGAGGTCGAGATTTCCGTGGCAAACTCGATATCGTGCACACGGCTGGACGGTTGATTGCGCTGTTTGCGAGATGGCACACTCACTTTGCTAGGCGAATTGGTCGATTGTGAGGCAAAGAGCGCAGAACTGAGAGGAGACTGAGACGAGCGGCCGTGGTCAGAATCAGAGCATCGAGTTAACCTTGCCAATGTGTGAAGTGGATTAGAGATTACCTTCTGGTCAAACCCTGACGTGCCTGATTGCGTGTCCTCCAAGCCAGCTGCCATGCGCTTGGGGCCCAAGAAGGCGCGAGCGGTTTCGCGGCCAATCTCATTATATTCTTGCTCCAAGTCGGCTAACCGCTGTCGCAGCTCTGGACCCATCTCTCCTTCATCTTGCTGCTGCTCAACTTCCTTCAAGCGATCAGTGAGGGCCTGCTGCTGCTCGATAAGGGCCGTGCCCAATTTGGATGCCTCCTCCAATCGTCGCTCGGTCTCTGCGAGATGAGCCTCCAAGGCGCGCTTCGCCTGTGCGGGCGAAGACGAGTTCAGGTTGAACAGCTGGGTGTCGAACGAGGAGTAGCGATGCGATTCGCGCGGAGCAGGGGTCTGCCCGGACGTGGTAACGAATGGGTCCTCCATGTTGAGAGACGGATATGTTGCCCCCAATACAGTTGTAATCTGTTATGACTCTTCTCTCTGGATGACGATCTATTCAGTGGCCGAACTTCCTGATGATCTCTAGCATAGAACTGGCGGCAAAACCCGGCGACAAGGTTCCCGCGCGCACGATGATCCTGGGACACAAGTTTACTTGGAGGATCTGTTCAGGCGAGCATTATTCGGAACTTTCGTAGCGAGTGGAATCTGCGTCCCGTGTTGGTGAAGATAATACAATCGGGGAAATTGAGGGGGGCAGAGCCGACCGGCGACCTCGTTGAAAAGGTGTCAACACGCGCCCAGCTGGGAGAGCGATGCTCGGGTGGTTGCTGAAGGAGAAATCGTCGCGAGGTTGCAGTAGGTAGTACAATGAGAGGACGATCGAGCAGAACAAACACGACTGTCCGATCGACAGGCGAATCAGTGAGATCCCGAGCCGGCGAGATCCTAAATCAGGTACACGCGCTTGATTGAGGCTTTCATGTAGCCAACCACAATACTCGGCGAAGCCCCCAATCGGATGACGATGTCGCGCTAGAGAGTCGGCTGAGAAGGGATTAACAATGGAAATTGGGGGGGGGGCGGATGAAAGGGAATTAAGATAAGGAGTAGAAGAATGTGAAAGAAAGAAAACAAAAAGAAGGAGAATCGTTGGAATGGTGGTAGAGAACGTGGGCCAATTGGTGATGCGAAGAGGGGAGGGCAATGGGCGACTCGGGCGGGGAGAAAAGGGAAGAGAGTGGGAAATTGGACGAGAGACGGCTAAGGTACGCTTCTGCGGCGCAGCCAACTGGGGACATTCTGGTATTTCGAAAGTGTTTCTGGGGCTGCGGGAGCGGGGAGCCATTTTGGAGGTCGGCCATAGCATTAGCACCTAACAGAGTACACAGTCAACTACGATTATCTGAGCTATTAGCTGTTTGAATTTGAACATTTCTACAATTATGAGATTGATCGGGAAGGCTCAAATTCCACCTGGGCTCCAGGAGTAAGTCGGAGGTCGCAGTGAAAGTAGGGACAATCGATTATTGTTTCATTGGTACAGATCTACATCGCGGACAGACTCTCGGGCGGGTCTATGTATCACTTTCTCGGGAACCGTCATCAGTCATCACAGTCTGAGCGATGTCAAACGCATATGCTCTGGCACCAGATCCACCGGGTCTGTAGGTACCACGCCTCAAGCCCCCGCGGCCTGCATGCGACGATTCAATAGTCTGTTGTATTTGTTGTTGTTGTTGTTGTTGTTGTTGTTGTTGTTGTTGTTCGGAGCTGTCTTTCAGCACGCGTCCGGGCTGAAGTTTGCACTGTTTGCCGAGATGGACTCCTCAAACCGTCGGGACCGAACAACCTTAACTTGCCGATGTGAGAGGTTGCCTGCACCAAGTTCCAAGCAACGATTCTGCTTAACTAATCTGATTCCACTTGAGTCCGGTCCCGCTCGACCATAAGATTGATGGACCTCTGATCGACTCGAGGGCGGAGGCAAAACCACATTGGGATTAAAGCTGTTGGATTGAAAGTCCGCCACCAATTGCTGAGTCACTCTCCGCAGCATTCGAGCCGTGTCCATGATCATCGATCAACCTAAGCCCTGGTGCAAGAACGAGAGATGACCGCTGAATTGCGAGTTTGACTACAGCTCTACGAATCTTTTCTACCTTCGACTTCAACACCCCGAGAGCGCAGATAATGACAGACGACACTGCAGCCCCCGAGGCAGTTCCTCAGTTTGGGTTCAAAAAAAGAGCCAGAGGCAAAGCCAGCTTTCGCAAGAAACCGACGACGCCGCCACCAGCCTCCGACTCCGGTTCAGATTTCACCTCCTCGGACGATGAAGATGGACAGCGCATCAAAAGACGCCGAAAGAATGTGGCCGTCACTGCTTCTTCTGCAGCAAATGCGACCCGGGGAGATCCAGCGGGCGATCAACCCACGAGCACCGGCCCGGCGCCTCTTTCTACAAACAACGATGCCACCAAGTCTTCCAACTGGTATGATGAAGACTTGAGCGCAAAGAATCTGCTGGGATCAACGCGCGCTCAAGCTTCGACGACAACTGGGCCTGATGGGACCTATAAAGGATCTGCCAATTATTCGAACTTTATCCAAAAGAACCCAGATGCACCCACAAAACAATTTGGCCCCATGAAAGCGCCCACCAATGTGCGCACGGTGACAGTTATGGACTTTGCCCCCGATGTGTGCAAAGACTGGAAACAGACGGGATGGTGTGGATTCGGTATGTTCATGAGTTCCTACCCTTTTCACTTGGTCCTATTCTTCGGCTGATTTGCTAACAACTGAGCTCCCAGGTGATTCTTGCAAATTCTTACACGCCCGAGAAGACTACAAGCAAGGCTGGGAATTAGACCGGGACTGGGAAATCGGGACCAACGGCAAGAAGCTGAGTGGACGGGTGGTCTCGCAACGGAAAGGTGCTCGTAAAACCGCCGAGGACGACGAAGACGAGGATGACGACGAACTCTTGGACAGCATTCCCTTTGCCTGCATTATCTGTCGCAAGCCCTACCAGAACCCCATCATCACCAAGTGCGGTCACTACTTCTGCGAGTCTTGTGCGCTTCAGCGATATCGAAAGAATCCCTCTTGTGCGGCGTGCGGGGCTGGTACCGGAGGTGTATTCAATACAGCGAAGAAGCTGAATACTCTGCTCGAGAAGAAGCGGGAGAAGGCGCGCAAGGAACGGGAGCAAGCCATTGAGAATGGTGAAGAAGTGAGCGAGGAGGAGGGAGACGATGGGGAAGGCGAAGAATGATGTGGAAGGTCCCATATTGCGACGCCTGTTTATCGCTGCAGCTGGTCTGAGCGATGGACAGAAGTGGCAATTCGACGGGGGGAAAAAGTAAACATCCCGACCTACCATCACACAGATACCCCTAGATACCCCTGAGTCTCTTCACTGGACCCTCGGTGCTTCCAAAACGGGTTTCGAGTCGCTGTCTGGCAATGACAGTCTGACAAGAATAGATGCCTGGATTCGGTGCTAGTCAGCATTGCGTACACCCGTCATCAGTTGTCACATATACCTTAGTTCTTTGAGTCAGGTGGTCAGGCCTGTACCAGTCCTCGAGCTCCCAGATTCTCCTAGGACCTGCTTGCCCTCCTGTGTTCACGTTGAAGACGGTCCAATCTATATGAGTGGGGAATGGTCGATCTTCTTGGCCGATCGCCTTTTGCGACCCATGTGTCCCACTCTCGAACACCTGCAGTACATCAGTCTGCTTTCACTTGATGCCTGCAACAGCTGAACCGCAAGGCCCGTCGGTTGCTCGAATCTGTGGAGTGTACTAGACTAGCAGACAGGAGTTACGCTCTGAAGACCATGCCACAGAGCTGGGGTGATGTTCCATCATTTTGTATGAAACGACACAAACCTATTGAATTGGAAGTGATCTGCTGTGCATCTTTCGACCGACCAAGTAAGCAATGAGTTCATCATGGGTCTAGTTGAAGACCAAGTCCGGTTGGCTTATGTTGTGGAGTTTCGTGTTGGAATGGATATTCTATCTTCGAGTCCTCGCTCGCTATTCATGTCTTGTTCATCTTCCATGTATGATGGATCAAATACTTCAGGTTTGCCTTCTTAATTGTGTAAAATCCGCCATTCCACAGACCAGGACCCGGCCATATGACTTGGATAAATCCAGGTGAATGTTCGCCTTCCATGTTCAGAGTTCACAGTCCACACTATACCAATGAGGAGAGCTGGAAGGCCGCTAGATCCGGTGCGACTATAGAAGTATAGATCGTATTTGCCAGCAAGACCGGCTGCGGATTGAATGGTGTCATACGAGGTTCAAGGTTGAATTGAGCAGGGAACAAATCAGATCATGTAACGAAAGCAAGACAACCCGTACTTGGTCCACTTAGTAGGCACCAAACGTTTCACGATCTGCTATCTCCGACGGCCAAAAACTGATATGCCGGCGAGGTGTCGCCTGCAGTGTCTGCACTCTGCAGTGTGATTGTGGCTCAGGGGAGCCAGACGGGTAGGAAAGTCATGAGTGCCTTGCATGGCCGGAGGAGGGGGGGCTTTGCATGTCTAACTCAGGACAACGCTGCTTGTGATTTAAACATAACCGGCAAAGTTCACGGGCCGCTTGCGTAGTGGTGGTACGTATGTCGGGCGCACGGGGCCTAGGGCACCCGAATACTCTGTAGTCTGTACCACAGTATGAGTTATTGTCCACTTAAGGTATTCGCTAGGTGTCCAGTACCAACTTGGTTGCTTACTTCAGAATGTTTGGATTGCCACGTGCGAGCCATGGTTCACAACATGGTGCCTATTCAAGATGTCAAGTTGCGTCAATGTGAATGTCATACAGTGTGGGCCTTACTTTGACTTGCAAACTTGGAAGGCCGCAGAGGCCGAAGTTATGCCACTGCTAAGTGGTCCGACTATTGGATTAGTAGTAGACTATTAGCCTCGTGGGTATGTCACTAAGTATTCGGATTGGCAATTGCGGCAGTGCTCTACGGTTAAGCCCCCACCACCTCATTATTTTGATTGACAGCCTAAAGTCAGAACTCAGAACGGGACCGCTGCCGAAAGAAGGTTTGGATCTTAACTCATCAATGGTCTGTCACTTGACAATCCTCATACGGAGCAGCAAGTGCATCGGGAGTCCGTGGACTCTCAATCGACCAGCACTGGACAGTGGTGAGTGGACCACTGGACACATGGTCATGAAGGTCAAACTTCCAAGTTCGTTCATGAGGAATGCCAATAGGTCCCAGGCTAGAGGAAAAGCTCGAACACTGGCGCATGACTTGGCCCGAGCCAAGCCTTGACGCTGACTCGGGGTCTAAGATCATGATTTGGACCCTGAATCTCTGCAGTCTCTGCAGGTCAGACCGTTGCCACCCATGAGAGCAAGCTTGTTCGTTGGTACTATGAACAAGCGTGCTCTGAGGAGATCCTGCTGAGCTTTTTAAGCATCAAAGAGGGTGTATCTGCTGTGACCCTCAACGGTTGCTCAGAACAGGATCCATCACGTCTCAGAAAGCCTCCTGGAGTCCTAGCCCTCATGACACTGCGGCTGTCGCTTGTTTGCAAACCCCTGGAGGCTGAAGGTTGACATCCACTTTGACCCGGAGAAGAGCCAATGATAAGTCTGGATGCAGGCGATCCCAGGTTAGACTCTTTCTCAGCCTTTCTGGGCCCGAGAGCAAGGCGCAGTTTTGGTGTGTCGTCGTGGAGTCGAGGAACGAACAAGATACACCCAAGTGACCCAACAGAATACGAGCGGTGGGAGGAAATGGTTGCCTGCTAGGGACTTGAGTTTGTACCTGAGTTGGCAAAGTACGGACACCAACGGTACGGCGCTGTTATTGCTTGCCGATGGAACGGATTCCCCACGTTCTTAGCCTTCTTTCGACCGTCTCTGCTTCTTATTGTGGACAAGACTGACTGAACTAACTAATCCCAAACCCACCTCCCCAGAAGAGGAATGGTGACCAACTTGCATGCGATACGGACGATGGCCGTTCAGGTGGACGGGGCCTGTTCCCCCCCACCTGGACTCTCCTGAGGTGCGGACCTCGTTGAGTCGGTTTTACCCCGTCTGGCGTCGGCGATACAAAGAGTTGCGGATACTCCCCTATTTTAAGATCCATCATGATCCTAGTGATCTAACACTCTTTTTCTCGTTCCTTTTCACTTTTCATCTTTAATTCCTTTACACTACTTTTTCATCCGAAGCTTCTTTTCTCACATACTCTTTGCTTTGCTCTCAATCCTCCACTTGAGCGTGTTCAATCTCTCTCTCTCTCGCCCTCCTTAGCCCAGTCAATCGTCCGACCATCAAGTCCGAAGTACGGCCGTGAATGAGAATCGGTAATTTCGACCCTGAACTCAGCACGAATCCTTGGAGCCGGGCTGAGCTTTGCTCGGAGCCCTGCTCTCCAATCACTGCACAAGGGGATCTTTCATCCATTGAGCAAAGATGAAAGGCGGAGTCCGGATCGCGCTCTGCGCTTCAATACTACTCTTGTCAACGCTATATCTGTTGGAGGCGAATCTTAAAGATACGTGCAGCCGTCTTCGCGCCGGCGCATATGTAATTGATTGGTTGAGTCATGTTACCATCGTGCAACGACCTACAGCTCCTCATGCTGTACCTGTGCTTGGTGACAAGGTGATTGTGATGGCTAGATTGCGAGAAGAGCCCACGGGATGGGTTCAGGAGGAGCTTCCTGAGTAGGTCATCCGTCCCACTTATCATCGCCCTGAAGTCCTGAACTATGATCGTCGCATCTGTCTGGCGGCGTCTTTTGCCAACCCCAGTCGCACAGGAATGTCAGATCTGCATTGGGATGGAACATGGCTTGTAATACGTTTCATATTCTAACTCTCGTCGATCAATTAGTTGGCAGCGTGCTATTTATACCGTCAACCCGACGGCCGAGGCTCGCGCTGATCCTCACACCCTGACGACCCCCGTCAACAAAGGCCATGAATCCATGGCCTACCTCACCTACATCATCGATCACTACGACACCCTCCCCTCCACCATTGTCTTCCTCCATGCCCACCGCGCCGGATTCTTCATGGCATGGCACACCGACGCCCCGCTCCACGACAATGTCAACGCCATGCGCATGCTTCAAACCGACTTCATCGAACGCAACGGCTACGTCAATCTCCGCTGCAACTGGAACCCAGGCTGCAGGGAAGCCCACCGGTTCAACGCCCACGTCACCGACCAAATCTGGTGGGATGTCTTCGAGGGCACCAGCACGCCCCCGCTGAACGCATCCTCGCCGGTGGACCAGTCATTCGCCCACATGAAATACATGCGCAAGCCCGATCAGGTGGGCGCCGCGTGCTGTGCACAATTCGGCGTGTCCAGAAGCCAGGTGCTGACTCGACCGCGCGACGACTATGTCAAGTTCCGACAATGGGTCATCGATACCGAGTTGGACGATGCCACGTCCGGACGAGTAATGGAGTTCCTGTGGCATGTGATCTTTGGCATGAAAGCGGTGTATTGCCCTGATGAGGAACTCTGCTATTGTCAGGTTTATGGCAAGTGTTGAAGTCCAGGAAAAGGGTTCGCCCCTTTGACAGGGTGCATTGCATTGTCTCATTTTCAGCGGCGTTTGATGTACAAAATTTTTCCCTCGCTCTTTTGTTTTTGCCGAATCCATGGAGATCCATTTTTCCCCGGAAACTCGGTGATGCCGAAAAGCCTTCCTGCACCGAGAAGCAACGGTACTCCAGCAATTGATGATGTTTCCAATACCCCCTCTTGTCTACTTTCTGGGATGAGCACTTTCTTTGTTGGTTTTGACCTCCCACATGCGTAACTCATGGCTCACCAGCATTGACGCTTTTGATAGACTCGTCCCTCGAGAGCCACGATATTTCTTTTTGGTGGTTTGAATAATACAGATCACTGCGCGAAACAATTTTAAAAATGTTCAAATTCTGTCTTGACGAGGCCCGGACTTTTGAAGTGGCACTAGTACAGTAAAGCTATAACTGCGAGAAGTCGGAGCTTTGACGGGGTGAGCTATTTGTCTCTGCCGTCTGAGCGTCCCATTCCCTGGTTGCCTTATGTTTCCGTAGAGTCATTCCATGTTTCAGGCATAGTTCGGTCCGGAGGTGACGCACAGAGCTGTGTTACTCTGGAATTCTATTGCACTGGCGAGACGAGATTTGCTTCAATATTAAGGTAGGCCTGCCACAAATGGATGTTGACCAAGGGAGGCTTTTCGAGGAAGGACGGTAGCTTGAGAGATTGTGAATCTCTGCTATCACCATCTTGAGGTTGTATGACCACGGAATTACATCGATGTTCCTGGGCCGATGGATCACCTAGCAACACAGTACGTTGGTAAGAGCCCATGGGACGGCGACGGAAAGAACACACAGCAGCTTCATTTGAACACGTTTTGGGCAATGCTGATAGGCTTAAGCTAATTCTTCCTCTCAAAGTATTGCTCTACTTGATCAATAAGGTCATCCTTCTTTCCAGCCGTGGCTCGACCATGGGCGTTAAGGAAGCTTTTGAGGACATGGAGCGTCAATTTCTTCAGCGTCCCTCTCTCATAGCACTGTCGGACTTGCTCTTCCAGATCTGCGGGTTCCTCGGTCTTCACACGCTTTGCAGGGGGTCGACTTGCGCCCTCGCCGGCGTCCCGCGCCTCTCTTTTCACCAGGGTTGAGGTTGTTGCAGCTTGGCCGCCATACATCTTGTCGAATATCATATCAAGTAATCGACTCCACTCAAGGACGTAGTCGCCAGCACGCTGGTATCTGATTAGGTCCACTTCTTCGTCAGAGGGAATGATAATATTCTCCCCGGAGCTTACCTTGTCGATTTGACGATATTTAGGTTTTGTCTTGTCCTCCGGTTCTCCGGGATAATCCTCATCGAGGGCCAGAGCCTGCAAGATACGGTAATGCCATTGAAGTGCTTTGGGTATGTAAGCAACGAGCGAAAGCAAGCACGAGGGAGATATCGACTGTGGGGAAGAGTCTCACCTGGGTTTGGGTATTTCTGGGCATCATATGCTCCCCTGGGGAGTTGCAGCTGTCCGATGACTTGACGCATCGCGTCTGTCAAATTGTCCGGCGACACCCTCAACACCGCAGGGGGATTCTCCCGCACATCATCTACAAAGGGCAGAGGAATGAGCCACATGCCTGGTGGTACCTTTTGCACTCCATTCTCATCAAGTCGTTCTTCACCAGCAATCATCGCAGCGACAACTGGCGCAGAGTTTTTGCGGGGAATGAACCAGACAATAGCGATCTTTTGGTCCTTCAGGAGCTTCTGATGTAAGGCAGAGAATACACGGGTTGACCCCACAAAGTCATCTTCGGAAGGGTATATGAAAGAGGGGTGCTTGACATTTGCCCAAATGGGCAAAGCGGACAAGGGCTTGAACCCAATGATACGAATCACAGGATCTCCAAAGTTGCGCAATGCTTGCAACTCCTCCGGCGTAAATGTGACTTGCTCACCACCGAATTTGTAGGCCTTTCGGATCTCTGATTTTTGCACCGTCTGAGCCGTATCGTCTGCCATATGTGCCGTGATACCCTTGACAATCTGGGGCTTTTCACCACCGAGCCAGACATAGCAGCTGCGAGCCGGCTCCTGTTTCTTGAGTAGTAGGTACCCATTCACGGCTATCTTGAAATTGGGTCCTATCTCGAGAGGAACATTGGAAAAGAGTGACCGCCGCGGCACGGCACGGGAATTGATGCTCGACAACAGTGAGTTGAGCAAGGAGATCCCGCCGCCTTTGCCAGTGGGGGTTTTCGTGTCTGGCTGGAGATATGTAGGAGCTTCGCCATCACGCGGAGAAGGCTTGTAGATAATGTCCTAGTCGCTTCGTCAGCATCGTGATCTTGTAATATATGCGGGAAAGTAACGTACATCATAGAACTTGGATGTGTCAAACTCATGGTCCGGACGGGAGATTGGGAACAACTCAATGTTTACACTCAGATCGTACAAATCCCTCGCCCGAACCGTCGCGGCCGACCTCAATGACTTGTTGTCTTGGTGGGGATTGTCATCATCGGTGACGATGAACAGCCGCCTGGATAGAAAATTTGGAGCCTTGGTAGTGAATATTTGATTGGCGCAGAACAGTACATTGGCCATGGAGACACGTTCGCTTGAAGGTCTCAGAATACCCCGCGCGTTTTCTTCATTGCCAGCCAGAGCCCGAAGATTCTTGACCTCCTGAGCAGACGGAATGTCAAGATCAGTGAAGAGGTAACAATGTGGGTATGATAGATCACCCCCCGTATTCCCGTCCTCGTCATAGAATTTCGTAGATTCGGTTCCGTACAGCAAAACCCCCATCATATCGTGTGGGTTCGATATGATGCGCTGTTGCATCAAATAATATGCGCACTTAAGTGCCGCTGATGTGGGAGACTCTTGAACTGGCCTTCTCGAGTCTTCAGACAGCCGTGGTTCCAGCATAGAGCTACTCACATCAATTGCGAAGAGTACAGCATCTTTGACAGCACGGAAGCTCTTCACCTCAATGACATTAGATATCCACGGTCCATCAATTTTACACACTGATTTATATTTCGTTCACTTACGGTCTCATCAACTTCTTCTTCCTCCTCCGCAACATCATCGTCTCGTGTGAAGTTATCGTCGGTCATGACGAGCGAATTTATCCCCCAAATGCGTTACTATGAATTAGGAAGAGAAGTTGACGAGACCTACCGGCGCCTTATTTGCGTCACATGGGAGCTGTTGCCTGCGACGCGAGCTAACGCGGAAAGAACGCGAAGGTCATGTGATCTAGGCCGTCCGGCTGCTTATCCCCAACGGTATTACAATTGGCCGATCCCAGTTACTGCGTCATTGATTGTGGATCCCATATGCCTAGTTGCACGTCCCGATATGGCCTAGAGCCGTCTCTGTTCCTAAGCATCTGGCATCTGGCTGAAATCGCGGCGCAGATTAAATCTCACTGAGCGCCAGTCCTTGGGAAAGCAACTTTGCTCGCCAGAAGTCAAGTCCAAATTGCATTTTGTTCGCAAGCTGCCCGTGCTACAATGTCTTTCCGCGGTCCCTTTGCAATTCCTCGGCGAGTATGGACCAGTGCAAGCACATCAGTCCTGCGCCCGATGCCTCGGAGTTGTCTTGGTTTCGCCAGTCACCAAAGATGCGGCATGGCAACTGTTGTGCCCCCGGTCACCCAAGACACGACAGGCTCGAAAGGGCCTACCGCAATGGTGTTCCTGAACATGGGTGGTCCATCGACGACCAACGAGGTTGAAGACTTCCTCGGCAGGTTATTCGTATGTGCATTCAAGCTCTGCGGAAGTGGCACCAACCCTTGAAAATTGGCAGAGCACTAATCCATATCCCCTCACATGACCGCAGGCCGACGGTGATCTCATCCCACTGGGACGATTCCAATCTTACCTGGGCCCTCTTATCGCACGTCGACGAACTCCAAAGATTCAGAAGCAATACGCAGAGATCGGTGGAGGCTCGCCAATCCGGAAATGGTCCGAGTACCAGTGTGAGGAGATGTGCAAGCTGCTCGACAAAATGTCGCCGGAGACTGCGCCGCATAAACCTTACGTTGCGTTCCGCTACGCAGCTCCGCTTACCGAAACTATGTATAATCAGCTATTGGCCGATGGTTTCGGCAACGGGAAGGGGGGTCGAGCAGTTGCGTTCACGCAGTATCCGCAATACTCGTGCTCTACAACCGGTAGCTCCCTGAATGAGCTGTGGAAGTGGCGCACTCGTCTTGAAGGCAAGCGCGCCAACGGTGAACCTGAGCCCGCCGGAGCCATCGAGTGGAGTGTTATTGACCGGTGGCCTACGCACTCGGGCTTAGTTGAGGCATTTGCGCAAAATATTGAGGCTCAACTTAAGACGTATCCCGAGGAGAAGCGGGATAAGGTCGTGTTGCTGTTCTCTGCTCACAGTCTGCCTATGGATGTTGTCAATCGCGGTGAGTCCCCCACAGACTTGCCCCAAACTCCCTCGTGCGAGTTCTCCTTCTAACTCTTATTTAGGTGATCCATACCCCGCCGAGGTCGCTGCTACAGTTCACGCAGTCATGCAACGCTTAAACTTCAGCAACCCTTGGCGTCTGTGCTGGCAGTCTCAGGTCGGACCCAAGGCTTGGCTTGGCGCTCAGACCCAGGACACCGTCATGGAGTATGTCAAGCGCGGCCAGTCAGATCTCATTCTCGTGCCCATTGCCTTCACCAGCGACCACATCGAGACGCTTTATGAGTTGGACCTGGAGGTCATGCACGAGGCCAACAGCCCTGGGGTCAAGCGAGCGGAAAGCTTAAATGGCAATCCAGTCTTTATTCAAGCCTTGGCAGATATCGCCCATGCGCATTTGAAGACAGGCGAGCCCTGTTCTGCTCAAATGACCTTACGCTGCCAGGGCTGTAAGAGCGAGCGGTGCTTGGAGTCGAAGAAGTTCTTCGCCGGCAAGCAGCACGGCTCCTTGGTCATGTGAGAGTCGAAACATCTGATTCTGTTTCCACCCTGCCAAGTGAACATTTCATGGCTGCTTTTGTTTACATGAAATCATCATTCAGCCTTCCGGGAGATTACAGCTCGAGGGGTTTCAGGCGATGCACAGGCTGCATCTTCACCAATGTAATATATAGCAATCAAACTTTGTTTTCACAAGCGTGTCAATATTTCCCCAACGATACCAAATAGGGTTCCAGCCATCAAGATCGATGATTCCATTACTTGGTTGGTCATGGAAATGGTGCTTTCTAACTGGCTGAAGAGGTCGTGGAGTCCGGAGATTTCGGGGGTCAAGCGCCTATCAGCATGATAGCTCGATGCGGAGTCGAGTCCCGGGGGCAGGGGTCCAGGATCTGTGTGTAGGTGTACAGTGTTCTATGAACGGCACGGGATCGAGGTCGTACAGTCCAGTTGGCAATGCACAAAGCAGTTTATTTCAGTAGCGATCGTATAATAATTGGCTGGATGGTCATCCAGTCGTGTGTGCAACGTGCATAGCAGGGCCACCGTCACCATAAGAAAAGGGAGTCGTACCTGGTCAAGCGATTTCGGGGCCTGGCACAGGAAGCACCGATTGCCGAAAGCCTGCTTTTCTGCTTGATAAGCCGATCTGCATTCCAACCATTGGCCTCCTCGGCCACCGATGTCAGCAAACCACCTTCCTTGTGGACTGACTTATCGACTGGTCATGTTGATTTAAGTGTTGCATCCGCCCATTGATCAGCTCAAATAACTATGCTCCTCAACCGCTCCGGTCTATAGCGCACCATGGAGAATGAAGCTGTTTTCGCGGGCGAGCCCGCTCTGGATGTTCAACAGCAAGTCGCAGATAGCCGCCCCGATTCGGCGGCCTCGAAATCGAAAACACTTCAAATTCAAGCGCAATCCTTGCTAGGTGACGATGAGGAATGGCGGCGGGAGCAGGCAGCCAGAAGAGAACATGCAGAGGAAGGTCCACGATGGCGACGGCCTAACGTGAGTCAAGCGCGACTAATGGTACATTCTTCTCTGTTTTGACGTTCTTCATCTTCACCGTAGATTTGGTGGCTGCTGCCATTTGGGCTGCTGTACACCTTGGGGTTTGGCGGCCTTGCCGTACCCAAGATCAACTTGATCATCTCCTTGGTCTGTCGCGACTACTTCGCCGAGAAGACAATACATGATCCTACTTTCACCTACCTTCCAGTCGTATTTGGTGAAGATAATCATCAGTGTCGACTGCCCGAAATTCAATCTCAAGTTGCGAAATTCCAACTGTACATCAACCTTGTCACCGGTATTATCTCTGCTCTTGTGAGTCCACGCCTCGGCCATTTATCAGACCGATATGGACGAACGACCATGATTGCGTTGTGTTCCTTGGGTGCCGTCTGCAGTGAAGTGATCTCAACGATTGTGGCTACATGGCCTGAGAACATGCCGGTCAATGTTCTCTTGATCGGAGCAGTCATGGATGGACTGGGTGGCTCCTTCACCACGGCTCAAGCTCTCATTCATTCATATGCCTCTGACTGCACGCCTCCTGCCCGACGCAGTGTGGCCTTTGGCATGTTCCAGGGCGCACTGTTCCTTGGAATCGCTGCCGGGCCAAGTGGCGCTGCTTTGCTGATCAAAAAGACTGGAGGCGTGTTGATCGTCTTTTACATCGGTCTCGTCTTCCATGCAATTTTCTGTTTGTCGGTTTATTTCATTGTCCCGGAATCCCTTCCGCAGAAACGACAACTCGAGGCGCGCGAGCGACATCGCGTGAAGATGGCGGACACGACAAATGCTCGTCGATTCTCTCTTCAAAATCTGAATCCGATGAATCTCATCACCCCTCTCAACATCCTCATGCCCGCGGTTGGACGACCGAGTGTGCTATTTCCAAATCGGCGTGGTGCGAGTAGAGTCCTACGCCGAAACATTGTCCTACTTGCGGCAATGGATACCGCTGTCTTCGGTGTAGCAATGGGGACTGTCCAAGTCATCATCATCTATGCGGAATACATGTTCAACTGGGGTAATGTCGAGTCAAGCATATTCGTCTCAATCGTCAATGTTGTGCGTGTGGTGAATCTATTCATCTTCTTGCCGATTATCGCCCGGCTCTTCCGCACGCCTTCGGAAGATGACGGTATCATCCGCGGATCCGACATGCTTGACATTATCATCATTCGTTTGTCGGTGATCTTCGATATACTTGGATACATCGGCTACGCATTATCCAAGCATCCCTCCCTCATGATCCTCTCGGGGGCAGTGGCTTCTCTTGGCGGAATGGGCTCGCCCACGTTGCAGTCATCATTGACAAAGCACGTGCCACACGAGAGAGTCGGACAAATGCTAGGTGCTATCGGTCTTTTACACGCGCTGGCTAGGGTTGTTGCGCCAGCGATCTTCAACTTGATATACAGCGCCACAGTTGCAACCTACCCACAAACGGTTTTTGTGACGCTAGCCGCTGTCTTTGGTGTTGCGTTCTTCATGAGTCTGCTTATAAGGCCGCATAGTGAGTTCTTATAGTCCCGGTCTTTGCTACAGCGTCTGCTCGCACACTGCTAACCATCCTTGTGCCCAGTCACCCTCGATGACGATGAGATATCAGATGCCACAGTGGAGGCAAATGAAGGAGGTGCGACTGAAGAAGATCCACTGCTGGGGTGATGATCTGTGATATTGTAATGCAACCATAGATCCTTAGCACTTCCTATGCAGTATAATGAAAATTAGATTCTCAAAATTTGCGTTGTAATACGATGTTCACGCTGGGTCAGTGGCTGACTAACTACTGTAATTGATGGGCTCTTCCGGCCGGTATCTGCCAGGGCCCGGGAGCAACTGAACTTTGGACAGGCGATCAGCTGATTCATCGTGAAACTTCGGCGGGCGCTTATTGCCTAGTACGCATTTTTGAACGATCTCCGAAAATGTACGCAGTCCGATCGGCTTCCTCCTTCGACTCGCAAACCCCTCGATATTCGACCTTCTCATCCTTTTTTCTGAAAGCGAATGGGCCAGCTTGGTCAGATTTAAATTGGCAGACTTCGTTGCTTTGTCACTGACCACCCAAAAGGTCGCTCATGGACCACTGCTGACCCCAGCTCGCCATTAGCGGCCATTTCGAGTTTAACCATGTTCACCAATGCCGCGAACACTACACCGGCAGTACCGTCTCGCAATGCTCTCCGAGTCCTTCGTCAACTTGCATTCGCCGGGTCTACCGTCGGAAGCTTCTGTGGAGTTGCGGTCATTACCTACGATGTCCACCGACGGGTGCGTGTAGCGGAGCAAATTATCGAAAACAAGCGAACGCTGCACACATCCGCGCCTAACTACGATGCAACCGCCTCTGCGCAGCGCCTGGCGCTCATGATGGAGGCTGCTGAGGCCGGAGAGTTCATGGGCTTGGCCTCTATGAAGAGGAAGAAGGGATCTTCACCAATTGACACTGACAGTGCGCTAGGCGATCCAAACGAAACATCCACACCAGCACAAAGCCAAGCACGTCCTCCTCCGCGATGGTTTCAGGCTGGCCCAAAACACAGATCAGTACCACCACCGGTATTGGACACTGCCACCGAAATGCGTCTCCGAGCTGAGAATCGTCTAGCTCTAGCGCGAGAGGCACGGGAAGCCGAGACTGCACGCTCGGTCGGGGAGATGCCCTTAGAGGATCGAATTCGAGACTTGATTCACGCAAATCGGGAGATTGAGGCTGCACAAATTTTCGTTGATAACGTCGAAGCCGTCAAGGGAACAAAGATTTCATCGGAGCGGCGGGATCTTCTGCGTCAGCTCTTTGCTGTCAATTGTATGAAGGGGAATATTTTCATTGCAAGATCTCTCTTCCGACATATGGAGAAGCTGTCAGAGGTCGACTCGGAGGTCTGGTCGACTATGATGCATCTTCTCGCAAAGGAGGGTCACATAGAATCGGTCGGGGCCATATTTGAGAAGCATCACGCCAGATTGACAGTCCCGCATCACCTTTTGGAAGTGATTGTGCGAAGTCTTCTGGAGTCACGCCGTCTGACTGCGGCCAAGTATCTATTCTATGCGCGTATCAAGCATGACGAGAATGGCGGTCTCTGTGGCGCATATCTCGACGGCCTATGGAGAAAGACCCGGAAGATTGAATTGCTCAAGGCTGAGTTCAGGAAGATAATCACAGCACTTGCGGAGCTTGATCGACATCCATCAGAGAAGGTCTTCAATCCGATGATCAAGGCCTACATTGAGTCTGGCAATTTTGAGGCAGCCGAAGGCCTGGTGTTGGCAATGCCATGTGAGTTTGGAGTTAAACCAGGGTGTCGCACGCTCGGTCTTGTGCTCTACGGCAAGGCTCTGCAGTGCAATTGGGAGGGTGTTATGGATGGGATGTTTGAAATGCATGAGCTTGGCTTTACCAAGGACAAGAAGAGCTTTGCATTGGTATTCGACCGTGTCTTCCTGGAGTACTATCCAACGCACACTGGGTCTGAGGTCTTTGACTTCTTGATTTCATGCATCAACCAGTTCCACATTCGCCCCGACAAAATACTCCACAGACACATCATCGAAGCACTGGTTGAGAGATGCGACCCAAGCTGCGTGAGATCCGTGGGTGAGATGGCCGAGAAACAAAACTGGAATACAGGACTCGAGCAGTATGAACTTGTCAAGACTCTCGAAGCCCGGCGCGTGGCAATGCAAGACACTCCGGTCGGTATCTGGCGAATGCTCCAAGCGGCCAAGCAGCAGTACGGGTCCATCGCGAGCAATCGCCGCTTCATGGGCACTGACGCCGACAAATTCTCACTTCGAGATCATGTTCTACAACCGATTCATCGGGGCGCTGATCAAACGTTCCCAGAAAGCATGAAAAATCTTGTGGGCTCCAGATCTCTAAATACCTACATGGCGCTCTCGAAGCGGCAAGAGCATAATATACATGCAGGACATTTTGCAAGAGCTCTCACTGCCTTCCAGAAGGCGAGCAAAGCCGGCCATCCCATAAAACCAATCAACATTCAATTGGCCGTCATCTCCGTCCTTCTTGATCGCGGCATGTCAGGCTTGAAGGACGCCCAAAAATTGATCAAGTCTGAGTGGTCATACTGGGCCCGGCTTCCCAAGACGCAATTTACAGCCAAATACCCTCGTTTCGTCCCAATATTCTTCCAGCAAATCTTGCAGATTGAACAACGCCAGACTTCCGAATCAACATTACTGAACATGGCTATCTTTGAATTCTACAAGATATGCGATGAAACACCAATGTTCAATGTTAAGCACCACCTGTCAGCATCAGTAGCTCGGCGATTGATCAAAAACGGTCAAAGTCACAGTGCTATTGGGGTGTTCAGCGCTATTTATATGTCCACGTGGCGCAAATCTCATGGTTTCGATCAAGTGCAACTCAAACTATTCATGCGCGCCTCTGCGATGACAGGTCATTTGCGGGGAGTCTGGTGGTGTATGATGACTGTACTTTCCCGTCAAGAGCCTGTGCTTCGTGACTTTGTTGTTGAGGTCAAGCGACTTCTGCCTTTACTCGAAGCCCAAAGCCCGGAGCGAGATTCGACCTCACAGCAGGCTCACAATCTCCGTCAGCTAAGGGAAATTCTTGACGCACTCGAAGCCAAGGCTGCCGGTCAGCCGGATTGGAAGGATGTCAGCGTCAACCCACGGCTGAAAGATCAACAACGAGCGACTCTTCTGAACCCTATCGACCACAAGTTGGATTGGCTCCCTTCTGGGAGCGTTGAAGAAATGGTCCGGGCATTTGACGAAGAGATGGAGATGGACTTCCTGCAGAAGCGAGTGCAAGTCGACTTTTCGACGCTCCAAAGCTCATGGGATGAAGGGCGTATGGTCTCTGAGCGGCTTGTACCACCTGAAGATGCAGAGTATCCAGCGGTTGCTCCCAAGCGCGAATCAGCGGTAGCTTGAACGGGAGAGGGGACATTGTAAATAGAAGAACATGTATGATTATGTACATTATGTATACTCCCAAGTTCAACACATCAAGGAAAGTTGATTCATCCTTGTAAGCTTATTGCCTTAATACTGGGGCAGCTACAGATTCAATGGCCTAGGCATGAGTCCTGTGATTTCAACCTTAATTGGAGAAATCAATCGATTGCCGATATGTACCTACCTGACCTGATCCATGTTGGCAGTATTAGGTAGATACCAACGGCATTCGAGAAGAGTACGACACGTCGAGCCTACCTCTAACCTACCTACCTACAGCGAACGGTGAACACGACTACTTCCAAAATCTCGGAGCTACCTTATGCAGGTGGACGTGGGTGGACCCTTCCCCTTGATGCTATTGAGCCGACATCTCGGTGTGCTGAAAGCTGTGGCGGAGACGGGATACATATCACGCCCGCGTCAAGTCATGGGTGTTGGATAGGGACAGTGGAGTGGACACCAAACACTAGTCATCCATCTGTTTTGTTCATGATGACCTGGATTTATCTCATTCGGACATTTGAAGTTGTATCTTGATAAGCACATTTGATATATGTGGACTGGAATTGGAGGACCACTTACACTCCCCTCACAGGAATGGGGATATACCTGCCATATTAGGCAATACTTACGCGAGCCTATCTACATGCTTGAGAGGGCCCGACAGATGGTTCGCCAGGCGATCCACTGCACATAATCTCTTTACCCCGCCTTCCGATCAAAAGCTCCGAGATTGCTATAAAGAATCATTGATAGCGAGACGGACATCACTGTGAAGATTGGAGTCTGGTTCATTTCATCTCCTCCGAGTCCAGAACCATGAGCGACACGTGGGTGATTGTCGGTGCATCACGAGGCATCGGTCTTGAATTTGTGCGGCAACTCTTGCACAACGGCTTCCATGTCATTGCAGGGGTCCGTAACTTATCCAAGGCCGAGAAGCTGGATGAAGTGAAATCGCAGCAGGCAGGGCCAGAACGATGTATCATTGAACAGTGCGACATCACAGACGAGCAAAGCATTCAGGTAAGAACCCTCACCGAGGATTGTTTCAGTAATGTACATTGTACTCACCTGTCTGTCTTGTCACTTTAGGGCTTTGCCGACAAGGTGAAAGAGGCTACTCGTGTCAATGGCCTCAAAGTCACCAATATAGTCTTGAATGCCGGGATTCTTCACTACCCTAACCGCGCGACCGAGATGTGAGTTGATACCCGCATTGTTCCACGGAATCTTCAACAGGTCCAAAATAGAAAGGAAGTCATTGACCGGTCAGCCCAGCTCTTTTGCCGACTTTGCTCTTCATCTGCATACCAACACTATCGGGCCTATCATCTGTGCCCAGAAGCTGTTGGATCTCAATCCGGACTCGCCCCCGTCCAAAGTGGTCTTTATCTCCTCCGACTCGGGTTCAACGACCATCTTCCGCGACGACGAAGATGGGTTTGGAGCCTACGGCGCCAGCAAGGCTGCCCTCAACCAGATGCTCAGGCACATGGCTGCCGAGTTGACTCGAAAGGGTGGCCAGTGGACTCGGACGAGGATTCTGGCCATGCATCCTGGTGAAGTCGAGACGTGAGTGTCATCTATAGTCACGAGTGTCACTGTATACACTGATACAGTAACCCGAATGCTAATGCCGGAGGTCACCAGAGACATGGCCAATATTGACCTTGGGTGGGAGGTGCACGGGTCTATTTCCGCCGAGGAAAGTGTACGGTGCATGCTGAAGGTAATTTCGGAAAAGGACGAGACTGGCAGTTTCTGGTGCTGGGATGGAAGGGTAAGTACTGTCCAGCCGTCTTTCCACTTTTTGTGTTGAGTTGATGTTTTTGTTGTTGTTGCTCCCCTGGATGATGGACATTTTGACTGATCTGTATGTTTGAATAACAGAGACATCCTTGGTAAAGTCCGATCCAGGTAAATGGTAGTTGGCAGTTAGATTACTAGTTACTGTTGATACTGGTAGCTTTTTGGCGGTATACCTGGGAAATCATTGCAATGGCTTCTGGAATTCAGATCTAGCAGTCTTCCTTGCAGTGATCACGTATGTACTCTGCAAACACTCTGCAAAGACTTTGCATCTGCAGTGACCTGGGATTGACAGCTTTAGGTACCCGGTCAAATGCCAAGCATCGAGAAGTCTCATGAGTCAATGACCTCAAAACTGATCGGACGGTGGAAATCCAGAGAGTTCAAGTGATCCGGTTGCACAAGATTGAGTAACCTGTGTACCTCTGTAACTATTGACACAGGAAGGCTATCCATGTAGACATCCTGATGGCAGTGGAGATGCGCCGATTCCATGGCCGTGCGAGATAGAAGCTGATCAGAATGAGATCTACTCGTGTACTTTCCAGTCTCTCTATGCCACTTTCGCGCATCGCCTGAACCGTCGAGTTCCATCGAGAATTGATAGTCGCCTTTTCGCATTCCACACCGCATACCCACCTCGCTGATCTTTGAATCTGAAGAATATGTAGTCGGCAGCACCGTGTCTACTGTAAGGTAGATATTGTATACTGTAGAGATCCCAGGCAGGAACTAATGTCATTAGGGACCCGGTCAAGACTCGTGCCAGATCAGGCTGATCTGATCAGATCTGAGATCTGATCTGATCTGATCCGATCGAGGGCGGCTCAAGGGGGAAACGGCAAGACGGTAAGGTTGAAGCTGATGGGCGGCAGTGCGGACTGCGGACTTTGTTCGGAGGCGGGCCTTTCTGTCCACTTTTTCACATGTCACGCCACCGCCCCTTTCCCACGATCGATCGATCAGCCCATCAATTCATCGCGAACTGCGATCAGCCCATACCTTTCGCAAAGGGGCAAGGATCAAAAAGGCCTCAGGAGCAACCACGTCAATTCAACTAGTCTGCTGCTACTTCCTCGGTGGGTTGAACAGCTGCTAAGCCGCCCTGGAGTATTTTTTCTTCAAGACCGTACTAACGCCCGATCTTCAATTTCCAGTCGATCCTCTGCGATATCTCTCAATTCTGAGCTTCAATTATGCACCCACAACACTGAGCGGTCCCTCCTCATTTACAGAAGCCGCACCCTCGATACGACCATCACTCTTAACCACACGACCCCCCTCTCCACATCATGGCTTGCTCGCTGAATGGCCATGCGCCAAAGTCTCAACTCTCCGTCCAACGCCGCATCGAACACCACGAGGCCGATGTGGTAATCGTGGGCGCGGGGATCTTGGGCTGCGCGCTTGCGGTTGCGCTGGGACGACAAGGTCGCAGTGTGTTTTTGCTGGAACAGTCTATGAAAGAGCCCGATCGCATTGTCGGTGAATTGCTTCAACCAGGAGGCGTGCTGGCCCTGGAACGCCTGGGTCTGCGCGATTGCCTCGACGGCATCGACGCCATCGATGTGGACAGCTACTACGTCTCATACTTTGGCGAGCCCGTGAAATTGTACTATCCCAAAGAGACCCCCTCCTCGCCTCGACCGATCGGAAAGTCCTTTCACCACGGTCGGTTTGTCATGAAGCTGCGCCATGCCGCATTGGCGTGCCCCAATGTGAAGATCGTGGAGACCAAGGCGACGGGGTTGGTGACTTCCTCTCAGGGGCAGGTGCTCGGCGTGGAATGTCTCACCGGAAATGCGAAGGATTGCTACTTTGGCCAGTTGAACGTGGTCGCCGATGGCTACGCGTCCAAGTTCCGCAAGGCACACCACCCACACTCACCCCGGGCTCGGTCCAAGTTCTGGGGTCTGGAGCTGATCGATGCCAAATTGCCCTCACCCAATTCCGGCCACGTCCTCCTGAGCGACAAACCGCCCGTCCTCATCTATCAGATCGGTACCCACGAAACACGAATCCTGGTCGATATCCCCGAAAACCTCCCCTCGGCCTCGGTGAAGAACGGTGGCGTCAAGAGCCACCTTCGAAATGTTGTTCTACCCTCTCTACCCGACAGTGTCAGACCGTCCTTCGAGGCGGCTCTCGATCAGGGCCATCTACGCTCCATGCCCAATTCTTTCTTGCCTGCTTCCACAAATAAGACGCCAGGCTTGTTGATTGTCGGAGATGCGCTGAACATGCGACACCCTCTGACCGGCGGTGGCATGACGGTGGCTCTCAACGACGTTTGCTGGATCCGCGAACTCTTGAGTCCCGAAGCGGTCCCCAATCTGGGCGACACGTCACATGTACTCAAGCAACTGTCACGCTTTCACTGGATGCGCAAGAACTCTTCATCCGTCATCAATATCCTTGCTCAAGCGCTATACCAACTTTTTGCCGCCAATGGTAAATATCCCACCTCATCTTCTGACATACATTCTCTCTTTTTCACCCTTCAACCATCTCCCGAAAACTCCCGCCTTGTCCTTTTTTGTCCTCAACTAACTTCGACTTCAGACACCAATCTCCTCGCTCTCCAACGAGGCTGCTTTCGCTACTTCCAAATCGGTCCCGTTGACGGACCAGTCGGTCTCCTTGCAGGCCTGATCAAGCAACCCTTTGTACTTTTCCGCCACTTCTTTACCGTCGCATTGCTCTCCATCTGGGTGCTTTTCCGAGAAACTCCGCTTACGAAAATGATCATGTTCCCCGTACGATCCCTGATGGTCTTCTGGACTGCCTGCGTGGTCATCTTCCCCTTCATATTCGCCGAATTTCGAACATAGCGCCCTTCCTGCTCTTCATGCATGGCCGCGCCCTCATGTGTGATCCATGTCACGACCAGGGAAAAAGAAAGGGTATTATACGCCTCCCTCTTCCACAATCGCACCCCTTCTCACTCTGCCCTTCTATACTTTGTATATTCTTCGACTGGGACCCGGACATGTTTCAATCGCTGGTCTTCTTGAAACAACCCACAGCTTGACATATCCACCCAAGTGAATCATTTCAATCCGGCAACCAGGTCAATCTTCACCGCCTGGTCTCGCCCTCGCTTCAGTAATGCTCACGTCGATCTTGTTCCCTTGCTCTCTCCCGCCCTCAAGGTGTGTTGCGTTATGCGTATAGATCTTTCTTTGTCTTTTGTGGCTGGAAGTATCGCTGTTTTTGTCCCAAAGAGATTCATTCGATGTACAATATCACTATTATTACTTAATTACCAAGAACAACGAACAAATTTTTATTACAAATCAACTCAATTGTGCCCGAGTGTAGCAAGGAAAGGGAAGAGCCGTCCAACAGCAGAGCAGCTATCCTACGTACTCCAGCTGGCTGATCTTCTGTGTTCTTCATCCGGCCACAAACAACTGACATCACGTCATGTTTAGATAAAAGATACGCACGTCACGGATCGAATTTGTAGATGGCATAGGCCTGGTATTCATTTCATTTCTGCCCCCAAATGCTAGGTCGAAGGGTCTTTTTTCTGGGTTCATATGCAGACATGAAGAAAAAAAAAGCGGAAAAAAAACATGCGCACAATGACTCGACCTAGACAGATATCACTGAGACATTGGTCCAGTCCAGACCAGACAATAAAACAGGGTTAATAGTTTATAAAGAACACGATGAACCTCCCTGAGAATCAAAAAGATGGAAAGGGGAAAAAGAAAGACAACAGTAGCAGCACCTGAAACGATGATCGATGATGGATAATGAATGCCCTCAGTCCAATGACAAGCGATGCTGTGAAAAGAAACAGATATAATATGCATGAACCAACCGTATTTCCTGGACACCGCGTTAATCAAACAGCACATATTCAAAAGCAACACGAATGCGATGGATGGAAAATGAATAAGCGATCCATCAAACAGACAAAAAGGGGTACAGAAAGATTCGAGATGGCCGTGGAATCTGAAAACAGTCGTCAATAGGGTCTGAGATTTGCTCGACAGAGCTGTGGTATGGGTAAAAAGGGAGACATCAAGGTTGGATGGCATATGGTGCAATGGCTGCTCTCGCTCTCACTCTTGGAAGCCGCCGGGGCGTACGAAACATCGAACGGCGCAAACCTGGAGTTTTGAAGCTGGGGGCATGGCTGAGGCATCGAGAATTCCGATGAGGCTGTGGTAACGTGAATATGATAATCATGAGCAATATCCCGTGCTCGCAATCAGCCGCCTTTCCGCAGAGACACATCATCGGGCAAAGGTTCTCGGCCACCGTGCGCACTAGACCGAGAGTCAGCGGCAGTTGACTTGCCGCTCTTACGGTGCTTCTTCTTGCCGGTGGTCTGCCATCCGCTATGATTGGCCTCGTTAGTGGCATTTGCATGGTTGCCAGTCTTTCGAGGCCCGTGATCTGCGTGTCGATCTTTGCCGTCACCGGCATTATTGGGCGTAGGGTTTGCAGCATCTTGACGGCCCTTGGCCTTCGACTTGGTACCTTGGGCTGACGAATGACCATTTGCATGACCATTTCCATGCCCGTGACCGTTGCCGTGAGAGACTCCATTGGACTTGTCATTTGCATTCACCCCATTTAATCGACCACGCTTTGTGTTTGACGTCTGTGGACGTGCCTCATTGTTCGGAGGTGTTCCGGAAGACGAGGGCTTCTCATTTGCAGAGTTCTTTGTGGCGGCGGTGTCCTTTCCCAAGCCCGTGTGCATGGATCCGTTCTTCTGTCGATCGCTTGTTGTCTTGGGTGTTGCGGGGGACTCGGCAAGTTTTTCACTGTTGGACAGGTGCAGATTCTGCAATCGGCTGGCGAGGAGTTCAGGCTGCTCAGCAGGGTTATTGGTGGGAGCGTCAGCTACGCCATTGACACAGAAGGTCTTTAGTGGCTGAAGCGGCGCTTGAGAATAAACCTGTTGTTGCTCGGCGTCATACGAGATCGCATCGTGGAAGTCTTGCGACAGAGAATCGGATGCACTGGCTGGAGTGTTCATATTGTGCTCGTCGGACGTGGAGGTGTAATGGGTGGCGGTCGCATATGGATCGACATAATCCATCTCATATCGCTGGCGAGACTCACTGGGAGGCACCGAGCCGTCTACAATCAGCGGTCCACGATCCATTGCCGGTGCAGGTCGCGAGGGGGAGCGTCGTTGTCCCGGTATGGTGAAAGGCTGGGCAGGAGGTGACATTTGTTCAGATCGAGGGTTGACCCCTTCTGACGAGAATGACCCAGACCTATACTCTGGCTGCACGGGCATATACGATGCGTAGCCGTTCGGTAGGGCGAATCCCATAGGCGTGGTAGCCAAAGGCGATAATAGTGCATTCTGTTGATAAAGCTGCAGCTGCTGTGGCGTGTAGTAGTACCCTATCATCTCCGATACTCGGCTGTCGTCCATGGCCTCGTGTTGATGAGAGGCGTTGCTGGGAAGGCTGCCAGACGGCATCACATTCTCATCCCCGCCGACCTCGTCCATTTCCGACGGCTCGGAAATTGGCGGCTGTCTCGACAAGAACTGCGTGTCGAGGGCCTGCGGAAGTGAATACAGCGACGGAACCGCTGGGAGCGTGGGGGAAATTTGAGGCCGGGCAGGCTGGGATTGTGTCCGCAAATTTGCCTTTGGCGATTCGTTGACAAGTGAAGGGCGCCGAGGATCACGGCGAAGATCCGGATGACCGTTGGATGCACATGGCGACGAGGGGTTGGTGGTGGTTCCCTGGGTGGCGGCGGCACTGATCGAGGCGTACGTCGGGCTTGTGTAGTGGTTTTGCTGGTGACTGGGCGACGATCCAAGAGGAGGCTGACTCACGGTTCCGGATCTTGATCGGGCGGTCTCATCGCCCCCAAGGAAATCCTGTTGCTGCGGCATGGGAAACTGAATGAAAGGCTGGCGGAGAAACACCGGAGGCGGCCTTCCAGTAATGAGCGCCTGGTTGTGGAGCTGCATGCGCAACTCTTGCTCCTGGGCCTGAAGAAGTTGAATTTGTTGGTACAGCTGGTCATGTAGCAAGAATTGGGCTTGTTGTTGAGCCTGGAAGGAAAGATCTGAAGTGCCTACTGGATTGGGTTGTCGGAAAGCATTCTTGTTCCCAGTGTTGGACGTGCGGCGACCACCATTACTGAATGCCGTCCGCGAGTATTGGTTGTTTCCATATCGTCCACCCCTGCCACCGGTCCCGCGGCCTCCTTTCGGGGCATACGCAGCGGTAATGACAGGCCTCGGTTGGGGAGGAGGTCGCTCCCACGTTCGTTCCTCCTCGGGTGGGAACTCGAATTGAGCACAGCATCCTGCCAGATCGGCGTCTGACGCAAACTTGAAGGCTCTCCGTAACTCCATGTGTAACCCTCGGAAGGAAGTGTCGTCTGCCGTATTGCCCAGATTTCTTGACGTGTTGAAAGGCTCCTCGACACACAATCGATTGTTCACCGACAGATGCCAGCCCTTGGCTTCCTTCGACACCAATTTCCCCTCGCGCACTGATATGACGTTTTCTTCGTAATTGATTTCGTGTCCGTAGTAGCGGAAGAAGCCGAAAAAGAGCTCACCCACAGTTTCCTTGTTCTTCTGGCCGAACTGGCGAAGCGTATCTAGATCATCGTCAAACGAATACACCAAGCCGTCCGGTGTCGCCCGCTTCTCATGCGGACGTGCTTGGAGACTGGGCAAGACCGGTGGATTCCTGGTTTGCAAAAAGTTGATAATCAGACAGATCCAGGTGTAAGAGCTGAGGGTGCCACCCAGCGCCGCATCGTTCAAAATCCTCCGTTTCGTCCAATGTTTGACCGACATCGCCAATGGCCGAACGCGCTCATCCACGTCGACATAGGTTCGAATCATACGGGTATTCTCTAGGGCCAGGGTGTTGTTGACATTCATGTCGCAGGCCAGTTTGAGTTCTGGATCCCAGATCTTCACGATGGGGACTTTAGCATGGGACACGCAGACCACCCGTTCCATCCCATCTGAAAAAAATCAAGACCATCATTAGCCGACGTCCCAAAGACGCACCGTACACACACACACACACACACACTTGTGTATGCGCTCAAAAACAAATGGGGCGCGGTCATCCTTACGCTTAGCTAGTACCTCCGCCAGCAGACACACGTGTTCCAGGTCCTTGTAATCCGTCGTAATGCAAATGTCCACTGCCAGTCAAGTCAGTCTCGCACGTCTTTGTTTCGCATCCTGTTTCTGTTTCTGTTGCGCCTCTGTTCCCTTCCCCCGTGGGTTGTGTCACAGAGTTCAATTACATGAGGAACATTCGTCATGCCTGCCAGGTTAACGTACCATCCGAGTCACTTGAACAAAGTTTGTTCCCCGAGGAACCGAAGACGTTGGCCTTGATCTCGTGTCCGGGCCATTGCTCATTGAACAATTTCTCCACCTTGGCGACGAGCTGCCGCCGTCGATCATCGCTTTCGGCGGAAGGCAGCAGCTCGTCATAGAGGTCCATGATATCAGCGGTCAATCTGCGCTCCTCGTCGGGTTCCAGACGCTCCTTCAGACCCTCTTTCTCCTCGGGCAGGAGATCCGCCCCGAGGCTGTACGGTATTCGTCTTCGGCAGTAGGCCATGGCGGTTTCATATTTGCAGCCCCCTAGAGGCTTTCGCGCCGAGGGAGGGATATGCGTCGATTCCGAATACGTCGAGCGAGGGGATGTGCTGCCACGGACGGGGGACGGTGACCGTGAGTTCAGGGAAAGTTTGCGCGCATGTTGGTATGGGGTCGAGGGGAGGGAATTCGACTGTTGCGATGTCAATGGAGGGCGAGAAGAGACCTCGGACGCGTTGGTCTGCGGCATCCAAGGCATCGTGCGAGGGATCTGCTTCGACGTTATCGGGGAAAGGTCACCCAAGTGGTGGGAACCGTGCGCATGCCCATCGATTTGTGAGATCATGAAGCAGTCTCGCTCTCACACTTTGGAGGATCCGGGACTCGGGTTGAATCCGACTCGGGGCGAATTTGAAGAAGAGAGATTCGATTTTCCCACACGGAACTCGCACCCACACCAGCGACTTCAGACAGCCCCTCCGGGTTCCACTTCCAACCGTAGATACGTCGAAATGGAAAAATCTCAACCGCACACCAGCCGGATTCGAAAAATTCTGCAAGGACAGAGGGAGAGCAAACAAAAAGGTAGCGTGTGTCAATGACGTGGACCGATCGTGGGGGAAATCGTGACGGGCTGTGCGTGAGATGTGTAGGAAGGTGGAGTGAGGGTTGGCCGAATGGCGAATGTGGAGGAGAGGATGAAAGGCAAGACAACCGGCGAAACTGGATCCGCAGAAGAGAACCACCAGCGAGAAACTGGGGCTCTTGCAAATCCCCGACAGATCAGTCCGATGCAGACGTCTCAACACTCAACAGTGCGCGACGGGCACTTTTCCCTTCCACTAAATGGCAGGATTGGAACGATCACCCAAACAATATTCTTTCACCAGAAGTCTGCGAGGAAAGCGCAACGCGGACGTGATCTTTGAGACGAAGTCGCCGAGCAGCGTCCGACTCGGCGGTCGTGGGAGAGGAAAGCACGGGCCGATCACCTCCTCCAACTCTCCCAGCGGTTGTCCACCAGAAAAAAGGTCGTAGAGGTGACAATGGGAGGCTCCGTTGAAGAACCAGCGTTCCGAGGGGATGGAAGATGGATGAGCGACCGGGGGGGGGGCGGAACTGATTGCAGGGAATTCGCCGCACGTTATGATCCGTAACTATGGACGGTCGAATCGATTGAGTAAAGTAGGTGGAGGGGAGGGGGTGTACGAGATGAGGTGAGGCGAGAGAGGTGTTATCGAGAATGAGGGAAGAGAGGAGGTCGAGGAAGTGGACTCGGAGTGCGTCTCTTTTTTCCTAGACTCTTCTTGAGAAGGGGGGGTGGGTGAATTGGAGGGGATGGTGGAGGAGAAGGAGGTTTGGTGCCAGCACCACCACCACTTGGGCTTTGAGGGTGCGTCGGTGGTAGGTGCGAACGGTGTCTCTGCTACAGAAGGTCGCCTAGTCGACTCGACACCGGTTACCGTAATAATTTCCAACGATCTGATGAAGCTGTTGATGATCAACGGCAGGTGGTCACGGTGCCGGTGGAAAGTACGGTCGTAGAAAAATACTGGTCATAGTAGGCGTTCTGCTCCAACATGCATCGTCATGGACGATGATCGATGAGTGGCAGTAAACCCGGAGAAAAGTGACCTCGGACGGTGTCGAAGGCTCCTCGTTTTCTCCTCCTGTCTAAGACATGCGCTGTTACCACCGAAATAGGTAACCTTGCCCATTCGACTGGCCCAGGCAAGACTTGCACCGTCTCCTTTCATTGTCTGCATTGCCTCTGACCGCATTGTCTGAGGTCAGGACCCTAGTCTGACCTGACCATCTGAAGGGCGATGGCTCATAGTTCTCGGGAGATGTCCAGTTGAGATCTACGCAATCTATGCCGATTATTCCTGCAACTGAACCACCAGGGTTCTTGATGAAGGGCGGTTCAGGTGGTCAATGTGAAGCCAATATCCGGCGTCGACCGTTTTACCTGTGACAACATTGCAGATGTGCTCCTGTGCGACCGACGTCCAAGGGTTGGTACTTGATCGTGGTTGTCCGTTCCATTCGATGGCTACGAGGACCGACGAGGTGAATGAATGAACCTCACCATCCAGTCAGACCCGGTCTCCGAGCGACCAGGATCATCCACTCTTAGCCCAGCTGGACGGTCTTTCTCCTTTCTCATGGGGAGATGTCGAAGATCCGCAGTCCCGGTCGCCTTCAAGAGATGGGACCGGGCAGAACTGGCACCGCGGTCAGTGGACGTCTAATCAATTCCAACCACGATTGATCTGGCCCCGTGATCGTGCAGCATTCAATCAATGAACTTCCTCAATTGATGGACGTCCAGAAATTGGGCAACCCCGATGTTGTTTTTCTCAAATCCGTCAAAGGGGCACATCCAACCGAATCAGGACGCCGCCCGTCAATCATACATCAGCCCCTTAATCAACGTTTCCAAGGCCGATGACCGAGTCCTGTGGTTTATCCAGAATGTCAAAAGGGGGGAAAAAAACAAATGAATAACACCGGAAGAGCGTGCGCCCCCCCCCCCCCCCCCCCGGGAAATCTAGGTAAGTTCTTTGTTGCACTTCATAGGCTCACGATAGTAGTTACTGGTGATACCCTCCTGTACCATTCTTTCCTTTTCTGTCTGCTCTATGTCATCTGATGTTGCGTTGCTGTTAGACGTGAGACATGCACGCCGATGCCCCTATTCTGTAGATTTCCATAGATCGGACTCGGAGAGGAAGAGGAGGCTGCCGGCTCGCATCATCGGACCATCAGCTGCAGGTACCATATCTGGAACGGGGGCCAACCCCTTTGGACAAGATTCTGTTATCTCTTTTCCACCGATGACCCGACCCCAGATCAGGACCGATCCGATCAAAGTCGAGTCCAGGGGCCCATTGAGATTCAAAGATGAGGGTCATCCTCTGTAGAAGTCTAGGAGAACCGCTGCATATGGCCTTGGCCAAACAGAAGAGCGGAATGGGCTACTTGATGTACACATCATATTTCCTTGCATCTGTCGGGGACTCGATATTCCAGACATTCGTCATCCTGCACATCTCCCCGCATTTCTGCAGCTTCTGCACCTTCTGCACCTTCTGCACGTGCTGGGCGCTGACCACACGATAATCTAATCAAGGGACGCCGGGATCGTCGTCTCTCAACCAACTTTGCACTTCCACTCCAAGGAACACAATGACCTAAGGTTCATCCCGATGCTTTGACGCCGGTCTTGTCCAACTTTGGGACGCTGCTTTCCCCCGGCTCCAAGGAAGAGACCCCGCTACCATCACAGTAACCTTGCCCTGTCTTGATCCTCCCCGGTCATCGGGAGCCGATAGTCACATCTGCAGTAACTGAGTGAGTTCTTCTTTCTCAGGGACAAGATCGTACGCGAAGTGGCCTCTGAGGCCTGACTCGGCGGTTCTTCGCGGTCTTATGGTCTTCTCGTGTGTACTGCCACCATCGTTCAACATTGGACATATACCTATCTTGCTCAGGACAGTAGGTCCCGTTTACTGCGAGACCTCATCACTCTGCATTCTGGTACCTCGCTTGCCCGAAATCAAGATTTGTTGGTCGCATACAAAGTTGACGGCCACCTTCTCTTACTTTCTTCACAATTCAAGCCCGGAAGAGCTCGTCTTGGTCCAGGTCAAGCGGGGTTCTGACTCTACTGCGAGAGCTGAGTATTCACTGCAGGTATCTTAAATGAACAGGGTGCGTTCTCGCCGTTGAGATCATTCACCAAGGAACCCTCGTAACTGAGGTCCCCTCCTCGTCGCATCAGTCTCCTTCGTCGGACTGTAGTGGTTTCAGTCCAGGCGTCCCGCTTCTAGCTTCATCCTTGTTACATCGACGGTTGGCTAAGGAGCGATGAAGGTCCAGAACAAACTGACCAGACTGGGTCTTTGAAGTCAGCGATCTGCACCTGGAAACCTAGCTCAAAGTCAAAAGAGTACTCCAAAGACGGTGTTACAACACGGAGGGTTTGAATCAAAACCAAGGCTCCAGAAATTGATCCGGGGAGGGGGAAGAAGAAACCCTGGAGGAAGAAGAGCTTGCGGGGTTCCAGGCGGTTGCAAGGCAGCAAAGCAAAGCATGGCGGCCGTAGGACTTCCAACCACTCCCGTACTGTCCCATAAGGAAGATGATCGTTGGCTTATCTTTTGGACTTGACTCACTCATGAGAACACGCGGGGCGATCTACGTAAGTGACAGTGGAGGGACTACGAATAGCTCGTCCGCGGTCACCAAGCTTCCCAATAGACCGACCTCCAGATACCCGTCCTTAAACTACTAGGGTAACACTTTCGTGTAACGGTGCCAAGCAGTTCAGGTATCTCTTTCTGTGGACCTGGACGGAACGATCGTATTACTGTTGTTCTCTCCCTCGAATGGGCGTTGAGGCATAGGCAAACGTATACACTGCTTTCAGATATTCATATTTCTCTCGAGGAGATCTCTTGTCCTTGGCGCCAAGCTCCACGAGTCGCGTCCAGCTGTCTGCCAGCAGAAGCTTGCACGTCTCTCGATCGTGGCAATCTTGAGCGCCCATTCAGTGTTCGGTTTTTGTGGATATGGACTTCCGGGACACCACGAATACACTGATCAAGCATTTTCTGGGGTCACTGAAGGAGGACCGGAAGTAGTTTCGACCCTCAATAATTGAAATGTAGTGCCCGGTACATCGGGCCCGCCTCGAATGACTTTTGACTAGAATGCTTCCACCTCATTCAAACACATCACCTTTAGGTTCCTACAAAACAAAGAAACCCATATTGGACTGTTATTTCATCCTATTGAGATCAACGGCAACTAGGTCATTTTCTGGGTCCTCGTCGGGGTGATATGTCAATATCTACAACTTTATATCATATTGTTGCCTACCAGATACTTACCTGGTAGACAGGACTATGTAACAATTCGGTCGCTTGGGGAATGACGACAGTTGCAGTATGACCTTTATGGATGTCAAGCCAGCAGATGACAGCCCGAGCGGCTCAAAGATCGATAGAGATGATGCATTGTGAACCCTCAGCTGGTGGAAGCCTACGCAGGTTTGATGCCTCTCCTCCAGTTAGGGTCGAAGTGCTTGTGTTACATTTTGGTGTGGTACTGGTGTTTGTCGGTAGGTACCTTAGGTAGGTATCTTAGGTAGATATTGGGTTGAGAACAGCGCCACAAAATATACCCACACTACTAGGTGGTAGGTTCTAACTTAGCAGGTAATAGGTACAACCAAGCAGTTCAGATGAAGTTGCCAATGACCATTCACTATCGTTCGTATACGGTCCACCATGCAAACGCTAGAGGAACTCCCCAATTGCTCGAGGATCACTGAGCTCGTCAATCAAGTACATGCGTCTGTCACCAGCGCTAGGTTGACAATTATGGCCGTGCGTGTTTAAAGGTTGACCAGACTCGGACTAGGACCAAGCGTGGTATGACGATGGTAAGGTACTACTAGTCTAGTACTAGTACCTCCGTGCATACGACTAAATGTCGGTCCTTTGGTATGTACCTAGCCCACAGCGGCTTGTGATCGTTTTTCCTACCACACCACGGAGACATCTGTTGGTTCTAGGGCGTACTAGTACGCACTGCGCAGCAGGACCAGACGTACCACCTCGATGTCGGTGTTATTGGGGAACTACTCACAGTCTGACTGGGCAGTCTCGGCAACCGAGTGGCGGTAGTACCAACTGACATGACAAACTGTAGTTTCGCGATACTACTATATCCTTACTAGTCGAAGCGGGGAACTCCATCATCGTCACAGTCGTGGCTTCTGGAAGCCTGAATTGGAGTGCAGGAGGTGTGTGCTTGGACGTTCATTCCCTTCCGCCATTGCCGACATCCCGACGATGCTCTGTCCATTGTCTGAAAGGTCAGACTAAGAGCGTGATGAGAATTGTCATGGTCAATCTTGACTCGTGGGACAGCGTAACCTCTCTTAACTTCAAGATCGGTCCAGCAGGCGCTTCTGTACAAATGCCCAGTGCAAGTCGACCCCCATCTTTTTTTTCTGTAACCCATGTTGCATGCACCCGCTCGCCAATACATGCGACTGTTCATATATTCTGGTTCTGATTTCTGGTTTTATGTAACCCACTATATGGTCTATACTCCATGGTGGAGACTCTGTAGTCTATACCCATACTATAGTAGTCCATCGTATATCATAGAATGGTGATGACGGAGCATCCGACGGGCATACAGTGTTGGGAACGAACATGGCCCCCTCTTCTCGAAGTCTGTCTCCATCATCCGCCAATCCAGAAAGAAAGAGACCCGCTCCGCACCGTCCAGCGGAACCACAGAAAAAATAAAATAAAAATAAAAATAAAAAACACAGAAAATCTTCCCCAGCAGTACGGCACACACGCCCGAAAAAGAAAGAGAAAAAGCCGGAGAGACACACACAGAGAGAGAGAGAGAGAGAGAGAGAGAGAGAGAGAGAGAGGGACAGACCCAGACACCGGCCATAGTGAGCAGGAAACAACAAGACCCAGTGACCCACGGGCATTTCTCAGTGCCCTGGTGTCCAATTTGAAGCCCCCCTCCCAGGCCAGTTCGCTCAGGCGCACACTACGATTACCACCACTACCACCACTACCACTACTCTCCCATCCGCTCTTGTCCTCCCGCGGCCTCGTTTCCTTCCGGTCAATTCCTGTCTTTGCCTACTGCCCCCCCCCCCCATCCGTCTGCAAAGGAAAAAAAAGAGGTTAATCACGGCTCACGGGTTTTCCTGTCTCCCCGCTCCGCCAGAGTACCTCGACCCGGACGGATCAACTTCAGTGCCGCTCTTCTCCCCCCCCCCCCCCCCTGAACGTTCCAGTCGGCCACGAAGCAATCAACCCTCTTCGTCACCACGTCTCTCACACCGGCCATGTCTGCCTCGTACTATGAGCCTCAGGGCTGGCAAGCTCCTACTGCCCGCCAGGCCTCATGGGAACAGCCGGCGCCGCCCTCTCGGTCGGGTATGTACCTTTCAGTCGCCCATCCCGTACAGGGCGCAACATCACCTTCAAAAAAAAAAAAATGAAAACCACCCCGGCGAACTGAAACACGTAACTGACATCGGATCACCTCGTCAGGATCGAGCTCCGTTTCCCAGCGCGATGACAGTCCGGCCTTTTCTTCCCAATTTGACGGTACGGTCCATGATACCATCTCCCTTTTCCCCCGTTGAAGTATTCCCCGGCATTGTGCGGTGCAGCCTCGGCTGGAAACAGAAGGTCACTACTTCGTCAATGTGGCCGGTCTGGTAAAGTCACGAGAGGGCTTCGCGGGAAGAGTTCTGGATAATTCTGCAACACCCGCCTGGACAAGAGAAGAACAACGGGGTGACTCGAAAAAATGTCATACCACGTGAGCAACATGCCACGGGGATTTTCGGGTTGGCATGTGCCAGCAGTGAAATTGAAGAGAAAGAGAAAACACCCCTCGACCTGACATGCAGAACCATCGGCACCGGCTCGGGAAACGTGACCGCAGTCAGAGAGAATGATAGCGCTAACTGATCTTCCATTTCCAATAGAGATCGACCGTGCCATTGACAATCTCGTCAAAAGTGGCAAGCTGTGGACTGCTCCGCGCCGGGACTCGATGCCCATGATGATGGGTCGTCCCTATCCTGAGTACGGTAGGTGGCCGGCTGCCCCCCACCGTCGAAGGTATTAAAAACCACACCTAAAATCCCCTTGTGCTCATGACGTTGCCCGACAGACCCTCGCATGGGTGGTAGCCCGCAGCGACACCACTCCATCAGCGAGCTCGACAACACTCGCATGCACCCGGCGGGCAACGCCCAAGGCTTCTATGCCGCACAACGGTACCAGGGCCGACCCAACGAGGTAGAGCAGATGATGCAGGCAAAGCGTCGGATGGCAGCACAGCGTGAACGGGAGCTCCGCAACTACCACCAGGAGCAGCAGTACAATCGAAGTACGTGGTAGCCGATCGAAATTCTTTCCTCTGTTCAAATGATTCCCACACCGCGCGCCAGTCCTGTCATCATCAGCATCGTTGTTCCCTTTTGGTGTTTTTGTTCTCTTTTTCTCTACCATCTCTGATCCTATCTTGATTCTGGAACATCTGCATCTGTCATCATCATGTAATGGTCGGCTCTGTATAATATGATTCTTGTGCATCTTTCTCTTTTCCATTTTCTTTTCTCTCCATCCTTGTCAATGCCTCCTTCCGAGTCTCCTGAAATGGTGGGATTGTGTCCAGTTTTTTTAATCCATTCTTTTCTGCTTTCCCATAGGCCTCCTCGCCGAAATGTCGGCCAGCAAATCCGATCGGTCCAACAGCCCCGCGGCGCCGAGTGAAGATAGTCGACGTGATCTTCTAGCCCGCCAGCATCGCGCCTTGTACGGCAACGAGAGTCCCGCCTTCTTCCCTCCCGGTCCGCTCGCGGACGACAATGCCAACCGGGTCGACACTCCCAGCGCCGGCACCCCAACTTCGTCTGCCCGTGCCGCTTCCCCTCGCGGTAGCGGTCCCTTTGGCGTGGGCCACGCGGGGCCTCTCTCGGCCGACGGGACCTCTGGTCTTCAGTCTCCCAATCGGGCCAACAGCACCTCTTCACCAAGCTCGGCCATCAATGCAGGCTTCCCCCAGCAGTCCGGTACCTCAGCGTCCTCGCCTGGAGCGGCCGACTCGCCCTCTTCGCGACAAGGTTCCACATCCAAGTCGTCAACTGGACCTATTGGCGCCGTGGGACTCATTGGCTCGCGCCCCGTGTCTGGACCATCCACCTCCGCTTCAATTTCCAACCCAGCGCTGAGCAAGCCGCGTTCGACAACCCCACTTCCGTCTCCGCTGGGTTTCGGGTTTACTCCAAATGAGGCCGCCGCTGCCACTGGGGAGCGTTCCGCGTCTGTCTCCTCGACTCCCGCTGTCCCCACGACTACTGCTTCAAATGCCAAAGACTCATCGGGCGGCGTCAGCCTTGGCTGGAGCAACAACAGTGGTGTCTGGAGCTCCAAGAGCGGACTTGGAGTGCAGGCTTCCGTCTGGGGTTGAACTCATGAAGCGTCTGTTTGTCCGTCAATGAGGGGGGGGGGGGGGGGGCGGGGGCTTCTCCCCTCCTCGGGACTCGACTGTAGCAGTTGGTTGCTTGGTGCTGTCTGACATGTGAGCGCTTCTCGCTGCTCATCACGTTATTTCGTTGGCTTTGGCGTGTTTCTCACAAAGCATGCATATAGGGTCTGGGGTCATCGTCCTTCCACCTGGTCTGTTTTGTCTGTCTGTTGGAGTTGTCGTGTTTTTGCAGTCCCGGTGTTGTCTTCGTCTTCTTCCGGGCGTCGTGAGAAAGTATTTGGAAAACCTGTCCTGTTTGTATGTGACAGTTGGGTGCAATACGGGGGGAGGGACTTGGGTTCTCTTCTGGGATCGTTCAAGAAGCTTTGTCTCGATTTATTCACGTCTTCTTTCTTGTTGGGGTTTTGGATCTCTGGAAATTTGGGCTACGGGGGGGTTTTGTTTCATTTTATTCTTTCAAAATTGTGCAGTCTCGGGTTTGTGTGGACTTGGGCGTATATCCTGATCGGCTTGGGGGAAAAAATCATGGGTCAAAATGTCTGAGGGCTCGCATGGGGAGGTCTTGGCTGGCTTTGCTGGCTCTGAGCGTCATAAGACTTCCGCTTTACTTATTTATTGTTTTTGTTTTCTCAAAACAAAATACGCCCAGTTCTGTGCATTCCCGTGCTGATCGGACATCTTCGTCCAGAGGATGCTGTGTAGGTCGGAAGTTGGATGGGTTGAGGGTCGAACTAGCAAGACTTGATGCACTTGCGTGCCGTGGTACGTGGATCGATGTTGACAGGACCCCTGTTCCTCTGCAGGTACGATATCAGGTACCCAGGTACCCAGGTCAAGCGAGGTACCTGCCCAGGCCCGTGAGATACCGACAAGAACGGGGAAACCCCCAGAGTAAAAGCTGAGTAGCACAAAAGGAGGACAGACTACTTTATCAAACTAATGCTTTGGGGGGGATGGAAAGATTGGAACGTACGAAAAAAAAACGTGATTCGGGAACGTTTAATACTCAAAAGACATCTCAATCATCTCTTCGTAGTGTGAAGCACATTAAAGCACGATTAGAAATTAGACACGCGTTTGTGAGGCGAGCCGATGGCAAGACATCTCGATGTCTGGCATCTCCCTCACTATCCTCCCCGCTTTTCTCCTCCTTCTTTTTTGGTTCTTCGCGATCCCCTGGCCAGGATCCTCCATGGTCAATAACAATGCCCGATCACTGAGGGGGTCCTCTAGGCAGCGCTGGTATTGGCCGCAGGAGGACGCTCGGGGTCGTGCTCGTGGGGGTCAGCACCGGCGGGCACGACATGCTGGATCTTCTGCTTCGCGGTGAACAAGCCCGTCACGCCGTTCTCCTGGTTCCGACCCAGCCAGGGCTTGCGAGCCTCGGCCAGGGCTTTCCGACCCAGGTAATAGATCAGCTGACCGACAATGATCAGGACAAATGCAATCGGGTACATCCAGTGGATCTTGTAGTGGAAGACCTTGATACCAATGCAGACACCCCAGAAATTCATGGTGAGCAGAGAAATGTTGAAGAAAGCGGCCGACGACAGTCGGAACATGAGTGGGGCCAGGCAGTAGAACAGGGAGAGACAGAGCGTAAAGCCCGTGAGGTAGCCGCCCACTTTGCCATCCCAGACAGACGTGTGGTAGTTGCTGCGTTCAAAGATGGCGCTTTGCACACCGTCAATGATGCAGCCGTAGAGCGACAGCTGGCCGAGGACCTCATAGACGGGCTTCTTGCTGACAAAGTACTCTTCGGCGGTGTTGGTCAGGCCGTAGAAGGAAGCACCCAGAAGGGCAAAAAGATCTCCCTTCAGCTGGTGACCACTCGAGACGTTGCCGCCGTTGGTACCGGTAATGTGGTCCGAGGCGATCAACACACCCATTCCACCGATGCAGATGACGATGCCAGCAATCTGGGTAATGTGGTAGCGGACCTTGAGGAACAGGAAGGAGAGAACCACGACCACGACGATGGCCCAGAAATTGATGAGCTGCGCACTCAGCATGGTCGTGTACTGATAGGCCAAGACGATGAAGAAGTTGCCCTCGACATCACAGAATGCGAGAATGATATATTTCCAGCCGTCAGTATAGATTACACGGAGCCAGCCCTTGAATCCATAACGGTATATCGTATAGGGCGTAAAGATGCACGTGAGGACGATGTAGTTGAGCAAGGTTTGGAATGTGGGAATCGCCCAGCCTTCCTCTCCCAGCAGAGTCGTGAACGTGCTCGTGGAGGTGTTGGCAATTGCAAGCAGCTGTCTATATCATACAAACAAAATCCGCTTCGATTAGCACGTGGAATAGAAACGGGTCACATTGTACGCTTTGTGCCCGACAGGGTACTGCACATGAGGCTCTGTTACTCACCCAAGAGCCAAGGTGATATAAAACTCCTTGGTTTTGAAATAAGCCAGGAATCCATTCTTGCGTTCGTCCACCTTATCCGCCGGCACCACCGAGGTATCGTCTTCGGCGGCCGAGCTCACCACGGCAACCGGAGTGTCCTTCTGCTGAGCAGAGGATGCCCGCTGAATCGAGTCAATCGAGTCGGCGGCGTAGCTCTGGCTTTGCGCCATGTTCTTTGCGTCGGACATGTTTTCCGAAGAGACCAAAAGATAGGCAACGAAGCGGATCACCTGCTCTATAGTAGTGGACGAGGGACGAATACTCGACGGTAGTAGACCCTAGACAGTGTCGCCTTGGTATTAAGAGGGAGCTTTATAACCACCGACGAGCGCAAAACTCCCAGAAGTCGCTCGTTATCAGGCGATCACCAACAGATGTTTGAAAAGGTGAGAGGAAGGAGGGGAAGGAAAGAACAGAAACACTAGACCAGGGTTTTAAAAACAAAAAGAAAAGAAAAGGCAATTCAGCCCACGCACGGTACGCCAACCTCGAACCTGCTGGAAAAAGCCAAAGAGAAAAAAAAAATTAATAAAAAAGAAAATCATGAGCCTGGCACTGGTCTGAAAACCTTTTCCTCTTTGGGATTCTCCTATCGATAAGAAGCCGGCCGTGCTGTGGATGAGGGGGCTTCCATCATCCAATCAGCATGCATATGGACCCGAGGTTGATGGCAAGTGGGTCCATCTCGATGGAATCCAGGCTCTTCTGTGAAGCGCGCAAGTTGGAAAATCTCGAGCTGGAGCACTCCAGACTTGGAGGGAACATCCTGACGTCGAATAGCTACATCGTGGATCTTCAAGTGGCCAGAAAGCTTGTGACTTGCTGGTATGGTCTTAAATGCAGACGACTGAGATCTCAACTGACGTGGGAACACTGGGTTGGACTGTCAATAACTGCCTGACGAAAATTTGCCCACTAGAACGGGAACCTGTGTCCGTGCACGATGCGCAAAGACCGACAAGCACATGTGCTGTTGATTTTCTGACTCGCCCATGTCACGGATCGCCTGAGTGGCAATGCTGGTCCAAGTACAGGAGTACACTGTATAGCCATCGAAGTACCGTACAGTTGTACATACCTACATAGTCTGACTGTAGTCTGTACCATACCATCCCTACTATCGCAAATTCTAACCGCCATACGGACACGTATGTTGTCGCGGAGTGCAACCGATACTGATGGCCAGCTTTCAATTCACCTCGGATCGACCGACAGTCGTAACCTCGACTGTCGCATGGATGGCAACTTGGCAGACTCCACTGCAACACGCGACGGGACTGGAACCGGGACCAGGACAGGGACCCGGCGTGAGAAGGTGTGGCATTCCAGTCCGCAGAACCGGCGGAAGCTGCCACTGGGGCGTGGTCACGGCGGCAGATGCACGAAAAGGAATGGAAGCCTTGCCGAAGGATCAGTGAAGCTTTTAGAGTTGGCCTCGGCCCAGATTCTTCACCAGACAATCATTTTGAAGAACACGATCATACCAGTATGTCGCTCCAGCTCAGTTTTTGGCCTTTGGCGCTTTGGAATCATACTGCCGACGTGTTTTCAGTGATGAACTCTATGGTCTCGTTGATTGTGCCTACATTATGCGTCGATTCTATCCAGGCTCGCCCTGAACGCCTGAAGTATATCGTGTCGATATCTCTCTTATCGTCCCTCCGTACAGCGTACAACATGTGACCTTGACTTCTATTGCCCCCCCCCCCCCCCCCCCCATAGACCTTACTACTAGAGTCTAGTCAGTCTACTACAAGTACACGCACCCTTCAGTTGCAGAAATCTTCATCCATGCTTCTTCCGCTCTGTCGGCAGAAAGCCTAAAGCATCTTCAACAGGTACCACTGTTCAAGACTTACCTACGCGGTAGGTCACTTGAAGCTCCAGATATATGTTCGCAGTATACGATTACGGGCGCACTTGGCTGTCGCTAGTATATTGGGGTCGCTATGGCTGACGGACCCTTGACAAAGGCCAGGTACTCGGTAGGGACTAGTAGCTGGTTGGTAGTTGGTAGGCGTGGCTGTACATGGAATAATATACCATCACAGTAGTAGTAGTAGTAGTAGTAGTAGTAGTAGTAGTAGCTGAATCAAGAGACCTCCATTCAGTCTATCTTTGGCAGCTGATGGATCCCAGTAGTACCTTCAGTCTTCAAATTCTTCGAATGCTTGTTACTCCAGTATCATCTTTGGCTATTGATGGCTCTAGAACATCCATCTGCATTGATACCATTCAATCACTCTCGTCTCGCTTTCGTCTCGTCGATCTACGGTCGCGTGTCTGGAAGGCCTGTTTCTTCCGGCATCCACCGATCCCCTGTCCCTGGAACACCAAAATCGAAAAAAACAGACGCGAGCGTGTTTCAGTTTTCTTTTCGCAGGTGCATGGTTTGACGCCTGAAATCGGCTCGGAAGTCACGTCAACCTTCTTCACTGGGAACTCAAATCCTCCACGATCGCCGCGGATCCCAGACTCTCCCACGCTCTCGGAGGACCTGCCTTCGACCATCCTGTGCACGGTACCCAATACATCCCTACAGTAAGAACCGCGGAATCTAAGCTTAGCCCGTCCGCCCTGAATCTGAATCTGAATCAGTGAATCCTGACCCGAAGGCCCCCTCTTCCAATCGTGATAAGGTGGGCCCGCCTGTCCAGATCCTCCCAGTGCTCCTCTCTGCACTTTTCGACTGAGGATCGTCATCCCCTCCGCAGACTCTTTCATCATCTCCACCCTTTCCCTTCACAACTCACCTCAATCCCGCCAGCCACACCTCCGCCATCCACCCCCCACGAGCCCCCGAATTCCGTCCAACCCACCCCCTTCCCCTCCCCCATCGTCGCGATCACGGATCATCTGTCTGGAGACGCATCCATTCTCAACCCTCGGGCCTAACGTGCCGTCCTCCGTTGCCTGCCCGATCATGGCGCTGGACCTTCAGCCGCCCGACGGTCGCAAACGGGTCAAGGTCTACGAGCTGCGGCAAAACGACTGGTTCGATCGTGGCACCGGCTTCTGCACCGGTCACATCTCCGGAGTATGTGATAACCTCGCGCTCTCCCTGCCTTGCATCACCTTTTCCGTCGCGCGCAGTTCGTTCGTCGATGCGCCCACCAGTCGCTCGCGCGACTTGTTGATTGCGTGGCGCGCAGAAAGTTCGAACCGTCGGCAACCCGAAGACGTCCGCCAACCCGACGGCCGTCCTTCGCAATGGTCAAGCTTCCTTATGACATGGCCAATTTGACTAATGGGTGTTTCTTTCCGCGACTGAACAGGAAATTCCCCGAATCTACGTGGAATCTGAGGACGAACCGATCCGTGTCTTGCTGGAGTCCAAGATTACCAAAGAGGATGGCTATCAAAAGCAGCAAGGTTGGTCTTTTCACGGCCTCGCCACGGTCGAACTATGCCATCGAGCTGGCAAAGGGGGATGGAGACGCTAACGTGGCTACACTGCCAGAGACGTTGATCGTCTGGACCGAATCGGATGGCACAGATATGGCGCTCAGCTTCCAAGAGGCCGAGGGTTGCGCAGTGATCTGGTAAGACCGAGGGAGAAACTTGGGCAGCGCGCGCGTTGAAGAGCATGGAGAGGCTGACGAAGGGCAATGTTCATCGTTGTAGGGATTTTGTCCATTCGGTGCAACAACAGTTGCTCAGCGTGGCTGCCGCAGATGACGCTCTCTCCGATGATTTGGACAATTATCAGCCGATCCAGTTGCAGGCTCCGGAGCTGGGCAATCTGGCCGATATTGAGCAAATCGTGCGCGCCGCCAGCATGACGCAAGCCGGCCGCGATGCGCTCTCGAAATTCGTCATCCGCGACGAGTACATTGGTAAACTGGTCCCATTGGTGACCATGGCAGAAGACCTCGAGAGCTTGGTCGATTTGCATCGGCTGTGCAACATCATGAAATCGCTGATCTTGCTCAACGACAATACCATCATCGAGACGGTGGTTGCCGACCAAATTATCTTGGGCGTCGTCGGTGCTCTGGAATGTAAAGCTTACCCTCTTCTTCGACGCGTCGTAATCCGTCCATGTCTGACGACCTAAATTCGAGAGACCCGTTGGCTGATGCAAACCCATATGAGAACAGATGACCCAGAATTCCCCACCCACAAAGCAAACCACCGACAATATCTCGCCGACCAGTCTCGCTACAAAGAAGTGGTCCCAATCAAAGATCCGCTGATTCGCAGGAAAATTCGAAGCACTTGGCGATTGCAGTATCTCAAAGATGTCGTTCTTGCGCGCATTCTCGACGATCCGACCTTCTCTGTCTTGAATTCGCTCATTTTCTTCAACCAGATGGAGATTGTGAATCACATCCAATCCAATGCCCCCTTTCTACGAGAATTATTTTCCGTCTTCGATCCACGATACAACGATAACAAGCGCAAGGACGACGCCGTTCAGTTCCTCCACCAATGCGCCGCAATTGCGAAAAACCTCCAAGCTCCTTCGAGGGCCCAGCTGTTTGCCAATTTCATCAGCCATGGCTTGTTTGCCGTGATCGCCTTTGCTGTCAAGCACACAAAGGCTGCCATGCGTACGACCGGCATAGACATCCTTATGGCGTTGCTCGATCATGATCCCGTGATGATGCGTGGATACATGCTCAAGGCTGTCAATGAGAAGAAAACCCCGCTGACCGACACACTGATCGACCTTCTTCACGCGGAGACGGATCTGGGCGTCAAGAACCAGCTTGCAGACGCAATCAAGATCTTGCTAGATCCTCAAATTCCCATGCCAGAATCACTCGGTCGGGCTGGCCCCGACTTCTTCAAATTGCGCTCCTCCAACCTCCTCTCCGATGCATTTGTTCAGCAGCACTTTGATGATTCCTCCAAGCGCCTCTTCCAGCCACTAAAGCACATCGCCAATCGCATGTCTTGTGAGTTCTTCCTTCGGTCTGGGACAACGAACGGGTTGCGAAGAAGGGAATATCATTGGGGTCAGAGCTAATATCATCTTGCTAGTGAATGAGCTCACCTTTCAAGAGGTCACATTGTACTCGCATCTTGTCGATATACTCACATTCTTCGTCCGACAACACTTGTTCCGCACCCGCAACGTAATTCACAGCGAGTCTCTTGCACCTCGAGTGGCTCAGCTCCTGACCGTCCCGCAAAAACACCTCAAGCTGGGTAAGCATTGATCTTGTGGTTGATTCTGTCATTCCTGTGTCATCTACTAAGTCTTCATCTGCCATCAGTATCCCTCAAATTCTTCCGTACCCTGATCAGCCTTCAAGACACCTTCTACCAAGCTCTCATGACACATAACAACACCTTCGGACTTATTCTCGACATTGTATGCGAGACGATGCCGCGCGACAATCTTCTCAATTCTGCTTGCCTCGAACTCTTTGAGTTCATCAAGCGGGAGAATATCAAGCCGTTCATCTTGCACGTGGTCGAAAAATACCGGGACAAGCTTGACCAGATCACCTATGTCGATACCTTCCGAAATCTGATTCTGCGGTATGATCAAATGCAAGGCAATGGTGCCGACGCGGATGCGACACTGTTCAGCCAGGACGAGAATGCGCCGCAGCGGCTACCGTTAAGTGGCCAGCGTTGGCAAGGTGTGAAAGAGATGGATGCTGCTGAAGAAGAATACTTTAATGCGTCTGACGACGAGGACGAGGTATGTGGTTATCACTGATAAATAGGCTCCTCTCCTTCGCTAACATGTGTGATAGTGGACACAAGAAAGCCGCGCTGCAGTCGCAGAGACTGCTGTGGCTAATGGCTCGGCGTCACCGGTTGTCAAGCCCTTGGTTGATTATCCCGACGACGACGAGGATGAGGACGCCATGGATACCAAGCCTGAAGCTGCCGCCGCTGCAGTTGGGTCTATGGAGACTCCGTTCCCACAGGTGGAAGAAACTGCAGTTCCGCCCTCTCCAGAGGCAAGCTCTGTATCGGAACCTTCATCACCTGCGTCACAGAAGCCTTCTGCTCCAGAGCGACTTGCCGAGAAGCGCCGCCGCGAGGAAGAGGACGAGGATGAGCTCGTGAAACTTGCTGCAGGGCCAAAACGCAGAAGCTCGCTTAGTAGCAACTCTGGATCCACAGTGATGAATCGAAAGAAGACTCTATCGATTGGATCAATAGGTTCGGTCGATAAGGCAGGCGCTCAAGGTGTCATGGGAACAGTGATGAGTAGCGCGCCACCGAAACGAATCGCAATCAACATCGGGCCCGTCAAGTCTGCATCACCGGATAGTGCCCCTTGTGAAGAAGTGGTACCCGATGCTGGTAGCGAAAAGGAGAACCAGGATGAACAGAAGAGCGAAACAACGAGTTGATCTCCTTGCTTCTCTTTTTGTTTCTTTTGATCATCCATGCCTAAGACGAGACATTGCGGCGCCACTTCACCTAGTCTCCCAAAGAACTTTGGCGTGCTGCTTATGCGCTCGATATGCTCAATTTCACCTGGGCCCCCTATCCCCTCCTGCATCCACTCCCTCTCTCTCTCACTCACTCTCACAAACACACTTCCATGACAGCTCCCTCTCCATATCTGTTCCTGCCATTTTTGCGAGCTAGATACCCGAGCCAGCGCAGGATCTTCATCAATCAGTGTCCATTCTCGAGCTTTCTACTCCCTTCTTCTTACCATGCCTTCTTGTCCATCACGTCTAGCGAGAAATCCTCCCTCCTCTCACCTTCTTCTGCCTCTCTTCTTTGACGTCATTTCAAGTGAAATACTTACCCATATGCTTACGGGATGGCTTTCATTCCCGCGGTTTTCTGATCTCTCCTTGTTTTTGTTCTTGTTTTTGTTTTTGCGTTTCTCTTGGACGGTGCGATCATGGAACGAACGATTGAGATGTGTACATTGAGTCTTGCTCTGTCGGCGTAATACTGGGTCAATGGCAATTGGATGCATTGGAGGCGGCCGAAGCCGTGGTTGCCTATCTTTCTCTTTTCATCTCCTACTGTGCCTGTTATACCTCTTCGTACGAGCATATTGGGTAGCCTGTCGTTAATTATGCCCGGCCACGCAAAGGCCCTTGTAGACGCTTCTCCAGCATTGAATTCCGATGAACTAGGCCGTAAACGTTTGGGGAATCAACTCGTAGGTCCTTCGCATGACTACTCCCAGCTTTGTGAACAAGTCACAACACTCGGTGGTAGTTTCGGACAAGCTTGCCACTTCGCTTTGGCTAGGGACAAACACCATTGTCTTCTACTGCCACCTAACCCCATGTACGATATAGTCAGCTACGGACCGGACGGCTCAGGAAGTTGAGGACTTCAAAATGGCAGTATTCCACTAATACACCGTGCTTTGATAGCGTCCTTTAAGAGAGCTTGGAGTAGGACTAGGAACGAGCTAATTACGAAGTCAGGTCTAGGACCCGCTGTCGGTCCCGTTCAGATCAGAGCTTCTCTTGCCCACGCACGGTCTTGCTCCGCGGGGGCCGAGGCCGAAGAGCTTTGTTCCACTCTTCGCGACGTCTGGATAGAATCGCATTTAATCTGCAGTGCGCAATTTGCACACTACTGGGTGGTGTGTATTCAAAGGCCATGGATCCCAAAGTGACATCTAGTACTTTTTGTACGTACACGGCCACTCGAGAAGATACGACCACTACCATCTTCTTCATCACCGGCAATCCTGGGCTAATTGGGTACTACCACCCATTCTTGTCTCTGCTGGCCGAGAATCTAAAGAATGGCCCGTCTCAAGATCGGCCTGCAACAGTTCAGGCATGCAAGGGATCAGATGAAGCTTTTCAGATCTATGGGCGCAGTCTCGGCGGATTTGTAATCGACTCGGATGAGAAGAGATTTGAACATGGGGACAGACGTGCAAGCCCCGGCGATTCGCAGACGAGACTATACGACCTCGAGGATCAAATCTGCTTTGTTCATGATTCACTCAATGCACTGATGGGCCACAATGCCGCTTCAAGTTCAACGCACTCTCTGGACAACGAATCCTGCAGCTCTCCCAGAAAGCGCAGAGTCATACTCATCGGTCATTCCGTGGGCGCTTACATCGCGATGGAAGTCCTGCGCCGACACCGCGAAGCAACCAGCGAGTCCGTTAAAAGTGGTGAAAGAGGTGTTTACGATGAGGGTTTTGACATTATCGGAGGTGTGATGCTGTTTCCTACGGTGAAGGATATTGCGCATTCGCCATCGGGGCAAAAATTAACGGTTCGTCTACTTTCATGTACCTCACTTTCGCAGCTCCAGATATGAATTCTCCCCTCGCTCTAAGAATGCTCTGAGTCGGTAACTAATCTCAAGACCTGCGGAAAATGCTAGACTCTCCTGTCTCTCATTCCTCATTTCGCAATGGTAGTCAGCTTTATAGCTGGCATTTTGACCTCCATTCTGTCTATGAGTGCTTTGAAATCAGTGATCAAGCTGGTCATGAGAGATCCCCCGACCCATGCACTCGAGACGACAACTTCATTCCTGAAAAGTAGTCAGGGAGTACGACAAGCACTGTAAGTCTTGCATGGTACTTCGCGTATTTGTGCTCATATCTGCAGTAACTATCTCATCCAAGGCTCTGACTGACTCTCCTCCCCCATACAGACACATGGCAGCCGATGAGATGCGAACCATCACATCCGACAAATGGACAGATGATACCTGGGGCGTGGCGCAGACCCAAGACCCTGTCAGTAGGCTCTACTTTTACTTTGGTCGGAATGACCATTGGGTTGCGGAAAAGACCAGAAAGGAAATCATCGCCATGAGGAGCTCCACGAAGCGAGAGGATGGATTGGGCCCCCAGATGATTGTGTGCGAAGATGGGTTGCCTCATGCTTTTTGTTTGAGTAAGTTTGGATTCTTCTTCAGAATACAAGTTTGACGCTTAATGACTTCGGTCATGGATTAACAGTCGTGTCTTAGAACACTCTGATGTGATGGCTCGCAAAGTTGCGGCTATGATACGGGAAATTGCAAGTTGACGAACAGGGTTGCGAGGTTAGCCATGCACTGTGATTGCGTGTTACGAATGTTTGGATCTTGCCAGCTCTTCATCATTGCGATGGCACAGGGTGAGCAATAGGAGGCAGACGAAAAGAGGTGCGAGATTTTGAAAGGCGCCTTGACTGTATCGGATTGTTTCCTTGGAAGGCAGAAGTTCGCCATGGGAGACTAGCGAGTTATGCCGGAAGGGCAGAATGGATAATAATCGCCACTTTCAAAAGAGATAACCTCTGCATCAAAGTAGCTCTCCAACCGATGCCCGCGTTTTCTCAGCTCAATTCACTTGCCCGTCGTGGGCCTGGTATGCAAAACCCGCACGTCGGAAGAGATCACCGAGCACATCCCCTGGTTGACCTGCTGATGGTAGCGGAGGCGGAGTTTGGTAAGTCTGCTGTGGTTGGTGAGGCACCACCGAGTATCCTGGTGCGTTGTGATAAAATTGAGACGAATGCTGCTGTGGCGGAACAGGCTCTTGATACTGTTGTTGTCGCTGCTGCGGCGCTACTTGCGATTGAAATTGCTGCTGCTGGTGCGGCAGGGGCTGGGCCTGCGGTTCATGATGTGCCCTGACACTCCACCCATCATCTTGTGCACGCTGTTGCCCAAACAAATCCTTGAGCGAGACTTGACGTCCCATAGCCACGCTCGCCTGAACTTCCTCCAACGGCGCAACTTGATTTTCCGCCAGCAGGGCTGCGGCATGGAGTCCATTTTGCTGAATCGCCTCCAGGCGCTCTTGCGCCGTTTTCAAGCTTTGTCCCGCGTGAGCTGCGCATTCACGAATCTTTTCTGCGTTGACTGTACGTGCTTGCGCAGTTGAATTTGGCGGAGGCTCTGAGTAGATCCAGATTCCGTAGATGCGTAGCCCAGGTGCGCTGCCACCGCTTCCTCGTCCCGTCTCTGTCATCTCACCTGCGGCATTCTCATCCGCTTTGAGAATCACATATTCCTCCGTCAATTCCACGTTCTCGGCATCCGTCAACTGTAGATTAAAGTTATTCAATCCACGTCTGTTCAGGACAAACGCTGTGTATCGATCCTCCCCGAGACTACCCTGTGTCATTTGGCAAACGAAGAGGGTACCCTCTACCCCGGTTTTCTCCCACTGACGCGACGTGGGATTGAAGAGGTATACAACGGCATACTGGGCAAGCGAGAGGATGGCAATGATGTCGGAGTGATGCCGGCGCAGGACAGAGAGGTTGATCTCTTCGTTGGTTCGGGTTGGAGGAGGTGGCGACTGATGTTCTGGGTCTTGTTGCTGCATGAGCTGTTGATGTTGCTGTTGTGGCTGTTGTAGATCGGAGAAGTACGCGGCGTCTGATTCATAGTCAGTCAGCTGGTTGTTGGCGGGATAGGTAGTGCTGCCGGATTGGCTGTAGTTATTTGTGCGTCGGGGCTTGTGGGCGTTTATAGTAGCCATGTTTGTAAGTTGGAGGGCATGCGGGTTGATGGGAGAATTTATAACAAGACTTGTGTGTAGGAGACTTCTGAGCGAGCTCGTGCCCAACTTAAAGCGCGGCTCCCTGCCACAGAAAAGCGGCATGTCGATTGCGCTGATAACGTATCGGCGGCTGATAGCGGTCGCATTGGTAAAGTAGGGCATTTGCCGCATACGGCGCATGGTAGTAGTACTGTTGTATCCGATTGATGTTCAAACGTGAAAATTATCTTTGAGGGATGTACTTCTCAAAGAACGGTTTGAGCAAGATGTCTTGATACAGAGCTTGACTTGAATCAATACTGTTTCATTTTTCATTGTCTCTTGAATACTTCAATTAGCCAACCTAAATGCATTCATGTAAGTCGAGGTTGTCGCCCAACCTGGATGAAAAGGCTTAGTTCCAAGGTACTACCTCTTTCGTATTCCCACAGTGACCGCTATTTGTAGCCGTAGCAGCCCGCGGGCATATCGTCATCGGACCGAGTGACCCGCCGAGCTTAAACTCCCCTCCTGCGCTCGCATCTCCACTGCTCCCTCTATGCGGGCTGCGGGCAACACTGCGGCCATTGCATCCTCAGCCCACGCACAGAAAGGCGACCGAGGTAATCGGCAAAAAAGTCTACGTATTTTAGACATTATATACTGCAGTGAGTTGGCCCTTCGTGTATTTCCGCTTCAGTCAATGCTGCGGTATTGTACTACCAATTGCCGATTCGAAAGAGACGTTTACACGAATGCTGATTTCAAATTTAGGCTTCCTAAGTGATACCCAACTCAAGTCATCACTCGATTCATGACCCGGCGACAAGCGCCAATTTTATGAATTTCTACCCCGTGCGAGTGGAAAGTCGAGAATCGTGCCGCGCCTGCGCTTTCAACCAGACACTACGCTCGAGCCGTTCTGAAGATTGCGAAGCATGCCCTACAAGCGCGACTCTCAATCATCCTGGGAATTTCTATCTGTGAGGTCCTTGCACCATGTCGACCGACGAGCAGCAGGCGACGCGACCTCCGGGAGCGTTTCCCTCTGACCAATCTTTCGGAGAATTTGAGGACATTAGCCAGCCGGGACTTGATCTGCAGTCCCTGACTCGTGCTATGAAGTCGAGGAAGGCCGACTACATACGCCGACAATCTGTGTCGGTGAAAGTCGGTACATGGAATGTAGCCGCGATCCCAGGCACCGAGAACGATATCGGAAGATGGTTCGTGCAGGGAGAAGGCGCGAGCGAGGCATTCTCCGGCTTCAAAGACCCTCAATCTCGCGGCCACATTGTCACGGGCCAGTCGACATCAAAACTGGACAGCGAACACCAAAAAGGCAGCGAAGGTACCAAGACAGCCTCTGAGCCCGGTCCAGAAGCAGTCGATCTATATGTCCTTGGCCTTCAAGAAATTGTCGATATCTCTTCTCCCGCCGAAGCCCTGCGGCCGTATACCGATCAAGGGCCTGCAAGACGGTGGAAGGAAGCTGTGCGCCAAGCGTTACCAGCCGGATATGAGTTAGTGTCCGAAGTTCAGCTTCTAGGCTTGTATCTCACGATATACACATCGCCTGAAATACGCGATAGCATATCGTCCGTCAGCAGTACCTCGGTTGGCACAGGGCTGATGGGATACATGGGCAACAAAGGTGCCGTTGCAACTCGAATAGTCATTGGGGAAACCACTCGTTTGGTCTTTGTCAATTGCCATCTTGCTGCAGGATCAGACAAAGGCAGTCTTGAGAGACGCAATTGGGATGCTGCACAGATCATCCAGCGCACAAAATTCGAGCTCGTTGAATCAGAGGATGGACAAAAGGAGCGTCAAAGCGAGAACATTGGCGAGGAGGACTTTGCGTTCTGGTTTGGTGACTTGAATTATCGACTTGATGATATTCCAGGGGACGACGTGCGGCAAGTTTTGGCTCGTCATGCAGAAAACGCATACGACTCTGCTTTACAGAGCAAGCTTTCCAGGTCAAACAGCCGCCGGAATTCACATGCCTCTGATTCAGCTGCCGATTCACAATCTTCACCCTCATCGGTCGCCGGGGAAGATGAAAATCCAGACCCAGTAGCTGATGAGGACATTGATCCTCACAATGACCCCGCATCGCTTCAGACCACTATCTCATCCCTCATGACACATGATCAATTACGTACGCAACAGAGGAAGGGAACCGCTTTTCACAAGGGCTGGCGGGAGGGTGAGATTACTTTTTTGCCGACCTATAAATATGACGTGGGAAGTGTGGCCAGGTTCGATTCAAGCGAGAAACATCGTGGCCCCAGCTGGTGTGATCGTATTCTCTTCCGCACACAGCAAGACATCAACAAGCATGAGCGGATGAATCGTGAGGCCGAAGACGCGCGGAAACGCGACAAGGAGATGCAAGATCGGGGCTTGGACAAAGCAGTTGCAGACTATAATGTCTTGTTTGACTATGATCCAGAGGTCGACGGCTCTGTGGACGGCGATGGTTATGAGTCCGATGCTGATAGCGCAGGAGATAACACAACGTCGCCCATGCAAGAAGAGTCAGAGCCGGATCCAATTCATCAGCATCATTACGGCTCATATCAGGGCATCCTTTCATCCGATCACAAGCCTCTGAGTGCCAATTTCACGCTGACCTTCGATGCGGTTGATTCAAGACTCAAGGCAAACGTGCATCAAGAGGTTGTCCGTGAGCTAGACAAGGCCGAGAACGAGGCACGACCAGGGTTGACGGTTGTTGTGGACACCCACATTGATGAGAAAGGATCAAAGCACGACCCCAATATGGTCTCTTTTGGCGAAGTCAAATATGACGTTCCGGTTCATCGAAGTCTAACCGTGGCGAATACCAGCGGTGCTCCTGCCAAATTCTCATTTGCCGAGCAGGTTGGACACGATAACAACTCAGATGATTCTGCAAGTTGGTTGGACGTTCATATTCATCATTCTACCGACGCTGAGCCAAGTCTGGGGGTGTCATCAAATCCCCACAATTCCCATACTTTGCATCCCGGAGAAGTGGCTCATATTGATGTCACTGCACATGTTCGCAGTATTGAACATGTTCGTCAACTGAACAAGCACAAAGCAAAACTTGAGGAGATTCTCGTTCTCCACGTGGACAGTGGACGGGATCACTTCATCTCAGTCTGCGGCAAATGGATGCCGACTTGCTTCGGATGCAGTATAGAGGAATTAACCCGTATGCCTGAGCAGGGTGCTAGAAGCCAATTACGCGACAGTGAGATACGGAACGACAAAGAAACCGAAGAAGTTCGACTTTCGGCTCCACGTGAGCTTTTCCGACTGACGGAATGTATTTCAGACTTGGCAGAGCGTGCCGTGGCAGAATGGAGCATGATGAAAGGTGAATCAGAGGAAGAACAGCCGCCATGGAGCAAGGAGCCAGCTGGTTTCGCGTGGCCCTTCCAGCCAGAGACATGGACTCTTACAGATCCTCACACTCGCGCGTCCCTTCTTACTTCTGTTCGAGAATCACTCGACACCAATGAGTCCTTTTCGAGTGCCTTCACTCCCGAAATTTCGTCTTTACACCGGCTTGAGGTCATGGCAGAGACTCTTTTATCTTTCCTTAATTCAATTAGCGACGGCGTCGTCACAGCAAGCGTGTGGCATAAAATGGAACAACAAATCATCTCTCGCGAGAGATCCAAAGCGCCATCCTTGTCATGGGAGGAGACACAAGCATGGGTTCTTGAGAGCTTAGCTTATTCTCCTGCGCACAGCGTCTCCTTCACATTTGTCACTTTCATGCTGGCGCGTCTCGCTAATGAAATTGCACCTGTTCCATCGGCTGCGCGGTCACATGCATCCCTTCGGAGGACCAAAACATCAAGTGAGGAATCCACGCCAACCAGCGCTTCGTCTCGGGATTCACGTCAGCGATCGTCATCGCACTCAAGTTCGCCATTTGGCATTCAGGCTTCTTCGGCCACAGCGAAGGCCCTCGTCTCGGGAGGAAGCTTGAGGCGCAAATCTCGCTTTGTAGATGCGGACCCCGAATCTACCGCTGTAGCCGAAGCAGCATCACGTCGTGAGGCCGTGGAGACAGCGCTAGCTGAAGTATTCTCGAGAGCCTTGATATCATCGGACGTTCCTCTTCCTGCAAGAGATAAGGATCGACGCGCTTCAGACGAGCGCAAGAGAAGCATCATCGAGCCATTCTTAAAGATGGTCGGTGTCGATGAGCGAGGCCCATCAGGCGGGCGATGACCCTTTTACAATTCCTCCTTCTTTCACGTACATATTCAATCGTGTTGCCGGTGTTGGTAGCTGCTTCTTTAGCATAGTATTTAGATTCACGTGAGGTTGGCCGCTACAAGTCCCGTGGGCAGGCGACTGTGTTTGTGGGGTTCGGTTGAAGAGAGATGGGATATAGACCGTTGTATATTTTGAATGTGCTATGCAGAGTATCATGACGGTGCTAAATCGGAATTTCCCCACCAATACAGAAGTTCTGGGGGAACTATACAGGTCAGAGACTTCCTCCAGGCTACTGTCTTTTATCTTGACATTTTGATGTTCACATTTACACCTGAAACACTTCGAACCTTGCCGGCGAAGGTGAAAGACGCCGGTGACTGTGCTCAGTGTGCTGTATTTAGAGTCAAGTCCCAGGTCGTCGCAATGCGTTGACTATGGCCATGACTGGTCACCAATGATGTTCTAGCGTGCAGCACCCCAAGCAGATTCAAATGTCTGCTGCTGCAACGGTGAATTTTTCGACGACGGCACACCCGTTGACTTTGCCGGCATTGTCTGTCTACCATACGATGGTCCGGGTGTCGTCTTGCCCTTAGACTTGTACGTTGATCGCGAGGAAGGAATCGTGCGCCGCGACCCAAACATTTGCTGAGCTGCTTGTATACAGCGATGCGTAATGCGGCCTGGAATCTGACATATAGATATGGCTAGTTGCGCGGGGACCACAATGCATGCACAAGCCCAGTCCACAAGAGTAAAGGCATAGCTCTGGCGTCGATGGGAATTGGCGCGCTGAGCCGCAGCGGCCAGTGCTATGGCATCGCGGGTCTGCGCCTCTAGTTCCTGGAAGCGCGTGTCGGTTTGCAGGGCCGTGAGGGTGGTCCGCTTCTCATACCGACGCACAGCTCGATTGAGGGCATCGATGTCAGGGCCCAGTGCATGGCGTGCTTCCAAGACCATTTGCGCAATCAGATCGGGTGTCACTTCGGCCTTTGTTGGGGACTTTGCATTGAGTCGGGCAGCGGCAGCCTCGGCGACGTGAGCTTCGAGCTCATCTAGGCGTTTAGTGAGATCCTGGAATGTCGCTGAACTGACTTCCTTTTCGTGTGTTGAAGCTACCACTCGCTGAAGGTGGAGGGTGCGCGCCTGGCCAAGCTTGAGGAGATGGGCAAACGGTCGAATCTCCGATGCGAGCAGGAAGATGGTGAGATTGTAGTTCGATACAAGTCCCTCCGAAGGTCGTGACAGACTCGACCGAATGGCGTGCAGAAGCCATGTGCCCACAATTGGACACACAAAGCAAGCGCCGAGGGCGACTAGTTCATGGATTTGGAGCTCTTTGATGGCTTTTAGTTCTGCCGCGGATTGCACATGTCTTTCGTGACCTTGGCCCGCCCGTGATTCACGGGCCTCTGCTTCATTCTCATCCGGGTCTGGGATTTCTTCTTCGACCGGTCCTAGTCCGTCCTGATCCCTTTGTATTCCTTGTGCTGATCGGTACCAGTCCCTGATGCAGATCTTGTGTCAGCAGACCACCACGTGTACAGAAGTGCACTCGGGATAAGATCACCCAACTTGAAACATACCATGGCAGTCTCACAGACCAATTGAGGAAGATGCCTGCCAGCAAGATCAGAGTCACGTCCGTCACGAACGAGCTTCCACCTTGGAAAAAGACTCCCGCGATAGCCGGCAGTAGCGCTAGCACTAGCGGCGCCGAGTGCCAGTGGGACTCCTCCGTTGACTCTGGCTCTTCCCGATCATGCGCAACCCGGGGAAGAAACAGATTATCTGTGGAGGATCGAATGGAGTGCCGCGCTTCAGATAAAGAGTCGGAGAGAGTTGAATTGCGACGTTGGGGCCATTCGTTGGAAGGTTCTTCCAACAGGGTCGTGGCGCGCGCCGAGAGGCCTCGGCGACGAAGGGAGTTGTGAGTTGGGGTATTGCGGGGCGGCGGTGCGGAGTCTGAGGGAGCAGACGATGAAGGCGGATCGGCCATCTTGGGCAGAGTGCCAAGGGCAAGCTATGGGGGTGTGTGTTGCGAGTGGATTGTCCAGGGAAGCAGCGAGACCTCTTTAGTCTTTTCTGATGAACTGCTGTCAGGCGGAGGTTCTGCAGACGTCGATCGGTGGTTCTTTGATGAGTGCGGAGGCAGATGTCACGCGACTTGGAGAATTGGTGACGTCGGCTGAATTCCAACTGGCGACTTTTGTCATTTTCCACACTCTCAGTGCCTACTTGCCGATCAAACCGATCACTTTGGTACCGATTGAACATCTTGAATAATTTGAGCCGATCTAGAGCTGCATTTCTGCGATTTGAACCTGTCCGAAAAAGCATGCAATGTCCTGTTTTTACGAACTCGTGGTCCTAGCGACGAACATAAGATTTGACTTGTTCCCGGCCTGTGCCTCGGCGCAAGCCGTCATCGTGCGTGAACCGTCCACCGGACAAAACGAGAGTAGATGGGGAGTCAATGTAATGCTCAGCAGCATGACAAACACATCAGCAGGTTCGCTTCAATTTGATGATATGCCTCTGCGGAAAAGCATCTCTGTAGCACTCGTCCCAATCTGACGGATGAAGTGCACGGAACCTCTCGCAGTCTCGCTACAAACACCAAGGAGCAAGCACAGATGCACAACCCGCGTCGCCCGAAGCTCGTGGACTTTCCACAAGAAACTCGAATAGATTCACTGAGCTCCAGGTCGAGGCCCCTGATGTGATCGTAGCAGGCGGAACAAGCTCGCTCCTAATCAGCGCGCATCAAATCAACACGATGGCAGACGGCTGAAGCGCAAAGACATGCAGCAGTTGGCATGTCGATCCATCTGAGATCTGGGTCCCGTCTGAGGGCTCTTATTGGTCTGCTGGGCCCGAATAGCCCCACCCGGACTGGCCCTATTCAACCCCCAAAAGGGTAATATCTCATCCTCACCAAACGTCCAGTTCCAGCAAGAAAAACGGTGGTCGCTCATCACGAAACTGCTTTGATCGCCTGCTGCCTGTTTATACTAGCTTTACATCAAACATGTCTCATTACTGGCCATGTTTTTCTACTGTCGTGGATTTCCCAGCACGGAATCCCCTCCTGGAGCCTAGCATCAGCGCCGGCCTGTCGCTCATCGGAATGATAGCTTCGTATATGCCTCGCTTCAGTCCGAAGATGTCTTGATCTAGGCTACCTCTGAGATTAGATTGAGACGTTCCATGAGACCATCTCAGTCTCACCAAGATTAGCATGTTGGTCCAGGCTGCTTGCTCTTCCTGAGCAACGAGGATGCCCCAGCGTTGCCTACGCGCTGTTACATTCTTAAGCTGTGCAAGTGGTTTCCTCTTGAACAGCCCTCTGGTCTTCGAATCTTGACATACAAAAGGAAACCACAAGACCTCATCTGTTCCTGTCGAAAGGATTTGAGTCAATTGACTACCTTCTGGAGAACCGGACTTCCAGTTCAAAATCCAACCAGACCCGGCATCCTTGTCACCATGGAGGAATCCTACATTCGCTACCCAATGGCCACAGTCGTGCCATTACTCTCCATCTTGTCAATCACAGTATGCATCACACCTCTCATCCTGCATGCAAAGAACCGCAACCTGCCCGCCACCAGTCTCATCTGTTGGACAATCCTATTGAATGTGTTCAACATTATCAATGCCTTTATCTGGCCTACAGATGACATCAACTCGTGGTGGAGTGGAGTCGGACTATGCGATATAGAGGTCAAGCTCATGGTTGGAAGCTATGTGGCTTTCCCAGGTGCTCTGGTGGGCATCTTCCGTGGTCTGGCCGTAGTCTTGGACACGGCGAGCACCACGCTCGTCCCAAGCCAGACTCAGCGTTGGCGAAAACGAATTATCGAGCTGGTTTTCTGCGTCGTGATTCCTTCTCTTGCCATGATTACCCATATCATCTGGCAGAAAAGTCGGTACCTGCTCTTTTCCATCTCGGGCTGTGTGAACAACTTCGACGAGAGCTGGGTGACCTTTGTCTTGGCCTACATGTGGCCCCCAATCATTTGCTTGATTGCTGCGTATTATGGCTGTATGTGACCTTGCCTTGTTTCCATCTCGACTGCCATCTGACATACTCACGCTCTAATTCGTTTCCAGGTCTTGTTCTCATTCGAATGCGCAAGTATCGCAGCGACTTCAGTTCGATTCTGCGCTCTGCAAATAGCCGCATGAGCAAATCCGGCTTCTTGCGACTTTTCTTCCTTGCTTCGACCATGCTTGTGGCTATTCTGCCCACTGAAATCTATGTGCTCTACTACGACCTGACGCTTTCACTTCCCTGGCACGCGTACTCGTGGAGTGCGATTCACGGACCAGAGTGGTACGTGATCCAGAAATTTCCCACCTACGGCCAAGTCTTTTTCGACCGTTGGACCCCTATCGCCGCAGGGTACATGCTGTTTATCTTCTTCGGCTTCGGTCGTGATGCGACGCGCATATACCACAATTTCTTCTGGCGCATTGGTCTGGGACACTGCTTCCCCATGTTCGCTCAACCTACCGACTCCACTTCTAGCGGCAGCGGCTCAAACTCCACCACTCTGGTGGGATCGACTATCAGTCGCGCTAAGCTGTTATTTTACTGGGGCAAAGGTACCAATTCAAGGTATGTTGTCTGTATCTCATCGGTCATGCAGAGCTCTTTGACTAACTCATTGTAATCAGCGGACACGACCACAGCTTATCCTCGCAGTCTGACACCGGCCGCAAGCCTGAGGACCGTAATCGCGTCCACTCGCGCCATCGCCGAGGCCGCGGGACCTCTCGGCGCCAGTGGTTGCCAAACTTCTGGTCGCGATCCAAGAACAACGCTCGCCGCGATGATGAGACTTTGCTAGACCTATCCCAACCATCCCAGACGGTTTGTACCAGTGCGTGGGCAAGTACGAGCCAGAGTCGCGGTAGCTGTGAGCTTGATGCTGCATGCTCTTCTGGACCTAATGACGGCATCAAGATTAAACAAGTCATCAGCCAGAACAGCGTGGTGGAGGTTTGATGTCTTTCCCCACCCCCAACTTCCAAGATCGGTGTGGAAGGGCGCATGGACGGCATCCTGCCCGCCTTTTCATTTCAGCGAGATTGGCCACTAGCCCAGTCTCTATTTTGTATTTCGCGCACACTTTCTCTTCATTTGTGGCACTCGGCAGGCTCCGAGATGTGCAGCAAGGTTAGCGAATAATAAATTTTAATCGCACCGTCCGAGCAGATTTCACAGGCGCCGGACTTTTTTTCTTCGCAGATGTTTTATCGAAGTAGAGTGTAATTCAGGGTATACTAGTACAATAAAATCACAATTGAGAGCAGGAATGTATTTCGAGATCGATTGGGGAGATTCATGCTCGACACAAGGGGGGCAGTGCGCCAGATTCGGTTCCACACTGACGGCACGACCTGTATACATTGACCCGTTCAAGCAAGCGCTAAGATGTATCAGGCTTGAACCGACGCCTGTCGGCAGAGGAGGGATCGGGGGAGTTGTGGAGTTGCGCGAGTTCCGAACAAAAAAGGGCGGGCATTTACTGCTCCTCGGAGGTGTTCGCGGGCCGGCTAAGGACCTCGAGAGAGCCTAGGGGAATATTGCACGTTAGTTAAAATCGCAAAAAGCGAGGATCATTTAGATTCATCGGAAAAGACGTACGCTGGACAATGTTCAAAGAAGAGTGTCTCTTGCCATCGGCATCCTCGTAGCTGCGCATGCTAGCATCGCCCTCCAGATAGACAAGAGTCCTGCATGGGCAGAGTCAGTCATATATCTTGCTTTACGACCTCATTTCCCAACATGGCCGACTCTATCTAATCTCAGATCCCTCGACCTGAAACCCTCAATACGTACCCCTTGGGCAGACTCATAATGTAATCCCGCTGGTTTCCCTCGGGAAGGAAGCTCGCCACACGGAACCAACTCGTCTGTCGGTTATCCTTGGGTCCGAAGGAAGTGCCGATAGTGTACTTGAGGATATCTTGACCAGAGGCAGTGGATTGCAACTCGGGCTCGTTGGCAAGGCGGCCAGTGATGATCATGCGGGCAACGGAGCGCGAAGCGGAGGAGCTGAAGTTGCGCGAAGCCTGGGCGGCGGTGCGGGCAAGGCCCAGGGTTGGGCGCATAGAGGTCAAGGCGGACATGACGATTTGTTATGAAGATGATGCAGGATTCTCCAGGTGGTTAGGTTGAGCTTCAAGTTATTTGATTGCTCCCTGATGGTTGCTACACTTCGGTACAAAAGCCGCCGACGCGGAACACGCGCGCGCGGCCGTGTCATGTGATCATCATCATCTCATAGCGGGAAACGTTGGCTGCTACGTGTCCGGCAGATTGACACTTTCTATCTAGCCATGGCAAAGAAGACATCTTGTGATGGAATTGGGGATATAATCTCGGTCACTGCTGCATTTTCTTAGTGGAAGCTACAACAGGTGACATAAGCGGAGGTTCATCGTGTAGTACCAGGCTGAGACGCCAGTAACGACTGCATTATCTCAGCACGGCGATTGCAAGCCTACTACATTACTGTCCGTTGCCCGCTGTCCTTTAGAGGAGAACAATGAACATAGATACACGTCGGCTATTGAGAAGTTGACTCCCTCATATCAAGATCCGTCGGTGCTGTGATATTCAGATCTGTTCTATTTTCAGGATAATAAAACGCTGTTACGACAACCTCAATACGCAGTCTAAACTTAGTTAAGGCCAGGATTGGTCCACGGTATACCGTCAATACTCTTGAAGTGGATGTCCATGACACGTCCGTGATACTTTTCCTATATTTGTTGGCAACATAGGCTTTAATTCGTTCTCTCAAGCCTTGTCTACCCAAACAGTCGAGGTGGACGACTTCAGGCTTGGATTGTCAGAGACTAAGGATTTTCTAAACTCTGAGATCCTCGAATGATTAGAAGAAGTATGGCTGCCCCGGCGAGGCATCAGTGAGGCTGATCACGATTGAAATAGCCATTTTATATGGTAAATCGAGTACTGGAGTCCTAGGTGATTCGAGCTCGCTTGATTCGCTAAGCATATACATCCTGCACAAGCCCTCGATTGACGCAAACGGTTCTCTCAACATACAGTCGTACAGCCATTTGTGCACGTTCATCAGAGACCCAATTCGAGCGACCCAGCCCATTTGGAGCCCCTGTGGTCTCTCTCCTGGTGAAAAGCTAGATAGTATCACTCAGAGGCAAATCCTTTGTGGAGGCCTCGAGTTCAAAACTCAGAGCCATCTCGGACGTCCCCAGAAAGCATGGAATCATCGCCTTCTAGCTCTCGGGCTGGGCGAAATCACAGGCAATTATAGTTAATTAACACATTGTGCGTGATTATCACTGCTCTGTTCGCTTCCTGGACAGTCTCACTTGGGTTGTGGGTGTGTTTATCGAGACACCCGATCACGTAGCAGCGTGAAAAATCTCCATCATGTGATTTGATTCCATCGGGACACTTGTGTATCTTCACAGTCCCCGGCAATATCAAACACAGCGGTGGTGTAATCGAATTAAAAGACTGGGCCTCCTGTCGTGCACTGAAATGTGTCCTATGAAATTTGGTCTGCAGGGTGATTACTTTCAGGTACTTCTTGTTTCTGATCCAAGTTTCAAGTCGATCAATTTGGAAGTAGCGCGCCTCTGTATACAGGGCAAGATACATCAAATGATCATGTCCCTTTGTGCTGTCGAAGAATAGTGGAGGTACACCTCGTCTCAAATACTGTAATATATGCTCGAATAGATCAGGTTCGGCATCGATCAAGTAAGATCCGTCTTCGCGGGCATCGTTCCATCTCCCTGAAAGGAGGGCGGCGAAGTACTCGCTTTCGGTTGTGAGAGTGTTACGAGAAGTGACAAAGCGACGGTCTCCGACCTGAAGGACAACCTGCCGGCTAGCTTGATTCTGCGCCTGCTCTTTCGAATCGCTGTTGGAAGTGCTCATCTTGCTGATTTGGTTTCCCGTCTCATGGAATAGAGAGGTGATTTGAAGTGTAGACTCTCAGACTATAAAAAGGTTGAAAATAGGCGATCAAAAGCCTTGTTTGCTATGAGTAAGTGAAAGGAGTCGAAGTGAACGGCAGAGAGGAAAATGAGAGTGATGACTACTTGTCATAGACATTGTTATCATCGAAGTAGCCCGTGATCTCATTCTTACTCGACCACCAAGGGTTAGTACTTGTCAACGGGTTGATAGTAGTCATGCGTGGGATTATGTTATGTGCTTAGAAGCCTAGCTCGGCAACGTTCAAAGCTCCCACAATAAGCTGATGTAGGTTAAACCAGCCCTGTTAAATGATAGTCGCGTGCAAAATGTACAGCAACTTCATGTGAACTTCCAAGATGCCAACCATCGATAGAGTCCTTGAGTAAGGAAAGTAGAAGATGGTACCCGTACCTAGTAACCTACCTACATGTATGAGAGACATGGATTCTACTTATTTAACATATCATCGTAAGCGAACTTTCACCTTATACTAGACTATCGCCCGCTTTGCTTGCGGCCTCTGAAGATAAGACTTTGATCTCAGGGAGTAGGCTTTCAGGGCAGGAATAGGATTGTTCACTTCCTTTTTAATCTTGCGCGCAGAAATTAAAGTTTTCCCCAAATTCAGAACATAGTCAACATACCCGTTTCACGGTCAAAGAACGGATATCTCCCAAGTCTGAGAATTGAGCATCTGAGCTATGGAATACACGGATACGAGACGACGCTAAAGCCTGTGCACCACTGCACACTGCAGTACTACACTGTACTGCCACGATTCAACACACAACAAAGTGTGGTTAATGCCTATGTTCGCACTCGATATCTTTCCCTCTGAGGCTCTGGACTTTGTCGGTCCATCCGGTCAAAAGCCCCCCCCTAATTCCAAACACGAACCCGAGAATGATGTCACGGCTACCACGATACCTTAGTGAAAATCACGTGCGGATGGTTTCACTTTCCAGTTCCTACCGTTCGTCCAGGTGATAAAAGTCAGTTGATTCCAAACCCATCTGACCCAGATTTCTCGGCTCTCATGGGTGACGGGAGTTGACAGCCTCAGCCCGGTTTTTGGGACCAAATCGATAATACGAGCTTTGGCGCAAATAGCACGACAGAGCACCCATGGAAAAATGGCCGAGGGGGTGGAGATTCCGCTTTGCTGGGTCTCCATTTGTGGTGCTCCAAGCCCCAACGGACCGTGCAGCCATCCCGAGAGAATAAAGTGGTGCGTGGGTTAGGAGAGACCTTTTTCATTCGACATCAGCGGGCCCTTTCAGTTCGTATTCATGACAGCAGATACTTAATTCCAATGCTCCATTTTCCAGAGAGGATCAATGGAAACGGGGGTCTCAGCCCGGCTTTGCCGCGAAACAAAGGTCTTTCACGCCAGTGTCAGGCTGAGGGTGGATAGCATTATTACCGGCATCCATCAGACTTGGAGGTTAGCGAGAAATGAAGGTGGAAGAGCAACGATCTCCTGGATTATACTACTGTGTAAGTGTGTAAACTGTAAAGTGTGTGGTGATAATGTTCCGTCCAGCTTCCGCCACCAGCGCTCACTCATGCGTGGTTTCCACCTCACCAAGGGAATCGAGACGGGGGGAGGCTGATCTATGTGGTTGTCGTCTGAAGAGTGGTGAACTTGTACCGCAAGTCTATCGGTGTTGACACAGTTGTACATTTCAAGATCAATTCATCCATTCATCAAACACTTCAACTGCTGAGAGTTTGACGCCAGTTCCAGAGTTCACAGCATCTTGACAAGGGGACACTGGACAGCATATCTACTTGACAGGCTACGATGTTGGTGTTTTCGGCCGATCGGATACCTTTAGAAAGGGGGTCGTCTACAATTTGACTTTGAATGATCCCTCGGCATAGCAAGAGGGAAGCAAACGCACGGCTAGGCCTCCACAATCCTGCATCATCATTGTCTAGACACAAATGCATTATGACTTTGATGAATGTTGGCGGTGCGGTTAAGCATAGAAAGACAAACATCTTGTTGCATAGTTGACCTGACCGAACCCCTCTGCGCCGAACCTAATCAGACTGGATGAACCCGAAGCACGGAAAAGCAACGGAAAAAAGAACATCGACCACCAGAACCCACGCCTCCGCTTCGGAAGTCAAGAGTGGGGCGTCCAAACAGTCGAAGGGGCCTTCCTGTTCCGTCGAAAAGTACTGTAAGACTAAGAATTCAGAAGTAAGAAGTAAGAACTAAGAACACCGACCTGGAATCCTTCGCAGTGGGTCATAGAATCATCATGCTATTGTGTGACTGCCCACATGTCGCGAAATTGCTTCTGCTCGTCTGGTGAACGACAGTCAAGCCGCCCGTGTCAAGTTGTCAACACCCACCAGAACACGGAGCAATACCTCAACCCCGGTCTACAAACTGAGACAGTGGCAGCATGGCATGTCTTCGTCCGCGTATTCTCTCACGCGTATTCAAATAAGGGGATCTCTTGAGCCTCCGCGACCGGGTGCGAGGACCAAAGAGAGGAGAGTTTGTACCAGGAATCTGCATACCTAGTCGAAGTGACAAGTGAAGCTTTGTCTGCACAGAACTACTAACCGTCCCAGTCCCACACATGGTCGCAGGTAGACAGTTTGCGGGTGGCATCAGCGTACATTGCACTCGGCCGTACATTGTTATTGTTTCTCCCCTGCTTCAGTTCCAACCTTTAACCCTCGCCTCCAAAACAACAGAAGCCAAGACGCTTGATCTAACAGCCGAGCCCTTGAGCCACTCCACCGGGAGGTCCGGGACCTCGTTGGTGGAAATGCCAGATCAAACGTATCCCCGAGGGTCGAGGGCCCAAATGTGAAACCGCAGGCCGATGAGCCGGCAGCATGGCCGAGCCCGTGCTTCCCGCGTTAGTTGCAACTTGCAGCGTGCTAAACGGGCGTCCAGTAGTGGTCTCTGTCTGGCGTTTAGTGTACCTCGTGCGTCGTAATCTAGGCCTTGCGTTAGCCGTTGGGTCCATCTCTCCTCATGCCCCCTCATTCCCAAGAAGGAAAATGGAAATCAATTCCCATGGGCACTGCGATTGAATCCGTGTCAAAAGTTCAAGTGTTGTCGCCCTCGGTATGGTGGACAAGTTCGTGACGACTTCCAGTCAATGATGGCACGGGCACAGGTGGTCAGTTGATCACTGGATTTCTACATTAAAAGGGTTTCAATCGCCTCGAGTCAAGAATCCGTGATTAGTAGATGAACGACAGATCTGAAGGTGTTCCTCCACGGATTAGGAAGTTCGCATCGTGCGTGGTGGTGCCTGGCCCTTGCAGCTGCATCGCCGGTGCTAGTGCTGACTCGGCTATTCCTCCGCAGCCAAACCATGACCGCGCACGGCTGAGTCGCGAAGTAAAACTAGAAAGAAAGTCAACAGCCAACTCGAAGTCCCTTGTCTGGCGTGTGCGGGAAAAAAAGCAGGTTGCGATGAGAGGATTAGGGGGACTCATTCAATATTGGCAAGGAACACGGCTTCTCATCCATCGTGCTTCCAAGTTGAAACCTATTTTTTATGGGGGGTATGTAACCCGAGAGGTACTACTTTCCCGCATAATTGAAAGTGTTCAATCGCGATGAACTATGATGTACTTGCCCAGTCATCATGTCATGAGCTTCCAAGCAATAACATATGGGACACTTGCGTGAATCCTGGCAGGTCATCCTCGGCACAACGACTATGGAAACACACCACCGACTCCTTAATGGTAGCTACCAGGAGAGCTCATTGAGTAACAGCTCCAGCTACCGACCTGTACCTCCTGAGTTCAGCCCAAAGCCCAAGTGGCCCTCAGGCTGTGAGGGTTCCTTGGTACCGCGCGGGGCCCGTATCATCGCGCCAGTGGACCATGGTTCGTTTACCCCGACCGACCATGGGTCGATGATCTGTGATTCCGTGTCCCGCCCAGCAGATCGATCCTAGTGGAATTGAGGACAACAACGAGCATCTCATCCGCTGATCCTGTCGCAAAAGCGAGATGACGATGCTGTCCAGCTTTTATGAGGGGTCGGAACTTACATGTGACTTGTAGAAAACAAGAAGAGAAGGGTCAGGGGGAAAGACCCCCCAAACACATGATTCAGACCAGCGGGCACGAACAAAAGGCGCCTTTTACATAGATTCGGTGTGCCCAACAGTGTGGACACTGGACACGATTCAATGCGCCCTGCGGAGACTGATGGTGCGCCATACAGCATCATATGCTATGCTATATAAGCAACATGGTGGATGATACTCAGGAGTCAATGGTCAGTAGACTCAGTACTACACACCTACACAGTACGCTAAGTAAAAACAGTGACACCGCCTATCCTATCACGGCAATTCATTATTATCAATCTCTGTTTTGCTGTGATCTTGTACATACATACTTTGCAATCCCTGCACATGGCTGCATAAATGGCGTCGTCCGTGCGCGACCAGAGTTTTGGCAAAAGACTGTAACCACCATGTCTGCCAGAAACATGAGTTATTTGATTTGATAAAGTGATCGTCAGTAGCAGGAACCTGGCAAGGTATACAATATACATAGCTTCATCTAAGGACAATCGTAGTAACCTTCCTCCTGCCCGAGAGCTAGCGCAAGTATGCTGAGCGTAAGACTTTCATGTTGTGTACTGTATAAGTGCATATAGTGCAATGGTGCACACCGTACTCACACCGTCAGCTCCAGTAGTAGTTATACTAGTTAGTAGTGGTCACCAACACTTCTGGGCGAACAGACCTTGATGCAGCGGCTACTCAGTACAAAATCTACTGTGTAACTTGCTTACGGTGGCACGGCCCGACTGATATCCGTACCTGCCGTGATCTGACCGTCGTAAGCGCTGGCATTGATCAATTGCAGTCTCCTTCTTACATGCATTCAAACCACATTGGTCTTATCTCCGTGCTCGAGACTCGTTGGCGGGGTGCCGGACATGCTGGGAGTGGATGACTGGATGATGGACACGGAAAAGGTAGCACAAGCGCGACAGGGTTATCTTCGGGATTCTAGAGTTTCGATTCAATGAAACCTTTTCCGGGTATTTCTCGATCATTGTTTGGGCAAGGACTGCGTCAAGTCTCACGATTCGTTGATGACCCGATCACGGACAACCAGTCCTGGCACTGGTAGGAGTGGCCACTGGCAGAATGTATTAAGCGAAACAACAAAGACGTTAACATTCAATAGGTGATCGCGAGTCGGCAAAGCTTGCTGGTAAAAGTTTATCTTCAATAAATGGTTCACCCTCTCAAGGATCCTGAACGTTGACATCCCCCAAGAGCGAATACTGAATTGAACAGTACTGTACTTACCTGTCCACCTGGCGAGAACTGACTCGACTGAATACAGTGAATAGTACTCCCGCGGGTCTCGAGGGACCATCACCCGAAAGTTCGAACGTTCCGGGGGACCAACACACTTTATCGGTCGATTCTGGAAATGGATGTACATCCGTGGGTTCTAGAAATGAACCGACCAGAGCCAAGCGTGTCAAAGAAACTCTATGTGTGGCTGGTGCCTGGTCTCTCTCTCTCTCTCTCTCTCTCTCTCCCCCTGACGGTGTCTCGCTCCATCAGAACTCGGGATTCTGAACTTTGTCAACACAGTTGCGTCAAATGCTCGCTTCCGAGGGACGTGCTTTAAATTGCACCCCCACCTTGAACGCTGGAAGCGGAAGCACAGGCACTAAAGACAGGGCGAACAGTGGCACCAGCATCAGAGGGGTTGTTTCGGACTTTGCGGTTCACGAACTATCAGAGTGTGTAGTTGGACACTACTGTACCCAACCTCTACAGTACTTAGTACTTACTACTGAACCACCTCGATCACATGAACGTGATCAATAGTTCAATACATACCCCCCTACAAGTGCATGGCGACCACCATTGATCTGCAGCGATACTGGATCGCCTGACCACAATAGGCTGCTTCCCAGCGAGAATGACTCTTCACGACAATTCCGTTCAATCAATTCTGACCGTTCAGGGGTCCCCGTTATGGATCACATTCACCCTATCAGGCCAGCCTCAAACTTGGCGTTAGAACTCCGATTCGCTGCTAGAATCTCCATGGCCTCACAGAACGATACCCTGACAGTGTAATCCGCAGTCGACGAGCGAGCGTCTAGAGCCCAACGGGGCTTTGCCCAGATGACCGGCACTGGAATCCATTGATCAATCCCGCTCGCATGCTCCACTGCCTGGAGGATGCCCTGAACGAATGAGACCATACAAGACCGCAGAAATCCTTCTACCGTGGAGATTATCCAGAGTCCGGCCACCGACCGCCCCGCCTGGACATCTCGGAGCTTGTCAGGAAGAGAAGAAAAGATGGAAGGGGGGGGGGGGGGGGAAATAAATGCCAGAAATACCGTACAAATGTAATTATTGAATTCCAAACCTAATTGACACCGGAAGGGAAAAAAAAGACTTGTTGCTGAAATTGACACTAATTAGGTAGATTGGGGTCTGGTCCTCCTCCCTTCGAATGATTACTTTGAAGAATTAATGATGACGGATGATCCCCGTAGATTGAATGCTCAGCTTTTCTTTCTTCTTGCTATGCTCATCCCCGTCAACGACTGTTGCTAAACGATCGGGGTATCCAGCTACTCGTGTTAAAGGCTCGCCAATTCTCCTTCTCTCTACACCTGGGAGATTGAAGTGCTACTGTGCTAATCACGCATTCGACTACCTTTCGCCTCCTCTGCCAAAGCTGTACTCAATTTCATGCGAACAAGTTCCCTGAAGGCGCAAAGAAAAGTCGCAAAACGAATCGAAACGACACAAACGAATTGTCCTCCCAAGACACGAGTCAGATATCAAAGAGCACCTTGAAGACCTCACGGATTACACGACTCGAGTGCCACTCTCCCCCCCCCCCCCCGCCCATCCATCTCAACTCCTCAAAAACACCGCACAGGTTCCGCCGACACCATGGGTCTTTTCAAACGCAATTCCAAAAATTCCGTGCAGAGTGACAAGGATGAAGATGACTCCTTTGTTTCGGTCAACAGCGCCCGTACATCCAACACATCGCTCCGATCGCCGGGGTACAAGGGCAGTGGTCTACCAGCATCCATCCCCGAAATTCCCGTTGCAAGACCGCCCGACCCTGCATTGGACCCGGCAGCCTATCTTCGCAGCATCCACTCCGTGCGCGAACGCGCCAAGATCGTCCTAGATGCCGCGAAACGCAATCAGTTGCACCACTTCGATGTGGACATGACCAAATTCAAGGCCACGGCGCAATATGTGGTCTCAATAATCAAGGTGAGCAAAATCAATGCACTGGTCCTGAGAAGGGAGAAATCAACCCCAATCTCATGACCGGATAAGATCGATAAGCTTTGACTTTCTGGCGCATGTGACTGAATCAATGACTCCGGCGGGTACCAGCGGGATTATGCGCCCGACTATCAAAATATTCCTCCCCACGGCCGTTGGCAACACTTTGACGTTGGTGGCCGGCCACGGATCAACCAACTTCTTCAATCATGGCCAAGCAGTGTCGACTCACAGGAACGGACTCGGCGTCTTATCGACCTCTTTGTGGTGTCGGTGTTGCTCGACGCGGGCGCGGGCACAAAATGGTCCTACAAATCCAAAGAATCCGGCAAAGTGTATTCTCGCAGTGAGGGTCTGGCGGTCGCCAGTCTGGAGATGTTCAAAGCCGGACTTTTCAGCAGTGATCCCTCAGAACCGTGCCAGGTGGACGCCGCCGGTCTCAGGAAAATTACGGTGGAGAAGCTGGCCAAAGGGATGCAGCATTCAGAGCAGAACTCGCTGGCCGGCATTGAAGGACGTGCGGGGCTGTTGGTGCGACTCGCAGAGGCGTTGAATCGCCAGGATTTCTTCGGCGTAGACGCAAGGCCAGGAAATATGCTTGGTAGGAGAAGGACTCCGGCCCCGAGACCCTAATTGATACGGAACTGACAAAGGCTTCGATCGAAACAGACTACTTGCTAGGCCATCCGTCAACATTGGCCTCCTCAGTACCTATCGTGCCGATCACGACTCTCTGGTCGGTTCTAATGGACGGATTTTCGTCAATCTGGCCGCCCTCCAGAACACAGATCGATGGCATCGCCATTGGCGATGCCTGGCAATGCTCGCTTCTACCACAGCCACCTGCAGTTCCCGCCTGGGAAGGAATTATCCCCTTCCACAAGCTGACGCAATGGCTGTGCTATTCGATCATGGTGCCCATGTCAAAACTGATGGCTATTCATTTTGCGGGTAGCGATCTGTTGACTGGTCTGCCAGAATACCGAAACGGAGGTCTGCTGATTGACATGGGTCTTCTCAGCCTCAAGAGAGCCGACATGGAGCGTGGTCTTCAGTCCTTCAAGGAGAATGCACAGATCAAGGGTCAGCCCAACATGGAAGTCGTACCCCTCTTCTCCACAGACGACAGTGTCATCGTCGAGTGGAGAGCTGCCACCGTGGGCTTCTTGGATGAGCTCTTAGTCGAGGTCAATCGACAGCTAGGCCTCACTAATACCGAAGACCAACTTACTCTGGCGCAGATGCTCGAGGCTGGTACATGGAAGGTGTGTTGTTGTCCCCGGGTAGTCCACTTACTTTTTCAGAAGACGTTCTTATCATTTCTTCCTCCACAGGGCGGGCGTGAGATTGCCGAGGTTTCAAGGCCTAACACCAAGGAGCCGCCTATCATGATCCGGTCGGACGGCACGGTATTTTAACACGCTATATACTTCCACGACTCCACACGTGATCGAATGTTCGATGGTGAAGCACCTCCTTGCCCTATTTCGATTCTTTTGAAGATGGGTGCTCAGTCTTGCATGATGATACGACGACATCGCCCTCCAATCCTCTTTTCCTAGACATCAATATTTCACCGACAAACCCTGTTGTTCCTTACTCTCAGTTGAAGCTAGGACACAGTTCCCGCCCCTTTTTTTTGATCTGGCTCTTCTACACATTTCCATTGCCTTATTTTCGTTCAAATATCTGTCCCCCACAATTGCCCAGATCTCTGACATGCGATCACCTGGACATGTTTACAGCATGCTGCTGCCTTCTCCTTCCATTGCTGGATACCAACCATTTTTTCTTTACTTCGATTATATTGAACCTGATGTCTTCTGGGTCTGCCTTTCATCTTGTTCTTCTTTCTATGCATATTATTCAATCCCAGGCGCTTTGATATATAGCCCCCTCTCCGGAAAAATCTACTTGCATCTCTACACATTCCCTGGACTCAAAAATAAAATACATTGACAATCATACTACACGCGCAATCTTCTCTGGCCCCGTCAATGATACTTGATCATCGTTGATCGATGTCGTCATTCCGTTCTTCCGGCATGCATTGTTCATCGCCACAGGCGCAAATTCCATCCATGTTGAGCTGATGCGGTGTTGATTGGATTCATCAAAGTTCAGTATCTCAACTATTCCACCTCGAGCTTTCCCTCGGCTTTTCAAGTCCATGACCTTGAGCGCCCTGATCATTTGATCATTCAACCATCAGCGGCTGTCCACGCCAGGGTACTTTCTTATCACGTCAGGTCATGTGATTGGTTTCCGGCGCGAGGTTGATCCGCTCACTCCGCATTTGGAGGTCGGAGCTGCACTATCTCCTCTTTCCCCCATTGCCTTCAACCTCTTGCAGTGAAATCACTGACAAGTCCCGAATGCTGCAAGACTGAGAAATAAAGCTCAACACACTTGCGTTGACTTGTTCGCCCCAATTTCCTGTCCCATTCGTTGTCGGACCCGCCCCCGCTCTTGCGGGGCTGCCAACCGCCTCGAGCGCCATCCTAGCCACCCGCTGCCAGCATGGATGCCCGCAAGAAGAAGAGAAAGGTGCTGCTGATGGGCAAGAGTGGATCGGGCAAGTCTTCTATGCGCTCGATCATCTTCAGCAATTACGTTGCCAAAGATGTTCGCCGGCTCGGAGCAACAATTGACGTGGAGCACAGCCATGTCAAGTTCATGGGCAACCTGACTCTGAACTTGTGGGATTGCGGAGGGTGAGATCAATTTCGAGTGCGGCCTGCGCAAGACTTCTGGCTGACATTACAATCGGCTTTACCCAACAGGCAAGATGCGTTTATGGAGACCTACCTCGCCTCTCAACGCGGCAACATTTTCTCCGACGTCGCTGTGCTGATCTACGTTTTTGACATTGAATCACGAGAGGTCGACCGTGACCTTGACACGTACAATGCTGTTATCGAAGCTTTGCGTGAATTCAGTCCCAATGCTTATGTCTTCTGTCTGGTTCATAAGATGGATCTGATACAGGCTGAACACCGTCAGCGCATTTACGATGAGCGCTCATCTCTGATCCGCTCGCGCTCAGAACATTTTCGCGTGGATACATTCGGCAGTAGTATCTGGGATCAGTCATTGTACAAGGCCTGGGCCGGTATCGTCCACAAGCTTATTCCAAATTTGACGGTCATAGAGCGATTCCTGAGCGCATTCGCGAAGAAGATTGATGCGGAGGAGGTCATTCTCTTTGAACGTTCAACATTCCTTACCGTCACCTCGGTCTCATCCGAAATCGGAGACCTCAATCCCATCTACGATCGACATGAGCGTCTATCAAATATCATGAAAGCATTCAAACATTGCGCCGCCCGCAACACACTTACCACCCCCGCCTCCGCCGGCTTCGTCGTGATGCACACGAAAACGCCGCAGTTCAACATCTTCCTCGGCCGCTTCACAGATAACACATACATTTTCCTTGTTGTTCCGCCTGGAGAGGCGGCATACAACTGTGCTGTCCTGAATACCATGCTCGCTCGCGAGGGATTTTCAAAAGCAGCGGCCTCGGGTCGCTCGGATGGCTTCCCACTACCACCACCAGAGACGCCTGATGACGGCGCATCTAATGGAGTGAATCTGGGGTTCTGACATGATTCCCTCTCCTTTCGTGAAAGTTTGTTAGCGTGTTTCTGTATCGTGTATCGTGTACAGCCAGCATTCTAGTTGGGATTATGCTTGTGATACTTCTTTGTTACCTCTTTCTTCATTGGCAGAAAAGTCGGGAGATACCTTTCCACGGGCGCTGATATCTATTATATGGCGTTGCGGTACGATCAATCTATGAATCATTTTACAAGTGTATGAATCATTCTACAAGTGAAATTCTAGTCACACTCTTCTTGACCATTCAGTCGGTTCGAATGGCCAGGCTTGATTTCGACTTGTATTCTATCAGTCAGAAAATAGACCCCGAGACCACTTGCCAGACTCGAACCAGAGATCGGGAATCCGCGGGCAGTGCAGGGGTTCTAAGCATGGTGGCATCAAGTCTTTGTCTCCAAACAGCATGTTCACGTTGGACATCTGATCTAATTCATCGAGTAACGACCAGGTGAACCCAAAGGCTCAAGTTTTCTTTCCAAGGCGCGAAATTCACATTGCGGGTGTTCTCCAAAAAAAAACTGTAAAAACCGAGCAGATCTGAAAGTGCATCACGATTGACAGTAAGGGAAAACAGAATGAAAAGAAAAAGGAAAAAACCAGAGAAAAACGAACAGGACCAAAATCATCAGCAGACAGAGCCAAAATAAAAGCATGATAAAATGGAATCTATGTAGGAGGGTTGCAGCATTTCGAGCTCCCACAGAAGCAATGTGTTGATTTCCAGTATTGCTCTCCATAATGCAGCGTGATCTCCTCAAAGATAGCGATATCTCGAACAGCTTGGACAACGGTCGTTATTCGGTTACCGACGAGAACCGAGACGAATGTGCAATTTGGCTCGCAATGATGATTGATGTATCGAGTCCAATTGCCAACATGCGCCGATGAAGTTATTCCGTTGTGCTTCATGTCAACTTGGTCCATTTGCTCCATCCCGTAAACGCCGGTCTGACAGAGAGCGTAGATGTTATCATTGCATTTGCGACTGAGAGGTATCACTTCACCAACGTACTCACCCATAATAGTTCCCGCCAGAAAGTTAGCCAGAGCACGAACACCGGTTCCCTTGATGGGATATTCAACGAGCTCTATCAGATCTCCTGCCATTGAGCCAGCTCTGCATGTACAAGAGTCGGTGGATCCACACCTATAACACATCAGCCACTTGGGCGTTTTGCATCTGCAAGTCTGTGGACACTGGCATTTGAGACAGTCAGGGAGCCCGCCCACATTATGGCATGGACAGTTCCTCTTGCACAGACACTTCATGCAGGGACCCCACTTCGGAAGATATGTATACGGATGCCGTTGAGGATCTCGGGCCTTCTGAGCCATAGCCATCTGAGCAATCTGAGTCTTCCGAGTCTCCTGAGTCGTCTGAGGAGTCAGAGTCGTCTGAATCTTCTGAGAAGTCCGAGTCATCCGGGTCGTCCGAGTCTTCTGCGCAGATTGAGCAGGCTTGAAAATTGTGATGTTAATGTTAGTCTGTGCTTTCCCCATATGAACCGGACGTTTCAGATGTCCATCTGACGTCTGAACCAAGTGATGAACGTGTTCCTTACCTAGATCCATCTCGGGCTGAATGGGGGACGTGAGACCCGGCAATCCCAAGTGACCGTAATTCAATAGAGGCGATTGCCAGTCAAGATTGCGAGACCGCACATAGACCTCGATACTGCGCTTGTTAGTCGATATCAATTTTCTCACCTCGTCCCAGACCATGATCTCCGAAATTAAACATGCCGTGCGGAACGCCTCTGACAGCGCACACATCGCAAAAAGAGGCCACCCATGCTCGAAGAGGAAGAACCTGACGCGATCGAAAAGTGGATAGTGTCCGTCTGTCTGGAAGATTTCAGGGTACTTGTGGTACATCGATTGATCAAGGAATTCCTCTATCGCTCGACGTTCGGCTATGTATTTCGCTCGTTCTTCATCCAGAGACTGCGGGTCGCGCGATATTTTCTGGAGCTGCCACATGGCGTTCAGGTCCCAGTAGATGGCTGCGATGATGTGGCGGCTTCGACTTTGTGCATTCTGGGCGAAATAGTACTCCGAACCCAAGTCCGGCCGATTGAAGCCTTCATCCAGCATTGCTGCTAGAAGCTCATCGGCATCCATGGTTTCACTTGGCTCCTTGCCAGTTGACATGTTGGGCATAGTCTAGGAAAACTGATGTGAAGTAATGCGTTTTATGGTAAGAAAGAGTGAATTGACGGTCAAATGGTCATTCCTTTCTTTGGCTGTGATGGAAAGAGTAGGTAGACTGTTCTGGTGAGAAAGCTGTCGGCTCGAAGTCGGCTGGACAGCAGTTTATAGACGCTTGGGGACGAGTGGGAGACCTTGCATTTCTCAAAGCAAGACATTGTGTTTTGGCCATCCATAAAGAAGATTGTCTGCAACCATATGCCGCTTTGTATGTCCCATGTCTGGAGGTGTGGTCCTTTGGGTATGTCTGCAAGACTCGGGTTTTATGGAAGGACCTTTGATAAACTACCTACTCCTAGTATCGAGTGCGGTGACTTAACATAAAGAACAAAGAAACAAAGATTGAATGCAGCTCAGACAAGGTTTGTGCAACAATGTAATGGAAATTCCGCGTGATGAGAACTCAGTATCCTGGTATTGTCGTTTCGAAGTCGCCTGTCACCGACATCCAGGTCCTCTCTTTGCAGAGTTGTTTCTGAACCCCGGCTGTCGAGGCGAACGTGTGTTTGAAACGAGGGGAGGCATTGTATCTTTCAGGATATTCTATTTCCTCCAGTCGACTCTTTTTCCTCCTTTCACTCTGCGACTTGATCAAACGTCAGATGATGATTGTCAACAACAAGGCTTCTAGTCCTACGAAACTGACCAAGTGGTGAGCCGGACTGAGTCCGTGAGTCACTGTCTATTTGCGATTTATTGCTTTGAGAGAAGGCGGATTTCGAGTTTTCGATCTCTGAATAAGTCGGAAGTACCTAAATTCATGTACACGCCTACTACCCTTACTCCGAACATCCTTTTTCTCTTCACTTCCATCATGTGTTCGGCTTAAGTACATCTTAGCACAAGCGTGGAAATCGGAAGAACCACGTCTCGCTACAATATGATCCGACGTAAATGACTCGAAACGTTGTCGTCTTTTATGGACATGATTTAGTGAGAAAGATTAAAAGACGAGAGCGGTTAAGGTACCAAAGTAGTGGAGGTACTGTCGCGCTTCACTACAGGAGAGTTTCGCTGCGCTCCGCATGGATCATAACCGCGGACCAGACGTCGAGATGAGCAGGGTGTGGTGGTTTCTGCTCTGGCAAAGTCATGCAGTATGTTGGATCCGGATAACTCAGGCCTTGTAGATCAGAGTTATGTTAAGAACGTTGACAAGTCTCGGTGGTGGAATGATACCAGAGACTTATTCCATTATCTCCGTACTGTAGTCAAGGACTCCAGAGTCAAGCGTCCGTCAGGCATACCAGTTGGCACGGGGACTGCGGAGAACAAGGTACCGCCGCCAGGAAAAAGCGGAACTGAACTGCTTGGCGTCATGTGGTGGGGAAACTATCCTCTGATGCGATGGCCTTTGTCACCACGAACTGCGCGTTTGGCTCCTCACATCATGCTTGTCTAGTGAGACTCGAACTTTCCTAATACGCATTTGAGTTTTGGATACGCGCAAAGATGGCCGCCGAACCGCCCGAAGATGCGATCGCGAACTTCGTGAGCTTCACCAGCACCACGCGAGAGCAAGCGATCATCTTTCTGAAGGTTTGAGCACCGCGCACTTTCTGCTTCACAGGACCGAGGCTCAGGTCAAATCTCGACAGGCAAACAACTTGGATTCTCAGAAAGCTATAAACGCCTATTTCGAAGATCCGACAGGGTCCCAACTAAAGGTCCGTCACTGAAAACCCGATGGTGTCTGATACTCAGAACTGACCTTGGACCTGCTGCACAAGACGACCAGCTCCATGAATGAGAATCTTACTCGTAAGGTCGCTCTTCTCACTGCCAGATCTCTCACCTCGACTCACTTCTCTCATCTTCAGCTCAAGGATACGGCCATCAAGAATACGCATCCCGAATCCCTGCCACCGCTCCTCCCTCTCGTCCACCGTCTCGAGTAAACACACCCGGAATCACCGAGGCCACGAGGATCGAAAATAGCCCAGTGACAGCTGCCCAGGGCAGTGATACTGGTGAGCATCCAACCCTCTCACTGAGCTTCATTGCAGCAACTAAACGCTGACACCGTTCCATCACCAAGGCGCTGCTGCACCTCCTGCAACAGGACTTACTCTCGCTGAGCGTGAAGAGCAACAACTTCAACAGGCTGTCGCAATGTCTTTGGGGCAGGGTATTGGACAGCAGGAAATGGGAATCGCAAATACAGCCGAAAACCAACCTGAACCTCACTTTGGAAAAGCCACCCGTGCCCACTACGATGAGGCAGACTGGGGGATGACCCTCTTCAATGAGACCGCCCAAGAAGTCGTCCTTGACCCGGAACCAGAGGACCGCGCTAGGGTGGAGGGTGAGCCTGCATTTCTCCGACCTACCAACGACAACCTCTACCTGGGGGGTTATCTTACAATTCTGCATGAAATTCCCCTGGCTCGCGAGGCCTTACTGCTCCGGAACAAAGTGCTATTCGATTATGGACAGGAGTCTCAGTGGTGGAATGGGCAATCTATCAACCTCCCTAAAATCGTGACGATCCACGACCAGGCGAGTGAGAACAACGATTGGGACGATATTCTCTATGAGACGCAACGCCTGATGGCATTCTTGGATTCGACTAAACGATCATATGGAAGCGCCGATGCTCTCGCGAGCCTGAATGATATTCGCTCGCTCTCGTCTGACTCGGAAGAAATTGTTGCGAGATTTCTGGAGACCTGGCACGCGGCGGCGATCAAGGCCGCTCCTGACAGCCCCCTCGCTACAGCGTTCATGTCGCACGCATACAAACGAACACCATTTGACGATGGGGATGACGAGACTGTCTCAAAAGAGCTTTTTGTCTTCGAGCCCATCATTGAGCAGGAAATCGATCAGACCCTCTATGACGTCTTGGATACTGCTATCTGGAGTGATCAGCCCGGCGAACCACTTGACGACGTCTGGCTCGAGCACGTGGGCGACATCGTCACCATGAAACTGGACTCATTCAACAACGCCAAGTCGGTGAACATCCAAATTCCAGCCACTTTCTATCCGGATCGCTATTTGAGCAGCTGCAGAGAACTTGCACATGAGCTTCGGTCTAGGAGACTGGTAGTCCAGGACGAAATTCGAGGGCTTGAGAAACTCATGGCGCATTACACTGCTCCACAGAGCTTCATTGGTGGTATGGGCCTCCCGGAGCTTCTCAAAAACGCGGCGGCTTCTATTCCTGTCGCTCTCACGGGAGGTTCGATGGAATACATTGAGGGCGACGATTTAATCGAGCTAGAGTCTGCGGCAGAAAAGTCGGATAGGATCTCGCAAGAGCTTTTACGTATCTCTCAACGCATTGATTTGAAACTCCGAGGTATGTGACTCTACTTCGGCTCGGAATGATGCTGTGACCTTTGATTCCCTTGCTGATGTGTTGGACAGATCTGCAAGCCCAAAAGGAAAAAGCTATGGAAATGTTGCGCAACCACTCAAAGATACTGACTGAAGCACCGGAAGCCCCTGGCGAGCCGCCCGTCTGCCGTTATAGTTTGCGTGGCGTATGCACCGAGCCCCATGTCACATATGTTCTCAAACGCGCCGAGACTGGACATCCCGCGGGTGGTCAGCAGCAGACTACGGGTGATCAGTGGTGGAGGATCAGCTACTCTATTAAAGATGGAAAGACCCGCCAAGATGCGAAGCAGAGGACTCAAGAACATGCCACGGCGACCCAGCCTGGAGATACCTTTGGTTACACCGCTACCAAAGTTTGCGAGATTGAGGTGCTACGAGCTGCTCGCGAGGAGTGGAGATCCGTTCTTTTGGTGTATGCGAGTGATGCCGCCATCAATGCCCCGATCGATCCTGCGCCTACTCAACTCCGTGTAAGACACTAGTCATCACATCTGTTGGGGGCAAAGAATGCGTGGGCTTCTTGGCTAACTTTCGACAGAGCTTCGTGGACAAGGACAACGAAGTTTTCGCCCATGAATGCGAACAAAGCATCACAAATTGTTCCACTGCAACCGATCAGCACTCGATCCAACCGAGTAATCTGGAGAAGCAGCAGCAGCAGCAGATGAAGCCACCGCCACCGCCGCCCCGGCCCGCGCAGCAGGTAAACGTCTTTGATTATCAAGTCTCGAATTTCGGTAATGACAGTGATTATGAACAGGAAATGCAAGAGAAGGGAGGCTCCAAGTTGCTAGGTTCTATGGCTGAAAGCAAGGCGGGAGATTTCTCTCGCGCTCTTGACGATGACACTGAATGGCACGTCGAGGGAGAACCAGAGATGGGTGAGCACATCGAGCATGCTGCGGACAGGCCTGATCCGGCGTGAGTAGATTCCACGGATAAATAAGCGATCTATGAGTGATGATTCAACGAAGGGCATTTTTTGCGTTTTACTTTCAATGTATGGAGCGTTCGATGTCTTTGGCTTCGACTTCAATCCTTTTGCATTTGCATGCTCCCCCCCCCCCCCGTCTGGCTCGACCATGTCAAATGCGACGTGAGTCGGAGAGAGCTAGGACAAGGTTGCCTGTTCTTCAGATGATAACAAGAGGCTCAAGGACGCTGATTAGTTCCACAGTAAGTGTCTGCTACAGTTGAAGGTAGTATTGCACATAGCACGAGTATTTTCAAAACAATCTCGGAGCAGCACGAAGTACCTGCTGAGGTACCGCAGGATCATGCGTGGGGACGGAAGCTCCTCAGATTTGCTCTGTTTGCACCTGAAGATGATAGTCCATGTCGATAAGGCCTTGGATCATCAGAGTAGAACAACAACAGTTGACCACAATAGCTGCCTGGCCTCACAGACGATTTCCCTAGCCACTCTCAGCCCCTCGAATATGTCCCATGGCAGCGAAGAGGTCGCCAGCGCGACAATCGAGCTCCTAGAAGCTCGTCTAGCCCGCCTCTCCTATCTTCTTACGGGGAACACCGACTGGACCGGCACACCGTCCGGGCCTCAGAAGCCCGCCTCGCTCGACGATACAGTCTCGCGCCGACTCATTCGTCTCGAGCGCGAACTGGAGAAATTGAGCCGCGCTGTCCCCGCCGTGCGCGATCTCATTCAACTACGTACGTACTTTCTAGAATCACCGCGCTTTCCTTTTCCAATGGACAGCCCTTTCTCTGCCATTCCCACCTCCGTTGCCTCGGCGCATGCACCTCGTTCTTTCACCCCCTTCCCCCCCTTTTTCTGCGCCCTCGAAACCCAGCGGCTAAGATGCATGCTCACGCGCGTTCTCAGACGACCGATTCCCAGATCTCTTCAATCCCACCCCTCCACGCGACATCCCGGAACATCTCAGCCCACGCACGCTAGCTTCGATTGTACTCTCCTATGCGACCGCTTTTCCCGAAACCGCCTCGCGGCTCACGTCCCTGAATGACCTGCCCATCCCCGATGCAACCACCTCTGCTTCTCTGATTGCGATGCAGCCACGGCTGGACCGAATGGCACAGACACAAGAAGAGCAGGCGGCGACCTTGTCGGAGCTTCGTGTACGGACCGCCCGTGTGTTGCAACGATGGTACGAGGTTGGGGTCATGGGGAGCGGGGAATGTTGGGCTGAGTGGGAGGGTAGACTGGAGGGCTTGGAGAGGGAGGTACGGCGCAGAGAGGTGATTCGTGAGAAAAGGGAGAATGAAATCTAGAGAGGAAACAGGGCGTTGTGTCATGTGGTGTACGGTGTACATTGGACACTCATCCACTGCCTTATTGGTGTTTGACGGACGGTGTTCATGGCGACTTGAGAAGCAGCAGTCGCAGTCTTGTAGGATGATTGCATATGTTGGTCGAGATTGTCATTGCTTTTTGACTTGAGATTTGTGTTCTTGGCGTTACGATATCCACTGGTGTTGGGAGGAGCCTATTGTTGTTGAATCATTGCATACGATCTTCTTGTCACGGGGCTGGATGATTTTGATAAGGATGTCTGTTCTTTTGTAGCATGTACTCGGGAGATATCTTCCACCCAAGTTCGATACTTTCGATGGGTTCTGGTAGGTTCATGATCAAGGGCGAGGCACTTCGTGTCTACGTTGCTCATGCCCTGACTAGAAGTTGCCAGTTTTGGAGTGAGGAAATCGTCCCGTTGGAATTTCTGAAGAGTTTGGTCAAACCAAGACTTGAATGCGACACTTCAGCCTTGGTTATCGGGAACAGCCTTTTCGAGGGTTGATCCTTTCCCGGGTGAGCCACAGTTGGTAACCCTATGAGCTTTAAATTTATAGCCATGTCAGTTGAGCTCATGTGGAATGTGTCACCAGCCCTGAAGCACGGTCTTGAAGCATCGGCAATGGAGGTATACTTGGCCGAAGTATGGAAAGCACCAAACCATGTCCGGTTTACCTTGGATGTTGATTGGCACAATTAGCACAGCCTGAATGATTGAATTTCCAAAGTCTACTACAGTGGCTAAGAAATGCACGGTTCATCAATCTCATTTTCAGACACGACCCTCTTCAAAGCAAAGCGAGGTATAATCTAGTGGAAGGACTAGAAGGCCATGACACTGGGCAGTTCTGCATTCAGCGGACTTCGACCCTCTCGAAACCGGAACAAAGGCCGTACACTCTGGCGCGGTCCTTTGACGAGAAGAACGAGTTGAGAACCTCTGATGCAATGACATCAGCCACAAAACCTGTCATATCCCGAGGGGCTAATTGTGGGACCCGTCTGAGGTATGTGAGAAGCAGGTAAAATCATCTCAAATATGCCGTGACTCTCGACCCTGTCGATCCTTCTACCAGACCGGATTGCCGTGAGCATTGTGGCACATGGGCTGGGCAGGTAGTAAGTGATTAGGGGGGGGGGGGGGGGCTCCATGGCTGAAATTGGAAACCCAAGAACGTACCGCAGGCATTGATAGGAGTATTCGCAGCAAACCAGAGTTACAGCTGATGAAGGTTCTCAGCTTCATTCCAACTGGGAAGGTGGCTTGCACAGTCCTTTCAGGGGGTTGTAGCATTCTTGAGTTCGGATGAGGGTTTCTGTCATGGTAAGCACATTAGCCCAGACCGGTCTGGAGGTCAATTTACCTTACGTTTGCTAAAAACAAGAACAAAAGGCGCGGACAGTAGTATGAGTCTAGATTCTGGTCTAGTAGGTTAAAGGTTTAAAGGTTGTTGCTTGCGTTCTACTGTAGTACCCACCATGGAATGACTCCAGAGAACAGTTGCTATAGAGTCTCGGAGTGTAGACTGTTCTCGCCCGCGACCGTTGGACAAGAGCCACGCACGGTGTGCAACCCCATAATATGTGGAAAGTCGAGCATATAGTCTGACTCTCTCGAGGAGAGACCCTTCTCAACTCAATATGGAGCTATCCAAATGACCTAACTCATTCTCGGTGACCAAGGTATTCAACCTCTATTTGGGCATTAAGCAAAAGTTTTATATCAACTATCAACACTCCTGCGACCGCATCCCGTGACATCTCGACACATGGTCGTCCAGATTCAGTCTCTTCTAGGCTCCTACTGTCTTTATATCCCCAAAGGATGGTAAGCAGTCAAATCATCTTCCACTGGACGGAGTGGACATGCTGACATGTGCTCCCGGTGGACCTGGGGATGGGGGAAGAGAGAAAAAGGACGGTGGCGTGGACGGTGTGCCCTAAGTGCTCACTCCCAGTAACTAGTAACTACCGGCAATCCAGGACTCCAGGACTCCAGGCCAGTCGAGTTTCAAATGCCTAACCTGACGGTCGGCCCGCCTTGGACAGAGTGGAATTCGATGAATCAACTCACCCAATTTCGCTTTCTGCACTGGACATTGGACAGGCTTGGACTCTCGTAGGCGAACAGGGCACGAGGTGAGGGTTTCATGGGCAGACGCGGCCGCATTGGGGTTGATTGGGGATCAACAACCTTGTTGTCCCCATTCTCTGTAGAAACCTGGCTTCTATCAATTCAGAAGTGCCGGCCTTGGACAGATGCGCTGTACTTGAAATCTGTTACTATGGTAGTACGGTCGCCTGTTCCCGCTGTTTACACTTGTGCCCTTGTACATTCGTCCAGTAACCTAGTAGTAGTACTACAGACCACAGAGTACAGACCAGAGTGTCTAATGTCCAAGGTATTCATAGTCCTAGTAGTAGACTAGTAGTACTATAAGTAAGCTGTAACAACTGCCATTGAGATACATGGTGATCAAGTCCTCAACTTGCCTATCTAGGGCCATTGTACCTCGTTGATACAATTCTAGACCCCGGCACTGTTCATTTTGGATTAGACCAGAATGGGTGGGAGATGAGCACGATGCTATGGGGGCCGATCAATTTCTCAGTAGACGCCACTCCACCGTGGCCGCGACGCTAGGGGCCTGTGTGTTTTGGAAGCTCCACCTCACGATCCTGCCAGTTAGATCGGACTCACACTTGCATGCACCCAATGTCCACCCGGTGGGCACGGGCAGGGTTCCCTAAAAATGGCCAGCCGAGATGCAGGGTGAGAAAGTACGAGGTAGTAGGTACATCATCACATCCGATTCCCCACTATAAGTGACCAGCAGTAGTCGTAATGTTCATGTACATCTACTTGCACTGGGTCGGATCATCCCAAAAAGAGAAGTACGGTCAAACAAACAGAGAGCCTTGTGAATACCATCAGTGCACAGTTGCACACAACTCAATGTATAGGGCTGCTGTATGGGGCCGGTCCTAAAGTCTACCTACTGGATCACCACTCTGAATGACATCAAATGGTCACTGCTCAATCCGCTTTTAGGTCAGGGCAGTACTACTAGTGCCTCTCTCATATATACTGGTCTACCATCTCCTATACAGCCTCTGAGCCTACACTGTACGAACGGGCAGGTAGTAAGTTACAGTAGTACTACTAGTACTAGTAGTAGCCTATAGCCTGGAGGGTTATGCTCTAGGCTCTAGGCTCTATGCCCCAGCAAGAGTATTAACGGCGATCGGGGTCTCAAAGGAGGCTACACTTCGAACAAGGACCAACCGCTTTCAGATGAGAAAACAATGCAGAGATCACCAGTGTCAAGAAGATCTTTCAGATCGAGATCAATACATCCGTCTCCGGACTGGGTTTCTCCAGCCTCGCGGCTCAGCCCTGAATCCTCCTTTTCTCGTGCCTGGCCCCGGCCCCAGTCCCGGCTGTGGTTCAGGCTCTGGCCCGTCTTTTGTCTCCCCCTTCTTACTCGCTCGTCTCATCTTCACTCCTACACTCGCTGTGCCTCTTTCCTCTCTTTCCCGTTTTCCCTTTTCCACCGGCCTATTTGCAAATCCTCACACTCTTTTCACCCACGCAATCCTGCCTTCCGACCCTCCTTATCCCAGCCTGGCGCTGGTCCACACCTTTCTCACCTTTGCATCCCATCTGCCCCGTGACCCTCCCTCGACCTGACTTCCCCGCCGTCTACACATTGACCCTCGCCCTGCAGTACTTGGAGTCGTGAATCCGACGAAGGTACGAGCCATCGATTCCCCCCCCCGCTCATTATCAATTTGTGCCGTCAGAAACCCTCCTCGGTTCTTCGTCACTGTGCGGGTTGAACTGCCAGTTTCAAAGAACTCGGTCCCCAGGTCATGACGAGGATCAATGATCTGTCGTCCGTCGCAATTAATACATGCGACCGTCGCGATCGCCAGAAGTCCAAGATCATCTCTAACATTGCCTCCCTCTAGGCATCTCGACCAGCTTCAACGCCAACCTTCTTTCACACCGTACCACAGAGAGCGATCTGATTCCTCGACCCTCTCCTCGTCTTTCTTCATCAAACCGCCATCTGCACAGGCAATCAGCTTCAGCGACCACCTCACGCGTTTTCAACCTCTCTCCGAATCTTTGCCCGGTCGTCGCCTTTGGCATCTGCCCTTCAAAAAGCCTTTCCCCGGCATTCATCAATCATACCGCGAACATGGCCAAGTTCCGCGCAAGCAATATCCTTGGCGACCCGTTCGCACTCGCGACACTCTCAATCGCCATTCTCGCCTGGCTGATCGCCTTCATCTCCTCTATTATCGCCGACATTCAGGCAGACTACTACAATTTCAACTGGTGGGCTATCAGCTACATGTTCTGTGTCACCGTTGGCCTCATTTTCACTTTTGGCACCGATACCGGCAATGTTTATAGCGTTGCGGTACGCTTTCTTGATCGTCCCGACATGGACCTAGACGGGTAATTGACTTTTTGATATAGATTGTCGGATACCTCGCTTCTGGGCTAGTGCTCACGTCAATTGCTGCGAACAATGCAGTCAACGCCGGTCAGGCTGCCAAGCAGGCTGCGGGCGCCGGGTTCATTTTGCTCTCCATGGTCGTTGTGAGTTACTCGAGTTTGAACGCCATTCCTGATCGTGTACTAATGGCCGCACTTTAGATCCTCTGGATCTTCTATTTCGGCTCCGCTCCTCAGGCCTCTCATCGCGGTTTTATCGACTCTTTCGCCCTCAACAAGGAACAGCCCGGATCATATCGTGGCAGTGCTCCCATGTCGAGCGCCTTCGGTGCCCGTCCCGATACCATGGCCACCAGCAACACCCCGCAGATGTACACGTCCGCGCAGTTGAACGGCTTCGAGACCTCGTCGCCCGTTTCCGGTTACCCCGGCGGTGCTCCTGGCGCTGAGCGTAACTCCTCTCAGCCCCCACGATTTGGAGGGGCCAGCCCCGCCAATGCTGGTGGGGGCGCTGCCCAAGAAGGCAGTGAGGTGCCACCGCCAACCGAGTATCCCTACCGCGCGAAGGCCATCTATTCTTACGACGCTAACCCAGAGGATGCCAACGAGATCAGCTTCAGCAAGCACGAGATTCTTGAAGTCTCCGATGTCAGTGGTCGATGGTGGCAGGCCCGGAAATCAAGCGGAGAGACCGGCATTGCACCCTCTAATTATTTGATCCTGTTGTGATCGACATACGACGGTGTCATGTCCGCTTCCCACTTCCTTGTTCTGTTCTCTGTCTTCAGCCTTTCCGCTTGTCGTTTGCAACCCATGTATCCCCCATTTTGATACCCTTCGGATCCGCTTCTTTTTTCTCCTCCACGTGCCCGCTCCTCTGTCCGTGATGTCTTGATGGCCTCCTTTCTATTATCTCTCTCTACCTCTCTTTTTTATTTCTCTTTGGAACGTCATGTTGGTCCTCTTGTTGTTTAAAGGATATCTTTTGTGGTGCCTATCTCTTCGTTGCTGGTCTGTTCTTCTTCATGTTCTTTTGAAGCCTGTCTCGTGGTTCCCACGATCTCGCTCTGACGCCCTCGATCTTGATTTCTCATGGCTCGACTCTGCCTCAAGTCTGACATGCTTTGCGTCGTATGGCCTTCTAGTACCAACCCGATCGGAACCCCACACCTGGCGGTTGTTCCGATTGTTGATGCTTCATCATAAAAACTCTTGCCGAGAGCCTTAGAAAATTAGTGAATCTTGTCTTTCTCCGCAAAACGTCTTCCCTGTATCATGAGCAACTACATGGTGCACAATAGCGAACATACGCTGGCTGAATTAGCTATGCCGAGGAACTCTGGTCCTCTAGATTTTGTATTCACCCGGAGCAATGTGCTAGACTTCTGCTGGTTTATTTGAAATTCTTCTGATTGACAATAATCTGACTGTTGGTCACAATTTCGCGCTACAACTTTGTGCGTCAAATATGCGTTGGCAGGTTTGGCGCTGTCATGACTCGCTCGGCAGGGACCACGTACGGGTGCTCTCGGAGAATTATGTACATGATCATTGGAGCTCAACCGGGGGCTATACCTACCTCGTACTGGTATGGATGTCTTCCAAATTCAGCGTTGACATGCATCTAGAAGATGGTTATTTCAATGATTGCCTGATCCGCTTTTGCGGCTTTCCAATGGTGGACAATCTGGAAAGCTACTAACCTAAATTTAGGCGATGGCTGAGCAAATGAAAATGATCGCGGGCTTAAATCCTAGTTCAATCGGCCTAACTGGGCCACGAGCTACTAACTCTGAACGGCCCACCGGTGGGTACTGATAAAGCAACGTGCGAGTTATAACGAGAGAGTGTGAACATGGCGGTGGCGCTTGGAGAGAACCAGAGGCGACTCAACTCCATCACCGCAGATTGTTGAATGGTTTCGTGTGGGTGTACTTGCGGTCTACCCTTCCTACGCAGTGATCTTTCTAGTGTGAACACTGGCGACGTCTGGTATCATCCCAGTCCTGGTTTGTCCCAGCGTCAGAAGAACCATCACCCACGTCGCCATCGAACCGACACGCCAGTCAAGCATGTCAGATGGAAATGTGACGGTGGCCTCCAATGTACTCGGCACAATCGGTACGGTGTTGTGGTGCATCCAGTTGATTCCACAAATATGGTACAACTACCGTCGTAAGAAGACGGATGGCTTTCCAGCCGCTATGATGCTGCTGTGGGCGAGCTGTACGACTCCCGATGCCTACCAGCTGACTTTCTATTGGGATCAGAGGCTGGTCGAGATCCCCCATTCAACAACAGCTGACTGATTACATCCCGCCTGGTACTTTAGGCTCGGTTCCTATGGGTGCTTATTTTATTTTGCAGGTGAGTATGCATATCGACCGAACGGACTGTTCAGTCTACTCTCCGCGGGGAAGGGATCGATCCGCGTCATCGGAGACAGGAGAAAGGATGATCTTGGCCAGCCCATTGACATATCCTCTAGCAAGTCAATATCCCATTGCAGGTCCAGCCGCAACTATTTGGATTCTTCTCTCTTGTTGCCTGGGGCCAGATACTTCATTACAATCAGTCCGTGACATCTCCATGCTTACTGTTTTGGTCTCGAGTCATCTCACAGCCCGAATTACTGACGGGCAGCCTATCCCCGTAGTGACTACACCCGGAGAAAAGCAATTACTACATGCTTTGGCATCGTCTTGCTGTTTGGTGGCCTTGAGGCTCTGCTTGTTTTGACGTTGCGAGTATGTTATTTTTCTCTCTATTGCTGGCATCCATGGATGGGATCTTTGGATTGGGCTCACAAAAGCAACAGATCCCGTATAAAAAGGGTGTGACGTGGCCGGACCTGGTTGTTGGAATCGTTGGTGCCATTCTCATCAGCGCCGGGTTGATACCGCCCTACTTTGAGTTGTGGAAGAGAGATGGGCGAGTCATTGGATTCAGTGAGTGGGCAGGACGCCAATGGGTCGACATGGACTTGTCGTTTCAATGTGTTGCAGTCTGCTAAACCACATTTCCAGACTGGGTGTTTCTGAGTATCGACACGCTCGGTGGACTGTTTTCACTGTTTGCGCTAGGTGAGACCTATCTTCGGCCCAGCTTGGAAATTCACTTGCAATGAGCAACAGGATCTAATGCACATCGGTGCATGTTCACAGCTGCCCAAGGATCATTCGACATACTTGGTGGAATCATGTATATCTTGGTGTAAGTGCTGCGGAAATGAGTTGATTCCATCGCAAGGTCTCTCCCCCAACTGATAGCTTCATACGACAGCGTCGTTCTTGAAGCGGGCATTTACATCAGTCATTTGATCTGGCGTTTTCGATATCGTCAACTTCGTAAGGAGGCCAAAATGAGCGGAAGAAGTATCGATGAGCTGCTGGAGCTGGGGAGTCGTGAAAGTACACAATCATGTCGATTGAGCAATTCGGTGGGTCTTGTCAATCAGGCTCAAACTGGAGACGTGGAAGAACAGGTGGCTGCTTCGCCGAGACAGGAGGCATGAGGAGAAGAATCACAGACGAGCGTTTTCCAGTAAGGGAGTACATTGGAAGCTTACAACCACATTGAACCTCCCGATATTTTACTGTGGCGGTCAGTCCCTGGATATACACCTGCGTTGGTGTGGTCTGCCCGCAAGCCTTCAATAACATACTGTTTATCAAGCGACTAAGTGTTACTGGCAAGGCGACATTCAGACACAAAGTACCTTTTCGTGACCTGCTTGCTCCTCGTAGTAGGTGTAGGTACGGAAAGTTGGGTAGTAGTTTCGCGACATCGAATCCTTTCCAAAGCTACCGCCTCCACGCTGCAACTTACGTAGTATATGGCTATATACGACCTTGAAGAATGCCAACACCGAGGCAGCTGGCATGAAATAGTCCAGCCACGGCATTGGACGTTGACCATGCAGCGGCATGAACCCCAGAGCATGATTGGAGCCTTGGCCTGGGATTTCAAATCCTCTCCAGTATATGAGTACTTGACCACCGTACACTTGACTCGTCTCCGGCAAGGCGTTCAAGAAGAAAAGGGGTGGGCTACTAAGTGGGTTGCCACGCTGAGTGAAAGAATTCAAAACATACCGTCATTCTGGTGGTCCCTGACCCTCCTAACGAGATTACTATAAATGAACTCCACATGGAGATAGAGCATCAGCCCGACCAGAACGGGCAGTGATAATCTCTCGCCATCGTTGGGGAATGACGCCGACCGTGTGTGCACCGACCGTTTGTATCCCGCTCACTGGCTCATAGCCTCATACCCAGCGATCTCCCACGTCAGATCGTCAGATCGTCAGAGTTCTGCAGATGTGGAAAACGTCCGTCTTTTCTTTCCCGTATGGACGCTGAAGGTATTGCCCAGTTGACCGGGGAGATCAACGCCGTGCCACTTTGACACTTGACCCTCTTAGCTCCTTGTACAACGTGCCTCTCACGGCAGTTCCTCTTCCTCCAATTCTCTCTCTTCTTTTGACCTCCTCTTTCTCTCTCTCCTCTACGTTCTTCTTCTCTCTGCGATCCATTGTTTTCTCCTGACTTTATCCTTCTCCTTTCCTTGCTCTCTTCCACCCCGGGCTAGGTGCTCTTCTTCTTGTTGATTGAAGAACCAGGTCCTGGTTCTAGATTCCCTCCACAAAACTCCGTCAGATTGACCAGTCGTTGTTATTCCGCTCCCGAACACACGGGATCTTGGCCGCAGACACGCTCAGTGCTCCTGTCACTTTACTCGGAGTCATCGACTGTCAAACCCTCGTCGCGGTCTCTCTCTACATCCTCGTCATCAGCTGGCCATGCCCCGAGACTAGTAAGGCGCTTGAGCCCGGGACATAATGCCAGAGAGACGCCTGTCGCGTCTGCTCAAGGCCAAGCTGCTACGACGATCCTCGACGCCCACCGTTCCAAAAACGGGCGACGGGCCCGATCCGCGAGCCCACCAACACCATCTCCCAAATCCAACTCCTCACTCGCCTTGCACTCCGCACCTCTCCGATTCCGCCAGCGACAGGTCTCCATATAGTGTCATCTCCTCGGCCCTCGATCGCTCGTTCGATGATATAGCCTCTGGTCCAGGCTCTCACCTTCACGAGGAAAACGCCTCCAGGACTTCCAAGATTCGGGCCGAGTCCCAGCCATCCACCCGTCGTTCATCGCATCAGGATCATCCGGCGCAGCATCGCCACACGCCAGAGCAACCGACCGCATCCTCATCACCATCACTACCTCCTCCGCCATCGATCTCAATCAGTTCTCCGGTACATACTCCCATCTCTGAAGAAAACTCCACTTCGGACGAGGCTCCTCCGCTACCCACGCCTCAGCAATCCGACGGTACGCCGACTCCGTCGTCCAAGACGAAAGCTTCCGAGTCAACCACACCGGAGGATCAGGCGCCCTTCACCGTGGATACCGTGGCCGAGAAAAATTCCAGCGCGGATCGCCGTGCGACCACGCCGCTGTCTCCCCCTCCATCGGCGACCAAACCTCCAAGCATCGCCATCCGCCGCCAGTCTTTTCTCCCCGCATCCCATCAGACCTTGATCAAGGAAGTCGTGGATCCAGGTCTACGTGCACCCTCGCGTGGTCACAGCACCAGGCACACGCCTGTAGCTGTCGCCGACATGGTTCAACGCCGGATCTGGGTGAAACGGCCGGGCGGCTCAGCGACTCTGGTGCCCTGCCTGGAGGACGCAGTGGTTGACGAATTACGAGACCAAGTCATCCTGAAGTACGCCAATTCCCTCGGCCGGTCATTCGATTCTCCCGACATTGTCATCCGAATCGTAGCGCGCGAGAGCTCGAACCGACAGCAGACGCCGGAGCGATTACTGAGCCCCGAGGAGACGGTTTCCTCAATTCTAGACAAATACTTTCCGGGAGGCCAGGCCATCGAAGAAGCACTACTGATCGAAGCGCCCACACGCCGCACTCCCAAGCCATCCCCGCGTCCCGTCTACCTGCCACATCACTCTGAACCGGGCGAACATGGCGACTATTTCCCACTTATGCCGGTCAATCCAAACAGCCACACCCCGCCCACTCATCCGGCCAGCTCAGGCGGCTCCAGTGCCCCGGCAATCTCTATTCTGACCACCGGTGTTCCCCCTACATTGCCCTCACCCGGAACGCGGGCGGGGAGACATCATCGCCGTCCACCTCTCAACCGACACACGACCAACTCACCCACAATTATAGGCGCAAATGGCGCCGTGACAGGTAGGTTGCTCATACTGCTGCAGCTGTGTTTGGACCAGAGTGTTGACATAGCTTGCTCTTCCCTCAGATAATGGCCTCGCTGCTCATTCTCAGCCGCCTCCCTCGGTACCGGCGCAGCCCACGCCACCCGTGGTCGCTGCAGACTCCCCCCAAGCAAAGACACACACGCCGCCAGCACCGGTCGCCTCTCCACGCTCCTTCCGGAAACCCAAAGGAGCTGCATCACCGGGGGCGGCATTTGGCGGTCTGATTGAGGGTACCGTACCACCTATCAACGTTCTCATCGTGGAAGACAATATCATCAATCAGAAGCTTCTGGAGGCCTTTATGAAGCGACTCAGTGTTCGCTGGAAGTGTGCCGCTAATGGTGAAGAAGCGGTCCGCAAGTGGCGCCAGGGCGGTTTCCATCTGGTGCTGATGGATATTCAACTGCCTGTTATGAATGGATTGGACGCGACCAAAGAGATCCGCCGCCTTGAGCGGCTCAATGGAATCGGTGTCTTCCCCAAAACTGCGTCTGGACGTTCTAGTGTCTCCAGTACTGGATCCTTGGACAAACGTCCGGGACTGCAGCGATCTGTGAGCGAGGACGACACCCTCGGGGATCTCTCTCTTTTCCGCAGCCCCGTGATTATCGTGGCCTTGACGGCTAGCAGCTTGCAGAGTGACCGTCATGAGGCGTTAGCAGCGGGATGTAATGATTTCCTCACCAAGGTAAGCAAACTTCAGCCGTTCAAATGGCGGTAGATGCTTCCCGGCCTCCGAACCATCATTCTAACCATCCCTGCTACTAGCCGGTTGGCTTCCCTTGGTTGTCACAAAAAGTCACCGAATGGGGCTGCATGCAAGCTCTCATCGACTTTGATGGCTGGCGCAAGTGGCGCGGCTTCCAAGACTCTCCACGATCGGCCTCTCCCAACTTTGACAGCGCCGCCAGTCCGATGCAGACTGGAAATCATAATGAAACCAACACGAAAATTGACCCACAGTCACCCTCTACCACTCGGGGTCTTCCCAACCCCAAAGCCCGACCAAAGCGACCTCATTTGCCTGACAACGATGAGATCATGCGCGAAGACTCCTGGGGAAGTGGTAGTGGAGACAATGCCGACTCGCCCATCAGTCCTGACCCTAACCCGGTCCTCGATATAGATATACCTGCACCCGACAATTAGGCCACTTTTGTTGCCACCATACTTTGACAATACCGCCTTGGGTAGCTCTTGTTGGCACAATGATCGATATAGCCTCGCTCAGAGCACCTTTCGTCTCGTGGCGTATTTTCATCCCTCGCCAATCTCCTTTTCTTTTTCCCTTGTGTCTACTCTCATTGGATACCCCGCAAAGTCCTCTTCGATTCCCGACCCGTGGTCGTATTTATACTCGTCTTATTGCACAGAGTTCCCCCGCTTTGAGTCTCCTATTGTCTGGTCGATCTTCCCTTTCTTTTTTTTTTCTTCGCTCCGCGATTTTTCTCATAATGATGCATGCATATACGGATTGAACATACTCAAGCATACGAAAGAGCGATTCATGTCCTGACTTATTTTTTTGTTCCTCTTATCTCGGGTCAAGGCTTTTGTCCCCTTTCTACTTTCTTATCTTTGACACTTCGTCTCGCAAGGACATTGTCAGGGCTGTATTGCTTAAAATGAATTTTATCAAACAATATACAATACTCGTCGATGTCGAGAAGCCATTTTATCCATCTGCGTCACACAGCTGCCATGACCAGTCCAGAGATATACAATTCATCGCTTGCCCAATTTCTAGAGCTCAAGAACAAGTTTGGTGCAGCTCACACCAGCCTTGAGCTCGTCAAGAGCTTGGTTGGCGGCTTGCAATCCACCTGGGACGATCTTGATATGCGGGCTGGCGACCAATTGCTTCGCAGCCAGATGTTCCCGTAGCCATGTTCCAAAGACCCAGGACATTCGTTCCTCTCGTGCCGTCGGCGACGCGGGCGGTTGCACAAAAGCAGTCTGCACATTGTCGGGGATCTTCGCGTCCTTGTCCAGCAACGGTGCAATCGCCAGCTTTGCCTGACTGTTCTTCGCAAGTCGACTCATCACATCGATCGAGGTCTGCTGCGAGCCAGTTGCATGCAGTCCAACCTCAATACTCAGTCCCTCCTCTTCTGCGGCGCCCACTATGTCTGCAGAGACCGAGTCTCGCTTATAATCGAAGACCCGCGCTGCACCCAGGGTCTCGAGATATGCATGATGTTGCGAACTTGCTGTTGCATAGACAGTGTAGCCGAGCAGTTTCGCCGTCTGAACTGCAAACGCACCCATACTACTCGAGGCTCCCCAGATCAGAATCCCCTTCTTCTCTGAAAGCGAGATCGGCTCGATCGAGAGCCCAGCCCAGAACCACGCATTCCAAGTGACGACCGCTGCCATGGGGAACATGGAGCCCTCGGCGAAGGAATACGAGTCTGGTAGCGCAGCCACACTATCCTCGCTCACCACGACGTATCGCTGCAAAGCCCCATAGTCGGGTTGACCCCTGTGCAAGAAGGCGCTTCCAAATGCAATGACTCGAGTGCGGGGCTTAGGGGTCGAAGAGCTGTTTTCACTGCCGTTTGAGACCACGATTCCTGCGAGGTCGGATCCGACAATGGCGGGATATTCGTCGAGAAACCAACCCAGGTCTCGTTGGACATGGTCGACTGGGTTTAGTGCAACGGCGTGGACCTCGATGAGCACTTCTTTGGGGCCGCAGGTGGGAGTTGATCGTTCCTCGACTGTTAAGGGCTGACCCTTTGCGGGGACAACTGCGGCCATGTGCTTACTTGGCGGGCTGGACATGATGCTTGGCCTTGGTGTGGAATAAGTAGGTCTCTCTTTATCCGTTCAATGTTGTGCACCTGGAGATGTTCATAGACATCAAATTGGTCCTCGAAGAAATGGAATCTGAAGCTTCGTAATCTCTGCGGCGACAGTCAAACACGGAGAGGTAAATCAGTGATTTATATGAAGGCATGGAGCTTATGCGGGTCTTGCTAGATATTGCTCTCCACGCACCTGCATTGCCTCAAGGGCCTCTCGCTTCAGGTGGTTGTAAGCCGGAGATACCATGCATGAGAGATCCATTTCGAGGAAAACAGAGGAGTGTTCTCGGATTTAAGAGAAGTGTAGCCTACACAATTCAATGTTTGGATGGTGAGATCAGATGAATTAGAACTGAAGCCCGTAATGTTACCTCTTCCATCCATAGACTGAGAGGTAAGATCGGGCCTTGTCTGGCTAAGTTCAGTCACGGGTCGGAGTTTGCGGGGGCTTAACGCCGCCACGCTATTACGGGCACTCCCTTCAGCCCTTGGAGACTTGGATTGATGATGGAGTGCGCGCCGTGGTCCATTTGTCGACAGTGCTTGAAGATGTTTCAAGTCACGCTGGCAACTTGATTACGCGTGTGTGAAAGCTGGCGTCGGGCTGACTGCCGCGTCCTTGGCGGAAGCTTTGAGATCTCATCTCACCATGCACCGAACAGCAATTTTCACATCCGCATTCCTACGTTCGACTCGTACTTGGTCCTATGCCATGACACTTCTCACACTGTGGGCTACATGTCTGTCTTGAACGAGATCAGGAAGTTCATATTGTGCGCAGTTCCTATCCTACGGGCTAGAGGGCTAATGCCTCGATGACACAGAACCACCTAACCGCCCATCGTCCGAGGAGGTGCATCTGACTCGTGAAGGACAAACCTAGTCGACTCGACATACACGGAATACAATAGCTTTGATTCGCCGTTCGCCAGGTTGATCTTCATGCGTCGTGCTGAAAATAGAAGCTTCAAAGGGCGTGCGATAAGCTAGTGCGGATGGGTTGAAACGCTCCGAATTGCATCAACTGACGATGTCTGGCCCATATCCTCATGACCTTTCCTCGTGATACAACGTGTGGCAACTAAGCTTCTCCAAACGCTCATTACTCACTCCATGATCGACAAGGATGGTGTAATCATACAGACCTCGGCATTCACCTGCAGTTCACATGTTGTCCGTATCCCTAGATCGTCGCCGGTGTGGTACGTCCTTGGGTCTGATATCCAAGATACGAGAGCTTTCCCGACGTGCTAGACTACTGCCGACAGACTGTACAACTTTCTTGATCTCGGCTTCATTCTAGCGAGCATGTCACTTGCTTCTATGATAGAGCAGGTCGAAAAGTCAATTGCAAGATCAGGTCAAGCCCACAACGACCCTTTGGAGAAACGTCCAGGAATGGGGGATAAAGCCTGTCTAGACCCTTTGACCTCTGCCGTGCCCTGTGTTCTGCGCTCCAGCCTATTCCCGCAGCCACAACCTTGGCGATCTCCCTTGAGATGATCCGGTAGCCGAGTGGAGAGGGAAAACAAAGGGGGAGAGACATAAAATATAGCACGACCAACCGGCTAGACCGGGATCTGTGCTCCTACTCTGATGGGATTCACCCCCCGAAGAGCAGATTTCTAGCCGAGAGTTTGTGTTAAAATACCTTCATATCAGTCCAGTGGAGCAAGCCCCTTGCTGGTCCCCGTTGCGCCAGTCCGTCTCTTCCGCAAGGTCTCGGGTACATTGGCACTTTCCAAGCCTTCGGTCTTACTTGAGGAGATATGAGTCTTGACAGAGAAAAATTAAAGCATCAAAACGGAAACAGCGATATCATATCCCCCTGGTGAACAAGCGTCAAGGTACCTTCGCGTTTAGCTGGACGCAGGTATCTGCTTCCTAGGGCAATCAAAGAGCATTGGCCACCCCGACTATAGGCGAAAAGGATCGTCCATGATCTTCACGCTCAACTCACGAGGGCACCATATGGGACGAGCATTCCTATTTGACGTCGGGGAAAACAAATCACACGTTTGGAAGAAATCTCACTGTCGGCCCTTCAAGCTGCTCGACCCCGGGGCTCGGCGTTCAAACCCATCTGCTCGGGTGGTGCGGCCTTTTCTGCTGCAAGACTGTCTCGTTCCAATCCCTGCATGAAGTCACGAAAGAATCTCCTTCCAGTCCTCGATTGGCCAAGCAGCATATCAGACCTTGCTTCGGGTCTAGAGCCATTCCATTAGACTTTCTATGCCGAAGAGTGTGCGCTCGGATTCGTGGGGTGAGTTGAGGGATTTGGCTTCAGGTCTGGCATTCCTCAGGATGGAATGCAAAAAGTGCCGATGGTGGAAATGACGGGGAAATGAGCTCAAGAGACAGCCCGATCATGAGGCCTTCGAGGCTAGAACAGTGCCTTGCTCTTCAAGTTGGGACCCATATATCAATGGCTCCGGATCTCGACAGAGGCATCATGCTTCGATCAGAGAAGGCTTTTTGGACCAGCAATTTCCCAGCTCGTGGAGAGAATTGAACTTCCTCCCCCCGACACCCCTTTCTCGGTATATTCCGAAATGCCCTCGACCCGCTTTTTCGGCCTTCGTGGCGACGCTCTCAATGTTGCGACTATCATTGGCGTTCTCATGCCTGCTATCCTGTCGGTGGGATACAACGCAACTTCTCTCGGAGGAGTCCTGAGCCTCAGAAGCTTTGAGGCTCAGTTCCGTGAGATCGGTCTAGACGATGCCTCGGACAAGGACCATGCAGCCGCCATTCAAGGCGCAGTGGTGGCCGTTTACCCCATCGGAGGCTTCCTCGGCACGTTCATCTGCATTTGGCTTGGTGATTTCCTAGGCCGGCGACGAACGATCATGTCCGGGGCCCTTGTCCAAATCATCGGAGCGGTGCTCAACGCGAGTGCTTTTTGCTTAGCCCAGCTTGTCGCCAGTCGACTTGTTTCAGGCCTCGGAACTGGTATGTTGCTTGCCACTGTTCCTCTGTGGCAGTCGGAGATCGCACCGGCCTCTAAGCGTGGATCTCACGTGGCTACGAAGGGTATCTTCAGTGGTCTTGGATGCGCCATCACCCTGTTCCTGGAATATGGCCTATCTTTGAGGGACGGGAAAATGGCATGGCGCTTTCCTGCAGCCTTTACTGCCATTTTCTCCCTTGCCGTACTCGGATTCATCATCTTTCTCCCGGATTCACCACGCTGGTTGATTCAGCGTGGAAGAATCACCGAGGCGCGCGACACTCTTGCTGCACTGGAAGATCTGAGTCCAGATGATAAGGAAATCGATAACCGCATCGAGGATATGCAGGCGTCTTTCAACCGGTCCGGGAACCAGAAAACGTTGGCGCAATTGTTCACCATGGGTCCGCAACGAACGTCTCACCGTGCCTTTCTCGCCATGACGGTAATGACTTTTCTTCAATTGACGGGTGCTACCGTGACCCAATTCTACAGTGAGTTCATCCCATTCCAACAGCCGATGAAGCACACTACAGCAGGCGGGACCCCAGTCACATATCGTACCAGGAGTTAACCAAAGAAATCCATTCCACAGCCACCGCGATCTTTGAGAACAACCTTGGCTTGCAGGAGTCCACATCGAGACTTCTCGCCGCAGTCTACCAGCTCATGGGACCCGTCGGTGGCATTCTCTGCGTGTTGACGATCGAACGGCTGGGTCGCCGAGCGCTACTTATGAGTAGCGCGGCTGGCAACGCCATCTGCTTGGCCTTGATCGCCGCTCTTGGCTCCATGAACGGAAATCCCATGGCAGCTCATGGAGCTGTGTTCTTCATCTTCCTATTCCACTTCAGCTACATTATTGGATTTGGCAGTATTCCGTATCTCTATGCCTCCGAAATCGCGCCTATGAACCTCAGAGCAACAATCAGCAGCGTCAGCATCAGTATCTCGTGGGCAATCAGTATCCTGGTCGCGAATGTCACCCCAATCGCCTTCAACGAGATGGGCCAGCGATACTTCTTCTTCTTTGCGGGATTCAATATCTTCATGATTCCGGCGGTCTTTTATTTCTTCCCCGAAACGTCCGGACGTACCTTGGAGGAGATTGACGAGATTTTCACTTGTGCGCGGGGGCTCTTTGATGCGGTCTCCATCGCGAAGAAACTTCCGCCCCGAGTGCGGCTTGAGATTCTTACGCCGGAGAAGGGAATGCTGGTAAAAGAGAAGAGTCTTGATAGTCCCCTGGAGAGTCCTATTTGATAGCACAATGGTTGGGTGTTTGCATTTGGTTGCCTGATAAATACTCCTGACATGTGTGGACTTATGGCTTGGATCAGGCGAAGCGGACCTCAAAAGATCTTTTTTCTGTGCATACCTATAGTTTTCCATAATGATAAATGAACCAATGACAACTTTGAATCTCACGCTTCCAGGCAATTTCAGCTTGTAAACAAACGACGGATGTCACAACTCTCGACAGGTAGTGTTCAAGTTGGGGAGCTGCTCCCGAATTTCCGAGCGATCAGGACCTTAACGATGCCGCGTTGACAAGCGCCCCGTCTTTGAAAAGCTCACGACCGGGAAAGCGTGGATTAGGCGCGAGGCGGCACAGTCAGGATAGAATATTCATCTCTCATTAATGTCTTGAACAAAAAGTCTGTAGTCTCGGCTTGAGCTGGGAGATTGGCCGGGTAAGGGACATCTCCTAAGTGTGATGTACATTTGGTTGAACTCAGAACATCAGTCTATCTTCAACACCCAGCCACGTGTCTACTTTGTCCAGTCATTACGGGTTGGAGCACCTTCCCAAGCAAACAATTGGTTTGATAAATGTCTCTGACCACTAGGCAGTCTTGACGTCAAAGTTTTTCTCTCGCGTGTCTTGACGATCTCATCGCAGCGGGTAGTATAGCCGATCGTACAGCTTCATCTCCTCCATGGTCTGGCATATGCCCTCTCAGCTGTCCGGAGGCTTGAAGCATAGACATCACGGCGCTGCTCCTTGCGGACTCCATCGAGGACGGTTACTCGTTTGGCATCCTCCTCCATTTGAACGAACCTGGCTCCTGAACCCTCTTTAGAGCGAGGATCTGATCACGCATGGCCTGGTGGGAATCCACCGATGACGGATTGGAGTAAGCATCGCCGGGGGTTGGCCTAGAGCACCCAGTCGCTGATCAATAGTCACGACTTTCGACTACCATGGACTCGCACCCCGCAAGGCCCATGCCCAAGTCGTATAGAAATGGAGAGCCGCCATGGTAGTTAGAGCCTCCGTGGGTTTAGAATAGAGCGAGCAGGAGAGCCGTGGAATGATCGGCATATAGATGGGGAGTGAATGGAAGACTTTGAGATAAATACAGTCTTCGGACCTAGACCGCTTGGAAGGGACAAGTTAACGTAATTCCCGGCCGTGTCGGTCACCCGGCCGTCCCGGTCACCCTACCATAGTTTAGAATTTCAAAATCGATTATTTCTATTAACACCCATAGAATTTGCTATTACTAACGATTCTTACATTGATTGATCCTATGCCTAATTACTCTACATCCACTGTAGGTAGGAGGAGCCCTCCTAACCGGTTGAATCGGCTAATTAGGTAGATCGATCTGTTTATGCGAATTAACCCTATTATCTTCCTCTGGCTGGTTTAGCTGCGTAGCTAGCTATATAGCCTCTTTAATGGTTAAACCCTCTTCGCAGGGTATCTTCTTAGTTAACCGATTATGCTTTTTGACTATCTTCTTATTCGCTATACGTAAATTCGCGTTATCCTCTGCTAGTAGTATACTACTATAAAGCGCTAGGTAGTGACCCTTAATAAGCTAGTCTAGTATAGTTTTTAATAGACTTAGTAGGCTATTTAACCGTCGCTTTAGTAGGTCTTTTAATATCGAAGCTTACTTAAATAGCTAAGTAGCGGTTCTAGGCGTTTTTAGTATAAATTAGCTAGATCTGCTACTTAGCCGGCTATTTAGTAGTATTAGAGTTCGTAGAGAGATATTAAGCTTATTAAGTACTCTCTCGGTATCTAATAGTACTAGACTACTAGCTACGAAGCTATTTTTGATAGTAGGATTAGTTAATTAGAAGGCTTCTAGCCGTGTATACTAGTAATCTACTAAGAAATCGTGCTTATCGATATAGTTATATCCTCTATACGTAAGATCGCTAACGAAGCGACTGTACATACGCTTAACTACTATAAAATACCTAATATCTAGTAGTTATAGTAGATACGATAAATACATAGGTATATAAAGAGATATAATATCGTTATCTGCGTAGATTCGATCGAATTAAGGCGTAAGATAGCTACTATAGCTATTAAGAATTAGTAGCCGAAACCGGCTACGTATACGCAAATTCGTAAACGGGATAAATAGCTTTTATAGCTAGCGTAGGCTAATCTTATCGGTAGTCTAACCGTTAGTAGAGACCTCGATTCGCTAGTCTTTTAGTAGATTTTCGTTAAACTATCCTATAATAGCTACTTTGCCTTTAAAGACTATATACGGCGGTAGTGAATAGCTATCTACGTAGATTACTTCGATAGTAGTAACCTATTCGCGATTTCCTAGTTATAGAAGAGACCTCCGACCGTAGTATTTAGCTCTTATAACTACTTTCTACGAAGATATAAGGCCTATTATAAAGCCTATCTCATTAAAGTTATAGATATCCTCCGGTTATATACCGTTCTCGTTAATCACACTTTATACGGTCGCGAACTACTACCGAATTAATTTCGGATCTTCGTTTAGGGCTCTTTAGTAATCGTATCTTCGCGAGAAGCGTATACGAAGCTTAGGGTAGCGGTTAATAAAGATTAATAGCTAATTCTTTCTAATAATAGGCGGAGGGTAGCTACCGCGCGTAGTAAGAAGGATATTAGCTATTTCTCCTATAGTTACTAGCCTAGGCGCTACTCTATATATATCTATAGAGAGAATCTATTTAGTAAGCGAATCCTCTTCTAATTAGGTTAATTTATAGCCTATAGGGCGAGAATCGACGCGGCAAACTACCCCTTTAGCGCGGTCGATCAGTGTTGACTTCGGGATTTCGTATAGGATAGCCGCTGCGCGGAGAGATTTGACGCGGCCATTTTTTAGGTCGGAAAGGGCTAATAAGATCCTGCCCTCTTGACTAGCCAATTTATGGCTAGATTCAGTGCGAATTGGTGGCATGGTAGGTGGTTGAATTAGGTATGTTGGTAGAAAGACGCGATTTTAGAGAGGGTGACCGGGACGGCCGGGTGACCGACACGGCCGGGAATTACGTTAAGGGTTTGGGGACAGGACTTGCTGTTCGGGAGATCAGTAAGGTCAGTTGAAATTCGACCTGCAAGCTATATCTTGGAGGTTAATTGTACTGACAGGAGATTGTAGATGGCTTTGAACTTGGACTTGGGAAAGCTGTATGGGTGCCTTTAGTACCTTTGAATGATTAGTCCCTTTTACCTGATAGATGCTAATGTAGCGATGTCTGTGTTGTCCCCGTCTCGAAGGGCTCAGCATTCATCGGTATAGTTCGGCATCTCCGAAACACGATTGTCGGATTGGCGGTAGACTCGGCACGAACGGGGCGCGTCCCCACTTCCAACAACCGCTCGTGGCAACAGGTTAAGGCTTTCAGCCTCGTCAAGGTCGCTCGGCAATGGCAGCAATCATACTGGTCTGTGTATCGCGTCTGATCTGCTATATAGCGTCATCATTGGTATTCCGGCGTATGGTTTAGGTAATCGCGACAGAAAGCGTCTCTTATGGTGCTGTCTGGCAAGGAACGCTTTAGAAAAGTCCGTCAGATGACAGGTAGGCCACCGATACATCATGGATGGCTGCCCACCGGCTGCCAGGAATGACGTACATACCTATTACCTACCTTTCAGGTTTCAGGTAGTCGCGTTTTTGTAGCTGGTTATCTGGAATGGTACAGACTTACAGTGGACAGAAGCCGGATAGATTATCATGTTGAGCTCCAAGTCATCCGGACCAGGAGAGTAGAGCTTGAAACAGAGTATACCTTGTCTTCGCCCAAAGGACCGCATCCGACATTCCATGAAAGATCCTTCACGTTTGCTGAAAATCCTACTCGGTCCCAAATAGGCCGCTTCTCTGTATCGCGGTCAGGTCCGGCCGAGTCCATGCCAATCATCCCGGCGACAGCTTCGACCGGCGGCGGAAGGCCAATGGTGTTTTGGTGTTGCAAGGTCTACAGTCCCATCTGATCGTCTTTGTAGACGAGCTAGCCGGCGTCATGACATTACTGAGGTGTCTCTCCGTGAATCAGAGAAACGATATGCCGAGGCCAGGTACGAAGTAGGTGTTCTGCCAGCTGGATCACCTGACGTTTATACTCTTTCCTTTTTCTATCCCATGATCGTTCGTTTCCATTTCTCTGTCGATCTATCCATGCCATTTTCATCTGAGCTCATTCTGCTGGGGACGAAGGAAAGGGACAGTCCAGTTTGATGGAATACAGCTACAGTGGTAGGTGCAGCTGTATAATGTGTGAGAGGGATGAGGGTGAGGTTGACTAGCGACGAGAGATTCTACCTAAGCTACCATAGACTGCGGTGAGACGGCAGTATCACATGCCATACGAGCACGGGTTTCATTTGATCCATCGCAAGCCCGGGCTTTTCCTAGTCGGAGACTGTTGTTTTTCTCTACAGGCGTGCAATCGTTGAAAAAGAAGCATGCCTTTGGCTACTGAAAGTCACTCTGACCGTGAAGCTGCTGTGCACACCCACGCACTCTATGGTGCCGCACTTTTGACCTGGGCTACCCTCCTCTCTCCGGAAGAGGTCCAAAACACCAACTCCTTCCAGAATCAATCAGTCACCTCAACATCATGGGCCCGGAGGTCTCGTACCCAGATCTGAAGGTATCGGGCGGACAGAACCTTCTCTACGTCGCGGTGAGACAACAGCCATCGAGGTCAACAATTCTTGTAGACGACGAGCTCCAGACTTCAACTGCACAATCCTCTCGAAGACAGTTCGATGAGTTGAAAATTTGCTTGTTCCAGGATGCTCAGTCTGATGCATGTGTGACATAAAGACTGTGCCGCATCCATTGAAAGCAGCCAGACTTCCATTCTGTGGGATAAGCGGCAATGCTCGGTCATAGTCAACTATGATAGTCTAGTGAAAACCAAGTGGTATGGTCAACAACATTCGCGCCCCTCGTGACTTCGACTTCGACTTCGACTTGGGGGGACTGTGACCGCCCAACCAAGCTTTAGCGGGGCTCGTCAGCTCCGCCCATCTTTTGCCGGGCCCAGTCGTTCACGGCCGACCATCAGCTCAATCCTCCACTCAAGGTGTTTCTGAATGCGCCGCGGGTCGACCGGCAAAGTCCAACTGGAGTGTTGACGTCTCCGCCGATCGGGTTCTCCACTTTTCGACATCACTTTCCTGCACGTCTGATATCATCACATCCATCGGAGGTGGTAAGCACATTTCCCACGATCGTCGATCGCTTGGGATGGAGCTGAGCCAAGGCGTCTGAGTGATTGCCAGCGCAAGGCTTGATCAGCTTGGATTGGTGCATAATTGTGTTGTTGCTTGATCTATTCGACAACGACTGTGTCTCGGTCTGTGGCTCAAGCACGAGACCTTTTTCTTCTTTCGACGCGCTACGAATTGCTCTCAGCTATTGGTGTGCGAAACTCCATGCCGTGGTTCTCCGACCGGCGTATGGTCCAAATGCAGTAACCTAACCCCAGAGCTATCACACGGCGGGCGATCGAAGAGGAAGGAGCTCAATGGATGATGATGAAACTTGGGATTGGAGCGACCGACCGTGCCGATTTTCCGGAACCGACGTTGATTGACTCGCAAAACGGCTGGACCCGAGACTCGCACCACTAGCACTGTTCGCTCGACTGACACCTGCGTCAAGGCTCAGTTGGCAAGAACTGGGGAAGTACACTTCTACCTGCTTTTTGTGATTCAGCTACAGCTGTATGGAGAATTGAGGGTACAAGATGGCTCCGGTGGCGTTGCTCAACTTCCCTATACGCTCGTCCCTCTCGGTACCAAGATGATGCGACGTCAGTCGCATCATGGGTGAACCGAACCCAGCAGAAAGCGGGTGTTCCATAGGACCGACATGGCAAAAGATTCGAAATACCCTACTCGGGGCGGCTGGACACGGCTGATTGATGCCTATGTAAATCCGTCATCTGTCCTTCCTCTCGCATTCTACTGTTTCAGATTCTCGTACCCTTTGCTATCATTCCTTACCTGGCAAAGCTTGTCAGCAGCTGCCACTCTTCTTTCGGACTGGTCGTCATGTCTCAACTCGCCAGTATCGCCGCCGACGGAAGCGATCCTCGTTTCCACCTGCACGAGCGGGAGAAGATCGATGTCTACGCCGGTGGTGCCTCGACGGCCATTCGACCTCAACATCGCCGACTGCATGACTCGAGTGTCACATTCGAAGAATATTACTACTACGCACAGCAGACTCGCGCGGAAGAGGAAGCCAACACTCAGCGCGAAACAGGCATCCTGTCCGTCATCTTCCCTTCCAAAAAGGATGTGGGCGTACAACAAACCTCGGACAATGTACACAAAGATGCCTCGGCGATCAATTACAGCAAGGAGACAGATCGTATGACGATCACGGACGAGGAGTGGTTGAATGCATCGCGGGCACTAAGGACGGCGAGTCGAGGTGCCATTTTTTATCTGATCACCACGGATATTTTGGGTCCATTTGGTCTGCCTTATGCTTTCGCGTCTATGGGTTGGGGGTAAGTACAAGATTCTTACTAGTCTGAGTTGGGCATGAAGAAGGGGGTTTGCTAATACGAAACATATTCGTTGTTTCAACAGCCCTGGTATTGCTTTGTTCACCGTCTTCGCCGGCCTGGCTGGATACTCTGGATACCTTCTCTGGCACGCATTTTGCGGCCTTGACTCGTACTACTACCCAGTCCGATCGTTCGGAGATCTTGGATTTCGTCTGTACGGCCCCTGGCTGCGCTATCTCTTCAACATCCTGCAAGGCATCCAACTGGTGCTCAATGTCGGACTCATTGTCATTTCCAACGGCGAGGCCTTATCACAGGCCGCACAGTTCAAGCTCTGCTACATCATCTGTTGCATGATCTGGGCAGTAGTCGGATTCGCATTGGGCCAGGTCCGCACGCTGCAGAAGTTCGGCTGGCTTGCTAATGCCGCAGTGTGGCTGAACCTGATGTGCATGTTTGTGACGATGGGCGGCGCTTCCCATTACCCGCCCAACTACAGCGGTGCATCGCAAGCGGCTGGGAAGAACATCGGTGACGGGTCTTCAGTCGCCCCGGTCAATGGCGTATACCCACCTGTGATGACGACGGGTGGTCTACCGAAGAGTCCAACCTTTGCCGGAACCGTCAGCGGCGCCATGCAGGCGGTTTTCGCTTATGGTGGCTCCATGATCTTTCCTGAATTCATGGCGGAGATGAAGCGACCCAAGGACTTCTTGACGGCCATGTGGTCAGCGCAGACATTCATCTACGTTGTCTATATGTTCTACGGACTCTTCATGTACGGCTACCAGGGCCAGTATGTCATCAACCCGTCTTACTTGGGGATCAGCAACTATGTAGTGCAAACCATCGGGAACGTCTTTGCAATGATCGGAGCCATGATCGCCGCCGCTCTATATGGAAACATTGGTGTCAAGGGTACGTCCACAGTCTCTACCCGACCCCCACCGAAATCAGAAGACTCTCAACTAACCCTTCCTTCCCAAAAGTCATCTACAACAATATCCTCGTCGAATTCTTCCACTTCCCGCCCCTCACCAACCGCGCAGGTAAAATCCTCTGGATTGCCCTCATCCCCATCTACTGGGCCATCGCCTTCTGCATCGCCGCCGGTATTCCCAACTTCTCCGGCATCACCTCCGTCGTTGCCGCGTTCTGTATCCTCCAATTCACATATACATTCCCTCCAATGCTCGCGACCTACTTTTGGATCAAAAAGGCCGCCCTCCAGGACGGCGAGGGCTTCGACCCCGTCACGGGGCATTCGATCCGTCATGACCGTGGGCTCAGACGGATCGTGCGAGGATTCCTCGCGCAGAAACCCAAGTATCTCTTGTTCAGCACTTTCAACATCTTTTATTTCCTTGGGGCGTTGGCATTGGCGGGGTTGGGTGCATACTCGTCGATCACGATTCTCAGGGATAGTTATGCGAGTGGGGCGACGACTTCGTTTACGTGCCATAGTCCATTGGATGGGTGAATGAACGAGGAAGTCCTGTTCGTTTCCATCGGAGCATATCCGATAGCGACGGAGGAAGAACCCGTTGTGATTTTCACAGAGCAGGGAAGAGGGAGAATAATGAGAAGCAGACAAGTATTGAGATTGAGATTTGTACAGAAAAAAGCACTTCTGGCCCGGGGCATATCCGCTCTACAGGTGCTTCAAGGGCTAGGTATTTGATTATATTGACCACTCCAGGTCTTATTTGACGCAGACGCACACTATATTCACCATGCGCTCAAATGGAAGGTGAGATAATCATCGAGTCATCATCTGTATCAATTTCAACGGCCCTTGCGTCCAGAGGAACATTTATTTGACTTTGACATGATCTATAAAATACGATCGAGCAAACTCGGATTGAAGAAGGACGAAAGGCTATCTAGCCGTCATTGATGTATCAGAGCCCCAGTGACTCTGCTTAAGCTATAGGTCGAGCCAAAGACCAACATAAAGATAAAGCTGGTAGAAACAGACAGTTTCGCCAGACAAAATAAGCAGGCAACTCAACAGACTATAGTAGAGGCGAGAAAACCTCCCCATCAATCACTTCCTGCCAATACCCAAGGCCCGAGCCAGTCTTTCACGCATGCTGCGCTGTCGAAGGTCATCATCTTCGATCGCCTGCTTGCCCGCCACAATTTTTGCAGCCCGGATATAGTCAGGGAGCAGGAAGCCTCCGCCAATGACCGGTCTGTAAAGATTCTCGACTGGAAGATCGGTATTCGGAGCATATTGTATTTGATAATTTTGGAACACGATCGCCTTGCTCAACATATCGTGCCGAGTGCCCAGGCAAAGCACCGATCCGCACCATTCACCCAAACGGGCAATCAAAGGATTGGTGATCCAAAGCAATGACGCTTTCTGTGAGTGAGTTGACCGATCCCAGAGGTACTGGACTCCAATCACTGATGAATCAAGAACGGAATCTTCGATAATGCTCCCTTGGGGGTTGACCGCTTGGCCGGTCCAGGTAGCCATCCGAACGGTATGGACAGCTTCACCGGAGAGGGCCTCAGAGTAAGATGCCCAGTCCGAGACAAGTGCATGGCCAGGAGGAGGCAGAAGCGAAGGAAGACTCTTGCCTGTTATTAAGCTGAGATCATGCATGTAACCAGTGGGAAATGGATAGACTCGACTTGGGTTATCAAATGTCAAGGAAATTGTTCCAACCTGGTAAAGGTGACACAACTTCAGCATTGTCTCTTTCATGCGATAACAAGACAATCAAGTGAGGTAAAGGGCGACACTTACGCGTTTTTCTTCCTCTTTCAGCCAAATCTCCTTGTCAATGGGCGCATTCTGACGGGAAAGCTCTCCCAAATCCTCAAGCTCAGGTGTTTCAATTCGATCGGGCTTAGCCGGAGGCAAATCAGCCATAAAGCCATGCGTAATTGTCGTGACTGCGGATTCCCCATCCACCAGTTGGAGTCTCAATCCCAGACAACCTTGACCATTCAGTGGCCTAGAGCCCCCGCGAAGTTCGACGCCTGAGATCCATGTTCTGCTCTTGGGCTGGAGACTGAAATCATTGAAAGTAACTGCCAGACCAGCAACCTCACTGACCGATCCCTGGTGGTATGCCGCGCGAATATCAGATTGCGACTTCATCAAGACGACAAGAAACCCGCTCACGAGAACCTGCGCTCCGATGGCGGTGGGAAACAGGTCTCGAAGACAGTCGAGTTGCTCCGGCGAAAGGATCTTTCGTGGGTTGATATGATAGTTGTGAAAAAGACGATTGTCACTCAACGCTGGCCTTGACTGGACTGAGCCTTCCGGGCAAAGATTTCCACTATCCTTGGGGAAAGTGTGACATGGTCGTCCGGCTACCGTGATGTAGTCGATACGGTCATACACCAGCCATACTTCAGGCCCATATTGTGGATGAGATACGAAGACATAGTCATGACAGCGCAAGCCTGGGTGGTAGGTGCGCACGAATTGCTCATTTTCCGGCGTGATCTTCGGAGTGCAAATGGCCTGCAATCTGGCGATCTCGGGGCATTCCCACTCGTCAGAAGTCATCTCTAGTCAAAATATGAGTCCAGTTTTGTCAAAGCACTGAGTAGCCACATACTTTCGATAAGTCTCAATTGAAATGTGCGCACGGGGCAAGAGGTGTCCATGTCTGTGTCCGGAACAGGAAGGCGATTATAAGGCCAGCCAGGCTCATTTGGCGTGTTCCTCAAGGCCATACTATGATATCGTGACCAATGTACAGTGTTGAGGCGGGGGATGGTTAAAATATAGATCTGAAAGTAATGTAAACCAGGTTGATGGGTGCGATGTGGAAAAAGACATTGAAGCGCCCAAAGGCTACAAATTCAAACAGAACAAGGCAAGAGTATGGACATGAGTGAGTCTCTCAAGAATGGTTGTGGTAGGTGACAAGTGCGGCTGTCGTGGGGAAGGCGCGAAGCTTGATGGAGTGCGAACAATCTCCACCGTGCGGTAGTCCACAAGAGTGATATCTGAGCCGCATACAGCGTTTATCACAAGTTTAAAGGCACATGCTAGCAGTTGGCCATGTTCCCAGATAGGTCTCTGGTAAAAGATCGAATGCTTTCCCCGTGCGTTTTCCACTATCAAGTCATTGAATTCGAGCTCACCGAGCCATCCGGCTTCAGGGACCAAATTGAAACCACATGGATGAGATTTATCCTCGGCGGCACTCATACACCAATTTCATATCATATCTATTACACTACATACCATCCATAGGTCCCATTGTACATCTGAAGTGGATAAACATGGGCTGCGATGTAAATAGAAGGTGCCATGCAAGGGTAAGTACTGTACATGGATAGACACAGCCATCTCAAGTCATTTGTTATCAACATGTCGAATTCATAGTTTTCGCCCTTCGCAAAGACACTACCATCCCTGCGGAGCTCGACTAACATCAAATATCTCCAAGAACAACGTGATGCAGAATTGCCCGAAACTAGGGATTATATGGAATGCCGCATGTGAGGGAGTCTTAAGAGGGCTTACCTTGTAACTACCATTACCGGTCAGGTATCTCGGCTGGATTGAAGTTTTCATCCAAGACTTAGGGCTTGGCTGAGGCACTGGATATTGGATGTGTGTCCGAAGAGTCTTCATTCTGGAAAAAGCAATTTGTAGGTAGACGACCAAGAGCATTAGGTAGCATACGGGTATACCATGAGCATCGAATAGTGGACTCAGAAAATATTTTACTCCGCTCTGAGGTACGGATTCGTCAAGCTGCCCTATCAGCAACAAGGAGTATAGACAAAGAAAATGAAAAAGAAAAATAAAAGCTCATGGGCATTAGAATATACATAAGTTGGGTATCTTGGGGGAAAATCAGCGGAGAATGGGACCTTTTCGTTCTTTATACATGCTCGCGAGCGATACGACGCTGGCTTTCGGCATCATATCCATCCGTGGTCTGAGTGACTTCAATCGTGCGGTGGATGCCGATGTCCAGCTTACCCTGACCCGGGAGCGGGTCGTGTTCAAGGGTAAGACGTTCCTCGCTGCTACTGGGGCTAGTTGAGCCGCCACCCCAGGTCAATTCGGTGTCTCGTTGACTTTCAATGTTTGTGACCATCACGGCGAGCTTGTCTGGTCGGAGGTTCTTGGGGTTACCGAGTCGATCGATTGATCCAAGCGGCAAGGCGCGTGAGTTGCTGTGGCCTCCAAGATGGCCGGAATTCGGGAACCCCGAGGGATAACTTGAGCCGTTCCGGGATCCGAGCCACTTGCGAAGGAGAGGACGAAGAGTGGCGAGACTGCCAGCGGTGATGCCGAGACCGGCTTCGATGTTCGACCAGATGGCAATTTGGTATGTGGCATCTAGAAGATAATTAGCTCGGTGCTTTGTGAGGTCGGAGAGGAGTCTCCTCGAGCGCAAGAGAAGAACGTACACAAAAAGTCTGGATCACCGAAGGTCTGGACAAATGGAATACGGACGATGACGGCGGAAGAAGCACTGTCTTCACATTAGCAAACTGTGTCCCGACAAAAAAAAAACAGGTTGATGGTGAGAAGCTCACATGCAGGCCATGCTCAGAATACCAATAACAGCAAGCTTGGCTTCACGCTTCATGTGGAGTTTGGAGACGAGGAAGATGGGGAGAATTCCCACGGTGAAATCGCAGAGGGCGGCAAAACCACTGTAAATGTAGGTCATGATGATGATGATGTTGATATCGATGCAGCTGCCTTGAATGTTGGGGTCGTTGGCTTTCCGAGTCCAGAAGTAGGAAACGGGCCTGCATTGCAAGAGCATGAGGAAGAAGAAGATTAATCCAGCGAGACAGGTCAGGAACATGACCGAGTATAGAGTCCAAATGTGTGATTTCTTCACAGTAATTCGAAGCAAGAAGACGCTGACGGAGACCTTGCACCCAATGGAGGCGAAGCAATAGGCGACCTCACACAACCACCAGTACTGTCAACGCGGCGATTGTCAATTTCATAAGCCGGCAAAGAATCCAAACAAAAGCAAGAATAACAAAGCTGATAAGCAGAGTGAGGCTTTCTTCTCAACGTACCTTCATTGCTGTCACAGCCTCCCATGGGTCGAGATGGTCGAGTTTGTAACCCGTGCCATGGATTGTTCCTCCGATCATGCATGCACAGAACATGATGTAGGTTATCTATATCGTTGAACCCATGAGCCGTGCAAGCTTCTCGGGATCCCTTCTTACAAGGTGCCGTAAGGTGAGCGTGGAGAGGGAATATCATCCAACGTACCGCTGCGAATACCATCGCACTGTCATCCCATCCAAAGCCCTTGACAATCCATCCTCGCACATAACAACGCAAGATGACGGCAATGGTCGCAATGGGCATGAAGACGGCCGCCACCGTCTTCACCGCCATGGCTCTCTGACTCTCGTCCGACATTTTTTTTTGTTAATTGAGTCCCTCTCTCCGAAAGAGAGAGAGAAAGAAAGAGAGAGAGAGCGACGGTGGGAGGGAGAGAGGAACAAGGCGAGCGAAGGCTTGTAGATGGTGGAAACGTGGGTTGTGGGGAAGACCAGCGTTTAATAGTTTATTAGATTGCAGTTTGCACTATCGCGGCCACAAAGTCTGGAGGGACTAATATTCATACTCTGTGCAGGCAGGGCGCCAATATCTTATTTCTCCGTAGAGGCGGACCCGTTCGAGATTTTCCCAGAACTCAGGGGGACTCGGGATCTTTTTTTGTGCGTAGTGTAATAATGGAGGCCGTGAGCTGGACCAGCGAATGGTGGTCACCTCGGTGCATGCTCGATCTAGGCAGTGGCGATTTGCACGCCAAAAGAAAATAGGAAAAAAATCATGGAATAATAGTCCAAAGCAGCCGTGCGTGTGCACATCAGTCCAACCTCCAAGCGTGTCAACGGGATAGTGGTGAGAAGTTTCAGTGGCCCGACGAGCTTCGGTGGAGGTGCTTGTGGAGAGAACCAGTTCCACGAGCCGTGGCAGATGGTGAAAGTGATGACGATCGCACCAGCGGGTTCCAACGGTCTGGAGACCTTCTCAAATTGGTTCCCAGTTGCGGATAAAACTGGATAACGGGAATGGGACCAATGCAGTCATGTTCTGGTCCAACTTCCATTTCTGACAGTATGTGTCACTATCCTCAGGTAAGGTTAGAACTGGTACCATAGAAAGGGAAGACTCATCCGCATGGAATGGATGGATACCGTATGGAGGACATTCCAGACCCTCGTTGTTGCGAGTGCCGAGGCCATCTGGATCTGGCTTTCAACCTCCTCAGCCACGAGTACTGAGTTGCGCGGAGTGTTTAGCGTTTTTGTTTCCCCCCCATCCCGCGCTTGATCAAAATGGAATGGATTGAGCGATCAGGACTGGAAGAGGAGCATTTACCTTGTGGACCGACGGGCGTCCTCTCATGCAGAAGCTTGGCACGCACTAAGTTGAACCACTCAGTCTGCACCTGATGAAACGATTAATAATCCCGGGTGCTGCCGCGTAGTCGGCGACCGGGTTTTCTGTTTTTTTGGTTTTTTGGTTTTTTTTTTCAGGCGCGCAGGCTGCCAGGCTGAGATGTTGACACACGAGGCGAGGAGGAGAGAGTGAGAGAGGGGAGAAGGAGAGGAGAGGCAACGTAGTCCACTCCCTCACGGCGGCGGGTTGCCCTATTCGGCTCAGTTGCCGCGCCTGCTTCTAAGTCACCAGAACAAGCTAATCTACAGAAGGAACCAGCGCACACCATGTACAGGTACATGATGCAGTAGTAGTGGCAACTAACTTAGTAGCAGTAGTCGTAGTAGTAGTAGTCGTAGTAGTAGTAGTCGTAGTAGTCGTAGTACTTGTAGTGTAGTAGTAGTCGTAGTACTTGTAGTGTAGTAGTAGTAGTAGTAGTAGTAGTAGTCGTAGTGATAGGGTTTCAACTATCAAGACACTCCTCCAGTCAGGACCAACCCTGTCTGGGTCCCAGGATCATTACCATTTCCCGTTGTTCCGTCCGATGACCACAGGAGCATTTACCTTGCCCTTGCCCGAAGAGCCCTGAATCCGACCCGGCGGCCTGGAAATTGAATCTGGTCCGTGGTTCACGCCTGACGATGGAAATCGGCATCAGCCCGCTAGCTTCAATGGGACAAGAAGTACAATAGCATTGTGGTGGGACAACATTCAGGGGGGCGAGAAGGGGGCGTTGAGAACAAAGTGAGACATCTTCGCTGACTTAATCAGTCGGTCAGCCCGGCTAGGGCAAAAGAGTAGGACTAGGAACTCAAGAGTCAAGACCTCCTCCCGCTGCATATGTGCAAACTAAGACTGTAGCAGACTAGCAGGGCAGGGCAGCCAGGGTTCTTGCGAGCGATAGGTTAGTCCTAGTGCATGGACGTCCCGGGACCTGCAGACAAGGGAACAGATTATAGTTCATTCAGCGTAAACACAATGTTCTTTTTTTGATCAACGGTCGACCTCGAAACAGAACAATGAACCGCATGAGAGTGAGATGATAGATTAACCTGGGACAGGGCAAGTCGCATAGTGATAGTCTCCCAATAGTCAATCGATGCGCATAGAAATGGACTTGATCTGGTCCTTACAAGGTCATCATTTGTCGATCAGCGGCCAGTGGCCACACGCCCTGCCCTGTTACTTGGCCAGTCTCCGAGATCCATCTGATTAAGCGATTACAATCCAACCAGGATCACTCGTAGGTCTTAGCGCTGGAAGATATCTCGATTGCAATAGATTGAATATGTCACCGACTCACCGTGGAATTAGAAGTGATAGGTGTGTTACGCACACTATCCATAGTACAATCATGATAACGCGGCACTATGCGCTTAGGGAGTCCAAGCAGTCTCCTTATAAGTATGCATCAAGAAAAGCCATCTCTCCGGTCACCACTTCTGAAAATGGTCAAGAAGCCTCGACCGTGAAGCGACCGTTGTGATTCTGAAACAACCCAAGGGGCTCCAGTCGCCTCGGTACTTATCAATCTCAACAAGGGCACCGTACCCGGCGTGCCGGCCCAAAACTGTTCTTTTTTCTTGTCTTTCCTTCTCTGTTCGTCATCTCCACTTTACCAAGACGCCACCCCCAAAGGAGCTTAGCGCTTGGAGCACAATGCAGCATCGTAGCCAACAAGACGGATGAGATAATCGCAACCATCTCCATCTTTGAACGCCAACGGCTTGGAGACGGGAGGTCGGACCATGCAAAATTACCCACACAAAAGAAGAGAAGGGGTTTCCACCAGGAACAAGGCGGACGGACTGAGCGTCGTGTTGTCCGCTTTGAGTGAATACCATCCGGTGGAAGTGGGGTGGACAATGGGGTTCGGTACCTGTCGCTGGAAACAATCCAGCGACAAACGCCCCAAGGATCTTGGATGCGAGCAACCAAGCGGGGAGGATCAGGTTGACCGAGGTAAGTGGTGGGAGTGAAGGATGGCGCTTGTACTCTGCAGACAATTCTACCACAACACCCGAGTACCTGCAACATGCAAACAATGGAACAGCGCAGATGATGCTAACCTAGATCTCAGCACTGGACCTTCCTGATGATAGTCACGGGCCGGGATTTCCTGCCAGGGTGATCAGAATTGATCGGCTACAAGGGGAGCCCGTATTGGAGACCACCGAAGCCCACACTTGGTCTCCAGCATGATTGAATAATCTCCGTGGTCCCCATCTTTTGCTTGGTCGAGATCCCCAGGACAGTGGATAGTGGACACTACTGAGTACTGATAACTGCCGGATTGCTCTGTTGATCACTTGATCCAACACAGTCAGGTTTTACTACTAACGAACAAGATACCACCTCGACTCGTATTCAGACCTCCAGCACGACAATCGAGATGATCCTCGGCTCAGGCACTGCTTGCCCAAGTGTCATTTGCATAAACTTTTCCAACCACAACCCCTCAGCAGCCAAAGCCAAAAACTCTGTTCCTCCGCAAACCTTACGAGACAGCAGCCCATTGACCTCTTTTCACAACAGGAACAAAAAGAGGTCCCCGAGAAAACCGTTGACCGGAAACCTCTTCCGATCCCATTGGGCAACTGATCTACTCTCCCTCTAGTGTCACGGTGCTGTGAGAAAGCCTAGGAACCAATGGGACACCACTCGGAGCTTTCCACGTCGCTGGAAAGGGTACAACGAGCTGGAAAGCGCAGGCTATCCACACAGAAGATCGCGCTTCAAGTGGAGGTTAAAGTTGCTCTGACAGCCAGCTTGGATCCACGGAACCAGAGCAAGAAACAGGAGAGCAGGGTGGAAGTAGCGCAGCCGGGGCCTCGTCAAGAATTATGGACTGCAGTAGTGCAGCGTAGTTGAACCCACAAGCCCTCCTTTCTCGACCTGCTCAAGTCATTGAGTCGTTCAGACACATGCCACCGACAAAGACTCGGCGATCTTCTAGAGGCAAGGAGCCTGACTGGCGGGTAGACGACTATCGAAATGGCTCGGTAGTCTCTGATGAGCAAAAGTACCGATCGTCCGGCGACAACCCAACACAGAACCCCTGGGATGGCCGGGAAATCACCTGCAAATTGGCGGATGGATGATTCTCTTCAGCATATGACAGTAGCACATGGTCATCCTGATCATGAGAGCAAAAAAGGCAATGGAAGAGAGACTCTGTGCTTGTATATCCTAAGAATTGAGTTGGTGATCGACCGGATTCAATTAGGGGACAAAGTAAAAAAGCATGCTATTTGACGCTAAACGATGCGCGTTGAGACGGGAAAGTAACATTGTGGCTGCTTTAGCGCCACAATCCTGTCAACCTTGCACGGAATGAACACATGAAGAAATTTCGAACATGCCGCTAAGATGGCTTTGTGGATGTGTGCCAGGATATTTGAGGCAGATCGACATGGTCTGTACGATAAATCAACAAGCATAATAGTAGTAAGTAGATTCGAAGTGAATAAATACTGTACTATCTACCGTTCCACACTGAGTGATGCATCTCTCCAGTCATACTCTTTCGGTAACACACGCGTCCCTTTGCTACTGTGGCTTTAGCCTTATTAACCGACAGCAGAGTATATCAGAATCCAGGCCCTGAGCCATTGCCGATCAAAATCGCAGTGCTGGCTGGAAAGTTCGTGGTGTGTTGCTTAATGAGGAATGAGCAAGCGCCAACTCGAGAATCCGTAGCAATGCCCCTAAATCTGATCGTCTCTCTTCGTGATGAGCGGTCAGGGCTCGCCTGCAGCCCTGGACAACCTAACTGTGCAAGTCTAGGCATGGCCAGTCATCCTCGTAGAACCATCTTCAGAGTCCGAGCCCACGACCGCAAGAGAGCTCTCTCTGACGGGTGCACTAAAGCGCCTTGGCACCTCATCACCACGTGGGCTGGCCATGCTGATGCTTCAGAGTTTCATAAGCAGATCCAACTGCGTGGCTGTCAAAATCCACACGCTTGCACTCCCCACAGTGTGTCTCAAACCCTACACACTTTCATATCTTCGAGGCTTGCTGACCAGAACAGGTATCCCCGAGGTCAAGTGCCGAGTCCGCCAGCAGGAGAATCACGGAAGCGGAATGATAAAAAGAAATCATAATACTCACACAAAGGCCTTCTTCGCCTCCTTCCAACAGAGACCCGGCATCCTGGTCCGACTGTGGATCCCTCGTATCTGTCCATCACTCGCGGGCGATCCCTATTAATGAGCTACTCGACTGGAGCTTCACCTTGACACTAGCTTCTTTCACGTATAACAGTTTCCGAGAGCTAGGCTCAAGGCTACAGAGTCTTCATCATTACTAGCATCACCACGGCAATCATGATCCTCGACGGCGTAGATATCTGATGTGGGGCGTAGAATACGCGGTCTCGAGGAGGCGCTGCAACATGAGACGCTCGTTGGCGCCAAGTCGTCGATCTCTTCAAGAGGGCCAGCTTCGGAGCATGTCCGCACGAGCCTAAAAGTCATGACTCGCCGTCCCGAACTCTTCAGGCCATTCCTCCAGAGACCAGCCAAGAATCTCCCCGTTCACCTGACTCGAGTTCATGTCGCCAAATAAACCCCATTTCCGAAAAACACCGAATCCACTCGGTTCTTGCAAAGTTCTACAATCCACAGTACACTCGGCAAACTCCCGCCCTTCCCCCCCCGAACCCAGGGCTTTCGGCAAGTCATAGTGCACGGCCACCTTGTGAAGATTTTGAGATATTTTTTTTGGAGACTTTTTGGTTCTCTTCTCCATTTCACGCCTTCTCGATGGGTGGGTTCTTTTGATCGTGCCACTTTGCTTGATAGAGGCGTGTACAACGCAGAAATGCCGTGTGGGTCGCCACGGTACTCTTCCAAACTCTTGGAACGATGGATATTGACTAGGGCCTGGTGTGGATCTGAGTCTTGACAGGGGAGGAGAGAGGATGACTGGAGTCACGACTCACCGAATCACTAACAACGCTGCTGTATGAATAGAAATGGAAGTATTTCATTCCGGATGGAATCGTAGCCTGAGTCTGTAGTAGTCGCTGACCTTGCGTGAAATACCTCCCAGTTGACCGTGAGTACAACAGTTAGTCTGCGGTAAGGCATCCAGTGGCATATCCACAGAGCTTGCATCATTGGATCGGATGACCGTCCCGCGAGCTTAGAGGAGGTCAGTTCGTGTTGCCCATATTTGCGACAGTGAATGCAGTTCATCAATAGTGAAATCGAACAGCGTACTATTAGGGTAGACACTTGACACCGACAGTATCCTTGTTCTGACTTGACAGGTACCTTTGCATGGAATCGACCGCCCGCGGGAAACCGTGCTGGTTGACAGTACTACTATCCCACTATTGAACCTGTAAATGAGCGATCAAGTGCATGTCGAATTGTTGGATAGACTCTCACTTGCTCGAAGACTTTCAAGTCTGAAGCTCAATTCAGAAGACACCATTTGCGTAGGAGTTGAATATGTATCCGACTATACGTACCCACCTAACATAAGGAACCTTCGCAGAAGTCTGCTGGAGACTGCCTTCAAATTCAGGTATCAACTCTCTCGCCCTCACAAACAACTCAAGCGACCACCAACCAGACTCCAAGAGACATCGCGACCTCAAACCGCTCCCCGCAAGCGACAAAACGCCAGGTCTAGAAATCCCCATGCACAGGGAGTGTTTCTACTTTGTCTGGTATAAAAATCAGAGCAAATTAGAGCTGATTAGGCGTGTATCGGTCATTGTTCCAAATGATGGGCGTCATGACATCTACGGTACGCCTAGATCACCTGTCGGGTGCTTGGGGTGATTGACTAATGAGAGTGCGAACCCGCGCTCCGAGCCACGGTAGATCATCGAGACTCAAGTTTGAGGCCGTGCAGGGCTTCAAGATACACGAGACTTGGTGTTCCGCATTAGGCAATCAGTCATGCCGTTCTTAAATTAGGATCCCGGGATCGAAAGGATCAGAGGGTCAGAGGATCAGAGGATCGGTCTCGCTCGAGAAAGATCGTTGCGTTGGGCGGAACTAGCCTCAAAGGGGGGAATTCTGGCACCAGACCGGTCCCTCGTTCAGTGATGAGGTCGGTGAGGTGAATTTGATACAGATACTTAGACTCGAGTGGTATAGGACCAAGGCCGAGAGTTTGGTGAACAACTAATGTGCGTGTTCCCTGCCAGGGATCTCGCTTCAACTGTTCATGACACACATGAGGAAAAGAAAGACAGGCGCTGTGTCATGGCGAGAATGTACATGGACCTCATTCCGTTGCTATCTGATACCGTCAGTGCTTTGGCTATCATTCGCTTGTTGGTCGCCAAATTGACATCGATCAAACACACTCCCTCAGCGTTATAGCCTACGCACGTCGGTGGCTTTGTGAGTGTAGGGGCTTCGGCCACTTACTTAGATCGGTCGGGCAGAGACTGCCTGCATATCATGGTAGCTGGAATACGACCTGCAATCAAAAGGCTACCTCTATACGGCCGCATACTACGCATCCACATCTAGCAAGTACCTGTATGCGCGACTCCATCGATGGTCTCCAAGATTATCATATACGAGCTGTTAATCTGGTTCAAACCAAGTCGGATATCATGACTGGTAGCATGTCATTTGACGTCCCTCCGGTCTTGCTCGCCTTTCAACCCGTTCCAAGGTTGCTCTTGGACCATTCCGGCAGTATGGTCTTCTTTCTGGTTCTCGTAATCAATCAATGATGTTAGATAGGCCGGACTTCCGATCCAGCTCAAAGTTTGAGCGAAGATGACACAGGAAAAATCCACGGAAGCCTCACTTCTTGTAGTCAAGCGAGGGGAGTCTTTCAATTGCCATGGCAATCCGGGGTTAGGCATAGGGCTCAATCCGTTCAAGATTCCTTCATTCGTCGCACTCGCAACCGGGTGAGTGCGTCCGACTGGCAGAGCAAGAGCTGCCGTTCTGATCATTGTCCACTCCCTATCGGCACTGTCTGCATCTTGTGTTTATGAGGCAGAGACTTGTCAGTATGAGAGTGAAATCATCGACAACGAGTTGTCTTCATCTTCAACTTCCATCTCACTTCCAATGCCTTTCAGCCTCCTCAGATTTCAGATGATCCTTCGGCAAATCAGTTGCTACCTCTTGCTGGGAAACTTCTTCTCCAATCGAGGCTGCTTCCCAATCCGACAAAGATGGCAAAGCTATCACCGCCGATGCCACTGAATCAATCACTCGCTCTGACCTGATGCCGTCGGGAACCATCCGACCCAGCATCAGCCAGTTTCAGCACCTGGCCTCTTGTAAATGGATCGAAGCGCCTTTGCCAACCATTGCCGTCTCCGCATGTCCTGCACATTGGCCACCACCGCATCATCTCGTATGAGCTGGGCGGTCTTACATTTCTGATCCGCCATGAGGTGGACAGCTTTGCTGGCGAAGGAGAATCCCAAGGAGATGGTATCGGCTGCACATCGAACCCATTGGCCCTCTCGCAGAATGATCCTTCTGTGGGCAACAAGGCCTCTCCAACTTCCAACCTGAATATTCACGGGCTTGCAAAGTCAATACTACGAGGCTCTGACCTCGGGATCAAAATCCGCACAATTCAAACCTCGCTGGACCTCGATGAAGTGATGCCCCAGCTTTGCATTTCACAGACACCGAACCTGGTCCCAGCCTACCATGGTGGAGATCGGCTCGAGTGCCTTGAAATGGAAAATGTCACAACTCAGATTGAAGACTGGAAGGGCCGGCACGAACATCATATTGGTGCTTTTGTCAACTTGATCAAGACATTTAGTGACAAGACTCGGCAGATCGGTGGTACCGCCATGATCCGATTCAATCCAGCCACGGATACGGTCGATGCTGATGAGACCCACGGTCTGAACATGCTGCCCGATGATCTCTATGCACTATATGCAAAGGAGACTGAAGTTGACCTCGGTGAAGATATGGTGTCAAGATAGCGAGTCACGATGTGATGCCGAGGGCGTTCCGTTCAAACTATAGGGAGTTCAACAAAGAAAGACGCCACTGTCGTCGGCATCCGAGCGTGTCTTATGACGGTCTGTTCAGGACTTCTGTCCATCCTTCCATTGATAGGGTCATATGCCACCAGCTCATCGATTTCCATCCTGGCTCATTCGTTGTTCACTTGGTCTTTGTTGACCCAATCTGTGTTCCAACTCACTTCCCATTCATGCACCATCCAGGATCAGTCCCGGGAGCCAAATGATCATACGTACTTGCATGGAGATAGTATGCAAGTGTCAAACAAAGCAACCCAGGAACGGAGCCCAAGGCTGGCTCAGCTGACATCTCAATAGAATGCGGGGGGACTTTTTCTCTGCGATCCCCCGGCTTTGCTTTTCCCCTCCTCATCAGCCTCCCACCCCTTACTGCATACGCGGTTGGTTGCCCTGCTTTATCTACACAGACTACATACCAGGCACGATCCCAGCTGCTTTCAATGTTCCATGCACCGTGCCGTCACAAAGTAGATCATAGGATCAGATCCAGAGCCGGACGGGTGCTCTTTGGGCTTTTGCGTTGAATTTCCAAGCTATATCTCCTGTCTTCACATAAAACAGATTATCCTCGAGCGTACACTAAAGACCTCGCTCACATTTCTGCACCCATACCCTGGTGCTGGAAGCCTCCTCGCAATCACTTTTGCTATAACCCAACACCCGGCTCATACATATTTGCCCAGGTACTTGGCTCGCTCGACCAGCTTCGACATTTCAGCGCACGTCTTCCCAACGAGCTACATAGCGGGCCAGCCCCTGTCGAACCCTGCCAGCATCCAAGCTTGATCGTTACTCCCAGTGTCTGAAGACCCATCAGTCTATTTGAGCTCTTCAGTCCCCCTGATTTTTCCAAGAAGACCCCGTCCTCATCATGTCTGAGATGTCATCCAACGGTAACCAGGGCCAGTTGGCAAAGGTCGCTTCCAGTCCCTCCGAGGAGACTTGGATCTCGACTACTTGGAGAGCCCTTCAAGGCATCTTTGTCAGTGATGCCCCGTCTCAAGAGGAGGATGCCGATGCTGTTGTGGGATGGGTGGGTGGACGGAATGGACGACGAAGATGTCGATCAATTGGGGGACGCCATGGGGTTGCTGAGCCAGTCGCTGCTTGATACTCTCGAGTCCAGCTTCGACAAGCGAACCATGACTTCTTCCATGCAGATCGTTTCCACATGCACATGTCGACTTTGATTACATACCAAGTCTTGATGTTCGTACAAGATACCAATGGCGAGATCTAGTTTCGATACAAAAGGAAAATTGCCAATAGAATGTCGAGGCCTTCGCTTTGCCACGGTGAAATTTGATAGTTGGGTACGTCCCATGACAGGAAGAGGTATAAGTACAGGGTAGAATAAAAAAGGTCGCCGCAAAGAAAAACAATATACAGGTACAAGTACAGGACCGTGCATGGTCACATGTGAAGATCAGTCGGCGTCAACGGTAATCGTAGCAGAGAGTCAACGCGGGTTTCTTCCATCAGAAACCTAAGCCTCAACACGAGTCGGAATCTTGACGATACCGCGCTTTCGATCATCCGCAGGGATACCATATCGACGACCGGGAGCCCAAGGAGCACGACCATCGACGCCAACGGTCTCCTTGGTGAACTTGGCATCTTGGATCCGATAGTTGAACCTGCCACCCTCGGGCTCGACGTGTTGGACACTCTTCTCACGTCGAGCTTGTGCCACCTCTCGTCGCTTCTGCTCAGCTTCCTCCTGCTTCTTGAGACGCTCGTTGTGTCGCTCGGTCACAGTGCGACGCTCATTAGGAAAGGCTTTGCGATCGCGTTCGAGCTGAACCAGCTGCGGATGCGGGATACGCACATCTGCAGGCTGCAATACCTGGCGAGCATTTCCTCCCTTCCCGACCCACTCAATGGAATTGGGATTCTGCACAATTTCATCGATCAGATCGGAGGGGTGAGAGATCTTGGCAGCAACATCGTTCTCCAGGGCGGGGGCACCGGAGAAGACGCGACCGGCATCCACTCGGTTAAATGAGCGGGACTCGGGCACAGGGTAGAAGATCTGAGCACCAGTAGAAGGATGAGCGGGGAGATCATTAATTGATTCGTGGTATACTGGACGCTCGCCTTCTTGAGCGAGTGGCGTGGTGGGAACCATTTCGTGAACGGCGCGGGCATAAGGCAAGGCCAATGGTTTTCCCTAAAGTCAGAACCGGGCTTGTTAGCTAACGTAGCCATGCGATGAATGGGTGCATGTGCTAATGTTCCAATTGACAGCATGTAGATCAGGAAAAAGGATGTTTTTAACCAGTCAAGCTAGAGCCTGTGTCTTCAAGACTAATCGATTTTTTTGTTGTCTCATCATATGCGTCGCAGAAATGAAAGACATTCGGAAGGGGTATTTTTCCCCCAAAGGATAGAGAGTAAGCAAGTCTTACCTGTGCGCGTTGCCTCCTCTCCAACTCCACCAATCGAACGACAGCCGCGATGCGCTTCATATCGACGCCAAGCTCAACACTGACGGCGCGAACACTCTTCTTCTTCTCGACGACACGAACGTAAATCTCATTTCGAAGCTCCTCGCTGAGGACACTCTCGCTCAGGAAACTCGAATTTCCAGGAAACGGTCGTAAACTACCCCCAGTGCCACTGTCCCCATCTCGACCAGTCAAGTAATTTGTTTCGCCCGGCGTGTGGTGCTTCAGCGCGGCACCCTTGGTGGTGAGCCATTGGAACATTTGCCGTCGAAGCCTGGTTTGTGGAGCCGGCGTGACAGAGAATTGACGGGACAGGATAGGTGAGGAAAGAGGTGTGGATGTGGATGTGATTGAGCATGTGGAGGAGGATGTGGAGGATGTGAGGTAGGGGAGGAGGGCGTTGGACACACGCCGGGGTTGTATCCGGGGTGCCATCTTGGGAGGGGCAGAAGATCAGGCACTCCGGATAAGATTGGGTATATATAGAGAGATTAAAGTGAAAAAAAAATACAACAGTCAAAGCTGTTGAATGTGTGGCAATGGACCGACTGTTCGCGGCCGTGCGCGACAATGTTTAGGTCGAGGGTTATGCGGATGAGAGAGACGATGTTGGTAAGGGAAGAAACTTTTCCGCGAAGAAAGGTTGTTGGTTTTGTCACGTGACAAGGAGCTGTGCGAGAACAAGCAAGCCGCGACCCGCTCCGGATGTTTACCTGGCAATGTGTTGGCAGCACACTATATGTTGGTGATCCGAGCTTCCAGATGAGATGATAAATCGTGATGTGTATTTTTAAATGCAAAGCTTTTTATCGACATCACCGAGCACTAGCTCAAGATATACAACAGTGCCCTAAGTCAGTCCGAACAACTGTGAATATATTTGCTGCAGCCCTTCCGCTCCCAGCTACTTGACTTGGTGGAACAATGCATGCATCAAAGGACTTCACCTGGGAGGACTGCACTGAAGAACAATAACCTTACCTACTGCAGTAAGCACAGTACCTGATCTCGAACCGGATGAGACGTCCTCAGTAAAAGATATCTGGATGGTGGCAAATCCAAGATGTGCTGGATCTCGCAGCATTAGTACTGGATCGACATGAGCCTGATCGAAACATTGATGCGCGCCTTGAGTCGACCTTCTTGATTGAAGGCCGAGCAGTGGTTGCGAGAGATAACATTTGCCGGTGTGAATGGAATGTAGCAAACGAATATTTTAGATTACACACCTCACTTCATTCATCGGAGGCGGGGGCCAGCCACCTACCTAGGGGTAAAACCTGGTAGTTGCGCCGCTTGATTATGATCTACAAAGTGAATGCATGTGTGCTTAGTGGCGATACGACAGCCCGGTAGCTCACCTTGAACGAACTCCCTTCAAAGGGGTATCTCGCGAGACTACAGACGCACAAGGATTGAACTGAGCATTTTAGCAACAGCAACCAGTCCATTTGATCTCATATACCTGACATGATGAAATGAAGCAAACTTGAATCAATCTCCCAGTCTGACATGATCTGGCCACATTTGCCCAAAGCAAAGACGAAAAAGAGCACGAATACCACCGCCAAGTTGAACCGTGTTATAATCCAATCATTCCAAAAAGGGTAAAGAAGGACCTAGTGGAGGCCCATGGGTTAAGAGCCCTAAGAATGCGGATCGAAAGAAATGCAGGCCTCATCAGCTAAAAATGACCAGAACCCCTTGTCAAATGTCGGAGCAATGCCATCGAGCGCGAGTCCAAGCAAGCAGTGTCAGTGGTCGGCCGCCTGATGGTAGCCCGAGAGAATAGACCATGGTCGAGATGCGCCAGGCAGTGTAGATAGAACCGGTAGTCGAAGGAAATCCTGATGGGTATCAAGGTACCAAGTAGACCCATGATATGGTCCAATGCGCCCATCATCAAGATGCCAGTAAGAACACTCTTCAAAACGCCCCCCACATGCAGTAAGCTGGATGCAGTCGGAACCGTGAAGCAGTCATGAACTACACCGGTGTTGACGCTTGGGCCAGAGTGACGAGACAGAATGTTCACCAAATGATGGACCTCAAGAACAATCTTTGACTGGAAATTAATCAACTGCTGATTAAAGCAGGAGTTGAGAGGAAGCAAGCACTAGCTCAACGAGTAGTGTCGAGCTCTGCCTCGTGGAAAGTCCTGTAGCGAAGAGAGAATTTGCAACTATAGAGCATATAAGAGCCAAAAGAAAAAAAGCCAAAAGGAAGTTCAAGCACCAGGAACGACGTGGAGATGCAGTCCATAAGAAGCCAAGTGGTGAGGAAGTCGCCATTGAGAAAAGTGTCGACCACAAGCACAACCCCGAGGCCAAGACTGCCAAAAAACGACATCTCGATTGCGGGCCACGAAAAAGCCAAATCGGGTGATTGGTGGACCTGAAGGAGATAGGAATAGAGCAAGAAGCGGAGATGAAAAAAAAAGAGAAGCATACGTAGAATAAGCAGAACACGAAACTAACATATGGGTATGGAGGTATTGGTGAACAACGCGAATGGAGAGACAAAATGAGTACGCATCGTATATGCGTCGCTGTGCCCCAACCGTGATAAGAGTACAAGCTTGTAATGACCTGAGAATGCAAATCCTCCCAAGGGATATTAGGAAATAATGAATGGAGAAGAAAAGAGCGCCCCAAGTTCCCATGCAATGAAACATAAGAAGAACAACAATAGCGAGTAACAATTTGACAACACAAGCCACGCGGGGCGAGCAAGAAGGGGAATGATAAGAAAAGTGGTAGGTGGGAAGGATGAACCGTGACGCAAAGCAATTGGAAACCAGAAAAGGACACGAGAATCTCAATATGCCCCCGAGAGTGATGCAGCCACCGAATGCTGATTCTAGCTCGCAAAACAAAAAGGAGCCCCCTGTTGCGCCAGATGTCCCGGATTCATTCGTCAAACGTGCCGGGCATTATCTCGGATGTAATTGTATGAAAGGTTCCATTGGTCTCTAGCGACCCATCATGTAATCGGGGTAGAAGGAGTTGTAGCCATTGAGACTTGGATTTGCGTTGTTGCCCGCAGGAGGTCCGTGGGGCGGGGGCGACATCATGAGTGCATTCCCCCCGGTGGTACGGATGCCGAGACCAGAATTGTGGTTGAAACCACCGTTGCCAACCAAGCCATGCGGGTGACCATTGCCATGAGCTGAATGCAGCGTATTGCCATTGCGTAGTGGCATTGGCATTGCAAGCCCGGGAGGTGCAGCCAGGCCCGGGGGTGGTCCGCTAACCGAAGAGAACATGTGACTGTGCATGCCACTGAGATTATTGCTTCCCGGCGCGATTCCCGGGGCCGGGAGGACATGAGAGGCACTCATGCTGCCAGGCTGTCCTGATCGAACACCAAGTGGATTTTTCGAAAAGCTAAGACGAATGCCGGTCTTGACGCTGTTGGAGAGTTTGTAGCCGTAGAGCTCGTTGAGGGTCTTGCTGGCCATGGCCACTTCGTCAAACTCAACGAAGCACATAGGGCCATTCTGCTTATTACGGAAGCACAATCGCTTGTATCCCCGCTGCTTGGAGAAAAGAGCTTTCAGTTCTTCCTCCGAGGTGTCAGGAGGCAAATTACCCACGTAAAGCGTATTGCATGGGGGGTTCAAGTCGTTCGGATTGGCGGCTGGCAGGCTGTGGCGGGGAGTATGTTGACTACCACCGTACGGGTAGCCCTGACCGTGGCCATGACCATGGCCGTGGCTAGCTGGATAAGCCGAAGATGGACCACTGACGCTTCCCATGCGCTGCCCGGGACCGTTGGAGGAGTAGTTGGGCAACGGCGGGGAGGACATTGCTGTTGACAAGGACAGATTGGCGAATCGACTGGTCGGGATTTGAGGATTTGTTGAACGACGTGGAGCGGAGGCTGAGGCAGAGTGACCGTTCTCTGCGTAACCCACAGGGTCTTTCAGCAACTCGCCAGTCTCCTCGTCCGGGTCCTCGTCGATCATGGATTTACCCGTCACTCGCGGGAGATCACCAACTCCATTGCCGATAGGTGACTGCGGTGAGAACAAATTATGGAGACGTGAGCCGGAGTCGGATGCGGACGGCAGACCTTCGCCAATCACCTGACTGGCCGGGTTCACCGAGGACAGTCTCTCGAGGCTTTGAAAAGTGCCGTTGAATCGAGAGGACTGTCGCGAAAGATGACCATTGGAGGGAACGCTTCCCAGAAGACCACGACTGTTGGTGTGATCTATCGTATTGCGACGGGCATTCGACAGGCTGAATCCGACCGGACCGGGGTACATCTCGACGACCATGTTGGCGTCGTTCTTGGAGTTCGGTTTGCCGTCGAGGAGAGCCCGGGCCTCTTCGGCGGCGGGCAGGGTGTTGAAGCGGGCGATGGCACTGAGGAACCCTTCGTCTTCCGGGTGGTCAGAGGTCACAAAGTCGGCATCCACGAAATCCTTGGCGAAAAGCAACATGCTGCGAAGGGCCTCCTGGCTTGTGTTCCGGGGCAACTTGCGCATCAAGATCGCGCCACCGCCGCTGGCGCGACCAAGGCCATTGAGGCCCTGGAAGTTGCGGTCTGTATCACTGAGGCGCATTCCGCTGTCGAAAGACGAAGAAGCGCTGAGGGGCGAGAATGGATAAGTGAAAGTGGGGGCTAACGATGTAGAAGGTTGAGAAACGGATGGGCTGTAGACGTCGGTCGACATCGCATGCTGAGTTGTCACGGCCGTCGGAGAAGCAGAGGACGAGAGCGGGTGTTGGGGTGGCGATGAACCAGACGACACGGACTCGGTGCGCTGTGTCGTACTAAATGAGCCGGGACTCGTTCGAGTGGACTGGTTCGAGCTGCCGCTCATCGGTATTCCGGAAGCTGGAAGCCGGCGTATGCAACAAGGAATAATGACTGTGGATGATAAAACGAGAGCACTTGAGCAGACCCGCGCCAGGCACAACGCCTCTTTCCACCGGGATCTGAAATCGAAAATTTGATGCGCGCGGGAGAATCAAAAAAAGGATGGAAAGTTGATGGACTTGATGAATCGTTATACGCGATGCCGCGACGATATCGTTGAGCGATGCGGTCAGGTCGAGGGTGGATGGATGGAGTCACGGCTCATCGACAGTGCGAATGGTGGCGCGCGCGCGTGTATGGGATGACGGGATCTCCTTAACCTGCGAACGTTGCGATCGGCGCAGGTGGGCGCAGGTGGGCGGATCGCGATGGAGGGGTTGAGATGATCAGGGTGGACACGATGGAAAGAGAGGCCTCTGAGGATGGAAGTCGACAGATGAGACCTGGATGCCAGATGAAAGGAGGGATCTCGAGGCCGAGACGAGAGGGGTGGGAAAGAATTGGGAAGAGTTGAAGGGGGAGGGGGGGGGAAGAGGAGATCAGAAGTGCGAGAAAAGAGGCCGGAACGGTCGAGTGCTAGTCCACAAGTGCCAGATCCATGGATCTGTTTGCACGACGCGACTATGCAGGACCGACCTGATACCGGGAAATGAATGTCGAGGGTACCAGCCTCCAAGCGGGACAGCAGGTGGGGATGGAATGTCACGACCGCTAATCTGACAATACCTGGTCCATCGATTACACACAGTCGACCACCTGCGGCGCCGCTTGCAGAACGTGGAGTGCGTGCCCCGAAAGCTGGGAATGCCCCCGGTTTTCTTGGCCGGCCCTCCTTTGGGGGACTGGGGGAACCACTTCTCTTCGAAGACCCAACGCGGGAGGGGAGTTGCAGCCTCGAATGATCATGGGTGTTTAGTAGGTTATTGCTATCTACAAACTTGTATATATCCTTGAAGACGGAACAAGAGGTTTCATCTTTCCATCAGCAGAATTTCTGGAGAGATTCTAGAATCATATTGCGGCGGCTGCAGCTTTCCGTTTAGTGTCGACTCTTCTGTGCACGTCCCTGTCTATTGTCAAGTCCGGCCGCACGCAGAAGAACCCTTTGCGGAGCTTCTGTATACCTCGGGCTCTGCGTCTGAGCCACGAGCTCTGCCGCATGCATTCGCTCGAATGCGCACCACCCAGTTCACGGACTGTCAAGGTGGACAAGCAAATCTGGTTAGTGGCGAGAAAAGAGTCGTGATCTGGTCCAGTCATGATGGACTAACACCAAGCCGCACCTACGATAACGTTGGTAGATCGGACCAGGCGCAATGAGCCATAGGCAATGAGCAGTGAACAGCAGGCTGTAGAGTCCGAGTCCAGGCTCGCTGCAAGAGATTCCTGTCCACTACCGTGCCGCAACAATACACTACTCGTCGACTGTGCAGCTCTCTCACGCGGCATACACGTAGCCGGCTCCAGCATGTTCGCGCTTGTATCCTGCTGCGCCGAGCCAACTAGTGAGATCTCGGCAGCATGGGAGTGCCGGCGTACTTGAGCCATGCATCCTAGTCCCCGAATCAGGCTAGGAGCCCTCGGTACCTGGGAAAAAGATACAAGTAGGTAGTACTAGGTACTTCCTAGCTGGAGGGGCTAGAGTGCGTTCAGCAGTGGTGGTAGACTGGTGGTAGTAGGCAGGAGTACTGGATGTGGTAACTATGTAGTATGTAGTATGTACTACATACTTTGTAGTACTATGTACTACAGTAACTATGTAATGAGTATAACTATACTGTGCAAGTGTGTACTGTGTAGTAGTGTGTAGTGGGCGGCATCTATGATCATGTACGGAATGCGCAATATCTGAGATGGCGAATCTGACTCGAACCCAGATACTTGATCTCACAGTAGATTGTCTCAGAGGGATATCGCCAGACGGAGCACAAGTACAATCTATTCGAGTCGGATAACCATTAGCATGATCGTTGCTGCAGCGCCGTCTATGTCATTAGGGCTGGTCCTCGAGTGGCATCATGGCTTATGATATGCGCAATCCCGCAATGCAGAGGGGTCGAACAGAGATAGTGTGTGTATGTGTGTGTAAGAGAGAGAGAGAGAGAGAGAGAGAGAGAGCGGCGATGCTGCTCATTAGGATCGGTCTTGTGAAATACCAACTCTGAAGCGTCAACACTCTTTGTCGGCGCTGAGTTTTACAGGATATCTCTTAGATGCCTAAAGGAGTCCTCAGACGGCCGCACATGATCGTGACACCGGCCATTGTTCCTGTCCCTGCGACCAGACATGTGATCGCGCATCGGGAACCGCATCTGCACCCTGACGGCTGAGGTTGTCAGTCTTGATCAGTCTTCGTCAATACCACTCCCCTTGATCCTCATCGTGAGATGCTCACCCTCCCAAACAAACATCAACCCAGCCCGGTCCCACTCCTCGGTCTCGTCTCGGTCTCGTACAATGGAGATAGCAGTAGTCCGGGTTCAAGTTGACAACTCCCCCCCCCCCCAAAAGCTCCGCTTGTCCCCCAAATCACCTCATCCGTGGGCGATTCAAACTCAAAAGACAAGCGATCCTGCTGGGCGGCTGACCAATTGCCACGGATTCGGCCCCACTTCCGGCAGTGGATTGGCTGGCCGCACAGCGATGGCTTGGGCTTATCGACGGTTGCTGGGGGGCGGTGCGGGTCGCTGGTTGGGCCGTGGCCCCAACGGCGACGCGATGAAAGTGTCTTCGGGGGACCATTTGGTTCCCGATCAGGTCTAGTCACGGTCGCCGGGTCTGTTTCCAGCAGTGGTGCCTGGAGAGGATTCACTAGAATCACGACCAAGTCCAAGTTACTCGACTTGGACTACTAGATTACTACTAGTTGGCAGTTGCTATTGCGGTACTGTAACTACCGTCTGGCGTCTACGGTTACTCCGTTAGTGTTACTGTTCCCTGTTCGTTACAGTCCCAGTCACAGGCGCGTCAGCCTAGCGGGTCCGATAAAGGGAAAACGCTCGGGAGTTGGGCCATAGCAATCACCCAAGCAGTACAGTTGGAAAAGTCACTACTGGTCAGGAACGTTGCTCCGAGATGAAGCCGCCCATTCAAGACGGCGCACCGAGGAACAGTGACGTCGCACCCCCGTCTCAGGGCCGGTGTGCACTGTGCGATACACACATTTGTTGACACCCCCTCGCCAGGGCATTCTCATTAAGCGTTGCACAGCTGCTAGGTGGAATATGAATGCACCCAATGCGCAATTGAAGATTGACTTTGCTGCTACACGATCGCGCGTGTCAAAAGCTTAACCGCCGGGCGCGACGTGTACAGCGTCAGTCCTCACGGGAGGGCGGACTGGTAATCTGAGCCTACCCGGGTAGATGGTTCAGATCTGCAGGGTCCCCCCTCCCCGAGTGACCATCTGATAGACTGTTACGTCCGGACCAAGGATGTGGAACACGGGAGATTCAGGGTTTCAGAAAAATGTGCCCGAGCGACGTGTAAACCAGAGACCGCAGGAGCCAGCTCAACACGCCGGCGACGATACATTTCTTCACATAATGTACATGATGGCAGGGCACTGTCAATACAAAGCTTGCAGTTACACCAGACTCAAATCGAGGGCCCTCCTCGGGAAACAGTCCCAAGTCGCAATAAACGCCATCAATGCCGTAAGATCAATTGTATCGAGTAAAAACAGGAAAAGGTCGGTCGTTCCCTTTGGAGTTCGTCGTGTCTCACAGGGGTCGACCGTTGAGATGGTCTGCTAGCTGCCGCGTGTACGCAGAGCCTGCAACCCGGTAATGTCGAAAGGAGTGCGCGACTCTAGATTCTTCAAGGTGGACGATGCGCATCGAGGGAATCGTGATGCTCACGCCCTGTGGAAAGTGGTGGGCTTCGGTTCGACGAGACCAGCCTAAGTTTCGCGAGCGATTAGCAAGGCTGCCCGGCATAAACGTCGCGCAAAGTTCCAGAGAAATTGTAGCAAGCGCAACACCAGATTCCTCGTTCATCTGCCCAGATATCCATGTGGTATCAAACCCATCCAGCAATTCCCACTTACCATGGTCATCAGCTTCCAAACAGGATCACTGGGCTGGGCGCCGACACCGAGCCAGTACTGAGCGCGTGCTCGGTCCAGCGCAACCTCCTTATAAGGACGAGCTTGCGCATTCTCGTCGTACAGATTCGTGGGCCGCTTGGGGATGGGGTTGTATGTGCCAATAACTTCGAGTGGTTTCGCACCTCGGGCAGATCTGGGGAGCATTCAATTAGCACTTGTGGATCTTCACATCACTCAAAATGCAGAAAACCTCGAATTGACATTGAACACAGCGCGAGTGTAATCGCACTCGATCATGCCAGCATTCAAGCGGAGATCGGGGACAGAGCGGGTCAGGTAAAACGAAGAGTGTAGCCACGTACCGAGCTTGTGCGACCACAATGTTGTAGAACGGCGTGTGCTTGTTGCCAAAGCGCGCCAGGCGAATTCGGAGAACCATCTTGTCGCGAAAGGCGAGTAACCTGTGTTAGACCGAGGGCGTCGTCGTCTTGCTTTTCGAGATCCCTGGCGTTGCTCCGCAAAAGTTCACGAGTCACCCGGCAGAACGGTTGTTCCGGAACCACCTTGTTCCGGCTTAGTGTCAGCGGGGGCATGATGCAATGGGTCTGTATAGTTGATGCTCCAAGTCCGTTGGCCAACAACTTTCTGTCTTCTAACAACCGCTTGCATTGGTATTTTGAATCGTACAAAACTCCTTGTGAGAAACCGACTCAGAGTACAGAAAGGCTTCAGGGCCTTTGTATTTCACCTAACACATTGCATGTTCCGTTCTATCAAAACCAGACACTTCCGGGTTCCACACTTCCAGCTTTCCACCGCCATTCGATACAACAGAATTGCCAGAATGTCTTTAAAAGTACGAAATTGCGCCTTTGAATTGGGTATTTTTAGTGACAGTTTTCTGATCAGACATATGACAATCCAGGCTCTTTCTGCCAAAGATGCAGCGTCTCTTGACAAAGATCTCATGGACGTCAACGTTGGCGGATGGTCTCTCGACCAGCTCATGGAGCTGGCGGGTCTTTCAGTCTCACAAGCAGGTAATCGATGTTAATTGTACCCTTGCTTTCTGCAGAGAGCATATCATTGACACGATGATTTAGTGTGGAGAATGCACCCTTTGAGTCAGGGAAAGAGAGTCCTGGTCGTATGTGGACCAGGAAACAACGGTACGCCGACCAGTATTCCAACCAAGAAATGCAGTGATCTCAGTATTTGAGAAGATCTGGCTAAATCCCAAACAGGCGGAGACGGTCTCGTGGCAGCTCGACACCTCAAGCACTATGGCTATGAGCCCACCATTTACTACCCCAAAGAAGGGAAGAACGAGCTGTACCAGGTAAGCGTAATCGATATCAGAGATCTGAGCAGTATTTCATCATCTGACCATATCTGAATATTGAAGCGGCTCAAAACCCAACTTCAGAATCTGTCAGTACCGTTCACAGATGATCTAACCTCGGGGTTGTCCCAATCCGACCTATTGATTGACGCCATCTTCGGGTTCTCATTTGGTGGACCCTTACGCGATCCTTTCGGATCGATCATCTCGCAGATCGAGAATGCGAAGATTCCGGTCCTCAGCGTAGACGCTCCCAGCTCTTGGGACATCAATTCCGGACCTCCTTCGTCTGGACCTGGCGCAAAATTCATGCCACAGGCGTTGATTAGTCTGACTGCACCCAAGCCTTGCGTGAAATACTATCAAGGCAGACACTTTATCGGTGGCCGATTCCTGACAACGTCCATCGCTGAGAAGTATGGCTTGGTGTGCCCTGACTATCAAGGTATCGACCAGGTGGTCGAGGTCTTCAAGGACGGGGACGGCGAGTTCCGATATGCCCCTAAAGAGGAGTCGAAATATTGACCAGTGACATCTCGAACAGTTGGTGTCGAGTGTATTGCAGGTGAATCTCAACAGTGCAATGCGACCAATACATAATCAATGTGAAGTTTCCCGTGGTTCTCGGCCGCTGGGCCTCACAAGCAGTAGATGTCCGTCTGGACGTAGTCAATTCGTCTGCGCTGGCGCTTGCAGCTCTTACCAGCCGTGTATGACCTACCGAGTGACTTGCAAGCGCGCACACCGCGAGTCGGGGCCAAACCAAATCGACTTCTCGAAATCGATGCCCTGAAGCCCCACTGTGACTGCAAAAAGGACATGGTCGACGGAATTGTGTGTATTCCCACCAGTGGCACAAGCGCGTGGGGTTCGATAGGAAAGATGAGGGGGGAGGGGGCCTTGAAAGGTACTTCACATTGTAAGCTGGCTTCACCAGAGCCCGGCTGAAGTATGATGAGACGGGACAACTCAGCCTGATCCGACAGGACGCTAATTAAGTCGAAGGGACGTCTGGTGAGACAATAATTGGGTATTCACGTTAGTTCCGATCTTGAAGCGTCGCCGAGCAGATGATCACGATGATGGCTCGAAGTTCACGCCCAGCTGAAGATCTGCAGTTGCGCCCAAACCTATATCTTGAGAAATAGTGTTTCATGGGCATACAAAATGCAGTGCGGAGTATGGAAGTCGGCTGAGTAAGTGTGTTGTTGGTGGCTGCCTGAACAACTACTTGTTTCACTCCACTTTTCGGCCTTCGCTTCGAGTGGACTACACTGAATAGTGAACACTCTGCATATACTACTCTTGGGAGAGATGCCCATGCTAAATTGCGTAGATGGAAAATCGCCATTTGCTAATATTGAATGAATTTTATCTTAGCTGAATCGCATGTTCCGGACTTCTCTCAAAGGGGACCGTCGTTGGACCGATCAAGACCACTGGGTCCTGGTTGGGAGGGGGTATTTTTGTTTTAGCGCCAACTGCATGTGAGGCTTCTCGGGCTTTTCCAAAATGATCGAGGGGCTTTGTGGTAGTTCGTATTCACGCATACCTAGAGAGAGATAGCAACGATAGAGGCTTTCGGCATCGCCGTGAAATACGCCTTTTGTCGGTCGAAGGTTCCTCAACTGGACTCCAGTCAGACTATATAAGGTCGTGGTGGCGGCCCTTCAAAATTACGATGCGTTAACATCTCAGTCGTCATTTTCGTCGAAGACGACTGCTTCACAAGTAGGTAAGCTAGACACAGACCTTCCAACTTAGCCGTGTGCTCTGTTATCGCCATATTCCATCACTCACAGTCGATCTTTTGCTCTTTTCTTCATAAGACCAGGCACATTCATTTAGAAGACTTTCGCAAGAGAACATCGCAATCATGAAAGCCGTCATTTACACAGGTGACCGAAACATCTCAGTCGAAGATCGTCCCAAGCCAGCCATTCTAGCGCCCACCGATGCCGTCGTCAAGGTCCTCCACACAACTATATGCGGGACCGACCTACATATCCTGCAAGGCGACGTCCCGACCTGCACACCAGGTCAGATCCTCGGCCACGAAGGCGTTGGCATCGTTGACTCCATTGGCGCCGCAGTGACAAACTTCACTGTCGGCCAGCGGGTACTCATCTCCTGTATCACCTCGTGCGGGACGTGTGACTACTGCCGCAAGAAAATGCCCTCAAAGTGCGAGTCCGGCGGCTGGATTCTTGGCCACACGATTGACGGTACCCAGGCCGAATACGTCCGCATCCCACACGCTGCATTCTCGCTGCATGCGCTGCCGGATAGTGTCGATTCCAAAGTCGCTGTCACTCTGTCCGATACAGTCCCGACCTCGTACGAGTGTGGGATTTTGAACGGTGAGATCAAGGCTGGGTCCACCGTTGCAATCATTGGCACTGGTCCGATTGGGTTGATGATTCTTCAGATGGCTCAGAGACTGTTTGGTCCGTCAATGACGGTGGTGATTGGGAGAGGACCGTCCAGGCTTGAGACGGCCCACTCAATGGGAGCCAATCATGCATTCAGCGTCCTTGATGGCCAGGATGCAGTTGTATCTTCGGCTCTCAGAGTGACCAAGGAGAGGGGGTTCGATGTGGTGATCGAGGCAGTGGGTACTGTCGATTCTTTCAAGATCGCACAGGCCCTGGTAGGCCCGGGGGAACCATCGCCAGTCTCGGGGTCTTTGGCGAATCTTGCGAACTTCATCTGGAGAAGCTGTGGAATCGGAACATCTGTATGCGTTGAGCACATTACTGCCTTTGCCCTCCAAATGGTTGTCGTCGCTAATCGTTCACCGATCTGGTAGGCCTGAGGACAAGACTTGTTGATGCTGTGAGCACCCCGGATCTGCTCAAGCTGGTCGAGGTGGAGGGTATTGATCCCAGTTTTCTCGTCTCGCACAGTACGTCTGCTCATGTCGAGGATTTCCGACTCTTTCTGAATCCGCTAACGTGGTCCAGGCTTCCCGTTCGATAACATACACGGGGCTTATGAAGCGTTCGGGTCTCCCTCGAAGCATGGTGCACTTAAGGTGGTCGTCAATCTGGAAGAAATATTCATGAATGGATCGTGAGGGGGGGCTCTGCTATCCGTGTTGTACCTCTCATTGATTGAGGATATGTGATGCGATCAAAGCCCATTGTCACCTGACTTCTGTCATCAGACGATCGATTTTGAAGCATCGGCGCGGACGCATACTCAGGTAGGCTTTGTCCACGGCACGCGTGAAATTATGCCCGGTTATCGGACGGATTAAGGTTGCAGGTGTAGGTTGGAGCATAGCCGCGCGAGCGAATGGCGAGAGCGATATAGTTCCGATGAGTCCATGAATTGAATTGCAATTGAAGGTGACATGTATGGACGCTTGAATCGATTGATATCTAATGCTCTGGTTTTAAAACGGAAAATGCACCATCAAAGCGCAACCCTGATTTCTCCAATCACGCCCGCAATACGCGGTTCCTTTCCAGACCCAGAAGACGAGATGCGGCTCATCAAACTCTCGACTTCATAGATCTCCTTCGCAGCGGCTTTGATCTCAGGCCCCATGGCTACGATCAGAGTGCCAAGCGCGACAAGACCTCTGTAAACCGCTTCTGAATCCTTCTCCTTGGTCAGAATCTTAGTCAGTTCGTCTAATAACACCAGACCCTGCTCCGCAGCTCCAGGAGACTTCGAGCGGCCTTCAGAAGTGAAGTAAACAGCAAAGTTGATGTAAAGGGTAGTGACAGCAATAGTCAGATTGCGATTTGATGCGGATCCCAAGTTAGCAAGCGCTGATTTCACACCTGTCAAAAGCCCCTCGAAATTGCGAATAGCGAGATCGCGGCCTGCTTCGGTCTCGAACAAGTTGGCAAAGGTTCGAACGCACAACATCGCATTGTTGACATTGAGAGGGGCATCGAAGACCTCACTTGACAAAATACCAGTGATGAGATCCGTACCATCGTAGTCAGCAGTTGCCGTCATCGGTGTCGCGGCAGCAAGTAAGCGCAACAAATCAAGGCCCGGCAGCCGGTTGGCAGTAGGCCATGTCGTAGCGATATTGAAGACCAGCGGGAGCCCAAACTCAACGACAGAGGAGTCAAGTTTATTTTGAGAAGCGTCAAGCTGTCCACAGAGAGCCACAATTGCCTCCGCCTCAGAGGGATTCAAAGCAACTGACTTTTGGCCCTCGGCCAGGAGCTTGTCATTTAACTCTTGAACCTTCTTTGCTATGACCTTGGTATTTGCAGAACGAATTGAAAGGTACGTCTTTTGTGGTAACACACGTGGACGCTGTTCAGGTGTCGTCAAGCTTGTCGTGGTCGTGGTATCGGGTTGCGCAGTTGCATCTCCCGGTCGGTATCGCCTATCTGAGCCCCAAGCGTCGGCACCCCCTGATTGCGATTGACCAAGCGTGGCACCTTGTGTGTTCTGAGTGATGAAATTCGCGACCTGATCGAGATAGGACATGGGAAGCTCGTTGTCTCCAATGAATTTGGTTGCTGCCTCGTATGGATTCTGGGACACATTGTATGGCAACTTGAGAGGGGGCTTGCCGTCTTCAATGTCGACGTCAAAGACGTAGTCGTAGTCTTGGCCAAGGTACTCGGTTTTTCGGCCGCTACTTCCTGCCGAATCCACCACCGTTCCGACAGCAATCCATTCCTGCGTTGCACTTGACCAGGTATGAGCGGTGACGCTCCCGTTTGGTTCGTGGATCATCTGTACTTGACCATCTTTTGTACCCGCTTTCTCCTTCAAAAACTCCGGGCCCGGCAGTTGCTCTTTGTTGATCTTACCAACCTGCTCTGCTGGGATTGCTGAATCCTTAACAGCTTGTTCAAACTGCTGAACCACCTCGGGGCCAGCCTGACGATCCGAGCTTCGACTGAACACACGCGTGACACGGTCGCTCGCACCGCTGACAATGTCTCCGGTTTCCTGGCACACGGCAACACTCCACACTGATATCGCCGGATGCGTGATGGTTTGCACACATTCCGTGCCCTGCCATATCCTCACTGTACGGTCCTCTCCTGAGCTCACAAGCTCTCCGGAGGGTAGCGCAGCAAGAGAGTACACGAAGCTCTCATGGCCGTGTAAAGAGGCAACTAGATTTCCCTGTATGGTGTAGAGTCGGATCACACCGTCATTGCTGGCCGAGGCGAAATGTGCACCACTGGAATGGGAGTTGGGAAGTTTGCAGAGGGCTCGGACCACGTCGTTTGAGTTCTTAAAACTTCCAATAAGGGCTCCAGAGGTGCGGAAGACGCGGATCATCTGATCAGCACACCCTAACAGACAGTTCAAGTCAGATCGAATACAAACTCTATTTCAAGTTCAGAGAACTTCACGTACCAGTGATGACGGTGTTCTCGTCGTAGGCTAGCACGGCCCAAACGCTTCCCTGGTGGCCCTCGAACACAGTTTCGGCTTCCCATTTACCAGCCCTCCACAAGCGAGCTGTGGAATCCCAGCTGCCACTAACAATGTACTCGCCATTGGGAGATACATCTAGAGCGCAAACATTATGCCCATGACCCAGAAGCATAGCATCGGCATTATCCGAGGACGACTTGCTCGGCTGTCGAGCCTCGATGATTGTGTCCTGTCCACCAGATAGCACTAGACCTTCAGGAAACTCGGCAGTCGGCGGTAGGTATGCAAGGCTGTTAATGAAGGCTTGTCCATGGGCGGCAATGGTGTAGTCGTACGTTGGGGGCAGAGACGAGGTCAACCTCCATAGTCGCACAGTTGCATCACGGGAAGCTGAGAGAATGACATTCTTGTTTGGAAAGGCCACGGCACGAACCTATAGTGAAAGTTGACATGTGAGTATATGAAATTTCATGCGCCCAGCAAGCTGTCCGCTGAAAGGGCGGGGAGAGAAGCAGCAGCACTTACATCATCGCCGTGACCCTCAAGGGAGGCGGAGAGCTTAAAGTCCGGCATCCAAACGGTATGGTCAGACCTGAGAAAGTGTATAGTGATGAAAAGAGAGTGTGTCACACCGTAGTGACCCGGGGCTCAGACTTCCTTCACTTCTAAAGCTGCTGAAGGTCGATGTTTCCCTTTAGTCGTTCTGGGGTTGCCCCCGCGCCTACGCATCATATCACATGATCGGTGGGGCTATGACGAACCTACTAGAAATAGAAAGGGCCCAAAGGGGTACCTCGTGATCTGTAGTTAGAACTAGAGGGTAGACTGTAAAGTGTTCCGACTTCAGTGTTGAGTGTAGTGCAGCTTAGAAGTGGATACATAGTTGTCAATCTATTTTCATACGTTACCTCGACATATATTTCTGAAAGTGAGATCGGTTCTGATCCAGATAACAGCTAGCGTATATACTACAGCGCCGCTTTTAAGAGAAAGAAGAGAGACCCATAAGGGCAAGCTTGAACTATACGAAACGTCATCGAAGCTTTCTCAAAGATCTTGGTCAACTCCCGCGCAAAAATGCGTGCTCGAGAAACCCTGGCAGAAGCCATCTGCTGACGACAGGATACAATCAGCGCGTAGGTGATGGCGTTGAATTATAGGCCGTACTGTGAGACTCTTGCCTATCAGTATCAACTACCCAAATCAAGGGTTTTCCCCCCAGAACTACATAGGCTACTAATGGGGTCCATTTCTGAGGTGGCTCTTGATGATGGCCTCAGGGAAAGCCGGGAGCCGGGACAGGAAAGAGAGGCTATGATGTACAGTTGGAGACCGTTTCAGGAAAACAACAACATGCAGTTTGAGCCTTGCGTAAAGTGAGACCAGCGGATATCGCCTTATGCTTCGGTTTGCTGGTTGTTTCAGATCGGACAGTCTGATCTATCGGTGTAGTACTGTAATCGGACGAGGACGCACAGTTCTGGACAGTAGTGGACAGTGGACACAATAAGCACGTGTCCAGAGCGGATCCAGCCCCAAAGTAGACTAGCGCACATAGCTGAGGTAAGCCACGAGCTGCATGAGGTGACCCGCCAGTCGCGCGATACTGAACAGAGCCCAAAGGAATCGATTGCTCTTTGTGGGCTTTGCAGTATTCCAAAACCTCGGGAAGCTTGTTCCATCGGTGGGCTCTGGTGGTCTGTCGTTCTTGTTCGATCGTCTCCATACCATAGACGGACAGGATACATGACTTGACGACCGTGACGAATCTCTTTATCACTCTCCTTTCACAGATCGAACGAGTTCGAGTTTCTTTGGAGGTTGTACTTGTTTGGATCTTGATTTGCTCGACACTCGTCCTCTTCATTCGAGACTCTGTCCTTTTCGCTGGCCTGCCACCTTGCTCTGATCCATAGCAGACGACTCAAACCGTTAATTCCTGGAGGTTCTCTCGAGCTGTTTGTTTGTAAAAATTTCATACACCAGATCTTTGCATCATGGCAGCCGGTAAGTGTCAAGCTGTAATGTTCTGCATTGTATGCGCGAAATATGACTGACGGTAGCCAGATATACCCAAAGTTGTCCCTCTAACTTGCCACGGGCACTCACGTCCGGTGACCCATTTGAGCTTTTCCTCGACGGTCGAGGATGATCAATTCTACCTTATCTCAGCTTGCAAAGGTAAGCTCGGTTCTACTTCACGCAATCTGGCATGTCACAGTAGACAAAAGCATCAAGTCTGATAAACCCTATCTTTAGACAACAACCCCATGCTCCGGGATGGTATCACGGGTGACTGGTATGTGCTTCTTTCTAGTCCGTTACTTGTCTCTTTGGGTAAGGAAGACATCACTAACAGACTGACCGAGCAAGGATTGGCACATTTCTAGGCCATAAGGGTGCTGTCTGGCAAGCACGACTCTCCAGTGATGCTGCAATTGCCGCCACCGCAGCTGCAGACTTCTCTGCCAAGGTCTGGGACACCTACTCAGGCGAGTGTCTGCACACTCTTCAGCATGCGCACATTGTACGCGCCATTGCTTTCCCCATCCAGGCCAACCCGCAAGTTCTCGCCACCGGCGGTGCTGAGAAGAAATTGCGCATCTTCGACTTGACCCGAGGTGGTACCAGCAGCAACGGGTCCTCGCCTCCGCTGCCAACTCCCAGCGGCAACGGCAGCCCTGTGCAGAGCGGCGCCGATGTGACCAGCTATGAGATTGGTCCTGGTGTTCACGGTGGTACCATCAAGTCTATCGTCTGGAACCAGGATTACAACATTGTTACGACCGCCGCAGAGGATCGTAAGATTCGCTGGTGGGATCTTCGCTCCAGACATCCCGTCAAGGAGTACACCGTTGATGGGCCCATCGGATCCTGCGAGCTGAATAACCTTGCGACGCGGCCAAACGATCCTGGTCTTCTGACTGTCGCTGCCGGAAAGAGCGTCTATCTCTTCGACAGCGTTCAGCCGGGTCGACTTCTTAAAAAAATTGACTTCGGGTACGATGTTGCCAGTGCGGCCGTGAACAGCGACTCTGGCCGTCTGGTGACTGGAAGCGCGAACGATACATGGGCACGAGTCTACGACTTGCACACTAACGAAGAACTGGGTAAGTGGATCCGGGACTTTTCCTTCATAGCACCGCGAGGCCCATCTTGCTCGACTAACGCATGATGAAACACAGATGTGCAAAAAGGACACCATGGCCCCATCTGGTCTGTTAGCTTCTCTCCAGATGGAAAATTGTACGGCACCGGTAGCGAAGACGGCACCGTCAAGCTGTGGAAAGCATGCCGCGAATCCTATGGGCTGTGGCGTTGAATTTCGAAATAAACACTCCCCCGGGACACCAAGAGAGATCCATGTGATTTTGAAGTCGTGACCTGATTGATGTGCCGGGACAGACTTTTATTTCCTTTGGGGTCTGCATGCGCCAGTTGCAGCTGTCGGATTGACTGCCTCACATGGAATATCAGTGTTATCACTACTCTCCGCCCAACAATTGGTTTCACTGTCGAAAAACGCATTGATGAAGGCGAAGGGCAGAAACGACCCCCGTAATAAATAAATAATCTGACCTTACCTTTTCGGTCCTAGCGAGGTGGACAACCTAAGGACACCCATCTCCAGTACCCCTGAAATAACTTTGATAATATCAGCATTAGTTTGCGAATGGAAGCCCGGGGGTTTGTCCTCAGGACCACTTACAGTCTGGTTAAAGTCAAACTCACACATGTACACTATTTGTCTCCAATCCGTACCATATCCACGGTGTGATATCAAGAAGATCCAAATAGTTCTACCAGCAAGCCGCATGATGTATGAGCAGAACATTGGCTGATATTTGGTACGTAATCTTGGAATGCTAGAAATACACGTCTTCCTCACTTTCAGTGGTATCAAGAAGCCAATTTTGTCCGTAAACTTCAAAATCAATGCCGAGAACCGAATATGAGATCAAAAGTGCCAGCCTTCTCTTCACCTCTGCCCACAATGGGACGCCGTATCTACTCAATCATGTCGATGTCGTCGTCTGCAGCTGCAGTTACGACGGGCGCAGCCACAGCGGCGGGAGCAGCAGATTCAGCTTGTTCGGGCTGCTTGTCGGCGGCTTCAGTAGTTGCGTTGTTTCCACCCCAGTAGTCGTCCATTTCCTGGTCCAGCTCTTCTTGCGTCTTGCGGGGGCGACCATCTCGAGCTGTGCGTTCACCACGACCGCGATTGTCTCGGCCATCGCGACCGTCACGTCCATTACGACGACCTCCACCGGCACCACCGGCACCTCCACCGCCACGACGGGGCGAGCGCTGGCGCGAACCGGGCACGTAGCGGTCGATGCCGTCCGGAGCAGGCTTAGAAACGTCGCTGCGACGGCTGCGGCGAGAACCCTCCCCACCAGCTCCTGGGCTCAGACTGCGTGAGCTGCGGCCTGGACGCTCCACACGTTCAAACAAAGTGTTACGGTCAGGGTTTCGCTCACGGCGACCAGGAACCAGGCTTAGACGGATGGGCTGTCCCTTGGCGTTGGCACCGTCGAATTCGCGGATGGACTCATGAGCGTCGCTCAAGCGTTGGTAAGTGACATAGGCGACACCCTCAGAGCGGCCTGCACGGTCGTAGACGAGGGTAAGGTCGATGACAGGTCCAATACGTGTAAAAAGGTCCTGTGATGAAAGGTTAGGATTAATGTTCATTGCTGGTCAATGGGAGGGACAAGCGGCTGACCTCCAGATCGCCTTCGGTAATGTCATAGTGCAGGTTCTCTACACGGACCTTGGTCAGAGCTCGGCCACTGCTGTCGACAATGTTAGTATGTGCAACCTCCTTGACAAGCAATGGCGATACAAATCATACCGGTCAGGGGAGTTTGAACGGCGACGGCGTCCACCACGAGATCCACGTGCTGAGATTGAGTCAGAAGAAGAACAAGGAGGTCATTCTGATTGAGGACAAAGACCTACCATCGCGATCGTCGTCATATTTGTCGTGTACCCAGTCCCTGCAAACAAGAGACCAGTCAGCACTTGAGTATGGATTCCAGGCGAGCCGCCATGAAGAGGGTCACACTAACGAGTTCAGATCCACACGTTCTTGGGAGTAAGGCTATTCCAGTCGATCGAGTGAGGTCAGAGGTTAGCTCCAAGTCATGGTAGAAAGCTGAGGTAACAAGTTGCAATCCAAGTCTCCGCTGGCGGACCCGGATTTTAGACGAAAGCCCAAACTTCTCAACGGCAGAGTGGCATAACGTCGTTCTTGAATGTAGCGCAAGAGAGAATCGAAACAGGAGGAGGAGGGCGGACCTGTCTCATTACAAGTCAGTCAATTGTGTCCCCAGAAATGCGCAGAACAGAAAGTGTGCATCCACGGTCTGGGTTGTTTCTTGGCCTGGATTTGGCGGCCAGGATGGTGAGATACCTTTCTAACGGCATCGCGGTCTCCGCGGCGGCGGTTCTGTGGTGGGTTTCGACGGTTTCCAGAGGGTCGGCTCTGCTTTCGCTGCATAAGTCCAATCCATTAGCGTCTGCTGGGTCAATCGAAATTCGAAGAGACGAAGTGAGTTCCTAACCGATGTGTCTTCCGCGATAATCTCATCTAAGCTGCGGTCCATCGTGACAGATGTCAAGGATTGAGAAACTGAGAGAGGGTGGTCAAGTGAGTGATCAGAGCGGATGTTGTCTGTACTTGTAGAGCTCTGAAATAAAAAAGGTGTTCAAAGTGAGAGTCAGATGTGAAGTTGAGAGCCGATAAAGTGGATCGAATCACTGTTTGGGTCTCCTGGTCAGTGATTGCGGCTCCTTCTCCGGAGCCGTGGGTGCTGGGGTCGTCACGTGATATCACCAGTATCGCGAATTCCGTGCCGTGTAGGCAAGTAATTTTCGAGGCAAGATGCCTAAAGCTCTGTGATGGTGTCCGAACATTTCTGAGATATGCATGTTTCATTGTTTTACTAGTCTGTCGCATGACTCAATCAAGATGGACATGGACCTAGAGGAAGCTGAAAGAGAACTCTGGCTTCAGCTCAGCTAAACCAGGATTGCCAGTCATGGATACCTAGGTAGGTTTGCTAGGCGTTAGACTGATGAAATGATGAGTGGTACAAACTTGATTCAATGGTATCCTAATACGACACGATCCATCCAACCTACTCGTAGAAAAGCACCCATACCCAAATAAAACAAAAGCAACCGCCAAACCCCACAATGCATGCTGGTATTTCAACGGGAATAAACGAGCAGACACCAGTCTGCGATTGAGAATCTTGCCACTCTCCTAGTTGCTATCGTTGTTGTGATAGTGACAAGGAAGTCATCCTCCGGTCAGCGGTATCAAGTCACAAAGTATCCCAAGGGCAGCCCTACATCTTAAGGGATTATTTCTCCCCACCTGTACTCTTTTGTTCCTCGATCATCCGGTTCATGAAACTGATGTAGTCAAACTTGGGCAGATCACGGTCTTCCAATAGATCGGGGCCCTCGTGCGGGGGCATTGTCTTGACCAAATGCTCAATTACTTCATCTGGAATCAAGGAGTGGCGGAGGTCTAGCTCGGTGACATACGGCTATAAAATCAAGTCAGCTGGACGAGCCCTAGGCCAAAAAAGAAGCAGATCTGAGTGGTCTTTGGGACTACTAACCTTTCCGTCGGCAACCTCCTTGAAACTTTGGAACACTTGCTCTGCGGTGTTCTGATCCTCGGTGACGCTGACCATGAATCGAATAAATTGCTCGAAACTCACACCAGCATTTTGAGTCAAACGCTCAGCGCCGCAAACTTCCACATACACCTCATGCATCTCCTGCTCATCATAGACCAGTCCCAGACTGGCCAGCGCCGCGGAAAACTCGAGCTCTTGCAACGTGTTCGAAGAGTCGCGGTCGAAATGGCGGAAGACAGACTCGAATTCTTCCAGCTGAATAGGAGTGAGATTGGTCATATTACGAGCCACCATCTGATTCTCCAAAAAGGCGAGCTTCTTCGAGATACTCGATCTAACAAGACTGAGCTCATATGACAACTCATCAAGCGTGTATGTGGTGAAGTCGTTCTCTTCGATATTGGCCTCGGCACATTGCTCGTCCAGCTCGGCGATTGTGTCGAGGAAGGCATCGAGCGGTGGGAGATTATCATTCAGCCTTTTGACATGATCGAGTTGATCCTCGACCTCTCCATCTAGTCCCGAAATGGCCAGGGAGAGGGTTTTGAGGGTCAGCGCAAAGTCGTTGGCTTTGTCCGCGAAGGATCTCCGGAGCGCATTCTTGATGTCTCGAATAGTCTCGTTGATCAACTGGCTTCGTTGATGTTCGTCTCGTGTGAGACTTTCCCACTCTTGATCACACGCTTGGGTGCTCAATTCTTGTGGTGGCTCGTAAGAGCGCAGGCGATACGTGCCCAGCTTCGTTTTTATATTGCCCAACAGCGCAGCAAGGTCTGACTTTTCGGCGACCCATTGTCGCTTCTCATGACGTTTATAGAGCGAAAACTGATGGGCCTGTTCCTTCACATCCTTGTACGTGCCCTCAAAGGATGAATTCTTCCATGACTCTCTCTGCGCGCGAATCGCTCGCAAGAGTTCCCGCATTCGACGCTCGTACCCTGACTGCATATCCCATGCGCCGTGCATGTTGTTGACGAACTTCTCAACCCGACGACCGGCGTTTTCGACGCGCTCCAGTTGCGAGAAGGCATGGAACCAGTAGGCAATGTAGGTCATCAAGGATCGCTCATCTGGCCGCGGCACATCGCAGACGTCGTCCACGTCCAGCAGGTCCGGGATTCCAATCTCATTGGAAGCGATCTCGAACGCCAGCTTCATGTTTCCGCGATGGTCGTTCTTGTCCAATGCATCGTAGTCGATCAGATCGGGTCGGTGAATATCCAGCAGAGCACAGAATGCCAGACCATCGTTCCAGCTAGTGGAGAAATCGCGGATTTCGACGTCCTCGTAACAAGCCGTCTTGCGTTGGCACCAAAGCAGGAGACCTTCCTTTGCGGTCATGCCCTCTTGATTGATGTCGCTGATGGTGAACCGCAAAATGAGAGTCCAGATGAGACCCAGAATGATCTTACGGTTGCCGTCCACGATATCCTCTGCGCCGATATTGGTCATCTGGATCCGGCGCCCCCGGATGAAGTCCAGACTCTTGTTCACATTTTCGAATTTCTGCACTCGCAGCTTGGGTTTCGAGGCATAACGACCGAGGGATTCATTGCCGAGAATTTCGAGCAGATGGATGAGAATGACCTATATCACCCCGTCAAGGAAAGTAAGACAGGTCAGTGACGGCTCCAGACCGACATACTCCGCTTCCGCCACGGAAGTCGGTCGTCACCGATGCCGCATCAAGGGCACGAAAGCAGTAAGGGTCGAAAGACTTACACCATCCGAGAGATCTTTCACCAGATCTTCGATCGCCAGTAAGCGGGCCTTGAGCTTGTCATTGAGCCTGGCACCTCTGTGAGCGGGACTGCGCCCTTTGACTGGGGGAAGAGCCGACCAGCAGGCAGCGGGGAGAAGAGGGGGAAAGGGGAGCAAGTAGAGCTGATCGAGGGAGGGGATGACAGCCAACGTACCACTTGGTGAAAGTCTTCTGCTGCACATTCACCCACTGCTTCTCGACCGTCAACATTGTTAATTAGGGCCAAGACATGCCCAAGCCGATTGGCGGAGGTGGAAGTAGCAGGGCTTGTGGTCGTGAACAAGGGTGATTTGGAGGAGGAGGAGGAGGAGGAGGGGAATTGTTTTGGTGACCTCCGCGGATCGCCTTTGAGCGGATCACACTAATCGTCAACACGCCGAGAAGTCGCGAACTCCTCGAGGTCACAATGGCCGTCGGGGGGTGTATGGCTCAACAGGAGAGAACGGTGAATGTATTCTCGATCTGGTGTTGTATTGTGGATGAAGGTGCGGATCAAGTGTGACCGGATGCATTTAATCTAATTTTTTTTTCCACTACTCCTCAGCTGCGGGCTGAATGACAAGCCCATTCATAGCTCCGGTGGCTGGAGCGTGAGCGGCTGGCCCCAAGAGTGGCTGGGCGTGGGGTGTTCTTCACGAACGAGAATCTGCGATTAGCGCCCAAATGTGATGCCCTATCTACAGGTGATTGATGAGTTGATCATCACCAGGGACCATGAAGCCGAGATGTCTGATCCTGAGTCACTGGGTGCGATTGTTTACGTACGCGTGAATAGAAAGGCGAGTCAAGCGGCTGCCATATCGTCTAAAGATCTAGTATATCACTAGTTACCCACGTAACCTGCCAACAAGTAGCGGTAGAGCCTTAAACACTCACGTGTAAACATCCTTGTTTGTTCTCGTGAGCGTGTATCCAAACAAGACCACCATCAGTATCAACATCATGACCGAATATGGTAAGTGGCTACAGGGGGGTCATCCATGGGTACCCTCCTGGTTCCTACTGATCGGATTCGGGCCGATCGCATCCCCACGATCCAAAAGCTATTCCCAGTGCCACCGATGGAGGCTTCGGATATATTTGAGTTGAGCCAAGAAAGAAATCACAGGAGGTGTTGCTGGTAGGCCGAGAATCGGGTCAGACAAACATACCCTTCAACCTAGTCATATCCTTAAATCTAAGTTGTTTCGTTTGCACATGTCAAACGCCATGGTACAGACGCAAAAGTGTGTACAGTCGTACACTGTACAGTCGAAGTCATTGCAGTCAAACCCTACCACCCATGTATATCCATATCTGGAAGAGAGGGGTGATGACTAACAAATTCGTGCAGCGAGCTGGGAGCGTCTGAGCAGTACACACACGGGGGCTGTCTTTGGGAGAATGGCAATGATCGAGGGTATGGCGCATGAGAGAGTGGCCTTGGATTGCCGATGACGCCGGTTCCTGAAGTATGAAGACAGACGACAAGCTCATCTTGCAATAGAATGGCAAAGAGTCAGATCAAAGTTCAATTCCAATATGTCTCTAGTGTCCCAAAACAGCACAGCGTGCTTGCACGTATACATCAATGATATCAAATGTCGTGAGAAGATGCCCGACTAGTAGACTACTAGACAGTGGACAGTGGACACAGGCCGAGTCAGGCTACTACTCAGGCCTTCAAGGCTGGCGATGGCGCGATGAAGATGATATCATTTCCATCGGCTTCGGTCTCAGCAGTGCGGCCCCACTTGGCGCCGCCAAACTTCGGAGACAGCGACCTGACCTGAAGAACTCCAGCACGTTCAGTCGCTTGAGAGGAACGATCACACCTTTTGAAGCCAGCCTGACTCACCTTAATGTGCAAGGTTTCTAAAGAGAAAGAAAAGCTTTTCCATTTGCCTTGCTCGTCTCGAGGTTCCCGACTTCTTCTACACTCGACTACCCTCCTCGACTCAGTTCCACATAAGCTATCGCAATGACTTACACCATCACCGACCGTTTGCCCCTCCCCAACTCCGCCGGCCGCATCCCCCGCCTCGGGTTTGGAGTCTACCGCTCACCAGCTTCACAATGTGTGCAATCCGTGCTCAAGGCCCTCCAGGCAGGATACCGCCACATCGACACAGCGCAATTCTATGGCAACGAGAGTGAAGTCGGGGAGGCTCTTCGCACATGCGGCATCCCGCGCGACGAGATCTTTGTGACTACCAAGATCCTTAGCCCCGCCGGCTCCCCCGAGCAGACATACGAGAAGCTCCTAGCGAGCGTGGAGAAGATCGGTGGTACCGACGGCTACGTTGATTTGTTCCTCATTCATAGTCCCAAGTCGGGACCCGCGGGGAGGAAGGAGCTGTGGCAGGCGTTGGAGAAGCTACAGGCGGAGGGGAAGGCTAAGGCGATCGGCGTAAGCAATTACGGGGTCCAGCATATCGAAGAGATGAAACCGTATGCCAAAATCTGGCCGCCTCATGTCAATCAGATTGAGGTAAGCATTTCAGTGTGACATTTCCTTTCCTGCACTTTGCGCGACGACTGAGGGCGCGCGATGAATCTGCCACTCAAAGGATGTGGAAGCTAATGACCTGGCCGTTCCCCCCCCCCCATCCAAACAGCTCCATCCATGGTGTCAGCAGCGCACCATCGACGCATACTGCAAACAACACGGGATCGTCGTTGAAGCGTACTCGCCCATTGTACGAAACTACAAAGCGAATGACCCAACTTTGGTGGAAATCGCGTTGAAATACAATCACTCCACGCAACAGGTGCTCATCCGCTATGCACTGCAAAAGGGCTGGGTGCCTCTCCCCAAGACCGATAACCCCGACCGCATTGTTGCCAATGCAGACGTGTTTGGGTTTGACCTCAGCGCGGAGGATATGGATACGTTGGACTCGCTCGATCAGGGGGAAGCGGGTGCGATTGTGGAGGCCGTGGCCAACGAGTAATGGAGACCGTGTGAGCTAAGGCCCGCGCTTCACAGGGCCGTTTGTATATATCTCAATGAATGACATGAGAGGCATCATCCTACTTATCTCTGTAACAGCTGCTTCCGTTTTTACCATTCGTTGTGTTTCAGTAATCCGGAGGTTCCATCAGGAAAGCGTTGACCGACTGAAGCGTCGATCGTGAGGGATTCACATCGTGCTTGGATGACACGATCCACGCCAGGCGCTGTCGAATGAACTGCTTGCTCATGGAGCGCTTGCTCTGCGAGACGTCGAATGAGCCTAGGTATAGGTTGTTCAAAGTGTGATTAGCTAATTTGCTTTCACTGCCTGGGCAGATCTTGTCATCTGGCGTGATTCAAGGATGGGACAAACACAGAAGGAAACGGCAGTAGAGGTCAATTAACTTACCATCCTCGGCGTAGAACAAGCAAACAATGGCCAATACAACTCCGGCTGAGAGATCTTTCCCAGTCTCACAAGTGACCAAGAGCGTTCGTGAGGAATCACTGCCCAATTGCGCCGCAATAAACTCACGAACCCGGCTCAATGATTTCCGTAGGTCACGACTTCCCAGCTTCGCCGACGCACAACCCAGATTGAGACGTCCTGAATTCCCTTCCGTCGTCCTCGGGTCCCCATGACAGTCAATAACCAGATCATACTGTGTACCGACGTCGACACGGACATCGGTCTGACTGATGTACAGATTGCGTGTCGGCGCAATCAACGTTGCCTGATGGACTGTATTCTGACGCTTGTACTCGGCCACCAAATCTGCAATCACACCGGGCAAGTCTTCTTCGGCCGTCTGTTTGAGAATCTCTCGATTGGCCCAGAAGACAGGCGGCGTAAGTCCGTGCGCCCAGGCCTCGCTGTCATCACCGGCGCCTTGGATATATCCACCTTCGGACATTTCTGCGCCCTGAACGCGTCTGGACGCCGAACATAATACGAGTAAATGAGAGTTGTGATTGGGGAGCAGATTGGGGGGATGAATGTAGGAGCGATTCGCCCAGGCTACTTGCATCGGTTTACCTAGCTGTTGTCGTAGATGAGTAAGGTCGAGTTTGAGGCTCTGTGATGAGAATAGAAAGGTTCAGTCTCAAGTTGCATTGCTGGACATGCCGTCCGTATATTCGAGGGGACATTGTTTCCCTTGCAAAAAGGGTTTCAGGAGGGGAAAAGGCAGGTTACATGGGAGGGGCAGGAGATCCCTGTCAGATATGGGGAGGGAGCGGACGCGGTCTCACAGTCGAGGGACATACCTGTAGCGAATGCACGAAGCCGTCAATTCGGCTTGCAATCTGTGATTCTTCTGATTCTCCGAGGTAGTTGGGAGGAAGATTTACACAGTGATACTCTTCTTGTTCTGGGAACAAGGCCCGGTTGAGAACGGCGCACCATATGGGAACGGTTTTGGAGAGCGCGTCGGGCATTACTGAGTCATGTGCCATCATTAGCATGTGGACACCATTTGCATTCTCGACGAAATCGCGGGCTTACGCTGTTGAGACGAGGTGCTGACAGGCATGGATGACAAGCGAGATTAGCATGCAGTGTACTTACATTTCCCACGGCGAGTTGAATCAACGATTACACATCTGAAAGACGATTAGATCTCAGTTCTCATCTTGAATGTGAGGGTCGACGCGATGGTAGATGACGTGACGAGAGTTGTCCTTTGGGCTCAGACTTCGTGCAGTTCCTGATGATCAGTGAGAGACAGATCGACCCTCAAACACGATCTGATTGAAGTGCTACAGCATCATAGCACTCCACGGGGGTTTACTACAGTGTGCAACTTACCCTCCATATTGATTTGCCAAGGGCAGTAGCTGTAGGTTCAGTCTTCGAAAGCTAAAGTCCCATTGGCCGGTATGACCGTCGGTGCTCTTGAAATACGCACTGCCCACTTTGACCGTTGGATCAATGTACCAACTGCCACAGCGCTCGTTCGCAACGAGGGGCAAGCCGTAGTGGTCGGCTACTTCGCGAACAAACTCGGCATCTGTTTCGATCGATTGCAGCCGGTTGGAGACAGATAGGGCCGAGCGTCGTAGCGAAGCCAGCGTCTGTGATATTGAAGTCTGGGCAGAGGGGAAGTGTAGGGAGTCCAGGGTTGGAAATGCGCCCGAGGATCCCATTGCAGCAAGGACCGCAAATCGGTGGCCCAGGATGTGGTCGGCTTCTTGTTCGCTTTGAGAATTCCAGACGTACTGTCCAGAGGTGGACAAATTTTGATCGGACGTGGCCGCCAACGAATTTGACACGGGCCGTTGGCTAGCTCGAGTCCTTGCTGTACTTGGATGGGATCGCAGTTGGTGATCGTCGAGTAATCCAGATTGCAGTTGCGCATATCAAGCGGGACGGAACGAAATAAGGAAAAGCGAAGACCGGAGTGGAGCTCCAATCGAGTGTCGGCGCCTAAACGGTCAAGTGGAGACAATTGACCACCGGCATAGAATGATAACTAGTTAGTAGTTTGCTAGTTACTAACTTACTGGTCATAAGTTAGAACAATCCCGAGCTGTTTAGTGATGTTGATACAGACAGACTCGGACGACCTTGCGGGCAGACCTAGCTGTCTCGATAGAGTCGATGGAGTAGCACACTGACATCAGAATTTCAAGACTGAACAATTTGTTAAGCTACTCGGCGGTACAATGACGGTCAGTTATTGAACCTCGCGAGGTTTCGCACGAGCTGCGCATCACACAAGACTGGCCCCTGGGTGGTCAAGGCCGGAATCTCATCCTGCGCAAGACAATCAGAAAGCAGTTCGTATCAAGTCTGGATCGTCCAGTTCGGAAGTACACTTCCTTCCCAAAACGGCCTGACTCTTCAACCACTAGTGAATCAGTGGTCGACTGCGATCGGCGATGGACGGGTCGTCGTTGACTCTTCCAGATACGCGTGCTGAAGACCCATACATACGATACCGCTGGGCGCGACGTTTGATCAGACCATCGTCCACAGTGATCCGTACATCCCTGGGCAGTGGGCAGTGGGCACTGGAGTAGCAGACTCGGATGCCTTTTTCCTTCCGGGGAGTTACCTGCCGACACTGGTCATTCGCTGATCGTTCGCATCGCTTGTCATGCCAGATGACGACAGACATCAGGACCATTGCTCCTACCAGCGGTCTTCCGTACGCAATCTCAGTATCTTGATATCGCAGACGCAGTTCCCCGTCTCCCGGTGTCCGAACAGATCAAAACAGATCAACAGACCGCGAGCGATGGTAGCCCGCGCCGCATCTCCGAGGGACAGGGTTTAAAGGATCAGAAGAGAGCGGATCCACAGTTCCACACGTTGCACTGTGTGGCGCTAGTCCCAAAGGGGCACCTCCAACTGTCGACAGCATCTCCACTTTGCGCGACTTCAAAGTTGGTTGGTCAGTGACGACTCCACTCATGCTCCCCCTCAACCCCGGTGCCTTTTCGATGATGCAGGGCAAGTCCTCAATACTTGGAATTCACCCGAGAGGATACATACTGTAGAAGTCTCTGGAACCACTTGCCGCAGACAGTTGAAGCCCACGCCCAAGAAAAAGAACCACAGCCCCTCCAGTCTAGCCCCTTGCCCGGCAGCTTCGCGCGGTATGGCAGCGTCATTTATTGTTCCGGGGGTGAAGAGGCGGAGACAGAGCGCGGCGGCGCCTGCCGGTTTTCGTTTGATCGGATCGTGGTCCAGTCTTTCAAATAGCAACCGACTTCCCCCATCTTGTTTACATCTTGACTTCTGCCCCTCTCTTCATCTGACACGCCCGTCTTGTTCTCCGCTTCCTCGATTCTTAAATTTCAGTGGATCAACGCAAATCCCCTTGGTCCATTCGCAAGTTGTGCACTTGGTCCTATCTTACCTACAACGCTTCAAGCTCCACGATTCCGTGTGCGGTCCCAGCATCTTCCCCGCTGCTGCTACTTCTCGTGAGATTCTCGACTACCCCGCGGTCTGCACGGCGTTTGTGAACCAAACTACCACACGCACAACTCAACCATCATGCCTAAGGTATGTCCGTTCTACATTGCAACAGTCCTTCAGTTATGCTGGCATGATTGCCCTCTAACCGTATCCTTGACAGATTACTGAAATCTTCTTCGACTGCGACAACACCCTGGTGTTGTCGGAGGTGCTCGCTTTTGAAGCATGCGCCGATCTTGCCAATGAGATCTTGGAGAGCCGTGGTATCTCGGATCGCTACACGGGCGAGCAGTTGATCAAGGATTTCGTCGGTCAAAACTTCCGCGGAATGATGATTTCCCTGCAGGCCAAGTACAAGTTCGAGATGGAACAGGATGAATTGGAGATGTACGTCAAAAAGGAGGAAGACAAGGTGATTGCCAAGCTGGAGGCCAAGGCCAACCCCTGTGTGGGCGCCAACGAGCAACTGGAGAAGCTCGCCGCCGAGAAGAAATACCATATGGCCGTGGTGTCTTCCTCCGCGCTCCGCCGTGTGGTGGCTTCGATCAAGAAGGTGGGCCAGGACAAGTACTTTGACAAGGACATGGTCTTCAGTGCGGCCACTTCGTTGGAGAAGCCCACCTCGAAGCCCGACCCTGCCATCTATCTGCATGCCTTGAAGGTGTGTGGCAAGACCGCCTCCGAGACCGTCACCGTGGAGGACAGCAAGTCTGGCGCCCTGTCGGCCATCCGCGCTGGCATCCCTACCATTGGCTACGTTGGCAGCTATCCTCCCGAGGAGCAGTCCGAAATGGCCACTCGTCTCAAGGACCTTGGCGTGAAGATCATCATGAAGGATTGGTCGGAGTTCCCTAAGTGCTTGGAGTTTCTTGAAAATGGCCCCATCGAGACGCAGTCCAGTCTGTAACAGGCCCTGGGTTTCTCTCGTTCCTTTGGACCTTCACACACGGTTCCGCCGTTTCAACTTTTAATGAATATCCCCCGTTTACGACATTCTCATGCTAGCAAGCAATCGATGGTTTAACAACCTTGCTCTTTGACCTTTTGCCTTTCTCAACACATAGACAATAGCGAGAACGGCCTTTTCGTTGGTGTCTCTAATCACAAAATTTTACTTCTCAAGACGTCTAATGGGTAGAGCTGTATGCAAATACGATCCTCCCGCCGTTGTTGCTGAGCTTTTTCATATCATACTTGCTTCAGTTGGAAGGGTCTATTCTGGTAGCCTCCTGTCGTTGAGTTGTCAGATTTCAACTCGGTGGATGCAAATGGCGCAAAGAGAAAAACAAGTCACGTAGATGCAACAACTCCTGTGAATCCGACAGCCCAATTCAGCCCGGAGCAAGCTGAGATCTGCTCGATTAGATGAACCACCCCTAGCCACTCTCGACACCAAGTCAATAGGAAAGGGCGCTTCCGACTTCACGAAAACTGTTCTTATTCGGCGTCAAGCCCGATCTTGATTACACGCCATATGGGGGGGGGGGGGGGGGGGGGGGGGGGTGAGAACTAGGGATCTAGCCAGAGGGAGCCTCCCTGTAGCTGTATTGGACCCTCACCGGGCTCGTCAGGCGCAGAATGAGGGATGTGTGCCGATCCCGATTGTTGACCATGTTTCACTCCACAAGAGTGACTTCATCATCATAACCATAACAAGCCATTGTAAAACTACATATAGGATAAGACTAGCCGAATTGACAGGTGCAGAAGCTTGTACAGTGCAACACTGCAGTTCCCAAGCACGCTCCATCTGGTAGAAGAATCCATTCCATTTATTAGTAGGACTATGTACCTCTATCTGCCGGGCAGGTCGGGCGTGATCAGGTGAGCGCCTCGCCCCACAGTGCCTCCAGCGGGTGGTAGGCTGGCAGCGACTTCCAGGAAGCAGCGATCGAAAGCTGGCTGCCTGCAACCTACTAACGACCCCTCCCTCTTTCATTGTAGGTGTGCTTCTCGAGAGAGTCCTATCATTTCAAGGCATATGTCCGACTTGACTATCCGTTGAACAAGAAGAAGACATCATCATCGTGTAGGACTTACTTCGCTCCGGCAATCCTGACTGACATCGTACATGATTCGGGTAGAGTGCGCAACTATGTCAGGCTCCTCTCACACCAAGTCTAAGCACGTATCTCAAGAGCCATTGGTACGTCGAGAAATTTCGAGACAGTATTGTTCGGTTGGCATGTTGAGCAAATACAAGAGATCTGGACCGTGGCACTTGCTCATTGAATCTGTTTTCATCATCTTTGCTTGGTGAACAAGTCTGACATGAGATCCTAACCGCAGGCCAATGCTGATGCGCGATGGACTCGTCTGTTAAAAACGACATACACTGATCCTTTGGGGAAGGAGCGTACTTGGGAGTCAGCGGAACGTCAGGCAAGTGTTTCTCAATTTCTCAATGGTCAAATTGAATTGATCGGCTGTATTTCCTGGGCGCTTTGCTTGCTGCCCGACATTGTATCTATCCCTGCGATTCCACAAGCCGATGTTGTATCATCAGCACGAGGTGGATGATCCTTGCCGGCGCTACCCAGCCCTTGGGATACGAGATCGCTGCCATTATTCATTCGCCGTATTTGAACCGGAGTCGAAGTATGGACTAACATTTCACGATCTAGACTCGGCCCGCCAACTGTGAGATCGATGGAGTCGGCATTGTCACGATTCTGAACAAGCCCTCAGGACCAGAACTGCTTCTTCAAAAGCAGTATCGTCCCCCTATCGACCAAGTGGTGATTGAGGTTCCTGCTGGTCTCATTGACGCTGGTGAGACTCCCGAGCAATGTGCCGTTCGCGAACTCAAGGAGGAAACCGGCTACGTAGGCGAGGCGGAGCTCACGAGCCCCGTCATGTTCAATGGTAAGGCGCCATCTCCATCAAGATCAAAGATTTTCCGTATCGGCGCTTCCCTTTGTTTCTCTCAAGTATTGGCTGACCACACACGAACATATTCAGATCCGGGATTCTGCAACACGAATCTCAAAATGGTTCACGTTCGCGTGGATATGACTCTGGCCGAGAATCAAAATCCAAAGCCTGAGCTCGAAGAGAATGAGTTCATCGAATGTTTCTCCCTGCCTCTGGCTACCCTTTACGATGAGCTAAAGAAGCTGGAGAGACAAGGCTTTGCTATCGATGCCCGGGTTGGAACTCTTGCCGAGGGTATGGAACTGCAAAAGAAATGGAAGCTCTGAGCTTGACATGCACCTACGTCAAGGAAAGGATGGGGAGATGGTGCTCTACCACACCCACCCCTGGGTTGATATGTGATTTACACTCTGTACCTGGGCCACAGTTTCTTTGTGGAACTCCCGAGTGAATAAGGGCGAGAATGCGATTAGTAGTAGCATCGTCTAAATCCTCCCCGCGTCCTTCAACCCTCTATAAAGCGCCCATGCAGCCAACGTCTTGCTATCGCGAAGTCCTTCTTTCCACAAATCTTCCAGCGGAACCACCTTCAAAGTAATCTTCTCCCCGTGCTCTCTCAACCCAGTAAGCTTGCCCTGCAATTTCTCAATCTCCTCGCGAGGCATTCGCTTCTCACACAAGAAAATCGGAATAAACTCATCACTACCCCCAGCCGAGGGATACATTGCCTTTTGCAGCGGCTCATCTCCGGATGAAGTTGCAGAGATCTCCGCGGCTAGGGCTGTCATGTCCACCAACTCGTCTTGCTTGACTTTCAATCCCGTCTCTTCTTCAATCTCTTTCGCTGCACCTCCCGCAAATGTTCCACTGTCATCTAGCATTCCTGCTGGAATCTCGGTAAATGTCAGAGAACCAGCCGGAATCCGGGCCTGGACAGTCAACAAGGCCATTTTGCCTTTTTCCTCTGACGGAGAAAGATCATCAGGTTGGATGATAAGCTACCGTGCATCCTAATTAGCCACAGTCCGAGGGAGGAGGAGGGAGAGGGGGGGGGGAGAAGATCAAGAATGGAGTCAAAAAAGAAACGTACCAACATGCTAACACTACCTCCTCGTAAAAACACACTCCCGGGTAACTTCTCCCCACTCCCATTCGACACCTCGGCCTTCATCTTGACAAAGCCCAATCGACCTCCACCGAACCGATCGACCGCCTGGATTTCGATCTGGCGCAAATGGTATGGATCCTCGTGGAACGGATGCGACGCGTCGGACTGCCGCGATAGCGAGGTCTGCAGCGTAGATAGCCATGTTTTGAATGCAGGGAAGGAATTGAGTTCTGTTTGTGAGAGATCCACGTCACATTTCACCTGGACATGTGATTCTGGTAGAGTGAATTTTGGGGTGGACATGCTGGTGGGAGTGCGGAGGTTGGTTCGATGAATACTCCCGGAGAGTGTGTCTAGATTTCGGACCCTGGGGTAAGAGGAAGATGCGAGATGCTGGGCTTTAGAGGTTCGATTTAACCGCATATACATGAGTGAGAAGACTGTCACTCTAGGAAAATCAAATATGCGTTAGATATAAGGTCTTGAAGATGATGCCGGGGCCGGCCAGGGAAAACAGGCGGGAATGACGTCTTGGGCCGGGACTGTGGGGCACCGATCTTCAGGCGCTCACTACAGTCGAGCTGATAGGTAACAAGAACAGAGTCGGATCGATCCAATTGAATTGATATACAGTCTGAATCTTGTTGTGGACCACAGGGAGGGAACATTTCTCCCGCCTGCGATGACAAGGAGCATGAGCCAAACATTGATCGACGAAACCCATGTAAAATATGCTCGGTTGTACCGAATTGATGGGTAGACTTGGGGAGTATAAACCGCAGTATCTCGGGATCTCGGGCTTAAAATACGTACGCTCGCAGCCTCCTTGCCATATGCTTCTAGCAGCTCAATCACTGCCTCTAGCGACGTGACCGACAGTCCCTCGACCAGCTTGAGGCTCCCGCTCATTAACCCTTTCTTCTTCAGAGCCGTCCATAGAGGGTTCAGGATCAGGCTTTTCGCGCCGACATGTCTTGCCCGACTGTCCCTGTGGTGATCGCCGAGCTCCCATTCGGAGTTTTCGACGTAGGAAGACATTCCTGCGCCGGCAAAGAGCTCAGCTACTCGGTTGGCGGGATCTTGGCCGTTCTCGTCATGAACTTGATAGATGCCAAGCCAGGCCAAGTGATAAGGGCAGAATATCTTCCAACTTCCAGACTCTTTCTCTCGGACTTTGATCTTGTCGGAAACGGGTGGGATTCTCTCTAGAGACGAGGTAGCGTCAAAACTACGTCCACGTAGCTCTAGGACTCCTGGTAGAGATAGTAAGTTATGGAAGTATGAGCTCCTTATGAAGTGGGAGTGCTGTTGTTACCATTTGTACCATCACATCATCCTCCAATCAATATTGGGCTAAGCCAGAAAGTGTTGAGTGAGCCGGCTACGTTCAGTCGTTGGCATGGCATACTTTCAATTCAGTCGTGTTTTCATGGTTCTGTGACCAGCCCTCGTGGCTCTGGCAAAGGGATATGACCCAAGGAGACCGGCGATCCCAGAAAAATCGATCTGAATCTAACACGCTACCTTTTTCGTAAATTCGACCAAAAAAAAAAAAAAAAAAAAAAAAAACAAATGCACCGTGGTACCCTAGTAGTGATATAAAACACGCCGAATTTCATGGCAAGCGCTCTGACAGGTTGACCAAGAACGTTGTTGTATTCGATGAGAGATCCCAAAGCCTGAAGTCGATTTCTGGGAACAAAGGTGTAGTGTGGAGGTCTCACCGGTGATTTCGAGCAACTACATACTACAGATATAGTTTAGTTATGGGTTCTACACTACATAGTTACATACTCATCAACTAGTGACTGTAAATGATGGGCAAGAGTCGACCACTCGATCGGTTCGAGTAAATGGCCAACCCCCTCGACAGGTCACTGGAGGCCAGGCCGCGGGTGGTGGATTAAGTCGTCCACGCAGTCCTCGATCCCAACTCTCCCGGGTATGGCTACCTCAGGTGGGACTTTGTAGAGCGAGACGTGGTCGGAGATTTCAAGCCTGTTAGAGAGAGAAACATGGGTAGATTGATCGTGCAGCAAATGTATGGCCTCGCAAGATGCTCCTTCTGATCTGCGGGCGGGCGATGGAGTCTGTCCCAGTCACCTGTCCTCTGCAGACCACACGATTGGGATGCGGAGGAAGGTGGAGAGTTTACCTTTTGTCCATCAACCATGCCGCATCTTGAGCTGGTCTCATCTGCATCTGGATGGGCTGAAGCACAAAGAATCACCATGATTCCGCCCGACGGCCAGCGACTGTACTCCGGAACGCTTTCACCGTGGGAGCAACCCTTGAAAAGGCCCTGTCACGGCGGAAAGGGTTGCAACTTGCGTCGCAGGGGCCACAAGAAGGCAACCTGGGGGAGTCGGCCATTGCCGCGCTCATCCCAGCACCGACATGAAGGACGAGGCAACAATCCATCATGATAAATACCCGTCCCACCGCCGCGTCGTTGGTTGACTTCACTCGATCCATCATTTTTTTTCGGCGTCCGTGTCGCTTTCGCTTTTCGCGACACCTGCCCCCCCCCCTCCAGCCCTCCACTCCCTTGCCGGCCGCTCAAGGCTTGCGGGCATGGGTGTCTAGATGTGGGCTTGATAGAACGCCTTCAATCCCGTGAGTTCCTGACCAGAGATACCCTCCATCTCCTTCCTCTCACCCCTTCGCCTGCATGACGGGCTACTGCACCCGCATGGGTGCTGCATATGTCCATCGATGAGTTGCCTCGAGAGTCGCTGCGGAGGATTGATTGATACGATCGTGCGTCGGTATAAAGCCCCGTCGATCGCTCAACAGGGTGCAATCTGCGATCCACCCGCCAGAGGAGAGCACACTCAGCGCAGGAGTCAGTCCCACAACCCACCGTCTGGGGCTGGTTCGTCTCGGCCCGAGTGGGTTTCACCCGCCACTCAATGGTCTCTCGGGCATCAATCGGGATTCAGGAAAACATCCCTGACGTTGAACGCAAGATTCTTGTATCCTTGTGATGCTATTCTGTGCCTGTGCAGTCTTCAATCATCCGGGGAACGTCTTTCTGCCTCGCAAGATCACGGAAGCTGACCGAAGACACTCCATAGTTCCTGAATGGCCATAACCATTCTCAGCAAACGATTCAAATTTGTATACCATTGAGAATGAATCCCTCACCAATGGGTAGCGGATCCTGCAGCCGTGGGGTGCATCCTCAACAACGTGACATGAACAGATTCTCGCCATACGGGTTTTCCCTCAGGTTGGTGCTCGTTCCAAGAGTGGGAAAAAAAAACCGATTTCTTTTCCCCTTCACTAACGACTCAATCAGACCTCACGCACGCCGGCGTCATGCAGACGAGGGTCCTCATAATTCATCTACGAGCTCGAGGAATCATTTGTCCTCCTCTGTTCCACTGTATAAACCTTGTTCAGCGGGTAACAACGTGGAGGACGTCCCGAGTCAAGCAAGGGATCACTCATCACCAGCCGTGTCCAACAACAAACCAAGTCGGATGGATACTACGTTCAAACGCGATGCTACCCCTCGGAAATTCAGGGGACGAGGAAGCAGGCAACTGAGTCCCAACTTGAACCTCATTGCACCACTGACAAGTGCCGGCACCGGGGTCGCCTCCTGGTCTTTACAAAGAAAGCCGTCGGACTCAACGCCCGAATCAAACTGTCAGCCCACGTGCGAGAAGCCATCGGCCCAAAAGCAGACAAATCAATCCATCACCCGCCCCTTGGTGACAATGGTCGAAGTCGCCATTCCAGCTTACGAACTGAAAGGCGCTACTACTACAGTAGACGACCCGAGTAACCACAACACCGACAAGATGGAACTTGACGCGTCCCACCCCGAAGAGCCAGTGGTGGCGGAAAATCAGGATTGTCGCAATGAGACAACCCAATCAGCAGCCACAGGGATGATCCCGTCGAGCCCGGTGCCGGAGCCATGCAGTTGTGACGAGGTTGACATCTTCAAACAACCCGAGACGAACACCATCACAGGGAACCAACTGGTCGCCGAGGTACGCACAATCTATACCGGCCTCGTGATGGTTGAAAAGAAATGTTGCCAAGTCGATAAGCAGCAAAGCGAGGTGGATAGCGAATTGACCGCCACTCAGTGGCAGGCAATCATATCCTTGCATCGCACGCTGCTGAATGAGCATCACGATTTCTTCCTCGCATCTCAACACCCTTCTGCGAGCGCCTCACTGAAAGATCTCCCTGAAAAACATAACATGCCCGTCCGCATGTGGAAACATGGCATAATGGGCCTCTTGGAAGTGTTTCGGCTGCGACTGCCGGATTCCAATGAGTTCATGCTGGACTTCTTCTACATGGCCTTTTCCATGTTAACGTTGTTCTTGGAGAGTGTGCCGAGGTTTCGTCAATTTTGGATTGAATGCCTTGGTAAGCTGGCCGAATATCAGATCACTGTGAAGACCTCGGACATAAGCGGGCAAAGACACTGGGCCAATGTCGGACGAGACTGGTATATTCGAGGCGCAACCAATTGTCCCGCGAATGGACGACATCACCGTGGCCTGGCCACTTTGTTGCATCCCAAACTATCGCCCTCTGCAGGATCACAGTCTTCTCTAGGACTCCTGCATCAGTTTTATCATTACACGAAAGCACTGAGCGCTCTTGACTCTTGTCAAAGTGTGCGTGAAGACCTCAGTCTGTTACTCAAGCACTTCAAATATGCTACAACAGCGCATAGGCCTGATCTGACCACTGCCCTGTTGACCGTTCATTACACCCTTTATCGGAAAGGGCCAAAACATGATTTCAATAACAGGATGAATGATTTCTTCGAGGTTCTGAAACCGTTCTTGGGAATCAAAGCCTGGCCGCATGAGATGGGATCACATCTCATGTCCTGTAACTTTGCGTCTGTTCTCGGGTATGGGGATACCAAAAGTCTGTTTGCTAGAGAGTTTGAGCGACTCGGGAAATATTGCTCAGTCTCATGTGTGACGACACACGCTGTAGTGCTGTGGGAAGAATTGGACAATCGGATATCAACGGACGACACACATACTGAGGAGACAACAGCAGCCGGAATGGCTGACAGATGCTCGCCGACGCTGTTGAATGCCGCCAAATTTTCATTTCAGACTCTATCGTTCCTGTTGCGACGGGACAGATATAATTTTTCCGCGTGGTCCGAAGTACATGTATCCTTGGTATTCATCTGGGCCCTCGCTCTTTGTCCGTTTGGCATGCGATGGGTTGAAAAGATGATCCCATGGCGAGAGCTTGTGCGCTTTCTCAACCATCTCGCCGATGACCCGCCGGATCACTGTGAGATCGATCCATCCGAGACTCCCTGGATAGCGGGAAAACCGTATGAGTACCTTCCGGAAGACTTCATCATCGGTGGGCAGACATGGGCAGGGCTTTATTATCCCACGGGCTTCTTCGAAGCCGCTTCGTTGATAGACGAGGAAGACCTCTTGCCGACCTGGCGTCAAAAGTGCCTTCGTTGGCACCGATGTCTGTGGCTTGGTCACCGAATCGCACAGGTAAGCTACACGGTGTCTTTTTCTTGCTAATCGTCTTCTTCGACGACTTGCATCTTGTCTCCACTACCCCAATTACCCTGTCATGTATGAGAGTTTACCTGCATTATGATTCTGACTCAAACGCAGCTTGAACGCTGGATTATATACGACAGTGACGAAAACAAATTTGTCACGACATGCCTCGTGAATGGTCTGGAGTTTGAGAGGATGGGTGGTAGCCTGATGGAAGTGTGAAACAAGATTTCTCCTTCGAATTGGACCGCGTGAAGGAGCAACGGATGACAAGTTCCTCCACGACGAGAACACACCAAGGAGGGCAACTGACTTGACGGAAAATGATTCCACGGCAGAAGAAAGCCATGATCAAGCGAAGTGGTATGCCACTTGATCTTTGAGGTCCTTGGCGCTCGACTCTTCCCGGAGTGCGAGTGCAAGAGGATCTTTTGGTGAGCGAGATCATCAATTCTGTCATGAATATCAATCGGGCTCGATCGCCTGGCTCTACGCAGAGGCCTCACAGAGTCTTTCTTTATGCGCTGGGCATTGTCATGATTGACGTGTTGAAAACGTGCTCTTGACGGCGATCTGGGGCCAATCTTGGGGCCCGAAACTCATCTCAAGTAAGGTCGCCGAAGTTGCGAATGTTGGCATGAGCCTCCAATTGGCCGCCCGCGTGAATGCCTGTTGTATCTTTATGATCATTCGCGACCAAGATGACATGACTTTGATAAGTACGCGACGGGACTCCTCAATTCTTCGTGTCTCGTCATGCTCAAGTTGAACTTTCAGTCCACATGGAAATCAAAGTGTCGACGAGATTTTGCCAGCCACATCCTTGGTGTCCTTGTGCAATTCGCACCATTGGGAAATCGATAACCAGCAATTTGATCGGTCCCATACGAGTTTGAAAATGGTGAGTTTATACTTTTGGGGCTGTTGGATCATGTCCGGAAGAGACCCTATTGCTGTATGTTAGATCATCGCACATGGCTTAGCAATGTGTCGAGGTGGATGTATGACGAGACGAGACTGCGCGCGAGTGCTTCGTCCGGTCAAAGTAGCACCTGCACATTGACAAGATACACCACTCCCATAGGAATGATCGATGACACGAATGAGCAGCAGAGCCAATGACTGGATTCCTACTCTGTATTCATTTCTTGACGAACTTGAGCCAAAAAAAAAAACAAAAAGAAATGAACTATATCGCTCACAGCAAATCCAGCAAATAAGAAGGATCCCAGCGAGCATGAGCGTCCAGTCTGGAAAGCATACCGAACCCGGCGGTCGGTAGTTCTCCACTTAACCAAAAGCTTCCGCGCCTTTCACCCGCGTCCGATAGGTAAAAAGGCCAAGCTGGCGATTGCGAACGCATCTCCGGAATTATTGACGTCCCCATACTAATCATTCCGAGCTGCCAGGTGCTCCTCCACTTTGGTTTCCCCTCTCCGCCGACAATCAGTATCCCCCCCCCCCTCTCTTCGTGTCTCCCTTTCTCTCGTCTTTCTCTCTCCCTGATACACTCCCTCTTCACCCCCTTCCGAATGGAGCGCTTCGAAGACTACCGATGATCAATCGCATGTGTTTACTTTGAACACAAGACTTATATGGCTGGCCGAGACACTGCCAATCGTACTACTTGGGCTTTGATTCGGGGTCTCCCCCTTGGGCGCATTTCCTTCAATTAGCCGGTACCTCGAGACTCAAAGGGCCATGTTGGACACAATGGTCCAAACATGGACCGGCGTTTGCCGTGAGTGCCTCACAGCCGTGTCCAGTGTCCCGGCTACTATCCTGTTCGGCTCAATTGGAGCGACAATGGTAGGATTGTTTATATTGGTAAGTTGCCCCATTGGGAACGCGCTGCGTCCAGACGCTTGCGCGAGATCAGCGCCAGAATCACTCAAATCATTGAACGTATGCAATTTAACATTGAACTTCAACCACCCCAGGCCTTCTCCTTCCTCTGTCTGGTCGCCCCTACACCCCGAAGTCCTTTACCGGAAGAAAAGAAGTACAGAACCCTCTCCCAAAACGGCGACGTCACCAAGCCTGAAACACTCCCATGCTGGCTCGAAAAGTTGGACTCGGCAAAGAATGCCGCGGGGCGCACGGCTATCGAGCCCGCGGAACTGTTCATGTCCGTCGTCGTACCGGCCTATAATGAAGAGAAGCGACTCGCGGGTATGCTGGAAGAAGCAGTCAACTACCTCGAGCGCACATACGGAACTCTTCAAAGCAGCTCGAGTCATGAGATGGAGAACAATGGAGTTTCCACTCGCTCGATGCGCAAACGCAACCCAGCTCCGGCTGATCAGAATGTGAACGGTAATCACGAGTGTGCTGGATCCGACCGCGGATGGGAAGTCATTATTGTATCCGACGGATCCACTGATCGAACTGAAGAGGTCGCATTCTCCTTCACCCGGGACCACCAGATTTCCGAGCATCCCAAGGGCTACGCAGGCCCGTGGACGCCAAAGATTCAAGAAGGTGTGCACATTCCGCCTGGGACAATCCGGGTGGTCAACTTGACGCACAACCGGGGCAAGGGAGGCGCTGTGACACATGGAATGCGCCATGTCCGTGGTGAATACGTGGTCTTTGCCGATGCCGATGGAGCGAGTAAATTTGAGGATCTGGGGAAACTGGTCGCCGCTTGCCGGGAGGTCGAGGACGATCGAGGGCGGGGCGTCGCAGTTGGATCGCGAGCGCATATGGTCGGCAGTGAGGCCGTTGTCAAGGTCAGTTGAATTGCAGCGAAGTCGGTCGCAGAATCTTGTTCGCCATTGGCTCTTAGGTGATCGTGATACTAATGGGCTTCGACTCGACAGAGATCCAAGCTACGAAACTTCTTGATGCATTCATTCCACCTGATCCTTTGGTTGATGACACCGCCCAAGACGGCACCCGTCAAGGACACACAGTGCGGATTCAAGCTTTTCTCGCGTCGCTCACTACCCTTCATTGTTCCTTACATGCACTCCGAGGGCTGGATCTTTGACGTGGAGATGCTCATGCTGGCCGAGTTTGCGCGGATTCCTGTGGTCGAGGTCCCCATAGGATGGCGCGAGGTTGGCGGGAGTAAGTTGAATGTCATCCGGGACAGTATTGGCATGGCTTGGGGATTGGCCATTCTGCGGGCAGCGTGGTCGCTGGGGGTTTACCGGCAGCGATGAACGTGATATTGAGACCGGATCGGAATACGGGCCACAAATGAAATTGCTACTGTAAAACATTCTCTCTCTCTCTCTGCGTAGAGTTGAGCCACATATTCACATGCTGCTTTGTTGCTGCAGTTGCATACCAAGATAGTTATTCCACAACGATGCTATGCGTACTGAACGTGAGCACTCGGCCTCGACGTGAATCCCCTTGCCGAGTGTCAGCATCATAAGAAACAACATCTGATCTTCGTGAAGAACTCGGCATTCTCGTCAATGCAGTCGATCTCACTTGCTCTCTCAGATTGCTGGTCAGGGGGTGAGTATGGAGCGTTGGTCGAAGTGTATACTTCTTCCGTTCTTCCTTCGTGACCCAGCGGACCAATCCGGCGCGATGACCAACACACCTGCGCAAAGGAGAGGCCGGGAAATGACATCACGCGGCTTATCTTATCGAGCAGCTCCATCGCTGGACGAGAAGAGCCGTCAAGGACCGGAGTGGGCTCTCATCTCAACAGTGCGCACTGCCAACTGAGTCTGACTGCTCTGGAACAACCCTCTGTCCCAGCACAATCCCAAGCTTGGGAAATTTCATACTTGTTCAAACCCACCCCCGCGCGCTCCTCCTCGTGATCCAGTCCTCGCCCCGACATCCCAATAACCACAATGGCATTCGCACTCTTCTCCCCTCCCTCTACGATCCTCCGTCTCGGACTAGGCCTCGGCATCGGCCTCTCCGCCGCCACGCTCTATCCCCAATCCCCCTTCCGCGCCGCACCGCTCCGATGCGACTGGCCCTCGTCCGGCTCCGGATCTGCCTCTCGACCGACCGCCGCCGAGATCAATTTCACCGGACGATCGTCTTCCTCGACGGAGGCCGGGATCGCGACACAGGCGAAGAACGCCCTCCTCACCCCGGAGAACATGCGCCAGATCAGTTTGGGAAGTGTGTTGGGCTTGGTTGCCGGCGTGGGGTTGAGGGCGTTTTCAAAGGTGTTGGTTGTGGTTCTGGGCATGGGGGTCGTGCTTGTCGAGGTTAGTTGATTCGTTGGCTTTCTTTCCCCGGTGGACTTGACGAGTCCCGCGCGGGTTGCGTGGTCTTGTTTGGCGGGACAAAGGATGGATCTTGAATGCTGACTGTTTGGACTTGCTATGTTACTAGTGGGCGGCGTCCAAGGGTTATAATATCGTTCCTTTGGAGCGAGTGACGGGGTTCATTAAGAATACCAATGTGCGCCGTATGGTCAATGAAAATCGGCCATTCAAGATTAGCTTTGGAGCTATGATGGCCATGGCTGCGTTTGCGCAGTTTTAGATCAGAGAGAGAGATTGAGAGAGAGAGAGAGAGAGAGACAGAGAGAGAGAGAGAGAGAGAGAGAAAGAGAGCCCGTGTGGGAGACTTCAGAATGGATGGGTTAGACTTTCGCAACGAGGCGCGGTTGCGTTAACTGTAAAGAGTGCAGATTCCAGATTGTTGTGGCATCAATAATCAATACACATCCAGTTCGGCTCCAGCTCCGCTGTACGGCCAGGTTTATTAAATGTGAAGATATCTTACTCTGTGTCAAGTATGAGACTACGTGCAAGGAACCCTTCGGTATATACGTTACCACATCAGCAAGGTAGATATGCTTTCACGACCCGCGACGTTGGTCCAGTTCCTATTCAGTTGCATATGAAAATAAGCACGGATCAAATGGGTATCATAATTCTATCCCAGCGACTCCTTGCGGCATACGCTATATGAATATAGACACGGCTCTTTCAAGACCGAAGCCCTGCGATTCTCTAAGCCAACACCAAGTCCTCCAAAACACCTTCCATTTCCTCACGGGACAAGGGCACACCCAGAATCTCCATCCCACTGGGATCCATCCGCGAAGTGATCATCTGATGGTCGTGGAATTCCTTCAACAAGGTGCGGAACATCATCTCCGAAGACGCGATGAATTCCTCCGTGGCCTTTTGGTAAAGCAGTCGGAACTCGACGCCATTGTCTTCACCGGGTCGAACCCCGCCATCTACTCCCGCAGCCGCTTCATCGTCGGACTGATGACCATCGTCCATGACGGTGAGAACCTCGGTCAACAAGAGGCGGTACAGGTTTCGCGCGTTCTCCGGCAAACTCTTCAATACGAATCCCACGCCTTCTTTGCCGCCCACTCGTTGACCCTTGCGGCCTAGGAGAGCGTGAACCTCTTCGACCACATTCGTCTCCGCGGTGAAGGAGGTGAAGGTCGTGCTGTCGTGGAACACGAGGTTGAACTGATCCCGGAGGCTGATGTCCCACATTGTGGCGAAATTGGGCGTGTCGGCAGTGAGCAGGAGTCGCACGCGAGGCGTGGCCGCCAATCGAGCCAGCAGAGCTTGATTGACGGCGCGGCGTAACGGCGGGGCATCGACCGAGTTGATAAGAACCGTGATGGGTTCTTCATCTGCGGGTCGAGCCTTGAGCGCAGACTGAAGCAGCTCTAGCACCTCGGTGGGTTGGGCGCCGAGTTTGGACGGCAACTCCTCGCCCAAGATGGCGGTGGCAATCGTCGCAAAGATTGACCGAATGGAGATCGCTGGAGTGTATCCATTGACGATAATGATGGGCGGGAATTTTCCCGCGACGGATCGCTTCTGATAAAGCCAATCGGCAAAGTCGTGGACGAGTCGTCGTTTCGAGCCATAGCCGAACAAGCAAATGTTGAATCCCTCTTCGAATTCAAACAACCATTGTGGGAATGACCGGCGGTGAATGGAGAGCAGGTATTCCTTCTCTTGCTGGCACGGATCCGTATATTTGGCGATTTTTTCAAAGTATTCTTCATGCGTCAGGAGTGACACTTTATTGAGCGTGGTATTCGACGTCTTGCCCGTGCCGGCTCGATTCTGGAAGAAGTAGCGCTCATGAGGCGGCAGTTCGCCCTCAGGCGTCGGTGAGCGCTTATTCCGGGCACCTTTGGGTCGACCTGCGCGTCGCTTGGGGGCCTTTGTATCTGTAGCTTTTTCTTCCTCGATCTTGTCGCCCTCGACGCTTTCTGTCACGGTCTCAGCACCTTTGTCAATCTCGTTCTCGGTTTCGGCAACGTCATCCTCCTGAAGAATCTCCTCGGCGAGCTGCTCTGAACCATCCCAGGCACTATCTTCGTCCTGCTCAAAGAGTACTCGCGCACTCTTCTTTTTTGCCGACTGATCTGCCTTTCGCATGCGTGATGGTGTCCCTGTTGTCGCAATAGTGGATTTTGTGGGAGTCGCGAAGAGTGAACGAGCCTTGGACTTGTGCGTAGGTGTCTTTAATCCTGAATCCTTCAGAGGCGTCGCGGTGGCTTTGCTGGACTTTTTCGGCGTCGACTGACCGTTCGGCGCCTGATGAAAAAGCTCTCCAACATCTTCTTCGAGGAGAGGAGACAGGTTCGGCGCGTGGCCGTTGAGCGCGCCATTACTGTGCGAGAGCGCTGTTCGCGGTCTTTTCGGTGTTGAGATTTCGGGATGGTCAGCCTCCAGATCGGAGTTGGATAGTTTGCGCTTCATGGCAAGCAAGTCAGCAAGCGTCCCATCGTGGAGAATGGGACGGAGAGGAGGAGAAATCTCACAGTCACCATTTAGATCCGGGGAATGCGCGCGCGCGCAGACCAGGCGGACACTATGCAAGGGATGGTGTCTCTTGGAGACGATGTGGCTGGCCAAGCGTTCAAAGGCCGTAGAAGGTTGAGAATTGATGATGGCTCGGTACCCGATCCTGTACCAGTACGTGAGTCGATTGGGGGCTATTGGGACCAGCTCGGTGCAGCACTTGTCTTTGTTGATCTGAACTTTTTGACGTGAATGTTGCGGAGTCTCGCAAAGTTGAGTTGACATGCAGATGGGGGCGGGTCTACCGGAGTTTTCTCCGAGTCCGCCCCCATTTTGTTTCATCAATTGAGCTGGATTTCGTATGCGCCTTGTCCTTTAGGTGAGCTGGTAAAAGTTCACAACGCATTTGAGGATCTGTACGTGTAGAACTCCCGTGGTGCCCAAATTTAGGAGTGAAGACGAGTGATGTCGAGTGCGAGGATGAGCAGGTGAAATGGCTCAGCATACTTTTACTATCTCGGACTGAGGTATGCCAGCAGATAGAAGCTTTCTCTAGAGCTCGAGGCGCACCTTTTCTACTGTATCTAGTATCTACTATCTAGTAACGAGATCAATTCCTTGTTGTCAACAGTCTGCAGTCTCTATTCAGCTGGTAAGGGTGCATACCAAGTCTATCAACCGCTCGCAGTTTCTTCACGAAACTATAGTAGTCAGCAGTGACAGTGACAGTGACGATCATGGATGATGGATTCCTACTTATCTCACCTTGCGCCGTCCCGCATCAGCTTCTCCGAAAAACGGGACCCGCAGACTTCAGTTGAGTCATATTTCTGCAAAACCCCAAGCACAAGACATTCCCAGGACGAGTTATTCCCGATCGACACCGTCTCTCCAGTCTCAATTGAATACGCGTCTTTGTGTGCTTGTCAATTTGAACCCATTGCACATTTCCATTGATGGTTTCAACCACGCAACCCGCCACAATGGCGGTGGGCTCGCTGGCTCGCATGCTCAAGGGTCAAGTGCGATGCTACTCCGCACCGCTAGACATGGCCATTCCGGCGTCCAAGCAGCGCTACATTCCCACATCAGGCACCTATCCTCAGGGGTTCAAGGTGTCTGGCACACATGTGGGCGTCAAGGCATCCAACTCTCGCTTTCCGGATCTTGCGCTCATCGCGTCCGACACGCCGTGCTCGGCTGCCGCCGTCTTCACCACCAACAAGTTCCAGGCAGCCCCGGTGCAGGTCAGCAAGCAGACCTTGAAGAGTCGCAAGGGCGAGGGCATTCGGGCCGTAGTCATCAACTCGGGCTGTGCCAATGCCGTCACGGGGAAAGGTGGACTGGAGGACGCGGTGCAGATGGGCCAGACGGTGGATGAGTGCAGCGGAGCAGAGAAGAATAGCTCCTTGGTGATGAGTACGGGTGTCATTGGACAGCGGTAGGTGTTGCTCTGCAGTGTTTACGGACGCTGGAAGAATTGCGATCCTTGTCTGGCTACTGAAGAAGCTCAATGGACTAACGAGGCGATTTCTTCGCAGTCTCCCAATCAAGAAGATCCTCGATCGCATCCCCGCAGCGCATGCCTCCCTCGACTCAACTCACGATGCCTGGCTGACCACGGCGCGTGCTATCTGCACCACGGATACGTTCCCCAAACTGCTCTCTCGCACCTTCAGTCTGCCCTCCTCTCCCGGTCGAACCTACAGTCTGGCCGGCATGACCAAAGGAGCCGGCATGATCCATCCCAACATGGCAACTCTGCTCGGTGTTCTCTGCACCGATGCTGCCGTCGAGCCCGCCGCTCTGCAGTCCATCCTCAAGCACTCTGTCTCTCGCTCCTTCAACTCCATCTCGATCGACGGTGACACGAGTACCAACGACACTATTGCCGTGCTCGCCAATGGCGCCGCTGGCGGTGAGATGGTTCGAGCTCCGACCTCGGCCTCTGACGCCAGTGCCGACTACGAGGCTCTGCAGACCGTCTTCACCGAATTCACCCAGTCTCTGTCGCAACTCGTGGTCCGTGACGGCGAAGGTGCGACCAAGTTTGTGACGGTTCGTGTTCGCAATTCTCCCGACTATGACTCGGCTCGCCTGATCGCCTCAACCATTGCACGATCGCCTCTGGTGAAGACTGCCCTGTATGGTAAAGACGCCAACTGGGGTCGTATTCTGTGTGCCGTGGGTTACACCCAGGGTGTCAAGGACGGTGTTGTTGTGCCCGAACGTACCTCTGTCAGCTTCCGTCCTGTGGATGGAAGCCCCATCCTCAAGCTCCTGGTCAATGGTGAGCCGGAGGCGGTCGACGAGGAGCGGGCCAGTGTCATTTTGCAGAATGAGGACCTGGAGATTGAGGTCGATCTGGGTGGTGGTGAACAAGGGGCTGCTGGTTGCGGTGGGGAAGATGCGGTCTACTGGTTCTGCGATTTCAGCCACGAGTATGTCACGATTAATGGCGACTACCGCACTTGAACGGTGGATAGCAATGATTTATTTGGATGAGAATCTGAGAAGTCAGGGACTGCTGGGCGTTGAGATTTCTGTTTTCACACGATGCAAAGCGCCGCCCCGTTCGCTACGTCTCGTTCCACTATGGGACATGGACAGTCTTTCCATGATTGTCCGAGGATAATGAAATGGGATTGTAACAAAATGATCTGTAGAGACGAGAAAACTGGAGAACTAAGAGAACCCACCAGATCAGGCGCAATCTGAAGCATAAAATTCATGTCATAATACCAGGGCTGGGCCTCCTAGCACACTACGCAGGAAGCTAATACTACAGATCAATGGCCTGTCGCCAGCCACCAGCGGTCCGGCCTTTTATCGGCGGTTTGCCGGGAATCGGGCCCTTGGCCGATTGGGCCGGGCATCCGCGGGGGCGGCTCCGTCGGGAGAATCCACGGCCCCACGGGGGAGGGTGTCACTGGGGAACCGCAGTTTAGATTGGAACAATAAAATGAGAGACCCAAGCAGACCAGCGCTTCATCCGCGGATATTCTTGAGTTGACCCTGATCTGAGAGATCCCGACGGGCCCCCTGGTCGTTCGTAACACATTCAAGGCAGCCGTGGAAGTCCCGCTGAGGTGTGACCCATGCACGAGAGAGAAAGCGGTAATGGAGATACAACATGCAGAAATCGAATCGACGAATCTTCGACTCATGGGTCCATGGCGTTCCGAGATCGTGATAAGACACCCGGTCCTGATGGCTGAGAGATGTCTGAACAAGTACTAATGCACATGGGTTGTCGTTAGCTGCTGGTGCATGTTTTGTCTCCCGCGAACCTCGATTTGGTCTGGTTGGGTGGAAGGCAGGACATGCGACTGCTGGCAAGAGACAAGAGGTGATAGGCCCGTGGTCATTTCTGGGTGCAGAGCGGCTTGTGTCGTTATAAGACGGCGAAGAGGCGGAGAGGCTGATCTTTGAACCGGATCTGAGGCGAGGTCAGTGCTTGCTCGGTTTGCTCCTGAGTTTATTAGACCGGTGCGGTATTGATTGGTGAGGTGCTGGATATGGACGTGGGTGGGTGGTGACGGAGCCCACCTCTTTTGTCGTTCTGAGCAGTGCAGGTGACATGGCTGATGTTTCACTCTTGGGTCTTCCATAGTCGAGTCGCTCTCGGTCGGCCCGTGGCCACCGAGAACTGGAGATGGTGAATACTGTATACTGTATCGTTGATAGTATCGAATCAAGCAGTATCCATAGTTCCATGAACTCTGAACGTTCTGATCGCGGTAAGGAGTGTAAGGAAAGGACTCAAACAGGAAAATGTGTACTTACCAGGTTGGTATGGACTCTCTGGAGTGTCTGTCACACGATCTCAGTGTCCGGTTCCTTGCTTCTGCAAAGGTCTCTGACTCCTTTATACAGCAGTCAACTTGGATGTTAGCTCGAACTACCGTGCGGCAAAGAACTATGGTTTAGTCACGAGGGCGGGCCCGACAGGTGAGAAGTTGCAAGTCCTCGTGACGAGGCTAAGGAGTCAGCTTTTGTCTACTCGCTTGGATTCTTGTCTCATTGAGTTGCCAGAACCGGAATGGGCTGTGCTGTCTGTGGCAGTGAGAGAGGTTGGGTCTCCCCCCCCCGAATCATGTAGATGGAATAGGTGGGCAGGATGACTTTCCATGTTGTATTCCCTGGTGCCATCGATTGTTTACTATGGGTGTTTAATGTTTCCACCAGGATCCGGGCATAGTTCAGTGGAACGAATAATTGGAATAAGAACATTGACTGAAACGCTCCCGCAAGAACGTGGAGATCGATCTGGGAACAATCTAAGCCTCCGCGAGCGACCTGCATACACAGGTAGACATAATACATCCATGGTATACATTTGACAATATCTTCACCGTGGCCGTCTGATAATGAAGATCCTCGATGTAAGCAATGATCATGCCTACTATCATTCCCAGACACCATCCGCAAAAGATCACCGTGTACTCCAGACTTGGGTGCTCGCCGTCCTCCGTGATCTGTGAATCCCCTCTGCTTGACGTCATGTCCATGCTGGATCCTCTGCAACGATTCCCTTTGACAAGTGAGTCGTCCGATCGTCAAGACGGGGGGATTTGCCGCCATCAGCTGGAGTCGTGCGTGATTGAACTCGCAAGGTACCGCTTAAAAGGAGTCGATGTGACCTCTCCGTGGATACGGCCCTTTGGTTTCTGATTCAGCCCGTCATCCCCGGCTAGCTCGAGATGTATGCTTCGTCCTCTCACTTGCCTTGCGTCTGACTCGAAAAGGTTTATACTTCATACAAAACCCTCTCTCTCTCTCTCTCTCTCTCTCTCTCTCTCTCTCTCTCTCTCTCTCTCTCTCACTCACTCACTCTCTCTCACTCACTCTCTCTCTCCTCTCACTCCATATCAACCTAACTGTGGACTCTACGCCCGATATTCTCCACCCTTGTAATCCTGATTCTCCTGACGAGCTTCATCCTCGTGGTTCTCAAATACACCCGGCCTGGAACGAGCGGAGAAAAGAAAGAGAGACGGGTCGACCATTCTCCTAGTGGAGGATCACCCTGCATACCCCCATAGATGCGATCCGACCCGCCTGACCTCTCGTTCTTCGCGCAACTCACCGAATTCACCATCACCAGGGCTGCCCAACTGCCATTCCCCTGCTCTGCCCTGCTCTGAACTTCCGTAGCATTCGATCTCCGGAGACTGCCCAAGATCCCGTGATCCAGTGGTCGATGAACGCGTGGTCGACTTTCTCTCCAGTCCACCACGCCCTAGGCCCCATCGCACCCATCGCACCCATCACTTCCTCCGCTGGGTCAGGAGCAAGACCCCTCATCTTCAATTCGACAGACCTACGTACTGCAATACTCGACCGAGACGACGGTCCGGAACGTGCTTTCGCATACACAGTGTCCAAGTCCAGAGTCCTGCTGACTGTACGTGGTATACCGGCCAACACGGAACCCTCATTTGAAGATCGCAACAAGGCGGCCCTCTTTCCCCGACCGGAGTCGACTGTCATCTCTCATTTGACTTTCCACGTCTCTTCTCGGCCTGAATCGTGCCGTGGATCGCATTAAGCTGCTGTGTCGCCCAACTGGTCTCCACTGTGCCTGACCGCCCCCCTGGTCAACTCCAGCTTTCGCCAGCCTTTTGCGGCATCGTGCATCTGCTTCTCGAACGCCTCACTGACCGCTCACCACTCGTGCGACTCATCCACGCTATATAGATCTACACAGTCCCAGATCATCCCTCTCTCCCTCACTGGGTGGCAATTGAGGTGTCAAACTATCTCTCAATCGAGCTGCGACTCCACGGTCCTCTCAACCTATACATACACATTCCTGCCCTCGTTGCCGGTGACGCTGCATCCTCATTCGGATCCACTTTCGCCGCCGGACCCCCCCCATCCTCCTCCGTTGCGGTATTCCCTACCTCCCCCCCAAAGTGCCCACTTCTCCCCAGGCCCGCCGTCTGGTTGGCATATACGGTTTGTTCCGAGGAATTCGTCCTGCGCATACACCTATCACACGACCACCAAGAATTCCCTGTTGGAGAAAACTTGGGGTGACCATGAAGACCGCCGTGACGAGACTACCCGACGGCCACGGCCATGTCTACAAAGAAGTGCGCTTCTCTCCCACCGCAACCCCTCCACTCCGCCGAGTCCAGTCGGTCTCGACCAGTACGCCGTCCATGATCTCCAAATTTCGCCCAGTACGCATGTCGCCGCTATCACAGGAGGCGGACGCCAGCCTCGACTTGTCGTACATTGACCAATCGCGAGAACTGGTGGAGGCCCAGCGAGCGCATTGGGACAGTGAGCGGGCGCTCTTTGCTTTGGAGCGCCAATTGTGGGTAAAAGAACGCACGTTACTACGAGCCAAGATCTCGGAATTAGAGTCGATGGTCCAATGCCAGCGATCAACTTCCAACTACCTCAACACCCACACGTTTAAACCCTCGTTCGCGTCGCCGCAATATTCTGATTCTCACGATTCCCTGCCATCGGCGCAGGTGTGGGAGGGCTCCAGCCCGGGCCATCGTCCGACACGGGTCTTCCTCGATGAAGGGATGGCCGTGAAGCCTCACATGTCACCTGTCAGCATTGGTCACAACAGCGAGCCCCCTTCTTTGGATGCCGCGCTTTCGCCGCGTGCACGAGCGGTAGACGCCCAATTGCCCAATATCAGTATACCCGTGCCCATCGAGAAGGTCGATAGCAAGCTGGACGGGATCACATTGAAATCCACCGCTCTGCCGCCCAATGTGGTTGCACGCGTGATCACACCACCCTCGCCCTCACCCTTGGAGGCTCCCAGCCCCGCCCCAGCCACTGAGCCCGCCCGGCCGGTGAGGCCAGGGATGGAGCATCGCAATAGTCTCAAGCTACGGCTATCAGATCTAGGACCACCAAATGAGAATAGGGTCAGAGACGCCGGCCACACCCCTATGGCGGTGATCGAGGTGGATGTCAGTCTTGGGACCACGGAGAATGCATCCCCCACAGAACTATCGGCAATCGAGCCCCAAGGCGTAGATGAAGAAGAAGAAGAGGCACCTTTAGCTCCTGCAGCGACACAAGTGCACCAGCCGTCTGAACACGCGGGGTCCTATTTTCCCGATGTGCCCGATGATCCGGCGCTGCAAGGGCCTCTTGGCCTGATTAATGACAAAGAACACGACAGCAAATTTCTCAGCGAGCTAGATTCGCGACTACTGAGCCAGGCCAAACGCATCCTCTCCACAACTACCATCGACGAGGATCTGGAAGAGCCAGATGACGAAGAAAGCCCGAATGGCGAACCCGAGCCGGAGATCAAGTTCAAAAAATCGACCAATTTTGGAACCGCTTTTGGCTTATCCAGTCTTGGGAAAGTCTGAACAAGCGTCTCTGCCTTTCTCCGTCTTTCTAGCGTTTTTCGTTTCTTTCTTTTTTTTTTTTTTCTGATCTCGGGGCCCGTTTCTGTCATCTCATTGACTTTTCTATTCATCCTGGGCCTTGGCCTTGGCCTCTTCTTCTTCTTCTTCTTCTTCTTCTTCTTCTTCTTCTTCTTCTTCTTCTTCTTTCTTCCACTTTTTACCTCCCACGGCAGCTCTGTCGATCAGGTTGCTAATGGGTTTCTCGAGCCCTCGTCCCCAGCTCATGTTAGCGTATCTTCTATATCCCTTTTCATTTCCTCAGTGATACACACCAACGCGACGCCTCGCAGATATTTTCCTTTCACCCCTGGCTATACATTGATGACTCTGAAAATGATACTCAGTTTGGTTCACTCTAAGATCGGTTGTCTTTAGTCAGGGCTGCATTTCCCCAATCCTGTGCCTGGCATCTCCCCACAGGGCATGGACCGGTCTCAAGTTTATTCCTTAAGAACCAGGGCGCGCACTTGTCTGTTTTCCCCATGATCCCTCCTTGCATTCGTATCGCCGTCCCCCAGCCTCATCACTTCCGCTTCGAGAGTCTTTGATCAAATTCATTCGCCACGGCTTCACGACGGAGATTAACCAAAGTGGCTTGTCTCTTCAATAAACGACAGTACCCCTTACAGTTTTCCTAAGACCCTTTAGTTGACCCGGACACGTGCACCGGGCCTGTGCGGACTCTGGGACAACGGATTGATGCTGTCAATGATCTGGACCCGAATTAAGCCTTGGCCACATTGTGACGATCGCACATATGCTTGCATGAACGAGCCGGCTCACTGGTTGTACTGGACTCCGTCTCGTGCCTCGTCAACGGCACAAGTATCATGCATCCAATGTACCATGTCATCGTCAATACCGAACGTCAGACTCTCTATCTTTCCAATCTTCATCGACACCAGGGTTTCACCTTTTCCAGCAAAGTAAAAAGAACAATTTACTGGATCGACACCCCCATTCCCCGTAACGATGAGACAGATTTCCTAGGGAAGCGCCCGCCACCACAGGGTTAGCTTTCTGACCTTGCAGTATCCAGGTGAACCATCAACCCTTGAGTGACAATGAGTGCTCATCGAGTCTTGTGGCTTCTAGCTTGGGTGTTTAGACTGGAGAAAGAAACATAAATACTCAGCATCGCAATCATGTCTGCGATTACTTCTGAAAGCACTCACAACACAGTCATTCGTTCTCGCGATCTTTGCTCCAGCTTTGGTTTTCTTTTTCGATTCGAGCTTCCTCCGACTTAATCTAATTTTCTCACATCTCTCCTGTCGAGGATCAATCTCCTATAATCTATAATGTCTTGCAAACCTTTTACAGTCTCGGCCGCTCTGTGCCTCGCTCTCGCTTTCGGCCCGGTCACTGTGCTCTCTGTGCCTCAGATGGTCAGTCATACCTTACTTTTTTCTCCAATCCGAAGAGACTTCCAAGGATCGGATCAATATCGAGCAGCGGAACCAGTGAGACTAACCAATTCAAAGGGTCAGGGTGCTCTTCCACTCTCTGCCGACGACAGAAACCCCTCAAGTGACAGCGAAACCGCCGGTGGACTAAACTACAACATCGGCATCCCCAACGGCCCATCCTTCGAATTCGGCGCCGGATTCCAGCAAAAGTCGAACGATGAGAGCTGCGACTCTGATCCAAGCCAACAGCTCGACGCCGGCATGGGATACGGCGCAGGGATCCCCGACGGCCCATCTGCTGGCTTTGGCGCCGGGGTTCACCATGTGCATCGCGGCGCTTCTTGTGCCCCGGTCCAAGTGACCCAGGAGATCGTTGAAACGACGACGGTCACGGCCCCTGGCACTACCAATCTCGTGGTGGTCACGTCTACCGCGGAAGTTGTCGAAGTCCCATCTATCACTGAGGCTCCTGTGCAGCCTTCGTTGCCCGAGAGTATTCTTGCCCCGTCGTCGACGCTAGAGGTCGTGGACACGTCTTCTTCGGAGATCACTTCGTCTATCAAGACAACTGCTATTCCAGTCGTCTCAGCGGGAGCAGGTGCTCAGGCAAACCCGACCGAAGCCTCGGCCTCCAAGATCAACATCAACGTCCCAGTAACATTCATCAAACCCCCCACCGATCTCACGACTGCGTCCCTGGCCACCGCCATCGCCATCGCGATCCCAATCCCATTGTATACGCCCACTGCGCAGGTGCCGATGCACTCTACCCCCTTGGTTCAATATATGGCGCCGACTGGCACTTCCAAGTCGCAGACCTACTTCAACGCTGCGGCGGGCTCTTGCAGACCCCACGCTCTCTTGCGGGGTGGCCGTCTCGCGCTAATCCTGGGCGTCGTATATCCGTTCCTGTGAGCTCGGCACGTTGTGCGAGCTGGTAACTTACCCTCATTAATGTCTCCATGTTAAAGTTCTCGTTTCTCTTTTGTTCTTTGCTCTTTGGCGAGTTGAGTCTCGCCGAAGCCATTCCTTCTAGGTCATCTCCTCTTGTCCTCGACCATTTCCTTTGTCTTGTTTTCAAGTGTCTCTTTGATGAGAGGCCAGTTTGTGTTTTCTCGGGTGTAAAGGAGGTCGGGCGTATTGAGGTTCCTTTGGCGGGTCTCTGGTTTGGGGTTCAGGTTCTCTTTCCGAGCCGGGCGTTTAGATGAGTCTCATCTTGGGACAGTGTTTGCTTGATATTGGCGGAAGGTTGGACTGCTCCATAGTCTATATAGATAGACAGTCACCAATACATCTTATCGTTATGTTGTCAAGTGTCATGGGAGAATATCCGAACAGAGCGAGGAGATCCACTTGGTTGTTTCGTGGAAAACGGCATGGTGGACTTTCTGCGAGACCATGTAGGCTCCAACGACATCCTCGGCTGCTAGAGTTCCATTCCGGAATCTCCAATCGATATACAGACCTCCTTATCTCGAGCTTTACCATGTGTTTCCCGTACAAGGACTGATGTGGGAAACGTTTTCTTTGGATTGATGTCTGAGACGCAGGAGTCAATATCCGCTCATATAATCGAGAGATCGTTCAATGGCAATTTCGAGAGACACGATAAACGCTAGCTATCCAACCTCGATATGCATGGAGAAGAAAAGAGCCAGGTGACCTATTCTATGAGAGACCAACCAAAGTAACCCTGCTCTGAATCACACTCCCATCGTATGATCATGCTCGATCCCAGGCGTGACACTGGCGATAAACTTGAGGAAAACAACCAGATATTGATCCACGCGAATAGCCACCTGCTCATCTTCGTCGGCTTGCAGCACCTCCCACTCGTCGCCACCATGCTGTTGTTGCTGAGGCTGATCACCAATTGATAGCCCTTTGGTACCGTCGACGAGTCCCTCGAGTCCAGTATTCGCGCCGGATTGCTGGGCGCGGGACTGGTTAAGCTTGAGCTTTTCCAGACGGAGTTTTAATGCGGCGTCGGCTCGGCCGAGCATCGTCTTCATTACTGAAGCATGTCGACATGGGTGGACTGTGGCCATCTTGACGCTGCCGTCGAACCAGGGAAAGTCCTCCAGCGTCACAGTCTTGTCTTTGTAGTCTCCGACAATGTCCTCCATCATCAGGTGGGGTGGGAGTGGTTCTGAGGGAGAAAGATAGCCTGAGAGATAGAGCCGTGGCGTTCGGTAAAAATTGGAGTATGTGATATAGAGGGTGTAGGTGCGAAGCGGTCTGCAAGAGAAAATGGTTAAGAAACAATCATTGTTAAGCTTTGCCAGAGATGTTGGGGAGCGGGGGGGGGGGGGGGGGGGGGAACAGTAGGACTTACTGCGTGGTTCCTGAGTTCCCAGCAGGCTCGCGAATAATCGCCTCCTCGTCATCGTCATCATCTTCCATATCTGGGATCTCATCGTCCTCTTCCTGCTCGCCCAAGTTGCCAGATTCGTCTACCGTTCTCACGTCGCGGATCTTGGCCTCTTGCATGTCACGGTCGGCGACGGTATCACGGCCACCGCCAGTTCGCAGCCAGCCGTCGTCTCCATTCCCTTCCCTTGGGCCCTCGTCGGTCTCGCCAGCGAGCATATCTCGCACGATCTCATCTTCGCGACCGGCATCTCCCGCAAAGTTATCATTCAACCTTCGATGGCAAGGCACACCCCGTGTGACGAGAAACTGTTTCCCGGGCGGTAGGTAGGAGACCCGTTTAGCTGGACTAGATGCATCGCCCCACGACCACGTTGGAAACTTGTAGACCAGATAGTCGCCAGCCAGCACGAACTCCTCTGGAGTGATCTGACCGGTGGCGCGAAAGGTCGACGTCCGCGAAACCGGAGCGAGGCGATCGCGCCAGGTGGAAAGTGTAGAGTGAAGGATATTCATTGTTGCGTCAATAAAATGATATCTAGCCGCTACAGAGAGTAAAAGTAATGTGAGGATAAAAGCGAGCTGGAGATGCCAAGGTGGGGAGGGGGATGATAGCATCTTGATAAGCGGTGGAGCACATGATCGGCCCCGCGTGAGCTCACTGCGGTTCCGCTTTTTCCATTTTCAACGCGATGGCGGCTGGACGCTCGAGTCACCTTTGCTTTGAGCCGCCGCTCTTTGTACTCGTCTTTGGCATATGCGCCGCCCATCTTTTTTTTTTTTTTTGGATGATGGCCACGCGTCATGAGCCAGTTGCATGTGGCGCTGCTCCCCATCACATGTCCAGGACTCTCTTGTCAAGTTTCATTCGCAAGAGTCGACGGAACCAGTCTCGTGTATGAGTGAAGAACTGGAGACTGGTGTTGCGAACGTGCCCATCACTCCAGAATGGCAGCTCTCAGTAATTTGTCGCCCCTGTATGACCACCAGCATCTTGATGTCGTTCAAGAGCTGTTCCAGTCAATTGAACAGATACTCGTTGCGAAGCAGAGCTCATTCCCCTTCTTCCATCATCCTTCGTCGCTCAATCTCTGCGTCAACCTCCTCCGTCACCAAGGGAATGGTTCTGCCCTTCCACGTCTCCTTCTCCTTGCGCAAGAAGCCCTCGGTGCTTTGCATGCCAACGACCAAGAAGCCTAGCTCTTCCCGGTCCACATCAAATACTTCCCACCACTCTCCGTCTACTAACTTCACGCCGTTTTCCCGCGTGGCGAGATAGATCGCTGCTACTGCGAGAGCATTTGGCTGGTGCGTCACATAGATTAATTGCGGTGAGAGAAGCGCGGCGTTCAGATGTTCGAGGATTCGGCGCGAGACCTCGGAATTGTTCACACCGAGGGTTTGAAGGTAGGTAAGCGCAATAGTGTGAGGTAGTGCAACGTGCGTGTCGAACCCAAGAGTCCGTAGAATGACTGACTCGATACGCAAGAGGACCAAGCGCCCGGCCTGGTAGCTACCCTCTGAGAGGATGTAGTAGTCCGTAGCCGGTGGCTGTGATGGAGTACCCTGCGGGTTCACGAACCACAAGGGGGATGCTTGAGGGGAGAGAAGGAAATTGTAGGCGTTGAGAACCGAGCGAGGCGAGGTGGGTTGAAACGACAACTTGGCAGACAAATACAGAGCGGCGGCGGAGACATCCTGCGAAAGTCAGGCATGAGACATGAACATGAGCTTCTCAAGAAATGATAGCGCGAATCACAATTGTCCTTACCTTGGCCGAGTAGATCCGCAAGCTGCCCCCGTCCGCACCTAGCCAGAACCTCGTGAAAATGACAACAGCTTGCGCAATAATGTCTTGCGAGAGATATAGCAAGACTCCAGCGTCCTGTGTGAGTTGCGCGCCGGCACAACGAATTGACGTCTCAAGCTCGGAAGGTACTCCGTCAATTGACGACGATGAATTCGAAAGCTGATCTGGGGTCGCGAGCGCATTCGAGATGTGCTTCAGGCCAGCAATGCGGTGGGCCATGGTAGCTAGGAACCGCTTTCAGAGAGAAACAAAAGAGTTGGAAGTACAAAGGTATGTTCTGGCGGGTGAATGGCTCCAGCTCGAGGGTTCGGTTTTGCGGACCTGAGAAGCGAAGAGCTCTGAAGCTCGGCGAAACTGGAGGCGGCCCGCTGTTGATCCATCCCGAGCATAAAACATTCAGCCGAGCTGCAGAGATGCGCTCTGCAACGGAATCGTCGAGGCTTCCGCCACTCCAGTATATCAACCATGCTGCATTTCGCTGCAATATCACTATGACGAGACTTGCGTTTGCAGGTCATTATACTGGACTACTAAGGCAAGGTGTTCGAAGAAAGTAGGGGACGTCAACCAGGCCAAGTCCGACCAGATATCCCAAAAAACCTTACCATCAATTTTGACCTCAATCAACAGGCTGGCTACCCTACCTGAGGCTCCGACCGCACACACCCGATACATTTGGGCGTCGGTAGGTCCATGAACCACGAGCGCGGGCGCCTGACTTTAGATCGCTAGGCAGGTAAACTATCCAGACCCGGGCAGCCCTGAGTATAGTCTACTGGGTTCGTATCACGCGGGTCCCGATCAAACAGGCTAAAGAAACACCCAAGAGTGTTCAGTAAATTCCATGTCGACGATCCAAACATCCACTCGTGACCGGGACTGGAACTAAGATGACCTTGACAAAGCCCTACCCGGTGACGACAGAAGAAATATTCAGCCCTGTTCCCTTGTCATGACATCAGATCGTCGAATGCATATTCTCGTAGTCCTAGAAACGCTTCGGATCATGCCCGGTCTACCCATGTGTGATGCAATCACACTGCAGTGGGGAACGTGCATCCAAGCCTGTGCTGATAGCTCCAGCTCTGTAGAGCCACAATTCGGGGAGGGCGCTGTGAGAGTGTGTAGGTGGGATCGAAAGAGGTATTCGTCATTATTGTGAATGTGCCGTGCTTCGGACGACAGTTGGAGGAACCGGTCAATAAACTCAATATCATAGGCCTCGGGGAAGACGACTAATCTGGCAGAATAGGTTCGCAGACTATCTAGGGGTCTTTCGCCTGAATATGTAGTGGTTGATCAGGAAGAGACTCGAAGTACAACATTTGCATTGATACTGTCTTCAGACGACTCTGGGCTCTCTCAAAGAGTCAAAGCTTAGCTACCGATTCTCCATCAACGGTACCTTGACTTCAACCTTTGTAAAATATAGTAATATACTAGGGACTGAGGACTGAGGACTCGGGGCCTAGCATGGTACAGACCGTAGCGCTAAAAGCCCCCTAGGAACAGAAAGGCATATCTATACATCAACACTCCCGTCTCATCTTCCAATTCTAAAGCAGCGTAAATCTCTAGTAACTAGGTCATCTGGTCAGAGGTACTTACTGTAGTAGCCAGGATCATATCGATGCGCAGTATGGTCATGCATGGAGATGCCTTCCGCCTAGACTACGCGTGCCGTCACTCGACTTGGACCGAGTGCTGCCTCACATCAATATTCAAATACCTAACATGATCTATCCCATCGATTCCCGTTCCCTTGTCAATGGTTCAAACCCTTGTCAATGGTTCAAACTCCCATCAAGGTAGCTGACCCTACCTGACGATCGGCCCTCTTAGGTTGAGCATAAGAGTTACACATGTGTTCTTCCCACCCTCTCAGCCATCTGAGCGATACACTTCCCTACCCCAGTACCTCAACTCTCCAATAGTGCAGTTCCCCCTGGACGGATGATGGAAGTGTGGACCCTCGGGGCTGGCCAGGAGGAGCTTCAGCCGCCACCGCTCAGGCGACGGTTGGAGGGACCGGAGGAATGTTTATTTGTCCAGCCTCCTGATTGTTACGAAAGGACGTGGCTGCTGTGTGCTGTCTGCTGTGTGCTGTCTGCCGTTTCACTTGACATTCAAAAGCCACCCCACTGAGCTCCTCTTTCCTCAAAGTTGACCAAAATAGATCATCTGGTATTTGTTGAAGCCGTCTCTCCTGCCTTCCATTGCGCTTGTCGCACAGCTACACGGCCTCGGTACAATCCCCGGGACTAGTCATTTTGCTGTATAATCTGACCGGAAGCTTCCACCGCTCAGGGAACATTTTCACCTTGGCGCGTACTTCCTGCGCTCGTGACCCTACTTCATTCTCTCGACTGCTGAGCTCTGCTGGCATCCTCGGTTCCACGGATCTCCTGCGTTCATTACCTCGTCTGCTGGTGGCGGACACCATCGAACATTCACTGCGCGTCGGTGCCGAAGCTGAGTGGCTACCATGTCTTCTGATACATTGCGATCATCGGCCACCCTACATTCCAATGCGCCGCTGCAATCTCAAGAGGGGTTGCCTCGTCGCCCCTAAAGCCGGCGACGGGTCCACCAGGCGAGGGTCCATTTCGCAGTCTGCCTTCCCATCGCCGGTCGAATACGGAGTATATTGCTCGCCCGCCTACACTTGACAACGTATGGCACAATCCGTGTTCCAATGAACATATCTCGAAAACGCAAGATTCGCCCGTCTGGACGGACACCTTCCCGAAGAAGAAGTTCGAAGCACGCGCCCGAATTCTGTCAGATTGGTTCCAGGGTAAAGACGATTCGAGTGGCTACGACGTCAACATGCGATCGGGCACTGCAAGTGGACATACGAGGAAGAACTCCACTCCGGTGGCAGGACGGTTCTCCTTTTTTGGCCTGCGCCGATCTGCTGAACCGAGTGTGCGATTTCCCGAGCCAGCGGAAGATGAGCTTCTGAACTTAGATATCGAGGCCGCCCTGGCGTTCCCGGAAACGAACATGGATCAAGACGAGGCTATGGATAATCTTCGCGACCGCGCATCGACTGTACTACAGCGTATGCAGGAGGCGTACAAACAGAGAACCTTTGCGATGCACCAGGCGTTGGCTGATCGGGACGAAAAGCGCGAAGAGCTTGAGGAGACACGCGCACGGGTAGACCATCTCAAAATGCAACTCGATGGCATGGCTGCAAAAGTCATGGACCAGGAGAAGGCCATGAAAGCCATGGCCGACGAGCTCGAGAAGGAGAAACACTCGCGACAGCAAGCGGAGGCTCGTAGCCGAAGTCTTACCATGCGCGCAGTGGCCCTCGAAGAAGACAATCCCTCACTCATCCTTCAGGCGCCCTTACGAGACAGCAAGCGTACCAGTCACGGCACCTTTGCTAGCGATTCTGGCTTCGAGTCTGGGGATGAAAGCGTGACCGACAGCATTTTCTCGCATAAGGACTCCTTAGAGTCTCCGACATCTACCATAGCCACGCCGTCACAGAATCCCTCCCATCACGTCATGTCGGCTGCGTCCCCTCTGGCCCATTCGAACCCATCGACACCTACCCAAAAAAGTCTCAATACCAATGGCGGAAATGCGACGCCAGCGCGATCCTCTGCGTATGAGCGAGTCATCAAAGGAATCGCCTCCACACGATTCGGTGGTTCTCTGGTTGGAAATGTGAGCCAGTGCAACATCTGCCATGGTGTTCCATCCGCTGAAGCTTGGAGTGTTATGGGCATCCTGAAAGATGAGAACCGGGGGTTGAAGTCGCGACTGGGCGAACTCGAGTTGGTGATTGATGATTGTTTAGGCCTTGTTGGGCCTTGAACTCATCGCGTCCGCTGGACAAATTGGCAATCAACAATTAACGGCAGCCCCTTCAAGTTGACTACAGGCGATCAATTGAAGTCCGGCTGGCTAGGGCTTCGAAATATATAGAAACATTTACATAGACAAATTCACCATCTTCAGAGGCTGGTTGCAAGCCTTCAAGAATCGGAAGCTCGAGTTGGATCTCATGGCTTTGTCAACTTTATAGACCAAGTAAAACCCGCGGTCGAAGAATACGGTTGGTGCGGTGATGAGTGGTCGCAGATCCGTCCTCATCATATCGAAGTTCCAATTTGCCCCTCAAGCCCATCCTGATGATGTGGGGATAGCTAAAGCTTGGGGTCTTCACCGGGGTACAGTCTCGAGGCTGCACACGACGAAGAAGACTTTGCGCCCGCAACATTTGTGTAGTCCTGAGTCGCTCGTAACAACAGCTGAAAACTAGGGTAACAGTAGTCCAAGATCTTGCGTTAATCTAAAAGATTTCCTGGCTTTTGGATCCGTAGTGGAATCTGGGTTTGGCTGCCGTTGGGTTGGGTGTGAGCTGCGGCGAAGACCAAGTGGCCTTATTTAGCGCGAAGCGAAAAGTGGCCAGCGAGACGCTTCCCTTCCCTTCCTCTTCCCCATCTTTTCCATCCCGACCACTTCACCCTCTTCTTCCCCTTCCCCTTCCCTTCTCTTTCTTCTTAGCTTTTTGCATCTTCCGCCTCTTCAGCTGGTTTAATCCCTCCAGCTTTTCCTTTTTCACTTTCGTCGGATTGGGAGGCAGACAGTCACCATGAGCGGCCGTAAGTTCAACCACCTCTCCCCTCAAAAGCCGCATCACACGCGATCGTCGCAGCCATCAGACCATCAAACTCAATGGCTCTGCAAATACTGATTTCGCATCTCAGTACGCTTCCTTGATCTGATCAAGCCCTTCACGCCCCTCCTCCCGGAGGTGGCTGCGCCTGAAACCAAGGTGCCCTTCAACCAGAAGCTGATGTGGACGGGTGTACGTTGCTCCTGAATATCGAACCTTGACAGCGTATGTCGCTTGGAGGGTAATAGACTGACGTGATTCGGCTCTTTAGTTGACTCTCCTGATCTTCCTGGTCATGAGCCAGATGCCTTTGTACGGTATCGTGTCCTCCGACACCTCTGACCCCCTGTACTGGCTGCGTATGATGCTTGCCAGTAATCGTGGAACCCTGATGGAGTTGGGTATCACCCCCATCATCTCCTCTGGCATGGTCTTCCAGGTATGTCAAACTGATCTCAATCGCGCATATTCAATTTCCAAGGAACGCAAGCTCACATTTCGTCAATATGTAGCTCCTCGCCGGAACCCACCTCATCGATGTCAACCTGGACCTGAAGACCGACCGCGAGCTTTACCAGACCGCCCAGAAGCTGTTCGCCATCATCCTCTCATTCGGTCAGGCCTGTGTGTACGTTCTGACTGGTCTCTACGGCCAGCCCAGCGACCTTGGTGCTGGTATCTGTGTGCTTCTGATTGTTCAGCTGGTCGTGGCCGGTCTGGTCGTTATTCTTCTGGATGAGCTTCTCCAGAAGGGCTACGGTCTTGGCAGCGGTATCTCTCTGTTCATCGCGACCAACATCTGCGAGTCTATTGTGTGGAAGGCCTTCTCCCCCACCACAATCAACACTGGCCGTGGTCCCGAGTTCGAGGGTGCTATCATTGCGCTGTTCCACCTCCTTCTGACTTGGCCCGACAAGCAGCGTGCCTTGTACGAGGCCTTCTATCGCCAGAACCTGCCCAACGTGATGAACCTGCTGGCCACTCTCCTGGTCTTCGCCGCTGTCATCTACCTGCAGGGCTTCCGTGTTGAAATCCCGGTCAAGTCCGCTCGCCAGCGTGGTATGCGCGGTTCTTACCCCGTTCGTCTCTTCTACACCTCCAACATGCCCATTATGCTCCAGTCCGCTCTGAGCTCCAACGTCTTCCTGATCTCCCAGATGTTGTACTCTCGCTTCTCGGACAACCTGTTGGTCCGCCTTCTCGGTGTCTGGGAGCCTCGCGAGGGCTCGGCCCAGCTGTACGCTGCTTCTGGTATCGCCTACTACATGTCCCCTCCCTTGAACTTCAAGGAGGCCCTCCTCGACCCCATCCACACTGCTGTGTACATCGCCTTCATGCTCGTTGCCTGCGCTCTCTTCTCCAAGACTTGGATCGAGGTCTCTGGCTCGGCCCCCCGTGACGTTGCCAAGCAGCTCAAGGATCAGGGTCTGGTCATGTCCGGTCACCGTGAGCAGAGCATGTACAAGGAGCTCAAGCGTGTCATCCCCACTGCTGCCGCCTTCGGTGGTGCCTGCATTGGTGCTCTGTCCGTTGCCTCCGATCTTCTCGGTGCCCTTGGTAGCGGTACTGGTATCCTCCTTGCTGTCACGTGAGTTCCACCCTCGTCCCTGCGTTATTGTCAGGCTTACTAATTTCAAATTTTTGCCCACAGCATCATTTACGGATACTTCGAGATCGCCGCCCGCGAGGGTGACATTGGCGCTGGTCTCAAGGGCCTCGTTCCTGGCAGCTAGATGCACAGTGTGCCTTTTTCTCCTTCCTTGACGGGCCATCGATGGGTGACTACCACTTTGTCATCTGTCGCAGACCCGCTCGACTCTTCTAGTGTTTTTATTTTTCTTCGCTCTCCATTATACCTCCTGAGTGAGAGTGAAGCTTTCATGTGTGGATTGCTCGAATTGTGCAGGCCGGTCTGAACCTGGCCTCCTCGGTCCAATTCCCGCTCAAGCCCAGAGGTGTGGCCCTACAACATGCCCAAATTGGGATTATTGGCATGGGGCTCCATCTCGGTGCACTTACGATCCTGGACTGAACATGTCGTGCACCGCGGTCTGGGGGGAGGGGGGTTCGCCGATGGAGGGCGGTCAGAAGAGCTTGGCATGAACAGTTGAGCCAGCCATTTTGGACGAACCTTCGCAGGAGGCACTTGTAACCATATTCCATGTCAAAAATATACAATTCAAAGATTCCAGCGAATTAGGTCACAGTAGCCACTTGAAGTGAGAATATCGATGGCACATGCATATTGTGTACAGACTACAGTGTACAATCATAGGTCGTCTGTGTCGAAAAGGGAAACGGGTCACAATCGGGACGATTGATCGGCCGCTGACACTCTAGATCTGGATGATCCGATCGTTTGCCTCACGTATTAGAGATGCGTGCCGGATCTGATAGCCAGGCCCCATAAAGTGAGTCATACCTACCTGGTACGAAGGTCCCCATCAGGCGCGATCAGAAGAAACTAGAAAGAGAGCTTGGATGTGACAGTCCGATGAATCGACCGATCCGTCCATTGATATGACGCCAGTCCTTTTCCGCCGTGGAGAGGTACAGACTAAGACTACAGCTCGAGACTGTTGCCATCAATGAGAACTGATAGGTAGCACAAGTAGGTACTGGTAGTCCTTCAAATTCTGCAAGTGATGCGAGGCCGTACTGGGTTGTTAGAGTATTCCTTCGAGACCGACCAACGTCTAGTTGGATATTAAGTTTAGCTAAGATGCGTTTGTTTGACAAAGACTGTATGTAGTATGTATGACTATGAGACTACGAGTGTATGCCAATGTGGATTCACTGGATTCAGTGGATTGTATCACTATCTTGTAGGGTTGTATAATACAATATACATTATACATAGATCTGTACACTTTGTAACGTCTTACATCAATTGAGTCTTGACACTGGTCCCAACGGAAGTTCCGCTCTCAACCAGTTCGGGGTCTGATTGATCTGTTCCAGTGAGACCTGAGTTCTCGCCATGTATTGTATGTGACCGTACGATGCATTACCCGTAATCCTGGTTCGAAGGGTCCGGTATCCTCGGGCAACTCGCCGTCTCCGTGACGGCGAGCTTAAACAGCCGCCCACGAGGGGCAGATCGCCGCCATTGGAGTGAGGCAAGATCGCTGGCGGGGTGATGGCTGGACTCGCGGGGCTTGACTAATAGACCCTCGCAAGGTTCAGGGCTGTCTGTCGCTGTATTTGTCGGCATGAGGGCCCAGAGGTTGGACCCTGGTTGACTCACTCATATAATTCCCATCGTTCCCTTCAACGGTCGTCCGTCTTCTTCTACCTCTTCTTCTTTTCTTCCATCTCATTTCTCCCCTCCTTTCACAAGGTCTTCGTATTCCCTTTTTCAGTCACCGTGTCATTTGCGTATACCACAGTCGTCGTTCACAATGGTCCAAGGAAACGGTACCTCCAGCAATGACTTCACCGTCAAGGCTGGCCTTGCGCAGATGCTGAAGGGTGGCGTGATCATGGACGTGATCAACGCGGAGCAGGTATGTCATTCCGCAGTCACTGCGGTCGAGCACTCCGTCCGGTTGACTTCCCCTACGAATCAATGCACTGACGCGCCATCTCAATCGTAGGCTCGAATCGCGGAGGAGGCTGGCGCCGCCGCTGTCATGGCTTTGGAGCGTGTGCCCGCTGATATTCGCGTTGAGGGTGGCGTTGCCCGCATGTCCGACCCTGCTATGATCAAGGAGATCATGGAGGCTGTCACCATTCCCGTCATGGCCAAGGCTCGTATCGGCCACTTTGTCGAGTGCCAGGTATGTGTATACGTGTTCAAATTGCTCAGCGGGGCAATTCAGCCGGACCCTGTGATGTACTGCAATACTGCCTGTCGTACATTGCTGGGATAACGTGGGAGGCGACTCAAGATGGCTAACCTGTCTTTCTTCTTTCTACCTCACGTCTAGATCCTCGAGGCTATCGGTGTTGACTACATTGATGAGTCTGAAGTGCTCACCCCCGCCGATGATGTCTACCACGTTACCAAGTCTACATTCAAGGTCCCCTTCGTGTGCGGCTGCCGTAACCTGGGCGAGGCCTTGCGTCGTATCTCCGAGGGCGCCGCGATGATCCGCACCAAGGGCGAGGCCGGTACCGGTGATGTCGTTGAGGCCGTGAAGCACATGCGCACTGTCAACTCCCAGATTGCTCGTGCCCGCGCCATCCTCCAGAATGCGGCCGACCCCGAGCCTGAGCTGCGTGCCTTTGCTCGGGAGTTGGAGGCTCCCTACGAGTTGCTTCGTCAAGCTGCCGAGTTGGGCCGTCTCCCTGTGGTCAACTTCGCCGCCGGCGGTGTTGCTACTCCCGCCGATGCCGCACTGATGATGCAGCTGGGCTGTGACGGTGTCTTTGTCGGTTCTGGAATTTTCAAGTCTGGTGATGCCAAGAAGCGCGCGAAGGCCATCGTTCAGGCTGTGACCCACCACAAGGATCCCAAGGTTCTTGCCGAGGTCAGCGAGGGCCTGGGCGAGGCTATGGTCGGTATCAACGTGCAAAGGATGCCCGAGGCCGATAAGATGGCCGGCCGCGGCTGGTAAACGTCCGTCCTACACACTGTTGTTGGATTATCTTTTCATTTTGCTGAAGCCTTTCACACCAACCCGCGAGCTCCTTTCGACCACTCCATTCCTGTGATTCCTCACCTCTCGCTCGCTTCGTGATTTGTGGAGCTGAGCCAAAATCTCCTTCCTGTATGAAGCCATGAATTTGTTTCTCTTTCTGTTGCATGTTAGTCTCTACCAAAATCTAGAAAGGCGCTCAAGCATGGCCGTTGAATTGAAAACGTCGACTGTACCGGAATCATAGCCCGGAACCGTTTATATTCCATCTTCTGCTACCTCACAATGTAGAGTGTCAGCGCTGGACCCCAGAGAGTCATTATTTTCCCAATTTGCCAGGTCCAATGGATTTTGGAACGCGTCCACCCCAGCGATACTGCGATAATAGCGTCGCCAGTGTGACCTCCGATCGATGACAATACTTCCGGTGCCACCCTCCAGCGTCAGCGTGGGTCCAGCGAGAGGGAAAGTGGATCGACGCATCCGCTCGATTTGGATAACGGAAGGCGAAGGGGTGTGTATCCACTCTCCACCATGCCCATGCCGGGTCGAATGGGTGACTGCCTCGGTGTTGGAATTGGAACACACCCAGCTGTCCAGTGTTCAGTTTCTGCTCTCTGTGGGTTCCCCCGCTGCGAGTGTGCTGTGCAAAAACGTCTCTTGGTGAAGTTTGACAATTAGAAAAACGCAAACTTGAAATTTCCTCAGGTTCAGGTGTCGGCGTGAGGCAACTGTTTCGAATCCCGAATCTGTGGGTTGACGATCGAGGCCGGGCTGCTGATGGATCTGTCTTGTCTCTGCCGCGGGTCTTGGTTAGATCAACAAGATCTACATGGACATTGTATTGTGCCGCCTCATTGCCAATTATCCGCTCACGTTAGGGCGTTGCGAAAGCCGCTTCCAGTTTTCTGTTATAGGCTGTTATAGTCGAGTGTAGGTATCTTAGCGGCCATCTGATACTAGGCAGGTTCTTGACTCCGCGCCACTCATCGTCGGGCTCATTCATACTTTATAGTTCATACTCACACTGTTGATGCTGCTGGCATCAGTTTCAGGTCTGTGGTGTCTCGCAGAGATAAGCTGATCAGCGCAACGTGTGCCGGTTATAGTCATCACTGCTGCTGGAACATGCCTTGGGACTAAGTAGTTACTAAGGTTGGTGCAACATAATCATTGCAAAGTGCGGCCTCGACTCTTGCAGTACTGCTATTGAGGCTATTGTACTATAGCTATGTCACTGTCCACACTCCACACTCACAAGTAGTTGTCTACTGTATCAACTACAAAGTGTATGGTAGTAGTAGCATTTCCCGAGGCAGTGTGTGACAGTGTGCCTGTGTGGTCGGATCTGGTCTGCGGTGAACGTGCCAAACGCTTTTTTCCAGTCTGACGGGAATGCTAAAAAGTCAATTCAATGGGGTTTAGAGAACACCAACTGGAGCATGGGTATCTAGAGGTAGGGAAATATTGCACCGATGACTCGAGTCTCGAGGTGGAGGTCACTTCTGATATTATCTTTTATGACTTCTGCTGTCAGGCGTTGAGGACTTGAGTCTCGCTCGCGTAGCAACTTATCAAGTAGTCAATTACTAACTTATTGCAAATTGGAGTGGAACGAGAAGTTGCTTCTCATGTAAGTGCTTGTAATTTTATGTAACACAAACTATCTACTAAGTATCTACTAGTAGTATCTACTAGTAGTATCTATTTCGATATCTATGTAGTATGTAGTACCTATTGGACTAATACCTAGCAGGCTAGCACCTACTAACCATTATCTACTGAATTCAGCAATAGCGTTCGCATCCAAAATCGCCAATGACTTTAGACTTTGAGCAATCATTTCCGACCATCGTCGTAGGTTAGTACCGCTCTTGCAGCAGCTTGGCAGTGCACCGAAGGTCCGACAGCCCGACACTATCCGCCTGTGCATTCCGAGCGAGCCCCGCCAAAGGGCTGCAGAATACAGTAGTGTATTGTACTTACATGACCACATCAGGCATTACCGTACATCATCTCAGTTTCCAATGGAAAGTGGGAACTCTTCCAAGTTCCTAGTGTCCCACCGGATCCACCCAGACTGACGGTGGCGGATCACTTGCAGATTCCGACAGTTGAGATCCTAAGCAGCTTCGAGATTCCCGGTGTAGCCCCCCCCCCCCCCCCCCCGGGCAATGTAGGTAAGGACCGTGAGAAATATGAAGTGGCAGTCCTATCTAGGCAATGAGGAACAGCACGGACGTAGATCATGGCACTGTCATGCTGCTGCAATTGCTTGCGCCTACCAGACGCCGAGTCCGGGAGAGGAAGGAAGACAAGTTTAATTTGGAAGGTACTTTACTTTGTAAGACGTCGAGCGTCTCTGGGCAATACAGTACATATGTACTACATAATACGTCTACCGAAAACGTGCGAACTCGGGGACTGTGAAATGATACATCGATGAGACGAGTGATGCTTTCCTGGCCTAAGTTCCCTGTGTAGATATTGGAAGATTGGGAGGGGACGGGATGGGATTGAAATACAAGTGCCATTGAAACATGGGGAGCCGCGCACTTTATATTGAAAGCTACCTACCTAGTCTGCCTGCCAGATCTGTATCCACGCAAGCAACATTGAACCTTGGGCATGGCAGGTCTTGAGATAATGAACTGACTAGTCTTTGCACTCGTGCTGCAGAGCAGAATTGAATCGGGCAAGCAGATATAAGTCTTCCATCAACCATGGCGTTTTAAGGTTACTACCTTCAAAGGATAGGAATTGGTGTAATCGCCTGAGACATACGTTCGTCAGCAGCTTCCACTCATTAGGAGACCACGTACTTAATGTACGTATAGCACTTGAACATATCAATACCCATGATTGGCTCAATGTATCGCAGCTAATATATCTAATAGTCTATTCTATCATGATACTAAAACATTAGTGGAGTTCTTGGTCGCTGGCTGGTGGTGAAGATCGTGAGGTACTGCAGTTATGCGACCGAATCGGAGCTTCCCTCCAGAGATCCAGCCGAGGTCGATGGTACCGGTATCAAGTAGTAGTACTGTCTTCTGTCCTAGCTTATCCCATGCACAGTGCACTTGTCTCTTTTCTTGCCCCATCAACTGCACGCCACGTCTCACAAGCCCTTGATTGATATCAAAACGACCCAGCTAAAGCCTCGTTCAGATATCTTTTATGCGGCTGTAAAGATACCTACCACGCCTGCTTTATCACTCAATCATGTTCAACGACATCAGCCTGCCTCCACCCCCACTTCCAGCCTCGGAGCGAACTCAATTAGCACCGGGGATAGCGAGATTACTCCCTCTGTCGCGCCGGGGTTATGGGCCCGGACTGATCCTCCTTGGTCCAGATACAGACCAACCTACTCAAATCGTCGATGGGGTCCCGTCTCATCTAGTCAAGTGGGCTGAAGAAGGGTACGCTGTGGTTGAGATCCAGCGGCAGGCGTTGGTGGACCGTCCGGAAGAGGCGCTCACCCAAGCTGTCGAAGCGCTAGAAGCCTGCGACAAATGCATTCCGAAAGACAAAATTGGCCTGATTGGTGAGTCATCGTGTGCTTCATTGACATCGACTCTGTTCTAAACGTGCGCTCAACACATCCCGCATCAGCGTACGATTATGAATCATGGAACCATGTGGTCTCTGCCTTGACGACCATTCCCGCCATCGTGGCGGGTGTCATTTTTGGCAGTCTGTCTAGCAGCCCAGTCTCAGAATCTGCCGGTCTCCCAATCTTGCAACATCTGGCCGGGAAAAAGCCAGACACACCTTCTCAAAACGATGGCCTCAAAGTTTTCTACTATCCAAATGCCAAGTCGCATCGATTTGCAACGCCGTTTCAAGACGAGTTTGACTACTGGGCAGAGTCTGTCTCGCATACGCGCACACTGCAATTTCTCAAACCTTTCCTGAATGGCCCTTATTTCGACTTGGAACATATTTGGGAAGAACATACATATTATGAGTTTGCCGATCGATCGGTCGATCATACAATGAGTACTATGGTTGATCAGCCTTATGTCAATCATGTTCCTACGGTACGTCGTCTATGAAGATCAAAACTGACCGGAACAATGTGCCGTCTACGTTATGTGACTAACCTCCTGGCCTTCAGTTGACGGGTGGGATTGGACGCGAGCGCTTGCACAACTTCTATTTGCACAGCTTTATCTTCAACAATTCAGATGATACCGATCTCGAACTCATCAGTCGAACAGTGGGCATCGACAGAGTGGTGGATGAATTCATTTTCAAGTTCACTCACGACAAGCAACTTGATTGGCTGTAAGTAACGTGAGCTGTGAACTCAACGCATCCCTTCGGATTTCCAGCGATCTACACCATCGTCTGGTCGAGATAGACACTTGCTGATGACCCTCAACATAGGCTGCCTGGAGTACCCCCAACCCACAAACACGTTGAGGTTCCATTTACAGCTGTGGTCAACATTAGAGGAGACAGACTGTACCACGAGCATATCTCGTGGGATCAAGGCTCGGTGCTTAGACAGCTTGGCCTGTTGCCAGACTACTTGCCTTATCCTTATGCCTTACCCGATGGCACTCAGCCGGCCGCAGGGAAGCGCTTCGAGTATCGAGTACCAGTGGCAGGAGTCGAGTCCGCGAACAAGATGAGAGACCACCATTCGATCGCATCGAATCAAATGTTTGGGTATCGGCTGCGCGAGGTACCCGAATGATCGTCACGGGAGATGGTCGGGTTGGGCCTTGTTGAACCGCACCAGATTTAAGCTGTGACATCAGCAGATAATCTGTTCGAAGACAGGGACTTGGAAAAATACATGTTGAGCACCTAAGATGTAGCAGCCGCTCTCAGAGGTTTTATTCAATGATGCAATCTTCTATTCGTATCTACATGCTGTCTTTTGAGCAATTTCCAGTCATGTGCAATGTCTTGTATATTATGGCATCGACTCTGCCCAGGATATCCATCGTCGCACACAATCGTCCACACGACGCAACGCGTCTTTCGCCGCCTCAACTTCAAACCATTCACGGTGCTCTTTGCCACATTCCTCACAGCGACCCAAATCACGCAACCGCAAATCGTCCAGCTCAAGATGAATCAACCTTTCAACACGATGCACATGCGGAACTTTTCGTCCAGGCTGGGAAAGGGTCTCCGAGCTGACAGCGCTGTTCTTGCGAGCAGGAGATGGACACGGAGACGACGGTGTATAAGGATAGTATCTGATGAGAGTGAGATCGTACGAGCACTGTCGAGTCCATTCTGCTAGCCGACGGTGCACGTTGCTTGTCCGACCAATCTTCAGACGAATCGTGCCTGGACTTGAATTCGACGGTTTTGTTGTCAGAACGTCAAGGTCTCTGGCAGCACGTAGTGCGTCGCTGATGCTGCGGTCCTGTGCCGGGGGTCTCAGACCGCCTCGATCATTTGAGTGACTGGTCGGCATGATTGAAGCAGCAACATCCCTTGGCACGGGGGGTTGTGTGTCTCGAGTTGTCTTTTGAGGAGTAATCCAGAACATGTAGATGTAACCTTGATCATCGGCCGTTGAGATGGGCTTCGCCAACTCTGCAAGAAGCACCGATGTGGTTTGCGGCGGAAGATCTTTGGGAATCCATGACAAGAGGGCCGGCGTCTGTGATGACGATGACGAATGCCTGCCATGGTAGGGTGGATTTGGTCTCTGTAACGTTTGCGCTGGGGACGGTCGCACCTTTTGTTGCGGCCGAGTTGGTGCCGGTCTTGGTACCGGCGCTGCTGGTCGATGGTCTTCGTTGTCGTCAACGATCTCGAAGCAACAAAATGTTCTTCTTGGGCGACGCTTTTCAACCGGACGTTGGGGACGCCCAGGCTTCTTTCGAGAGGGTTGTGCTTTTCTAGATGGCTTGTCTTGAATGTCAAGCACCCCGAGCCGATCCATGAGCGTGTCAATGCTTGTCCTGGGCTTGACTGGGCTGGAATGGTCGTTGAGGGTTGGCACCGCACTTTGAGCCTGATCCTTATGCTGCCAGCAGTACAAGTCCGATATGTCGGTCGCATCTTGACGAGCGTTCCACTTATGAGGCGTTGAAGCCGGGGACGGTGTCGCGGATGAAGCTAACGCACGACGACACGGCCGGCCTTGGGTCGTGAGACCTCTACATGTAGTCGCGTGGTCCTTTGAGTCTGCACGCGACAGTGCAGATTCCGGCGTGTTATGTATACGAGGCATGCAGTCTTTTGGAGGTCGCCCAGTCTCCGTCAATGGTGGTTGACTGGAAATGCTGAACTGTCCAGGAACTGGCTCGAGTCGCGAGGAAAAGAACCTGGCGCCAGAATATAGTCTAGACTGGAGATAGAAGGTGTCGACATAATTTGCTATGACGATATTTTGGGAAGTGGATTTAATATGCGCCCAGCATTCACAGCTCCACCTTCCAACCTCCAGCACGTCCCTTGTTGTCTCTTGTGTCTCGAGTCCAGTCCAATTAGGCGCCCAAAATCAGGAAGTTTTATTTTTATTTCCGTAAGCAGTGAGTGCACCGCCACATGGGGCGGTTTTTCGGGGTAGGACTGCGGTCACGTGCTGTCAGGTTCGACTGCATTTGATTCTTTGAATCACTGAATCACGTTCAGGACTGAGGACTCCACGTATTGAGGATATAAAGTACGTTATTAACCCGACCAGGAACGTATATATTACTACTCATGGGACGAACAATCCATGGGCCAAGCTGGAGAGCCTCACCCGCCACACAACCTTAAATAAGCTGGTCCAGCGATTGAATACCATCACGTGACAGAGCTCCCTTCGGCTCTGGGTGCAGGGATCCGAAGAGCGCTATTGCATGTCCATTATTGTACAAATGTACACAGTCCAAGGGTTCTGCTACTTTGGGCCTTGAGGCCTGTTGAGAGGTCTGCATGTGTCATGTTGGAGTATCACGGAAACACCCCTTTACTGCATCTGTAAGTAGACTACAAATTCGTCTAGTGGATCAGTCGTAGTATCCATGTACCTACTTATCCTGGTAACTAGCGAGATTCTACTTAGTTCATAGGCGGTGTATTTCGTGTATTATCGTATTCCGTTTTCGGACCGTACAATAAAGGCCTTGTTCGGCGCTTCAAGGTTCCAGAGGTCAAGGTTACCAAGGCCAGCAAAGCTCTCTTGGGTCCCTTGACAAATCTCGAATATTCATGGTTGGCGAGCAAGCCTCTTATGAAACTTTGGCCATGTAGTTGTATTTACAAAGCTGCCGACCTCATCTTCGCTCGATGACAGCGAACAAACCGACTCGGCGCCGGTGAAAGCATCTACTGTAAGTCTGGGGGCCTCGGCGAGTGCAAAGATGACAGTCTGACGTGGTGGACCGCTGGATGAAGCTTCCGGCACCGCTCACCCTATGACCGAGCCCTGTCGAGTTGGCGGACCCCCCCCCCAATGTGCAGACAACCGGCCCGATTGTAGCCACCCCCAAGCTTGTTATCCAAACGGTACCACTGGAGCACTACTGCGCTATCTTCGGTTACCCCTCGTCCAGACGCCTCTGGATTTCCCCGCGACCTTTCTGATTACTCCTGTTGTGATCGCGGTTGACCTCTTGCATCCGGCGTCCATGCTATTCTCCCGCTCAATTCGCCTGCCCCGAATACCACTAGGATCATTCAGCTTCCACCCTCGACGAACCTTTTCCACTTCCCGGCCTCGCCTGATTATCGACATGGGAACTGTGAATACCACGGAGCGCTTGGCGCAACTGCGGCAGTTGATGAAGGAACACAAATTAGATCTCTACAGTCAGTAACCAATAGCCATCGGGGGAGAAGTGTGCCACGTCTGATCGCTCTTGTGAACTGACAGCTTGAAACATCCTTTAGTCGTGCCATCCGAGGACAGCCACCAGTCCGAATATATTGCGCCGTGCGATGGTCGCCGAGGTAAGCCCAATTGAGCAGCTCTTGGTGCCACGTTGAATGTAGAGAGCTCACACTTCCAATCATGCGTTTAGAGTTCATTTCGGGCTTCTCGGGCTCCGCTGGCACGGCCATTATCTCTCTGAGCAAGGCCGCCCTTTCTACCGATGGCCGATACTTCAACCAGGCCGCCAAACAACTGGACAGCAACTGGCATCTTCTGAAGCAAGGCACGGAGGGCGTGCCTACTTGGCAGGAATGGTATGGATCGCGAGGCGAATGACCATTGAACACGAATTGCTTACAATGGCCCAGGACAACGGAGGAGGCGCAGGGTGGGAAAGCCGTCGGTGTTGACCCTTCCCTGATCACTGCCTGTAAGTGTGAAACCCTCGTTGCGATGACTGGTCACGTGAGAGCTTTCCTCTGACGATCGATCTTTAACCTAGCTGGCGCACGCAAGCTTGCGGAAACACTTGGAAAGAACGGTTCATCCCTGGTGGGAGTCCAACAGAACTTGGTCGACTTGGTTTGGGGTAGTGACCGTCCGTCGCGTCCTCGTGAGAAAGTTCGTGTTCACCCAGTGGAATACGCCGGAAAGCCATTCCAGGAAAAGATTGCCGAGCTACGCAAGGAATTGGAGACGAAAAAGAAGGCTGGATTCGTTGTCTGTATGTCGCACAGTCTCTTTGACTCGATGGCGCCTGTCCACGATACTGACCTCGGATTGTAGCCATGCTCGACGAAATTGCGTGGTTGTTCAACCTGAGAGGAAGCGAGTAAGCCGTCAACCGATCTATCTGTGCGAATCAAGCCCTCGCTGACGATAATCAAGCATCCCCTACAACCCCGTTTTCTTCTCATACGCAATCATTACGCCGTCCGCAGCAGAGCTTTATGTCGAAGCGGACAAGCTCACCCCGGAGGTTATTGCTCACTTGGGACAAGACGTCATTGTCAAGCCTTACGATACCATCTTCGCAGATGCCAAGGCTCTCAGTGCAGCACGCGTCGAGTCAACTGAACAGGCACCGAACAAGTTCTTGCTTTCCAACAAGGCTTCTTGGGCGCTGAGTCTGAACCTCGGCGGTGAAGGTCAGGTAGAGGAGGCCCGTAGCCCCATCGCAGATGCCAAAGCAGTCAAGAACAAGGCCGAGTTGGAAGGCATGCGGGCGTGTCACATTCGTGATGGTGCAGCGTTGACCGAGTATTTCGCTTGGCTGGAAAATGAGCTTATCAACAAGAAGACCGTCATGGACGAAGTTGACGGCGCAGACAAGCTTGAACAAATTCGTACCAAGCACGACCGTTTCGCTGGACTCTCCTTCGACACCATCTCCTCCACCGGACCCAATGGTGCTGTGATTCACTACAAGCCGGAGAAGGGTAGCTGCTCGATCATTGATCCTACTGCAATCTATCTCTGCGACTCCGGATGTCAGTATTTGGATGGAACAACTGACACTACCCGCACTTTCCACTTTGGCCAGCCTACAGAGTTCGAGAAGAAGGCCTTTACTCTGGTACTCAAGGGCATGATCGGAATGGATACTGCCATCTTCCCCAAGGGAACCAGCGGATTCGCAATCGACGTGCTCGCTCGCCAGTATCTGTGGAAAGAGGGGTTGGACTACCTCCACGGCACTGGACATGGCGTCGGTTCTTTCTTGGTGAGTAGTTTGTCTTGCCGACACGTCGGATCTCAAGTCAAGTACTAAATATGTTCAGAATGTCCACGAAGGACCCATGGGAATTGGAACCCGCGTCCAGTACACTGAAGTCCCCATCGCCGCGGGACATGTTTTGTCAAACGGTTCGGCCACCTCACAAATCAGATTTTTTTTCCCTCACTGATCGGACTAACAACTATTTGCAGAGCCTGGTTACTACGAAGATGGCAAGTTTGGTATCCGCATTGAGAGTAAGTCTTGCAGAGAAATCGGCTGTGAGTAATTACTCGGACTGACATCGTTTAGACATCATCATGGCGCGCGAGGCCAAGACCAACCACAAGTTCGGTGATAAGCAATGGCTTGGCTTCGAGCATGTTACAATGACCCCCATCGGCCGCAACCTGATTGAGCCATCTCTCCTCAGTGACGGTGAGATTGAGTGGCTGAACAACTATCATGCCGAGGTCTGGGAGAAGACCAACCACTTCTTCAAGGATGATGAGCTGACCCTGAAGTGGCTTGAGCGCGAGACCCAACCTATCTCAAAATAGAGCGATGGGGTGTCTTGTAGACCATGGAGAATGACGCAGGCCTACGTGGCTGTGTCGAGTAACGAGCAAACAAAGTTCACCTACAAATGATATCAGACCTAGAGCTCACCACACGGGAGCTGCTGGGAAGTCAAAAGCTAAAAGACATTTCCCCGGCCTTGTACCACCATAGAATTGATCTTAGATGAAATCAATGGCTTGTCAACACTCTAGCCTCCTTTCCAATACCCATCCCGCCGTCCTTATTGTAATTCTTTCCGGACTCGTATAGTCAATTGCACTCAATATTCAGGACCGAGCGTGTCCCGTCCTTTATCATTGGTCCTCTATCTCAGTACCTGATTCCGGAATGCGGCCCACGGCAAGCTTATGTGGACCCTCAGAGCACCCGGAACTTTCGCAACTTGTTCAACAAATACGATTCAGACTTCCCTACGCTTACCAAGTGTCTTGGCCTTGTTTCCTCTTGACAGATCCAGTGTTAGTAGGTAAATGGCCTTTGCTCAAGAATGAGCAGGGTCATCTCCTTATACACCCCCGTTAGAAGCCACATCCATCGAAGGCGCGGAAGACCCCACCTGTCCGCAATCCCCTCGATTCCACGCCCCTTGTCGCAGCGCAAGCGCACCGAAAACGACTCCGACCCGGTATCCATTGCCACCCAGTCTGCGACGTAAACCACTGGGATGAGTGGTGGAAGCGGCTACGGTTACAGTCATGGGCAACCCGCTGGCAGCCGGTATGATGCCGGTGAGGGGACCTACGGCAATGGCAGCCTTCAAGTAAATGGATACGGCGACCGCAGCGCAGGGAGTCCCGAGAGGGAAAGAGGAGGAGGAGGAGGAGGAGGAGGAGGAGGTACTCGCGAGCGTCGCCCCGGTGGTTACGGTGGATTTTACTCCGAGTCGTCACAACAGCCATCTCTCGCTCAGCAACAACCGTCAGCATCCCCCGAGCGTCGCCGCGATCGGACGGACCGAGATCGATCGCAAACATCAAAGTCCGGATCGCGGTCCCGTACACGGAACGGCGAGGCAGATAGAAGATACCAAGGGGAAAGAGATGCACGACCACGAAACGGGTCGCGATATCGTGAGGACAGAGGTCCCGGAAGTCATGCTCCTGTGAGCAGGCCGGCGCCGGCAGCCACCGCCGAGATGAGATCTGTAGAAGGTTTGTTCTACCTACCCAAGCTGCTTGTGATCTTGAGATGAATGTGGTGATACTTCCAGTCTGGAACGACATGCTGATTTTGCCCTTCCAGACGTCCTTCAGGCTATACAACGAGACTGGGACTTTATGACCGATTCCGAATGCATACCAGTGCATGTCGCCCTCAGCCTGATGGACACGAGTACTCTAGGCAAGGCTGATCGTGAGCCAGACTTCCTGAGAATGTACGAGCAGATTCAAAGAACACTCAAAGCGATCGTGAACGAGCACCACCAAGGCTTCAACAGCTCTATCGGAACATATCACATGATTCAGTCGAACATATCCAGCTCTCAGGGTCGAGTGCGAAATTTGAGGAATTCGCTGGAAGAATCAAAGTCCGGTCTGTTGTCAACGAAGCCGGAACTGAAAGGGCTGGCGACGTCGTCGCAGAAATACGATGACATTCTGCAGCTATTTGCGCAGATAGAAGAGATCCAGTCACTACCTGAGAAGCTGGAGTCTCGTATTTCCGACAAAAGGTTCATCGCCGCGGTCGAGGTTCTGCATGCCGCTCTCCGTCTGCTCCGTCGCTCTGAGTTGGAGGATATTGGAGCCCTCGCCGACGTCCGTGCCTATTTTAACAATCAAGAGACCTCTTTGACAGATATCTTGATTGAGGAGCTACACGATCATCTCTACTTGAAGTCTCCATATTGTGCAGACAGGTGGAAAGCTCCGGTTGGCGAGGGAGAGCTTAGCTCCAGTAGCTGGGTTGGCAATCGCTCGTGGGAACGACCCGTATACAGCTTTCTGGCAAAGTTCGACGGATCCAGTCCGATGGTCGAGGATGCATCAAGGAATCCAGAGGCCGACACCTTCTCATATATTCAACTGCTGATCGAGGCGTTGAACAAAATGGGCAATCTAGACATCGCAATCGATCGTATTGCGCAGCGGTTACCAGTCGAGCTATTTGCCGTCGTTGACAAAACAAACGCGGAGATCGATGCCCGTTACCCCGTTCCGAATCGAACTTTCTCCTCCCATGATAACCAGTTGAAGTCTACCGTCATGGCTGAGAACATCGAGCAGCGTGGTTTCGTTTTGACCGAGTTCCTAAAGGCACTCTACGCTAAATTTGAGTCCATAGCTGAAGGCCATCGAGTCTTGCACGACGTGATCACAGCTATCATCACACGAGAGGGTGGCGTCAAGAGCGATGCACTTTGTGGCGGATTCAAGGAACTGTGGAAGCTTCTGCAAAGCGAGATTAGATCACTTCTTCACGACTATCTTGCTACGGACGGTGAATCGTCTTACAGAACCAAAGCCGACGAAGCTGTCGCACGACGACACCTCGGACTCAACAGGGACAAAAACAGGAAGATGTTCAAACTGTCAGACATTGAGCAAAGTTCGGAAATGAAAGCCGAAGAAGATGAGCTTGACGAGATTCTCCAGTCATCCGTCCCGGGTCTTGTATCAAAAACGAGACAGAAGACATCGGTCAGTGAGGCATTGCCTTCACGGCAAGCCAATTCTGGCACGGGTCACAAGATCCTGCTAGAACCCAGTGTATTCAATATGAGGCTGTTGTTACCGCCATCATTGTCATTCATTCAGCGGCTGAAAGACATTGTGCCAACCGATTCTGACATCTCTATGACCACGCTAACGTCCTTCCTGGATGACTTCATGGTCAATGTCTTCCTGCCACAATTAGATGAAACAGTGACCGACCTGTGTACACTCAGCTTTATCGCCGCGGACGCTTTCACGGAAGATCCACAATGGACCAAGGTCTCCCCTCGGCCCATCTTCAAGGCAAGTCGAACTTTTCATTGAATCTCTTGTGTGTGCGCGGCTAATTATTATTTCTCTTATAGGGCACTGTAAAGTTCATGTCTATCGTCAGAGAGTTCAGCAAGATGCTGTCCAGCATCCCCCATGATCAGGCCTTTACACAGCTTTTGATTGATCAAATAGTCACATATTACGACAAATGCTGTGGATGGTATAAAGGTGAGCCTATTATAAAGACCGTTTGAAGTTCAAGTCCAGGCTCGAGACTGACAGTCTTCAAAGCTATGGTGACCAAAGTTTCCGCGCGGAATCACGGCGGTGAAGTTCGTTTAAAGGCAGCTGCCTCATTTGCCGAGAATGGCGATATCCATGACGTGGTGGATGAGCTGTGGAAAGGACCAGGGGCGAAGAAGCAAACACTCATCGAAACGGTAAGGCGTTATCGCGGTTGATCCTCAACGCAACCTATGCTGACTGGATCAGGAAATTGATCTTCTTCTCAAACGAACCGATGAGGTGCCTCTGGAGCCGTACGACATCATTTCGGATCCGAAATCTGTTGTGTCTTTGTCACTCCTGTACAACAGCATGGTATGCAAATTCTGATGATTCCCGGAATGATCAGGTCAATAGAATGCTCGCGCTGACACATCAACTATAGCAATGGCTCGAGAACCATCTATCAAAGCTTCGAATGGTCGTCGAATCTGTCTCTGACGCCGAGTCTTCGGTCGTCACAGCCAGTGGACGTCCATCTCGTCGCTGGACTCTTTTCGGGGCCATGAAACCTCAGCGCGACAGTATCAATTCCCCCATCTACTTGCCATTGAATCATGAAACGGCAACTGCCTTCGACCATACTCTTCAATCACTCCGAGCGCTTGGATCTACCGCTCTTCTCACACTCCACATTGACATTCGCTGTGGTATCATCCACATGTTGACTAAATCGATGTCTGGACCCAACCCCCCCACAGTGCGGAACTCGGAGCCCCTGACCCCATCCCCCAGCACAACAGAGAACTGGTGGCACATCATCATGAACCCCCCAACTGCAGCGTCCCCGTCTATTCTTCAGCTCAATTCCGACCTCATGAGCTTCAACACGAACATTTCTACCTATTTGGGCCCGACTGAGCACTGGTTCATCGCATCCGGGCTGGCGCGATTCATTGATCGGGTATTCGTGACATGCACCCGGTATATTGGGGCCATGAATGAGAACGGAGCGCTGCGCCTACAGTTGGATGTGCTTGTTCTCCAACAGAATCTGAAGAACATCATCATCGACCCCGCTGCGACCGGATCAACCGAATCGGCGTCCCAGGAAGTGGTGGCTCTGCCTCGGAGTGCAAAGTTCTTGGACTGGTTCCTTGAGGGGGCTGAGAAGGCCTTAGATTATGCCAAGGAGGAGAAGGAGGCGTTCGCATCTCAAGGGGACAAAGCTTTGGCTGCTGGTAATGGCGAGCCATTTACCTACGATGAGCTCCGTGTTCTTGTGGACCTTTGCTTCTCCGAGATCTCTCGTGGACCACGGGGTGCCGAGAGCCGAGAGGACTTTATGGCAGCGAAGAAGGCTAGTGCTGATGCCTTGTTACGTCTGAACGAGATCATGTGGGATGCGCGATAGGGTGTTTTTTTTTTCTCTTTCTTTTCTTTTCTTTTCCTTCCTTGTTGCTAGAAAGCCACCGAACAGCCCTCTTGCTATCTACTCCATATAACTCATTCTTCATCCCAGAATGGATTTATACCGTCCAATGTCCATTGCTTCGCGGAGAACATGCTCGAGCTATCGTACGTACACCTTGTGAAAGCCTATCGAGCCATACAACCGGACTCTGACGACCGCGATCCCACTCAATTTAACCAACCAAGCTTTCCATGTGTGAGATCAATAGTTCGAACAGCCCGCAGCAAATGGTCAATGCCATTTGCAGTCCTGTCTGAGCGTGTCATTTCCACCTAATCAATTCTTCCAGGATGCAATTCTACACCAATCATTGCCAGCCAACTGAGTCCACTCAGGTACGGCCGACTCCCTTTTTCGGTCTCATCCGAGCGTCGGCCGGGGCGCGATGGATCCGCGGACGTTTCATGTCATGTCCGTTTCATTTATCTCGCTACTCCAGCGCGAATTACGAATGAGTCTCGATCTCGCCATGAAGTTCTAGATCGGGGTACCCGGTAACATCCCAGCACGCCACTCTCACGGCAATTTAAGACCACCATGGCCGGGATGATAGGCCTTTTCGTCTCTTATTCTTTTGCGTCCTTTCTTTCTCTTCCAGCAATTCATCAACTTCAACTGTCTGCGACAGTTGTCATTCTTTACCACATCGGGCTTTGAAATTCTCTATTCACTCCTTCGAGTTTCGTATCGTGTCAATTGCAGTTGCGATTACTCGATTGTCAACATTCGCTATTCATCGCCTCTCTACATTCGTTACAAATCCCGCCCGATCGTCGTGATATTTGATTTCATACTGTGATAAAAAAAATTATCGTCTATACAATTTCACCATGAAGTACCAGGGTCTTGCTATTCTTTTCGGCGCCGCCGCAACTGCTTCTGCGAAGCATCTGGGTGAGCGTCATGGCCACAGCCAATGCCCCAAGGGCTATACTGCCTCTGTGTATACCAGCTACAGCACTATCTACTTGGACTCTACCTCTCCCACTGCCACCCAGGCTGTCGCTGCCGCAGAGCTCACCACTACCCCGTCGCCGATGGTGGTCGTTGAGGCTTCCACTTTGACCTCGACCGGTGACGCATATGAGTCTGCTCCGACATCATCTGCTGCTTGGGACAGCGCGGTGACTTCATCCGCTGCTGGAATCAAGGCCGTTATCACCTCTACTGAGGACGCTCCGGAGCCCACCGTTGCTGTCGTGGCTGAGATGTCCACCGAAACTGTGGTTGTTCCAGCTGCCACCTCGTCTGCCTCGTCATCCACTTCTGCTGCGCAAGTCGCGGCTGTCAACACCTCTCCTGCCTCGTCTTCGACTACTGCTCCGGCCTCTGCTGCCAGCACCACTTCTGCCTCTTCAGCTTCGTCTTCTTCATCTGCTCCATCGTCCTCGGACTCGAACTCTGCTTCTTCCTCGCCTGCTGCCAACACTCACCAGGTTACCTCCGCCGGCTCTTCCTCTGGCAAGGCTACCTTCTACGGTGGTAACCTCTCCGGTGGTACTTGCTCTTTCACCGGCTACACCTTGCCCCAGGGCATGTTCGGTACTGCCTTCTCCGGTGCTGAGTGGAACAATGCCGCCGAGTGCGGTGCCTGTGTTGCCGTCACTGGACCTAACGGTAAAACCATCAAGGCTATGGTAAGTTCGAATGTTCTTTTTCCCACATATCGGGGGAAAAAAAGATAAAAAAAAGGGAGAGTGTCCAACTGATCACCATTCCCCTCCCACACAGATCGTCGACAAATGCCCCGAATGCGAAGCCGGCCACTTCGACCTCTTCCAAAACGCCTTCGCCGAGCTCTCCGCTCTCTCTGCCGGTATCATCCCCATCAGCTGGGAATACACCCCCTGCGACCTCTCCGGCCCGCTCTCCCTCAAGAACAAGGTCGGCACTTCCAAGTACTGGTTCTCAATGCAGGTCGTCAATGCCAACGAGCCCGTTACCAAGCTTGAGGTCAGCACCGACGGCGGCAACTCGTGGAAGAGCACCACCCGCACCGATTACAACTACTTTGAGCAGTCTTCGGGCTTTGGTGTCGATTCATTCGATGTCCGCGTGACGGGCCAGTCGGGAACTACAGTCGTGGTGAAGAATGTCGGTCCTACCGCCGAGTCCGTGTACAAGGCTTCTGCCAATCTGTAAATGGGGTGAGGGGGCGAGGGGCGAGAGGGGAGGTTTCTTTCTGGATAGATAGGAGAAAGGGGTTTCACCTTGTCCGTTTTGCCTTGGATCTTAGTGATTCATGTTGTTGAGAGATAGACATCGCTCATACATAACATGGATAGGTTACTGTGTGGTCCCTTTTTCTCTAGTCATGAAACTACCAGTGCCTACCCATTTACTATGAAGTATGGACTATGTAGTACATTACTACATACGCAAGGTAGGTATCTTTTAATCTGTTTCCATTGCCGCTGAGTCGCAAGGGTTACTCGAATGGCTCGAACCCGATCAAGGCGGTGCTTCCCAAATCGTACTGGATATCAATATATATCAGATCTTGTCGAGAGCGCAGATTCATTCGAGGTCCCACCCAATAGGCCTGTAAACGCCAACACTTCGCTAGTACTCAACTCTACTTTCAGAAATTATAAGGCCAAATCCTAAAAGGGAATAGCCTGAGGGGGACTGGGTCGTATACAAGTTATGTGAAGAGACGGTAATGAATAGATAGGGTCAGGGGTAGGTACGTGACGGAAATTTTATCTTATGAGTGACAGAGTGAGTAGACTTGGGTATGTGAGAATAACAACTCTGACTCTTGATTCCCTACAGACTGTCTTCCTCTGATAATTTATCTTTAGGGAATCTACGAGTCCTTCGTTTAGTCGTGACGTCCTTGACTTGCGACTGGCTTCGGCCCACGTGACCTATCCTGGGTATCATTACGTTCGGTTTACTAAGTTACCGACCGAGCTTACCCTAACTTCTAATACTTAATAAGACTATACTGATTTCTCTTCTTGTGGTTATCTTCCCCTTCTAAGGGGATAGCCTTAGCCCTGACTAGTAGGTATCGAAGGAATGCAGCTTCGTTAGTGTTGAGTGGGTGTACCTAAAGGCTGTGTTGTGGTTGATGGAGGGAGTTTCTGTGTTGTCTGTTTGTAAAGAGAGAATTCTCAGTTGGCAATAGAACTTATCTTTTTGACTTCTTGTTATCTCTCCCAGAGCGCATTTTGGTGTTTTCTGAAGTATCACCGAATCAATATTACTTCATCTTTGATTCGTAGCAGCTACTGTACCTCCTACGGCTCTGCCTTTTGGTGGTAGTGATGGTGGTGATAGTGGTATAGGCGGGGCTGCTCCTCTAGCTCCTCCAGAGTCCAGCTCGTCCAAATCCGTTCACGCTTCCGGGGATGGAATTGCGTATTCAACACATATATCCGTTACTTTTTTGCGCAGTCTTCGCCTCTGCCTGCAGGGTCGGTCACGATTCGAGTACGTACCGTAGTGCACTCTGCAATATGACGACGAGCCTGCCCCTGGTACCGGGACTCTTTCGCAACGGACACATATGTTGAATACGCGATTCATCTCCGGAAGCGTGAACGGATTTGGAGACGCCGGAGCAGCTGGATACAATCGCAGGGCACACTTTTACACTTACAGCTCAGTGACGTTCTCCTTGAATCAAGACTCTGCCCATGTGGCTCGCCCACAAAGACTTATGTATACGCCAGACGGTCATGCTGGAATCAGGTAATGGGCGACGAGACATACATCCTGGCAACGTTTGGAAGATCATAGCGAGTCACATTAGTGCACTAGCTTCGTGATTAATTGAAATAAAAGTCGATTCCCCCCCCGCAATCACTGCGCCAGGCCGTCCCTTGACAATAAACTAGGAGAACGGAATAGAGAAACCGGGGTAGCATACATGGACCACTTAAAGGAGAGCAAAGAAACCACGAGTTCGAAAGGAGGACATAAAAAGCACTGCGGAGTAGGGAGGTTGGGTGAAACAAGAGCCCCAACAAGCGTTGCAAGGGCTGCTGGGGGACGTAGATAAGATAGGGAGACACAGGTTAATGGAGACCGTTCAAAAATAGTTTGGATAGTGTTTCCATAATCATTGCAAGAAGCTTGAGAAGAAAGACAGAAAAGAGAAAGGGCATCCGTGCTCAAAAGCGGTCAGATCACGAAACGGAGATGAGGGTATGTTCAAACATTGCGAGACCTGAGAAGATGTGGAGAGTAAGAAGAAGTTGAGAGGAGCGCAACAACGAAAGTCATGACACATCATTCACGACAGAAAAAAGAAAACCCAGAGCGGACGAAACGAGGGGAGGCTGTTTTATTCCAGACCGTCGAGAGTCTCTAGCTCTTTAGCCTCCTCATAGTCATCAAACTCAAGACCGGCATCGCGGCATCGCTGTAGCCATTTGGCTGCGATAGCATTGCGACGACTGACTTCCTGCTTCAGCTTCTGGTTTGACGCGCTGATTTCGTTGATGGCGTGGTTGGCAGTCAGACTGTGTTGCTCAAACCGCTCATCCATATTCTTCTTATCATCCTGCAGCTGGCAGATATACTCTATGGCCCGTTGCAATATGGCGCCCTTGTTTTTGTCGCAGTTTGGAACGAGCCGAGCAATTTGATTAATGCCCTCGTTGATTGCTTCACGTCGTCGCCGCTCGACTAGAAGGAAAGGGGAGTCAGCATCGCCAAAGAGAGAATAAGGGAATGCGAGATGATGGTGTACCTTCTTTGTGATTGTTCTTGCGAATCTGGTGCCACTCGGGCGACCCAACAGTTGGCTTCTGGTTCATACTCTGCGCCTCACGGGCGGCATAAACCGCAGCAGCAGTAGAGTTGTGGTTGTGGGGACCCGGCATGGGTCCTTGACCCATGTCGTCTCCAAAGTTCAGCCCTTGAGTCAGGTTGTTGGCGTCGAATGCGGCGGCATCGGGGGGTGGTGGGTATTTGTGTTGGGGAGCGTGCGCGGCCAGCGCGGCTTTGGCGTTCGCTGTGAGGGCATTGTCGTCTGACAGTCCGTTTTGGGGTCCAACGTGCTGGAGGATCTGTTGATCGATGTTGAGTTCAGATCCTGCGTTGCCGAGGCCATGATCATAGCCCATGGAGTGGCTGAAGGCGTGTTGGTTGTCAGGCATACTGCCGTTACTGCCGTGTGACGATCGATTCAGGCGCTGAGCGTCGTGGCCCAGATCCTCAGAGCCCTCCCGTTTGCGCTTACCCCCAGCGCCGTCTGGGCTAGCCATGGTGGGATCAGACATGGTCTCAAAGAACGAGTCCTGGGAAGCGGCAGGCATGTCAGTCATGGGAATAGGATGAGGCACGATATTCCCTGGAAAAACAATGTGAACTTTGCAAATACAATGGGCATCAGATGCATAAAGATAGAGTGCAGGTAAGAGGTTGGCCGCGCGTGCGGCTTGGTGGGCTCAAGAATCTGTCTCGGGGGATTGCACACTGAAGCGACCGAAGCCGATGTGCCCCGGGAAGAAACTGACGCGCCACTCTCCTCTCCCCCTCACAAGGTGAGCCGCGCAGAGGGATGAACAAGGCTGGATGACAGTTCAAGCACCTTCTTGTGGTAGCTGACTCTCAAGTCCAAATCGCAGTCAAGCGATCGTGCATAGCTTGACATTGGTATTAGCAGGACCTTGGCTCGCCTTGAACAGTGCGACCGACCACAGAGAGGCGCGTCACATTTGTGAGCGACCGTGGCGACAGTCTTTTGAGGGAGGGGGACAATGTGCCTCGCCGGGGATAGAAACGACGAGGGCACATTAGAGAAGGATGCTCGCGCAGAGCCTGCGACCGTAGTCGAAAAGCCGTGCAAGTCATTGCGCAATGTGATAGGGGGGGGGGGGGGGGTATGACGGGGGGTGGTTACCTCTGGATGATCCTATCTATCACCTGACAGCAAGTCACCTGCCACGGACAATAACAGACCGGAAGTCACGTTGTTCGCGATGTCCACGATATTCGGGAAAAATCGCAACTCAAACCAAAAATGGGAGAAGGGAGAAATTTGACAGTCTGGGACTCAGAGAGGGAATTTGAGCAGCAATTGACCTCGATCAAACAAATATTATTGGAAAAAGGGATGTCTCTTTAGGGATGTTGGACGACTCGAGGTGAGAGGACTGCTCACGTGTTGAGGAGGAGGGCGCGGCGCGACGAGTAGGGGGAGCTACAATGGCCAAATGTGCAGAAACTTGGGCCAAGTCACCTGATCTGATCGCGCCTCGGCCGATGCGAGGGCACGGGACTCCCGAAGGGAAACTTATGTCAGCAACACAGCGGGGGTGGTCCCCGGTCTTCCAAGGTGGAAGTGAGGTCAACAGTCAAACAATCAACAGTCCAAAGACTCAGCACAGGTGGCCCGGCCCGGAAGTGCCCACATGCATGGGCCACAGCCGCCTTTGGAGTTGATAGGAAAGACCTTGGGTTTTGCACTGGCAACAGAGACCCTTCTTGATCATTTGTTCTTATTGCATTGTGCCAGACAGCGAAGACACGTGAAGATATGTCACCAGCACATAACCATGTATTCACGTGCAGCTCAAAGGTCTAGGTAAAGTATGACTGTAAAGACAGAACTCACCGGAGAATAGGTTGACTTAATACGCAAGCGCTAACCCGAAGAGCGAATATCATGACTCGATAATCAAGTTCTCTTTGATCTTCACCATAATTTAGCGGATTGCTGATTACCCCATATAGCTAGCTACCTACAGATGGTCATGTACATCGTCTCCCTCCAGGTTTAACCTGATACCACTATTATTAGTTATGCCCTGCTGAAGCATCGTACTAGTTTTTGTACCAGGCGTATCTTTTCTTCCTACCTACCTTTCCATCTATGAAGACTACTGATCCGCCTTTTCCCCCTAGTACACATCGATGACCTCTCCGTGAGACGATCATGAACAAATAGTCGCCATCTCCCATCCAATCCATCTCTTATCCAATTCGGGTCTCTTGCTCGACCCATCGGGTCATGTGCCCACAGAGAAATCGAGATCCCGTGCCCCCCCGTGTACAGGAGTCTACTGCACACCTTGGGCTTTTCGCTATTGATTGGGTGAGAGTATCCCAATCACGTGGTATAGAGTGGGTCTGCCGTATGCACGGACTACCGATCGGCCTCTGGTCGGGGCGCAGAGCGATAAGAGGTGAAGAACATCCATTAGCGACGCTCCGAGGTGCTACTGTAGAGTGTAGAGTGTAGAGTCTTCCCAATCATAATATTGAATATTTAACGTCAATCCACTGGCGGACTAAGGCCCAGGGCTGACGTAAAGCAAGCCACCTACTAAGGTATCTACCTACCTGGTAAATATGAGCGCCTACCAACATGAAGTCGGAGAGAACGAGCCCAAGCAGTAGAGTAATTAATTCTAGATACCCACCTGACAGTGACATTCCTGTCGATCATAGCGAAATACTAGTGCATGGAGGTACTGTCAGGTAACTTACGGATAGAATGCCGTATTCAGTGCACTCTCGATTCCCAGAGTCCAGTCCATCCTGCATGAAATCCTCTTTCCACCCAGGGGTCAAAGCAGAGCGATCTGAGCAGGGAAGGAGAAACACAGTCTCCACGTCCGAATATGCCGTCATCATGCAACACGGACATGCACGCCATCTGCCGCCCTGCGTGGTCCCGAGAGAGTCGCCCAGGACCGGGGAAATCATTGGCATGGCTAGGGATCAGAGTTTACTTCAACTGGACGGGGTGGCACCTTACTGGGATCTATTCTTCATGCCAAATGCTGCATCTTGGACAATCTGGGGAATCTAGAAGGTAGTATGTAGTATGTAGTATGTAGTGGGTAGGAGCACGAAAGAAGAGAGAAAGGATTGATAGGAGGAGTACATGACAATGTCAACCCTCCTTCGTACCGCTGGAATGACTCATGCAAAACACATCTCCTGCATTCGATTAAAATAAAACAATACCTTCCCTTGAGAAACATCATGTCCCAAACTCGGGTCTATGTTCGATCCCTCTCTCCTTCATTCCCTTTCTGGATTCACTCCAACTAGCAAAAATACCCAGAAACACCTCCCTACCCCTCAGAAGTAGTAAACTCTGCAGCAACCTCACACCTTCCTTCGCATGAAGGGTTACACCTCAGCAATCCCCAATACTTCATATCTCGTTTCCTTTGCCTCCCCATCCCTCTCGTCCACCCCACCTTCTTCTGATCGGCTCACGCTCGTTGGGTGAATCGGGGCCACACGTTAGCCACACCTGAGCCCCGATCACCTGGTCATGCGACCGAACTGAGACAAGAGAGGGTGGGCAGTGGGGGAACTGGGTAAGACGGCTGCAGAAGTCGATCTCCCAGACGATCACCGGCGGGCTTGGAAAGACGGAGGGGAAATGACGGGGAGGCCACAGTGATAGGACGGTGCAAACTTCCTAGAGGCTACTGACCTTGCGAGAGTGAAGAACGCCATGGCCCTGTCGAAGGTTTCTTCTTTTTGATCAAGCGCGATTGCCACGGTCCGTCACGTATAGCTTGGAGATAATGGACATCTGGAGAGGGAATCTAGGGCGACGGACTGGTATCAGGTCGTAGTGACATCTGTATGTCTCGGGAGAACTAAGATCTGGACTTGGCAAATGGCCATGCTCTCTCTCTCTCTCTCTCTCTCTCTCTCTCTCTCTCTCTGTGTGTGTGTGTATGTGGAGCGCAAGGCAAAAAGGAAAGCCGAGTAAAAGGCAACCGTTACCAACTCTACCGGAGAAAAGAGGCGCAAGCTTGAATCCCGCCAGAGTCAGACCTCACGTCGATCAGGTCTCATTGATCGGACATCTCATCCGAGTCACTCTGGCCTCCTCTAGACCTGAGACGAAATGCCATTTTCGGCACTGCCGTAGTATCCGCAAAACAGATCCCTTCCTCCGCCGCCCCAAGAAGATCCCAGCAGACAACCTGTGTATCAACCTCCTCATCCTCATCCTCACTGGCCTCTTCTGGGTCGATCATAGCTGCAGGGCGCTTCTCTGGTGACCCGGACGCGGATCTAGCCCCGGCTGCAGCCTTCCGGGGGTTCTGCGTCAAAGCCATGATCGTACTCGTCCCCGCATACCGCGCCACGGGTTTTGTATCATCTGCACCAGCTTCCTCTCCAGCGCGATTGGCAAACACCAGTACAGCCCTCTTGACCCCATTTTCGGTTGATGCGCTCGACCCATCAATGTCCCCCACGTGCCGCATCTTCTTCGAGATGAGTGGCATAAACCGATTGAGCCAGTAGGTGAAAGTGTCCATGTCGGGTCTGCCCCTCAAGTCGGTCATTTCTTGCTGACTCATGTGTGTCAACCACGCCATGGACAAGACGACGAGCTGCGAGCCAGAATCCCGCGCGCGGTTGGCGAATTCGTAGGCCGAGTAAGGCGCTTCGAATTTATATGGATTGATGTCCATGCAAATACCAAATGAAGTGGCCACTTGTCTCCGAGGACCAGAATCTTCCCGATGAAGCTGGGAACGGTTTTCCGGAATTTCAGAAGAACCGACTGATGGAAATGGAAGCTGACAGAGACCCAGCGCCACGTCGCCCTCGGTGGCCCATGTTTCGTCGGTCATGTACAAAAAGCTCTTGCGGTAGTTGTGAATCACCGAGCCGGACTCATCGACCACAAGCAAGGAGTTGTAATATTTGGGTGATCCTGAGCCATCAGAGCTGTGCTCAATCTCGGGATAACCCACGCAAACTTTGCAGTGTAAGCGTCTTGCAATTTCCCGGGCCCATTGGGCGCTGGGTCCATCGCCAACCTGCTCCAGAAAAGGCTCAATGGCTTCTCGTGATGTGAAGTTGTATCCTAAATGGAGCGATGTCAATATCAACATCCGCAATTCACACCGATTGACCACAACTACGATAGTTCTACTTACCGGTAAATGCTAATTCAGGTAGAACAAGAAGGTCTGGTCGGAGAAAGTCGATATCACCACGACCCGACAGCTCCTGTGATGATGACTCCTGAAGGCCTGTAAAGTTTTGCTTCCCTAGTAAGTCGTTCGCACGCTTGATGTTCCCCTCAACATCGCCCAACTTGGGTGCGAATTGAAGTGTGGCGATTCTCATCTTCAGTGGTCGGCTATTCGAGAAATGTCTCAACAACCCCCAAGAACCCCGACGGCTTGACTTGGATCTGGAGCCCTGCAAGATCAAGCTACTGGCCGCGAAATATCTGGTTGATCGTGGACACAGCCTCCCAACTCTGGTCAGACTCGTCCTCAGCCCAAGCTGGACAGACGATGATCGAATCGAGGCCAGGATGAGAGCAAGGCAGCAAGGAGGTTATTTTGCACAATGATCTTCACTGCGGTATTCCTCGCTTCACACCAACTTCTAGAGGCAATAAGGGGATGGTTTCAATTGGCAATGCGCGAGGTTTGAAGATGGTGGTGATCAGGCCGAATCTCAGTAGACTGGCCTTAAAAGGAACGGGATTTGCCGCGCACCGACTGCTCCCGCTGCCTCAGGACACCAACGGAGCCGATCTGCAAGGCTGAAATCACAGGCCAGCAAAGCGATAACCTCACCTTGCACTTTCCTCAATGTCTACCTGTCTGAATTTAAGTGTGCGGCCAGTTTAAAGTAATCATTCCAGGTGTGGTAAGCAATTCCGCTAAGTAGCATGGACGTAACGTTTAAAGAAATAGCCAAAAGCAATGGGGTATGGTTCTAACAATGCCCCCGTAACGCCATGCAATTACATGCAAATCCCAGGTCAAAGCAGGGCCATTGATGAACGCCAAGATAAAGTATGCAAAAAAAAGGTATCAAGGAACTACGCCACGAATCCATACTATCCACTCATTGCGAACCGATTCGTGCCATTCTCCTTCTCCTGACTCGGGTGCTTTTGTCCCGAAGAGGCGCGCGCGCGCGAAAAGTCCAAAGGCTTGTAAGCCAGTCCATGACCCCCCGTCATTCTAATCCGGTATTCTGTGCGCGACATTGTTCTCCCAAGACCAGTGGACGTGTCAGGCGCATAGGCGACCGAATAAGGGTGGCGTGGGAACTGTGGGGGCGACGCGCTCTGTGCGAACGGGGTTGCGGAAGGCGAAGCGCTGTTACTGTGGGAAAGACGGCTTTTGCTCCGTTGTTCCCAGTAATCATGATAGGCGTTATAATTCACCAAACTCTGAGGTGACACATCATCAAAGATTTTGGGTCCTGAACGTAATTGCTCGGCGACGATACGAGCAGAGTTGAGCAGCAACTCGTCCTCATCAATCTCGCGCTGGCGCTTCTTAGAGACCTCAGATTCAGCCGGCGCAGGGGCCTTTGACTCCAGAATCTTTCGGGTCTTTTCTAAACACGGTAGTGTTGGTAGAGATTTGACATATGATTGTACCAAGGAGAATTTCTTCGTGCCGGAAGGCTCCTCGTCGGGGCTAGCTGATTTGGACAACTTGCGCCGTTCCTCACGTAGCGATTTGGCCAGAGCTTGCTCCTCTTCAAGTCGCTTGCGCTTGCGCTTGTCTTCCTTGCGCTGGGCTTTCTCCTCAGCGCGTTTCATAATACGCTTGAACAATGCGACGTCTTCTTCCTTATTTTGAGGTGGACGCCATTGTTCGTCCTCAGAGAGGTTAGATGGCGCAGCAGGCACAAGCGTAGCAACTGAGTGATCAAGTTGAGAGACTGTGAGAGCACGTTCTTGCGGCGTTGCCACCTGAGCAGAGCTTTCTATGGCCTTTTCGAGAGTCGTCTCCAGGCTGGGCGAATATTTCGATTCCCCTCTCTGCCCAGAAGGCACTGAAGTCGTGGCTGTTGTACCAGGCGGAAAGAGAGGTTTCTGCATCTGAGAGGAAACAAAAGTGGAAGCCTCCGCAGAAGGCCCAAAAAGGGTCGGTACCTTTTTTGGCGCGGAGTCCTTTTGTTGTTGTGGTTGGGAAGAGGGTAAAGAAGGCTTGAAAAGGCCGTCAGACCCCTTTCCGGCGTCAGGTAGAGCAAGCGACTGGAAAGCAGAAGTCTGTGGGACTTGATTGAAAGATGGCGTTTGTGTGAATGCCAATCCAGTGGACAGGCCTTGGGAAGGACCTTCTTTGTTAAAGCTCAGGACATTGGTTGTCGCATGATTGTCCTTGTATGTACCATCGGCCGGTTTTGTTGGCGGAGGGAACATAAGACCATTCGACGATGGCAAGGGCCCAGAGGGGAAAGCAGCAGAGGTTGAACTTGTCTGCGCGGTTTCTGAAATGTTGCTGTTCTTTGATTTAGCCAATAGAGCGCTCGGTTTTGTGAGGATTGGATTGATGTTGGCATCTTCGGCTACTGGAGGCGGTTTTGAAGAGCCAAGGGCAGACAAAGAGGCTGCAAAGGGATTTGGAGAAGCAGCAGCAGCACCATCAATATTGGTGGGAACATTTGAGCTGGGGAAGGCGAATGGGGAGCTGGTCGAAAAGGTAGTGGCAGGCTGCAGTTGCTTATTTGACGTCGATAATGAAGGGACTGAAGGGACCTTTTCTCCCTCCGCGGACGTGACGTGTGTTGGCTTCGAGAGATCGATGGGTGAAGAGGCGGATGTGGCAGGAGCTGTTACTGTCGGTTTGGGGAAGGAGAATGGTGATAGTGACGATGTTTTCGTACTGGCAAAAGGATTCGTCGCCGCTGTTTGGATAACGGATGCCGTACCAGGGCCAGATTGCATAGAGAAAAAGGGATTGGAGGCAGGAGTGATTTCGGTTGCTGCACCATGTTCTTGATTCGAGAATTCGGTCGAGGGAGCTTCAGTTGCGCCCGGTGTGATTTTTGATGGCTTTCCGAAGGAGGATGGGGAGGCTGCTGACGGTTCTTGGGCAGAAGCGGGATTCGTCGAGGCTTTGTTCAAAGCATTGCTTGCATTCTTGCCAGATAACATGGTGGAGAAAGGATTTAGGCCAGTAACAGGCGCGCTCGTGCCGGCTGCGGGAGTTGCCTGAGCTGGAGCTCCAAACGAAGGTAGCGAGGGCGGTTGGAACGGCTGACCAACTTTGACAGCTTCTTGTGCCGGGAGTGTTGATGGCGTGAAACTGCCTCCAAAACTCGTCGGGAAGGCCTGTGTAGGAGCGACGGCTTGCGTATTGTCCTTGCTACTCGTAAAAACATTTTCTTGGGCAGGGGCAGGACTACCCGCAGGACTGATTCGCATACGTTCAGACACTACAGACTTGTCGATCATGCCAATCGATGCAGCCTCCCGGACGGACATTCCGAGAATGACCGCCACCAAGTTGCGGCCAGCACGCTTCGATTCAACGTATGTTTCCGAAAATGCATGCTCGGAAGATGGCGAGAAACCTAGAGATAGAGAATGAGCAGGAGAATGCAGTGCTTTGTGGGGGCTATGCATTCAAGTAACGAGAGGAGATCCACCGGTTACTACAGATGAAAATGCAAGTTTCGAGTACTAACCAACCGACTCAACTGGGCGACTGCCCCAATCGAGATACTTTTCACCGTTGCTATTTTCGGCGATTTGGAGATCCTGGTCCTCGCAGAATCTGATGGTTTGCTCCTCGTCATCAAAGTAGAGTACCTTGGTCAACTGCTCCAGAGTCCATTCGTCGTTCTTATGCTGTTGTGATAATGGGACGCGGCAATATGCTTTCCAGATTGCACGAATGGTAGTTTGCCGGACGTGCGTAAAGTAGATCTCGGCCACGCATGCCATCAGGTAGGAGACGCTTCGGGAGTCGATAATATGAAAGAAGCGTGAATAGAAGCCTTGGGCGATTGCATTCGGTCTGCGCGCATCCAATGTACCCTGGTATTCCCATGTGTTGCAGGCCGCAGCGTACAGTTCCAGAGCCACCTGAACACGAGGGGAGTTAAGCAATGCCGCGGGCCACTTCTGTACTCGGGATTCGAGGTCTGGGCGTTGGTCGTGTATGGAGAAGATGATGTAGTACGCGCGGAATTCTTCCTCGTTTGGAAAATGTACGCGGCCACGATTATCATCGTAGTAGTACATAAGGGACAGCATGGTGTTGTTGAGTTGCTCGCGTTCCTGATGACGATCAAACTGTTCCTCGTTCGCCGGGCTTGAAAGGAGATGAAGCGAAAGAATATGGAACCGAGCAATTCTTTCCAAGCAAAGCACCGCGATTTTGACATCAGCTCCACGAGTCACTTGCTGCACAGAGAAGTCGTTGCGAATTGAGCGCGTCCGGTCCCAGACAAATTTATGGACAACTCCAAGTGGCTCCGTCCCACCAACTATATACCGAATCAGATAGTTCGTAGCTTGAAGCAAAGCTTTCGGAGTTCGGATGTCGGATGGGAGCTGTTCATCGTAACCAGCAGCTGAGCGGCGAAAGCGCTTCAGCATCTTCGCTTCCACATTCTGCAATGAATTCGTTGATGGGTCGAATTGCTGGAAGATATTACAATTTGTATATTACAATTAGTAAGTGACGCAGACAAGACCGAGGGTTAAAGACTTGGCACACCTTCTCGCTGCGATCCACCATCTTTTGAACAATGCGTTCCACGCGCTCAAATTCAGGACACATGCTCTCGCAGGTGCCGACGGGTCGAATGGCTTTGTTGAGGGAAGTAGGCTGGTTTGGATCAGCCATCAGACCATTTCTGATAGCCTTCTGTCTTTCCTTGGTGCGGTCGATTTTCAGCTGCGATGAATTATTAGACTCCGCCGGTTCCTCAAGAGATAAAACTCGCATGCGATGCTGAAAGGAAAAGGTGTCTGACCTGCTCATAGCGGTCTGGGAATGAACCGGAGGTGGCTGCAGATTCGAATTTCTGCTGCTTTGTGAGGCCCCCATGGCCATGTGCATGACCATTCGACGCGTGTCTTTGGGTGCGCTGCGCCGAGCTGGGATTGTAGGCATTATCTGCAGCGGGCGATGCTGTTCGTGACTGATTCGAGCCGGACGCATTCGAAAATGGAGACGGCTGGTTTGGCCGGTTCTGTTGATTCAATTGCGCAAATGGAGAGCTGGCGCCTGTCGCATTCGTCGAAGGAGGCGCGCCCCAACGTGGAGCATGGGATGGTCCTGTGGCCGAGGTACCCGCACCACGGCCGCGCGAATAGGTTCCACCAGCATTCCCTCTACCACGTCCTCCTCTTCCACGAGCAGTTGTGAAATTTTGACCACCTCGGTCTGAACCCCCTCTTGTGGCTCCGCGCGAAAACCCGCGACCTCGCTGCACCGCAGCGTCCGCCATTCTTTTCGGCTTCGGCTTCGGCTTGAGCTTAGAATGGTTGGGTGATTGGGTGGTGAAGTGTTTAATCGAGAATCGAGCCAAACATGCCGAGTTCAGATTCCCTTGAATGCACTGATATAATCTGCAGTGAGAGAGAAGCTTCCCAAGCTGTAGAACCGATTGAAACGCGACGGTGGTGGTGAAATTGGTGGCGGAAGCGGCGACGGAGATGAGTGAAGCGTACAAAGAGAGAGTGGTCCGGGAAGCTTGAAGGCTCTCGGTCACAGATGCTCCACTCCTACCCGCCGCGCGCTTGTGTCATGTGACCCTATCAACACCACATCTCTGATATTGGAGAGGATGCTTCCAACTTTACTACTGAGGTAGTCAAGGGTTTCACGGTGGCGGCTATCGATTTCTAGTAAGTATCAAGACTAGGTGCCAACTGTGAGTCTTTGCCCTCATGTTCTACCTATCCCAGTCTCGTGCCATAAATGACCCTGGACAAATCCCCCCCCCCCCCCCCCGCGAAGCTGTGATTCAGCAGTCAAGATCGCAATGTATGCTTCTGATGGGTTTCGGACCGAAGGACCCTTTCCAAAACGGCACAGACACCTCAATGTACTGTAATTCTCTCATGAATATGTGAGAGATGAAAGGGGCCTTCCTCAGACAAGCTTGTTGATCAAGGCTACCGATCAGGAATTGTAAAGACAGACAAGAAAGATTTCATCCGAATTTGGAGCTGGTGCGAGTTGAAGAGAAATTACTGTATGAAGTCTTAGGTTGTAATCACAGTAAATTGAGCTGGGGAAACCAGAACTGCCGACCAGAAAGGCATGGGTTGTCCGGGAAAGAGACCCCCCAAAATTTCAGTAATAAATAACAAAATAGACCCATATCGACTTCCGCTGTGCATCCATTGCAACCAATTTAAATCCAACAACAATAATGTTCAAAGAAGAAGAAATAATCGAAGGATGACGAGATCCCGAGCTCACACAGCTTGAGCTCTTTCCCATATTAACACCGCCTCTAATTTATTCACAGAAAGAAGTGGGAGAGCACCCAAAAAAAGAAAGAGAAAGAAAAATAGGAGACCATATATGCTGAGGGAAAAAGGAAAAGGAGATAGAACAGGAAAAGAAATATAAAAGAGAAAAATCACTCGGGCAATCGAGAGGAAAAAAGGCTCAAATAACCAGAACAAAAGAGGAAAAGCAAAAAATGATTCCATCTGAGCACCATTGTGACTCAGATATGCAATTCAACTGTGTGGTATCTCTGCAAACGCTTCGTCGTAATTATCATTTGACCCATACACCATTTTCGAATCAATGCATCGCTCCATCTTCGCATGCTGACTAGGTCTTGCCCAGCTAATTGTGAGCAAGATCCTTAGACAGGGTGAGAGAGAGTCAGCTCGTTAGAGTGGCCGATTGAGCCGTTTCGAAAGGGGAGAGCCCGTTGGTCGGAGGGGTCCATGAGCGCTTGTGTGTGGGAGGAGGCCATCTCATGCATTTGAGATGGAGACATCATGGGTAGGCCAGTGTACTGCTGAATTCCAGGATGAGGCATCCCGTGTGTCACTGGAGAAGTGGTATAATCCACGGGGCTGAAGAGAATCTGTCGGAAACTGGGTGTCCACGGATCGAACTTTTGGTCGGGTGAAGGGGGATGGAATGTTTGAGAGGTGGAATAGTCGAAGACTGAAACATCATGGGGACTGATCATCTCTGCTGTGACGGGAGTGTTCATCATGGACTGAGAGAATGAGTCAGTGTATTGGGGTGGTGTGTTGTAGTAGTGTCGGTCCTGTCGAGACATGTCGTACGTAAGAGGTTGGGCTGTAGAGAAGCCAGTGGGAATAGATCGGGATGATCCAATGGTCATAGGATCAATGGGCGTCGCCATAGATGCCGCGTGGTCGATACTTGAGCTTGGAGTAAGAAGAGCCTCTTCAATAGAATCAGGTGCCGCAAGTGTGATGGTAGGGGCAGTGTTGTCGTTGTTGATTTCCTCCTCGTCATCGCCCTTAGGACCAGGACCGCGGTTTGTCACATAGACGACCATGTTCTCATCTATATCATCGTTAGCTCACAGTCTCACTTTGACCTATCGCAGCGAGCATCATCTTTCCTTACGTACCAACTTCTCCGCGCTCAAAGCGCTCTTCCATCTTGCGAACACGCAGAATCTCGTATATGATTTCAATGTGGGACGGATGCTTCAGACTGCGTTTGGTATCGCCTGCGACCTCCTTGAGCCGGTCGGCAGTTGCATTCCTGATACCGGCACGGATGATGTAAATCAAGAGCTCAATGCGATCTGTGGTCATCATTTAAAGTCAGAAGGGATCCTGATATTTTGAGATCTCGAGATGCAAGCAACACGTACACTCTTTGCGAAGGTGGTCTGGCTCCTTGTGCATAACGTTCTCTGGCCACCATTCAGGCTTGGTCTTTTCTGGATCACCGGTTGTACCCGGGGGGATCCCGCTGGAGGCTTGCCGCCGTTGTATGGGAATCGGACTTGCTTGCGAGGCTCAATATGCTTGATGAAAGCCTTGGCGATCATGCGGCAATTTAACTGCTGGAAGTGCTTTAAGGCAGTCTCGTAGTAGGCCGTTACCTTGGCAGTGTCTCCGATACGAAGAGGTGCCATTTCGTAAGAGTTACCGCTGGACATATCCTCACTATCCGAAACGGGATCCGCGAGACGAGCTTCTTGACTGGGGGTGTTTGCGCCGCGACGGCGGACTCGTCGGGCAGAGGAAGATTTTAATGTGCCTTGACACCGGAAAATGTCAGCCTTGAGTCCAACACTTTTTCTAGATTTCGGATGAGTCGAGGTACTCACGGCGAAGAGGCTGGCAGTAACCGATGCGCTCGCCAAGGATCTCGAGGAAATTTTGCTTCACCTCTGGAGTGAAGAGTGTGGCGTCTTGTTCTTTGATGGAGGCGGATTCGTCGACTTTGATCTTGCCTTCATTATCAAGGTAGATCAAGGCGTAGTGAGCGTATGGCATGCGAGAGGGGGGATGATATGCTGGTGCCATCATAGGCTATGCACGTTGTTAGACTGTGTGACGAGGTTACCATGGAAGGCAGATGGTCCAAACTTACTGGAGGGATATCCCATCCAGGAAGCCCCTCGTGTAACGCGGAAGCAGATCGCTTCATCGCACCACTTGTTGGGCTGGGCTTCTTGTAAACCATGTTGTAAAAAAATGAAACCTCACAGTGCCGGGGTGGAACTATGCAAGTCAATTGATGATGGATAGATATCGCACGCAAATCGTCTTCACTTTGTGTGACGAGACGACTTCGATCGCGAGAATTGAACGACCGGAAGATTGGGGCTTCAGTCGCTAGGTTCTCGAGCCAATGCCGAGAAGCCTTCTTTATAGTTCGCGGCGACAGCGGGAGAGAGACTACGGTTGAGTCAAGTTAGCTCCAGACCTCTGCATGGATAGTCGAGCGTTGTCACAAGTGTGCCGCCGTGCTCAGAGAGTCAAGTATTGAATTCGGTATTTTGCAAGGTCAATTCCAAATGACTGATTTGTCGGAATCGTCCTTCTTGACTGCTGACTCTCGGGACAGCGGCTCCAGATCCGCGCAAGGACGGAGCCAAGCTTATTGCAAACAGGACGACGGGTGAACTTCGCGCGGGGATGCAGGGCCAAACGACTCACTGTGTGGATGATGAAGGAGAGAACTCGCTGATAGAGGCCGGCTGGTAGTAGAGACCAACGTTCGCTTCTCAGTGGAGAGTAGGCGAGCGTGAAATCAAGTCCTTTGAATGGACACGAGAGTGAGACCGAGTAATGAACTGCGGCAAACAAGACTCCTGTCGATGTCACTGCAGTCGAGTTGCAATTGGAACTTCAGGATATCGTATAGTCGGATTGTAAACACAATTCAGTGGGACGAGAGTCGGGATCGAAGTATAAACGTCAAGCTTGGACCGAGAGTCGAGGTGGGTCGACTTGGGTGGACGATGGATGATAGACTCTTTGTAGAGGGTTGCGTCTGAAGCTTGTATGAGTGGGCTGAGCTTCTGTTTCTTTCTAGACTCAGATGCTAGACGAAGAATGAGACTTGAGATTCTTGAGACAAAACGTGAAGGGATCGAGGAGGGAGACCGTGATATTTCAACTTGCGCCGTCCAGTGCAATGATGGTATCTTTTTTTTTTCTATGATTTTATTGTGGTTTCTCTGAGTCTCTTCCCCGAAAAGGGAATGCCTACGATGAGGAAGAAATTCCCAAAAAAAAACATATAAACAAAAAATCATCTAAAATCATATTCAATTTTTTAAAAAAAAAAAAATCTTGGGGTTAAAAGTACCTCAGACAGGACCGACTCCGGGGTGGTGAATCAGCCAGTATCAAGAGCGCCCGCGCCACAGTTGGTATCTAGGATGATCCCTGGGCTGTCAGAGCAGCGGGGGAGCCCCGACAGTCGATAACCTGACAAGAGGCTAGAGGCTAGGGTCTGCTGAGAAAGGAAAATTCAAATCTCACAATAAAGGCCAGGGTAGGTCTAGACAAGGAAAAGGAAAAAGAAAAGAAGAGAAATCCCGAAAGAGAATGTCCAGTTTACATTTGGACTCGCAACGCAGTGGCAGATCAGACTAGCTTCAGGAGCTTGATGAAAATCGCCTGATGATGAATTTTGGGGGTTTTTTTTTCTTTTTGTTCATCTTTTTTTGGTCTCTGGCATTTTCACTTCGATTTCTCTCCTTAATTTTCCTCACCAAAAGACTGGTGGAGACGGCCATGCAGCCCATGATGGGCGGATGCCAATCAGATCGAGGGGCACTGACCTCATCAATAGTCCCCCTTCCAGCAAAAAGCAACTCTGTACGAGAGTCTCCGAGTCTGGCAGGAGAGCACCGCACTGATTGAGCTAATGAACAAAGTCCATCTTTCCCGATTTGATACTGACAGTACTCTCGTCCTTCGAGTCCCGGCCTGACTAGGTGTCGATCTGTGTCCTCATTCTCGAGGGTTATTGTCTGCTTCTACTGATAGTACACTAATTACAGTATATGCGAAATTCACACATACGACTACTACCGCGCAATGGTCTACCCACCGGTACACTACGGGCTTCTAAATCACTCCGGGGATCACGACATGGATGACGAGTGTACAGTACCTCTGTTTATTTTTTCGGGGTGCGCTTCTTTTTTCTAACACAATTGATTGTGTGGGCCAAGGGAACAGCCAGTATTTCTTGCCTACGGGTCATCTGCAACGCACCAGAAGGAGTTAACGGTTGAGGATCGACTGCCAGTGTCTGAAAAAGTGCAATCTAGTCGCCAACCCAGGACTACAGGACTACCACCAACAGTCACTCGTACCAAACACCAATTCACCATGAATCATTTAACATGCACTCGGTATCCTATGAGAGATGGATGGCTCCCCTCCCAAGAAAAACCACGGATCCTATTTGTCTCGAGTAAAGCACTCTGTTTGTGCCGGACCAGGGTCCTAACAAACAAGTCCCATCGCCTCTGTGTTTCCACTGGTAGCCCGAGCGAGTCACTAGTCTAGCGTCGTTGTGATCATCTTGACAGAGAGTCGGAGAGTCAGTATCAGAATCACCAGTGACCACCTCCCCGCCGAAAAATTCCTGGCGGATGCCGGACAAAGCGGGATGAAGCGCGCGGGTCCCCGTCCGCTCAAACCAAGGAACGAGTTCTTTGTTTGTGAAACTCAACCGTGGAATAGATAGAAATAACCTCGAAGGTACTACTTTGTAGACACTCCTATACTCTAAGGCTACTTCGGCACAAAGATATGCCCAGGGACGTATCGTCGCAATACTCTGATTTACTTCATACATGACTCCCCAACCCCGAATAGATCCTGGTGAACCTTGGCCTGCTGGCAGGACCAGGACCTGCGTCAACAAAGTACCTTGTTGTGCACACAAATCTTGATCGTGAACCTACCAGTCACTTTTCCTCTTCTCGGGGACGCCCGTAAGCTTGAATCAGCTGCATAGCATCGTGTCAAGAGGGCCGATAGACTTTTTGTGCCAGGGAATTCCAGGTCCGCGCGGGAGGGATATGGATATTGATGGTCTGCAAATATGCTTATCGGGGGGATCCATGGGCTACAGATTGCTGTGTTCTCAAGTTCTTTTGTATTCTGTTCTTTGCCTCGATCGTTGGACAGGGGAGTCCGTCCTGGGCTAGAAGTTGATGCTTTATCATATAGGCACTAGGCGGTGGAGCACTACAGTCTGCACTACAGACTGCACTGCTGTAGCGTTGGTGTCTGTCCACAGGCAGTTCCATCAAAATGACATAATGTACAATGACACTGGAAACTTAGTAGTACCTGAGTATCTACCTGCTATCTCGTAGTCACTTAGTGAGAATGGTCAAACTCACGCTTCACCACTGATAACCGTGCCTTTCTCCAAACTGCCCACCTCACCGAGGGACAACGGACGCTTCATACTGCCAGACTTCCCTAATCAAGTGGAGTGCAGATATACGTCCTCTAAACATCTCCATTGCATATGGTCATCCCCAGTCATCATGTGCACCAATCTATCCTGGTCTGAGCCTCCCCAAGCCTGTAGTCCAGGCGCAGCGGAAAGCAAGCATTTGCCTGCTCTCCCACCCCGGGTCACCCACCAGTCCAAGTCCAACGGATAGTTCTGGGGGACCGTGCTTTGGCGATCGCCGGATCTGAGCGTCCAGTGGCCCCGGGCGCCAGAGTGGTCACAGGGAGTCCAGGGACCCCTCCCGCCTCCAACAAGTCAGCGCCTCCGAGGACGAGGCTGGACCACTTTTCCCACGGCCTGAGCTTCACAGAGGCAAATTCATTGGGAGCCAACCGGCCAACTGACCCCCAAGTTCCCGTGAAAGCAAGACCCAACATCCTGGCCCCCGGGATGTAAACGTATCATTCCGCGGATAGGGCTTACCGTGACTCTGGGTCATGAATGGTCGCGGCGGGTTTGATTTGAGTTGAGATCAAGGAGATATCATCTGAACAGGTGATCAAATAGACGCGCTGTTTTGAATTGGTTGCGACTATCGACCCTTTTCTGCTCAGCATATGAGAATCCTGTGCATGAGTATGCTTGCGAGTGGGGGATCGGTTGAATGGTGATGCGTGTGTCGAGGCTACCTGAGCATTCTCTGGATCGGTACTTGTACCGACATGTACGGTGTACCCTAACCCCCGGTAACCCCCGCGTATCCTTCGGCTTGAAGGACGGCCTGCCCCGGTAGAGCGTAGATGGCCCACGGCAAGTCCGTGGGAGGCGCGCCATACCACCGCTATACTCTGTGGTGAGAAAGTACCCTGCGTACATGGCCGCTCACCTGAGCCTTCAAGGTACATTGATCGATGATAGGACTGTAGAGTGCAGAGTACTGCATATGCAATACCGCCAACATCTCTCGCCTTTGACACTACCACATCCACTTGGATCTCGATGAGATCGTGCGTCTCAAGGCAGCCCAGGGGGTTCGCCATGGAAAGTTCGCATTTTGGGTCGAGATCCCTCCAGTATTGGGCAAACTTGAGGTCATGCGCTTCCTCCCCCCGCCCCTGAGTTCAGACTTTCTACCTGGTTCCCGTGGGCGTTGCTTTTTTTTTTTTCATGACAGGACGCATCTACCTTATGTGACCATATCGGGAGAAGACTCGTGGGCTGGCCTCCTGAGATTTCGATCGAGATGGAAGGCAGGTGACGAGGGAACGAACAGAAGTACTGTACCCCCACCATCGGTTCTGCGACGCAGGTCTGACCACCGAGTCCCGACCGATGTATGTACAGTAGGTCGCATCGAGTAACGATTGCTGGAGTCCATCACGAAGCCCCCGGTGACAAAGGGACGATCTCGAACCAATCGAGAGTCACTGGTGCCGACTGCGACGGTCCATAGCCCACTTTGTCGATTGACGTGGTACGGGGGTAGTGGTTCTGTGAAATACGATACTCGCTTGGTAAGGGGTTCAAGGTTGAGTACTGCTATAACTGAAGACGCCAGAAACAACCGAATTCCCATTTATTTTCTGCGTTCGTTGATACTTGTCCTCACGAATCGCGGCTACCCAGCTACATCCAGACTGAACGAGTGGATTCGAGACTACTATACTACCTGATACTACACAGTACACAGTACACACTGTAGACTCACACCGGACTGGTCCTCGAACTTTCTTCACCAATGCAAATGATCA